CACACTTCATAACCAGGTACATGTATTTATGTACATGTCTGCATGTATGTACATATCAGGACATTATGGGATTTGTGAGGGAAAGGAATTGAATACAGTAATGATATTTCCGAATTTTTAAATTTGTCACATCTGAGAGTTCAGCTGTAATTAAATATTTAGAATATGCAAACGCATGGTCTAAAAGTGTCTGAAAAGCGGAAAAATGGGGTACAGATGGAGAAAGAGAGCAGACTGAACAAAAAACATACAATTTTCAACAAGTCCAAAGTAAAACATCTATATTCTTTAGTGAAGCTAATCAAAAACTGGAAACGTTCGAGATTTTATGTTTGTTTTTCTTATTTCTTGTGCTACATTGTTCACGAAAAGTACAAACGTTATGTATTCCTATTCCCACCGCCCAAAACCCCCAAAGCCATCAGACATCAAGCAAAAAACGTGAAAGGAGCACAAGTTCCATCTCTCCAGAGTATGATAACTCTAGATTTTTGAAAAGCTAGGAAGTTTGTCATGTTTTCAAGAAAAAAAGGAAAATAGCTTGAGTTTGTCTAGTCTTGGACTCATCAGAACGAGGTCTTTAGTTTACCATACCGCAATTCACAAATACCGAACGAAAAGTGAGAAAGGCGGGAAAACGAAGGAGAAAAAAGAGGAGGACAGTTCTGTCTCCAACCCTTCAGTCAACAATACGCACATCAAAACCTAACCCGAACCCGTGTTGATTTCCGATTAGTCAGTGAGAAATGAACTTTTTTTTTCTCTTTTTTCTCGTTCGTTTTTGTGTAGTGTCATGTTCTTGAGACTTACCTTGAACAGATGATTTCGATATGATTTCGGCATGAGTACTAGTCACGGAATCGAGGGCAAACGAGAAGGAAATTCAACCTCCTTTCCTTTTGCGACCAATCCAATTGCCAATTAGATGGAATTTTTTTCGAGAGGCAGAAGAGGCAAAGGATAATGGAAAATTAGGAGGGAACGAGAAAAGGAAGAGGGCGAGTCTTTTCTCGAATTTCACAGCGTTCTTCTCTCCTTTTTTCTCGGTTTTGCCCCCGTATCTGATTGATTGCGAAACGAAACAGTGTGTGATGTTTCTCTTGGGCCCGGGATTCAGAAAACGATGGCAGCAAAGTGGAAAAGTGGGCGGAGCCAGAAATGAACTGAACTGGTAGGCGTGGCGTGACTCGGAAACATTCCCCCCTCAGATTTTGTCAAGAGGACGAATTCTCTTGAGTTTTTCCTCTCTTCTCTTGCAGTTTCGGAACAAAAATCACATACTTTCAAGGATTTGCGGCTATTCTCGTCGAGTTCCTCCATGATTATTATTGTTTCTGGCGCCGTCGGATTATGCAAATGGCGGACGATTCGCCCAAGGTTTAGAGTGCAATGGCTCACTGGAAATAAACTGATTTTTATGGAAAGTCTAAAGAGAATTAGTTGGGAAGAGAGAGAGAGAGAGAGAGAAAGAGAAAGTGTGAAAGGGAAGAAAGGCAGAATGATTTATAAACAAGCAATGAAAATAAATTGGGTGGGCGAGAAAAGGAAAAAGAAAAGGTCAGAACATTTGTGGACAAACACACACACACACGCTTTTTAGGGAGCACACAAAATTTGACCTTTGTACAACAAAAAGGAAAAGTTTTGAAATATGCGGAAAATGAATAATATCCGTACACTTGTTCTTTTTTCTTTTTTTTTTGACAAGTCAACAAATGCAAACCCATTGGGGAATAAATTGGATATGCTATGCACCAAAAGAACCCTTTGCGCTAATTTCCGTTTTCTATTCCAAGAAATGAATGGAATGAATGACAATGGAAGGCATCGGACACTAGGATTATGTGTATGTATGGTAGGGAGGTGGCGGAAATGAAGAAAATGAGAGACGTGCAAAAGCTTAGTTAGTAGACAGCCACCGAGGGGCGAGAAAGCCAGAAAGAAGGAAGAAACTGAACCTAAATGACATTTGTCGTTGCTGTATATTTTTCATTTTTTCTTCTCTCTCTCTCTCTCTCTCTGCTTCCGTCCATTCCATTCAATACTCATCAGAAAAGGGACAGGGAGAATAAGCGTTGTCAGATTGAGAAAAGGACCACATGGGGTCTCAAGTGGCTGTGTGTGTGTGTATGTCAGGGAGGATGTTTTTAATGCGGGCGAACACGGAATAACACGAGCAGGCCTCCGAGAAGACGACCGACAAAAGCACAAATGTCAGTGACAAAAGAAGAGCAAAGTTTGCGAGAGGCGAAAAAGCGTTTTTTTGTTGTAACATTCAATTTTAGAATCACTTTGACATTCCAAAATAGAAAAAAGAGTGAAGGAGCAGGTGAACGGGTTTCGGGGTTGTTTGAGCAAACTACAAAGGCTGGTAATGTGTTCAGAATTTAAGAAATGTGTCTCACAAATCATGTTTTGAAATTTTGGCACCAAAACCCAGACCGGGATATTTCCAGGTCTGAATGAAACATTGTGAAACGGAATGTTTTCGGGTGACACATCATTTGGGCGGTTCTGCTGAAAAACGATGAGCAATCGCCTCCTCATTCCTCACTTTTCTTTCAGTATTGTGAAAAAGAAGACAAGAAGACAAAAAGCCGACATACGAAAACTGAAAGAAAAGTGTGGAAAGATAGGGATTGGCCGTGGGGCGCGAGACGCAGAGGCCGGGAGTTGCAATGTTGACCCTTCGGAACTAAACAGAGGAAAAGAGATAGAACAGCTTGCCTTCAGTTCCACCAGTCACTTGGCCTAGAGCCCGTGTGGGAGGGAGGGGGGGGGGGGCACTGACTGCCAAAGAGGGACCCCTTCGAGTTATGCAGAGAGTGTGCGCGTGCGCGTTGTCGGCAGTCTTCCTTCCTTCCGCACACACACACACACACATTTCCGCGCGGAACGCACAGGCTCGCGGACGAAGCGCACAGAACAGAACACATAAACGGATATGGCGGGAGGCAAGAAAAGGGGAAAGGAAGAAAGAGCGAACGAACGCGCTGGGTGGTAGTGGTGGTTTTGGATCGGAGCGCAACACAACACAGAATATCTTTCCCTCTCTCTCTCTCTCTTCCTCTCTCCTATCTCTTTTGCCAGTCCCGTTCGTTCCGATCTATTGGACGGGTAATGAGGGAAACCGAGTGCGGCGGTCGGCTGATTTGTGTGTAGCAGGTGTTACCCGGCGAGTTATTATCAAGAAGAAAGCGGATTTAATGGACGGATATTTCGAGAGCTGAATAGGCCGGAGGATGGACACTTCACACATCCACATCGTGTCCCTTTTATATCATGCGTTTTCGATTGGATTCTGATTCGATTCACATTTAGATGATGGCAATCAACAAAATTTGACGGGGTTTTCATTTGAACAAAGACTTGATATCGAATTTGTCTACAGTATTTTTAAGCCCATCAAAATATCATGATGTCACTGTCATTGAGACTTAGCAAGGAAAGTGTGTGGGAAAAAAAAGTCTAATTTAAAACATTTCCGATTGAGAAAAACGTCAAAGGCAATCGTCAACGTGAACAATATTTGCGGGCCGTTCGTCTCTAGAGACTGCCTAATCTGAGCAATCTAAATCTGCCAAAGCTCAACTAAACATCGGTACTAACGGCGATGTTTGATGCTTTCCACGGATAACCGACTACAAAAGAGGTGGCTTGTACATCGAAAAGTGGTAATATTGCGTGAAAAACGAGAAGATACGACGAGGCAATTTGTGTTCTTCAGAGCGTGACTCCGAAACTTGATATCAAAAGTCGACAGAAGAGATATGACCCCATATCTCTTGTGCCCGTCGCCGAAACACTTTTTGACGGCCTTCAGTCTCTCGAGGTGCACTTTCATGGTCGTTATGAAACAATAACAAGAATTTGCTGCAGAAAAGATGATGAACTGGAACCAAAAATCAAAAAGAAAAATGAAGGAATGAGTTTCCTTCTTCTCCTTTTTGTGAGAAAACGTTGAATCATCCACTGTTTTGTCATGAAAGCGCAGGCTCACCCAGCACGGTAAACAGCAAGAAGTGTAAAAAGAAGAAAATGTTCGGTCGCGATGGTTTCCTTCAGAACACAACCAAAGATTTTGCTTTTTTGCCTCTATGCTGTCTTTCTGTGAAAAAAGACGGAAAAATGTCGCGCTGTCGTCGTCGTCGTCGAAAAAATTCAAGAGCGAATTCAAAAACAGCAAGTTTAGGCGTTCTTTTTCTCTAAACAACTGCTCTTCCGCATAGTAAAGAAGCGAAAATACGTACTTGGAATGGGAATTGTTCAAGTGGAAAAAAAACTAGCTTTTCGTCATCTTCTTCCGGAAAATATGAGTCTAGACGTGGAAACTGATACTTTATTGGTGAATAAATTGTTTCGATGATAGTGTGCTCCCCCCAAGAAACGCAAATATTGAACTCGGGAGTAAAGGGAAAGACCGACAATTTTAACAAGTTGTGTGCGAATGATGGACAAATAGAACTGTGAAGTGTTCGCCTCGTTTTCTGACTTTGATGTTAGATATTTTGAGGTAACTCAAGGGGCATACACACCAGAAAAACACTCTAACCCCGATGATTAGGTCGGATTTTAGAAAATTGTTTGGAAATCTGGAGTATCCCGGCATTTTGAGCAGAAAATCAAAATTCATTCAAGATTTTGAAAAAAAAATCTGTTTTTTAACGAAGTGAAACATTTCTAGAATAAAATAGACAATAATGATAGATTTCCGATAAATGATAAACGAGACATTGGTGTTCGTACATAAATGAGAGCATTAGAGATCAGTCATATTCATAAAACATATATATTATTAATATATCACAATGTGGAGGTGAGGGTGAGAAGACGAAGAATGTCAATATCAAAACAAAGGAGAAAATACGATTCTTATTGGATAAATAGCTGTTTTTTCTTTATTTTATTTAAAGAAGAGATCTCTGGGACGGAATACATAGCACTTGATAGAGTTTTGGTTTTGGTTGCAAGTAAAGAAAAGACGAGATAATTGAAGTCAGTCACGCATCAATGTTTGGAAAATTGCCATCGGATTCCAGAATGCGTGCTTCTTCTTGTGGACGCATCCAAGCAATCGCCGGAGCACTCATCTGACTCGCTCTTCTCTGTTTCTTCGCCGACAGTGGCTTGGAGCAATAAAATGAGCCCTGAAACGTTAATATTTTATTGATTTGTTGAGAATACATGTATTTTCTTTTGGAATTTCTATAGGTTAGGTTGCAGCAAACACACACACTCCTACTTTATCTGAAGTTATTTCGAGTTAGTTAAGAAAAAAAACGTCGAGCAAACCATGAAAACCATTCCGAAGCGTTGAGGGGGGGTTAGTAGGTTATTGCAGCCGGAAAACATGCAAAGTAACCTACACATACATCCATCTGATCCAAATCTATGCTCAGATCAATTAGAGGTGGGTCATGCTCCAGAAAATCGGTAAAATGCCACGGAAAGATCGGAAGTGTCGGCGGCATTTTTCCGTCCAACGCGTCGATGACAGTGCGGTCCCAGTTGATTTGATCTGGAAGGATCGACATGGAATTGGAAGAGAAAAAGACGGAATCTTACTAATGAGGTTCTCAGACATTCCAACTCTTCGGCAAACGGTATTTATCAAACCACCCATAGAAAGACGTCGTCCGCCCAACCAGACTGTGATCTGAACAGTTCGAAATGCGTAACTTCCGTTTTCTATTGACGTACCCCCTTGACATTAGTGACTTGTCTTCCGGCATAGTGCACTAATCTGAACACATCGGCGAGCTGCTCGACAAGAGCCGTCGTCAGCCATAATCCGATAGTGATGTAAATGAGAGTGGGGAGCAGGAAGTCCATCCGACGGGGTACTATGTCTCCTAGTCCGATTGTGGTCAAACTCCTGAATGCATAAGTTCATGAATCTACTGTTGAAGTAAAGATGTTCTCTTACATGTAGGAGAAATAGACACTGTCAAAGTAGGTGAGTTGATTTTCCCATAAAGGAATGACGGCGGAACCAATTGCAATGAACACCACAAATAGTCCGGCTACCAGCATGACCTGAACGTTTTTGGATTGTCATACATCAAAGCTCGTCTCATCTAGACCCCCACGTGACCCAGATGGATCGAAAATATAGGGAAAAAGAAAATTGCACAAGAAACCCGACACCTCTTCTTATCCTATGACACCCCTGGCGCCCATCAACAAAAGTTTTGGCTTTGTTTTTGTTTCCCAAGGGATCCTATGTATATACCTCTGCAATTTCACGTAAAAGATGCTCATCGCTCTGCTTTTTCAGCTCTCGTTTTGACACTTTTTGGACTAGAGCCATGATTGCTGAAAATCAGTTTGTTTTTACGCAAAATGACCGAAAACACTTGCCTGTCTTTGAAAATCGTCCTAAATCCGCGATTGTGATGAGAAAAAGTGGAATTCCGAATGCTCCATAAATCATCAAGAACACTTTGCATTGCTGAGTATGCGGAGTGACATTACCGTATCCTAAATTATGAAATTTTCGCTAAGAAAAGTGGGTAAAGACAAATTGACCTATTGTAGTGAGAATAGTGAATGAGAAGAGGACACTGGATGGAAACGTCCATCGTTTCGGCACAATCTGTGAGGTGTGAAAACTGTGAAGAATGAGAATAAAAATGGCAAACCTGGTGTGGTTCATTGAAAATGAGATAATTGTCAAGTGAGATATGAAGATGTGAGATGTTCCGGAGAAACATTCGCAAGTGCTCATTGATCTCAGCGACCTGGAACAGTTGTTGTGTTTTATGCGATATGATGGTTAACAAAGGGCTTTCAAGGTTTTTCAAAAAACTTTGTATGATTATCAGTTTTGGTTTAGAGTGCCTACCTTAAAAGATTGAAACCGATTGGATTGTCCGATCTGAATATATAATGTTTTGAGGAAAAAAGCCCGAAATTCTTTCAGATCAAATGATCGAATTGGTATCAAACTTTCGACTTTAATTGAAGTTGAAACGTTTGGTTCCGATCGGAATATCATCGATCGGCTATTTGCCAGCCCTAACTCATTCAAAAGCGCAACTTACATTCTCGGTAGTAGCCAACTTTGCAATCACATCTTTCTTCAAATCCATTGCAAACTTCCTGAAACAAGGACTGTCCTTCTGCCTACCAAAGTGTCCGTACCTTTGCGTATCATGAAGTTCCGTCTCGTTCTCGCCCTCCAACTGATGGAAAACCCAGGCGCCGGCGAACACGTAACAGACCACAAAACAGTAGAGCGCTAAGTGTCCAAGAGCAATCCGGAGCACATTTCGGAATTTCATCCAGGCACACTTGGCTGAAAATGATCAATATCATGCCCCATCTCACATAGCATTCTTGTTCTTTTTTTTGTCATGTTTCAGTTTCAAACCTCTCGACTCTTTTTTCCTGCCCATAGCTCTCGAGAATATAGAAAAGGTGAGTAGAGGGGGGAGGAACAAGGCAAGGAACGAGAAAAATAAAAATAAAAATAACAATGCCTTGTTCCCCTCCCTGTCCCCGCCCGGACCTCCAAAAATTACGAGGCGCACAAAACGATAATGGGTGAAACGGAGAAGGAGTGTGTTTGGCGAGAGCAACGACAATTTATGAGTGTGGTTTCTATAGAAAATTGACGATTTTTAATACCCCGTTTTGTCTTTCTTTTTTGCTTTTCTTTTCTCCCTTTTCTAAATGACAACAAGAGTCGTACCACTTTTTTGCGCCCCACAACAATCTCGCGCCCGTTTATTACATATTTTGAGTCAATACAATACAAAAAGAGAGGGGCAGAAAAATAAAACGCACTGGTGGTAGGTACAAGTTAAGTTAGAGGGAGAGGAAGGAAGGAAGGGTGCCCGACGAAATTGAATCGAACTTTTCCGGAATTTAGAAGGGAAAGTATGAAATATGGCTTTCGGAGGGTATTTAAAGAGAGAGAAGTACGTGAAAAGTACTTGTGTGGGAAAAGGCGCGAAATAATAAATACTTCACAAGTCTACACCTAGATTTTGAGCCGAACAAACCGTGTCCTGGACACGGAAAACTTACAATTTGTATTAGTACTGGTATTAGTAATAGACGAGTTTTCAGTAGCTGTTTTTCGAGTTCTCACTCCGAACATTTCGAAAATGAAGGGTCACACTGTTACCGCCGAAAAAAACCAAAGTGAAATGAAATGAGGAAAAGAAAAGAGGAAGAAGGTCGGAGACGGCGGCAAAAAGTCAACGTTAACATAATCTCGTATGAAAAATGGGTGGACACGCTCTCGTCCTTTCTCAATGTCACTACGAGAACTTTGCAGTTGAAATGGTTTAACTCTAGCATTTCCATTAGTTTTTTCTTCTTTCGAAGAAGTTCGAGAATAGAGAAAAGATGGGTCATCAACTATTGTCACGCCACTAAGTCGTTTTTGATGGAATGAGGTTTTTCGAAATGGAACAAAATGCATTTCGAATTCAAATTCTTCCTCTTTTCTTTTTCCCATTCTGATTGACATGTTCGAGAAAGTGCGAAAACTAAAGAAAAGGTCGAAACATTGAGTGAAACACTTCATTCGCAAAATGCTTTTCAATCCAAAACACACTCAAAAAACTTCTGGATTTTTCCTTAAAAGACTTACAACAGGAAAAAAATTAAGTTCAATCAAGCGAACCTTTACGTTATTTCCGGATTTTTTTTTCTCAATTTCTCAAATACACCGCGACAAAATTTATTATTTCTTTCCGTGCTCGCCTACCGACGTGCTTTTTGCAGTGGACGACGGTAGAAGTCGCCGGTTTTCCGCTCGGTTGCTCTGGAGACGCTCGCGGAGCAACCGGCGGTGCCGCCATTTCCAGGTGCGTATAGAAGTTGCGAGTGGTGCGAAATCTCATTGGAGTTTAGTCAGAATAACTGCCGCCGCACTTTCATTTCGCTCCTTTTTTCGGAAAAGAAGGAGCGAGAGCGATTTTGAAACGTTCACACGATATAATGTAAATTGATGCCGTCAAGGAAGGCCTGACCACTCAAGAATATCTTTTTGCGCATCCAGTGATGATGCACCATGTGGGGGAGACGAGCGTGTCAATGGGAATGGAAATGGTGGAGACTATACTGGTGCAAGTTTTGCAATTCAATCTTTTGTTTGACTGATCTCGATGTTTGGCATCGTGCTCAGACGGAAAATTAGAGCTCTATTTTGATTCTTTTTACTGTGCTGACCGCAAAAAGATTGAAAAAAATGTTCTCTCGGAAATGTTTTTTGAAAGTTCTTAGCAAGAGGAAGTTTCAAAAGAGAGAGAGAAAACAACTGAAAACTCTTCCTCACTCAACCACCATCACCAATAAAACCCATCTCTTTGTAATTAGGAAAAGCTGGTCCCTTCCCAATTTGAACAAAAAGGATGCTCGAAGCTTAAACTTAACTCACAGGGAAGTTTGAATAGGAAATGAAAACTTGTTTAGGGAAATATTATGAATATTGTTAGGAAACTTGTTAGGTAGAAATTTGGGGTAGAAAACCAAATTCAGGAAATAGTGGTTCGAATTCAGATCCTTGAGACTTTGGCGGACCTTAAACTTCTCCAAGCGTGATAATTGGAGCCCAGAAATTTTCGAGGAAGAAGTTGTAACGCATAGCAAGTCGCGACAACAAAAATCGCCAATAAAACTTTCGAACGAACACTAAACCAAACATCTTTGCGCTGAGAAACAAAAAAAGAGCAAAAGAAAACTTCGGAACAAGAGCAGACTAAGAGTTCATCGCGTGTACCCCCTCCTCGCAGAAGATTACATTCTTTGAGTGACAAAAAACAGAGGCAAAATGAAAATGGATGCATCCCCAATTTTTTTCAGAGAAAAAAATGAGGCGGAAAGAAAAAGTAGGGGTTAGCAAGCGAAACCCATAAAATGGTCATTTGAGACTAGCGATAAAAGCTTATTTCATTTCACACCACCAGATCCCCGAGTGTTTTTTAATCAGTTGAGAATTGAGTTGATCGGGGTCCGGCCCAAAGGCATTTGACGTTGTAATAGTGTTTATGAGGGCGGAGGATATGAAATTGAATACATACTTGAGAAGAAAGGAAATCAGGCGTGATCCCAAAGTGCGAAGTTATGACATTCAAATTTTTAGGAAAGAAATACAACTTACAGTGTTCTTCATCATCTTTTTCAGTCAGAGTGGTATGCGAAATGGGCAAATCTTGAAAAACCATTCCGCCACGACGCTCAATAAACGAACGTTCCAGTGCGAATCTCGGTAGCCAGTCCAGTTTGAAAACGTGATGGAAAATGAAACAAAAGAAGAAGTAAGAGTAAGTCCGGCTCACTCTCACATACTCTCCATAGGTCGGACCAGACAAAAATGTACGTCTTAATTGGATTGTACTCAAAGAAACGCCATAGACGAGAAGCGGCTAAGAAGAAGTGGCGAGAAGAGGGAATGAATCAAAAAAGGGAGGGAGACAAGGAGAAGAAAGTTTTCGTCTTCATTCTCATCAACGAGGCTTCGCACTGTCTCGCGGGAGCTTCAATTAGGCCATTACAGAGCGTGTCTTCATCCTCTTCTCGTGTTTTTATTGCATTATGCGCCTGGACTTGAACTCCTCTCAAACCCGAAGATCTGGGTCTAGACTCTGATGAGTTTGGAAGAACTGATGACTCATCGATTGAAATCTGAAAGTTTACAGCTTAAACATTGTCTAACACACTATTATTAACATCAAAACCAAGTCGCTGCCTGGATTATTAGCCAAGTTACAAGATGTTAGTCGGATCTCAACTTTGCAGACTTTTTAGATTTTGATATCAAGTAGAAAACGGTCAATCTGTGTAATTCTCAGCATCAATTACCTCATTCTATCTGTCTGGCACTTTATTGGACACAGGCTTGCTCCCCGGCTAATGCCGGGTTTCAGTCTTGCTCGCTCTGCTCGCATCTGGAAAGTAATGGTATTCAAGGACCACGAAAAATTGAATTGGTTACCTTGTCCACTTCCGCTTACCAGTGATCAGCAACGTGTCCGTTCGAATTAGTACTTGGTACCAGATATGCCTTTTCGTCCATGTCCTGTCCGGCCAGCTTGGGCAGAGTGTTGCGGGCGGCACGGCGTTGGTGATGTTTCCTCCGGCAGAATCTCCCATCACCACAACTTTTGACGTATTCACACCGAATTGAGCATTACCGTATCGGAGGAAATGGTCAATGGCTTCTTCACAGTTCAAAATTCCTCCGGGGAAGACCGAGGAGAGAACACATTACAACATGCATTAAACACCCTCTCTCACAAAGACAGAAAAAGATAAGAGAAAGAGAAAGATCGACAGTCCGCAATGGAAAAAATACTGGAATGAGTGCTCGTTGCACTACGCCGGCATTCTTTCTCAAGACGGTGATATTGCGCCGCTCTATTGACGTGTTGCAGAGAGCGAGAGAGTGTGTGAGGGGGAGAGACCGATGAGAAAGAGAACATCCGGTGTCTGTAATCGTGTGCAGTGCAAAAGGCTGTCACGACTGAACGAAACGATTTTGGTGGGGAACGTCGAGAAAAGAACAAAATCACGAGCAGTCCGTTCACTGGATGACTAATTTACCGCCGTGAAGTCCACCTCCGCACAGAAATTATGAACGATATTGTTCATCTCCGAGATTTGCCATCTCGCCGGCGATTTCGACCATTTTTGAAGACAAATTCATGCATCGGCTAACATCCCGTACAACGCTCTTCGTGGGACGACCGATTCGCGACCGAGAGAGCGGGAGAGAGTCCTCTTGAGTCATTTCGACAACATCTTCAAGCATGACAGGTATGTTTTGAAAATTGGCATGAACCCTTGACGGTCACGGGTACAAGGCATTTTTTGAAAATTGGCATGAACCCTTGACGGTCACGGGTACAAGGCATTTTTAAAAAATGTTCATATTAATTTATTTTTTTCTAGAAACCGATTTGCCCTGCCACGTCAGCAAGTACATAGTTTCATAAAAGTCCACCACACTTATTACGATGTTAAATGAAATCCTCGTTGATTCCCTCTCTTTTCTATTAGAAGCGGCATGACGTGACGTGTTGCCAAGTAACTATTCAGACGGCCATGTGACACATCGGGCCCATCCAAGTTTTTATTTTCTTTTTTGTCTAGAAACGTACAGCCACCCTCACCAATCTGCTGATTGCTCGGTTCCAATGTCCAGTTTTGCAACAGAAACAGAAACTGTTATCATCAGTCAACCGCGACAGGAATTCGTCACGTAAGTGCAAAACTGAATTTGTGCAGGGCGAGAATTCAATTAGTTGTTCAGATTCATCCCTTTCAAGCCGCCACCACCGCCTCCGAGACCCAATTTGTGCCGCCGAATGTGTTCGAAATGCTGTTTGGTTGTTCAGTATTGTGCTTGTCTTGCAGAAGTCATTTTTATCCTTTGTGATTGTCGAGAACTTTAAATTTACTCTTATAATTCTAATAAATTTAAAAATCATGATCTCACGTTTCTCTAAAATGTTTGAAAAGTTGTCTCGAAAAATGCAAAAAAGTAGGTCCTGGCCGGGTTCGAACCGGCGACCTTCTGCGTGTGAAGCAGACGTGATAACCACTACACCACAGGACCTCACGGCTGCTCTTCCTCCTGTTTGCCGTTTTGAAGGCGGCGGAAAAGAGAGAAGGAGAGAGAAAGAGACACCGCTCAAGTTTTTTGTCAAGAAAAGAGAGATACGACCACCATCTGCGATTTCGAACCGTTGCCCTTTTCCTGTGAATCATTGAAATTGATTTGAAACCGTGAATTTGCACACTCTTATCAACGCTTTTAACAATCACAAAGTCTTAAAGCAATTCAGGAACATAAATCGTTGTATATTTCAGTGATTTATTGACACTTGTGAATATCAGAATGAAAATGTATCACAGAATTAAAATACATTAAAAAGAAAAGAGACAATTAGTAAGGATAGTTAGATACTTGAGCTCCTCGAGTTCCAATTTTGTTCTGAATTTTTATCGCGTTGTACTTCTGGATTGTTTCCAATGAACGCTTCTTTTTGTATTTCCGCTCGTAGCTGAAGCATGTTCTGAAAAATTGATCATTAAAGAGGTGAGGAACTCGGCAAAAACTGAAATATTAAACTCACGAGCAAATGATTTTGGTGCGCACATTCTTCCATTGCTTTGCGTCGGTACTGCTGCAGCTTGTGCACACTTTCAACGATTTTCCAGTTGTCTTCTCTGGGAGAACGAGTGGAGCAGAAGCAGTTGTTGCTGGAGGGACTGGAGCAAATGTTGTTAGTGAAGGATCATTGGTTGGCACGGAAGATGTAGATGGAGACAGGGTTGGTGTTGGGTGAAAGGAAGAGAAGTCAGTTTTCGGCGGGGCACTGTAGTAGGGCCACAGAAGCTGGTATTCAGTCTGACTATTGTAGTAGTCATTCCAGTTATACGCAGCAGAGGTGAAGGCAGTCGGCTCAAAAATTGAAAAAGGATAGGAGCAGTCCCATTGAGGAACAACTGAAAAGTCAGTGTTTATAGGGAAATCGGGATTCATTGCCATTTGAGGGGCAGAAAATGGATGGGACATTCGAGTAGACTTTGTTCGATTGAAGAAAGATTCGGATCTGGTCGAGAACGGTACTCTGAGAAACAGACTCCACCTAATTTCAGATGTCATCATCGATAGGATCGAATAAAGATGAACCAAAAAACGATGATAATACAGTATGGATGAGTGGTCCAAGCAAAACGATGACTTTTTGGATTTGTAATCATTTGCTGAGCTGTGCTGTATAATAATTATCGGAGAAAAACAAGTGATATTCATCAGAATTATCTCTCCCGGAGAATCGGAACTAGACAATTCCAAAGGAATGTTCAGGGACTTTGCAGAAAGCTATCGACGGAAGGAAGCATTTGGGAAATAATCCGCCGCGAGCTTTTTCTTTTGAAATTAAAAAAGTTTATCATACGGTAATCTTTTTCACTCACTCTTCGTAGTCTTTTTTCAGTGCTCCACTGACCGTGTCTGCATCAGTATTCCAAAGTTCTCCATTTAATTCTGGCAATAAGAGGTACTCTGGCCGGAAATTCATATTACATTATGTTATCATTATTGAATCCCATTGATAAGCAGTGGGATGCTCAGAAATCGCAAAATCCTGACAGACTACCACGTCCTTGTGGTATACTGCCAGGTTTTTGGAGAAGGCGGCCGACGGAGTTCCTCCGAAAGGGCTAATTGAATGTGACCTAATGAAACACAACTAGAGGGATATATTATGATCATTGAATCCTATTGATAAGCAGTGGGATTCTCAGAAATCGGTCCCCTAGGGTTTGAGAATGGTTTCTCTACAAGGACATCCAGTGCAACGAAGGGAAGACGACACATCCGTCAGTTTCTTGTAAAACTACTCTACAATCAGTCATTCTGAAAAGAACATCTGATTCCTCTAAGATAATTAAACGCCACACCAAATGAAAGCAACGAGTCACTGAACCGATTTTTCCATTCAATGACCACGATTGTCTTATCTGGTGCCTAGCGGAGCAGTATCAGATGTTTTGGATATAACTAGTTTTAATCTGAGAGCAAGAACAATAAAACCCACATTCAGCTGAAAATGTAGAGAACTATCGACTCTGTGTTGAATGCTTGCATTCGAAATCGAAAATCATTCAATTCTTTATCACCCTTTTTCTGAATCCTCTTGGCACGGTGCCATGACGTTTCGAAATCCAAATCGTTCTTTTCCATCGGAGTCCTTTGTCGGCGTCCTTATCACTAATCTCTGTTCGGAAGGACTGAAAGAAAAAAACAATCACTTCACAGTGTGTCCCACTAGTGCCTATAAGCGTATTCCAGTTCGGCTGTGACGATGGCTCATTGGTGGTTTTTTAAAGTGCTAGACACTTTGAGTCTGAATACGAAATTCAAAATTTGAAATTTTTGGGACAGTTTTTTGCGTCACGTGAGTTCCGCAAATGCGAAGAACGACGACAATGTATTCCGTGTTCTTTTGACAACATACCTTACGCGCATTGCAAAGGGACTCTTTCAAAAGTGCTCATTGATTTTTACCGCGCAACACTTTTTCCGCTCGGATACTCTTATTAGTGTGCAATCCCTTTATTACAGTGAGTTTTTTATTGTGAAAATCTGGAAATTGTTGGTTACAATAAGAGAAAATCTCAAAAAAAAAGATTTTTTGTTTCCATGTCCGCAAGCACCATCACGCACAACTGCAGAGCTCGCTGTGTGCCAAGATTATTCAAATTGTCTTTTCATATTCGAAATTCGCTTTTTTGGTGCAAAATTAGCAGTAAAAGACATAAATTATTCAAAAAATTTATTAATTTCATTCAAGTTGTTTAATGAACCGGATTTCAGATTCTCCCACTTTTCTCGTGTCGTCACTCATTTTGTGAATCGTTGTTTCGTGTCGATGGTCAGCAACTGTTAAAGAATTCGTACATGCAACAAAATGAGAAGGTCGATGAGGTTGTGAACATGATATTTTACTAGAATTTCCTTTTAGCTGAGCAACGGATTCGTCAAGGCCATCATCGAAAGGACGTTGAAAATCGGAATCGCTCATTGACCTCATCCACAACGGATCCCCCACTAATGTCGCGGCTAGAAACTGAACAGAAGCCTTCGTCTTCTCCTTTCTTTTTTCCTACTTAACACGATCATCGATGGAGTCATCTTTATCGTCAGAGAGATTCTTCAGTCTGCCTGGATGGCCGGATTGAACGTCTCCGACGCTTCCGCTCCCTTACTATGTCCTTTATCTCCATAAATACTACTTCTTTGTTGGCAAGTGGTAAGAAAGGTTTCGGCAGAACCCCCATTGAAACGATAAAATTTTGCAGGTTCTTTTGCCTCGCCCTTGTGCAACGAAATCTTAGAAATCTCTGGACAAGGTAAATATCTTACTCAAAGCAGGAAAAAAATTGTTATGTTTTCCAGATTACGGTTGACCATCACTCTGATTAAATGGTTACATCGCTGACCGTCCGGATCTCTCTACCATCATCGTCATCCACGTCAACCTCATCCTGTCTGAGCTATCTACCATTACCATTTTATTCTACACGAAGAACTGACACTTCTGACCGACACAGGACAAGCGCTGAAGAGTCTTCTGAAGATTGTTGAGAATTGAACTGATGAGAATGATGCGGATGAGCTGGCCACGATAGTGGAGCACGCCTATCTGTCTTCCTTTTCTCGTACCAAGAGTTTCAGGTTGTGATGACTCGCGCTAATGTTGTCGTTCAGAAATCTCCGTTTTCTTCTTGTTGATTCTATAAATTTGTTCAACGCTTTCCCAGTCCCCTTGTTGCTACCTATTTTCAACTGTTTCTCGCAGTTCTTATATCTCACGTTGTTTTATTTTGCTTTTGTTCACAATCAAATTTAATTCAGATGAGCCATAAAAGATCGGCGGATATGAAAATGGACGATGAGAACTCGCACAAAGCGTCCAGAAAAGATACGACTCTACAAGGATCGAGTTTGGAAGAGCTGAAGGACGGAAATCAGAATGTGGAGGCCAGCGAAAATAAGCAGCCGGAGACGGAAGTGATCAGTTCGGGAGGAGAGAAGCAGAAAGAAGAAGAAGGAGCCGTGGCCGTCGGAGTGGAACTAAGTGAGGAGCAGATTAGCAGAGCGTTGAGAATGGAGAGCGGCGAGGATAACGAACTGGAGGAGAGGTCAGGAAGTTTGGATCAACTTCTGCCGACTATCCGAAAAAGAGATGGACCAGTGAGCAATGAAGACTTCCGGAAGCTCTTTCTCGCCCTTTGCGGTGATACTGGTGAGCGGTATTCTCTAGAAGTTGTTTCAAATGATTGTACAATTTCAGGAAAGGAATATGACTCGGACGATTCGGAAATCTCGGATATTATGGACGAGAAAGAAGCAGAAGAGAAAGACGTGAGAATTCCAGACAGTCAGAAAGTTTCTAATCACTTCTCGTTTGCAGAGAAATTTCAAAGAGTGCATGGAGTCGATCAAGACTATGGACAAGGACTACGCACATATCAAAGCACTTCTGAAGATTGGAAATGAGACGGTCGAGGAGAAAGAGGCAAGACGACGTGCTATGAGAGAGCTGAAAGAGGGTCTGACGACGGACGAGCAGAAGGAAGCTGCGGAGAAGAAGTGGCAGCAGAAGAAGAATCGGCAGATCGAAAGAGTCAAGGAGGTGGTGCAGGTGTTCTCGGACGAGGACTGTCCGAAGAATCTGTCGCTTGTTCCGTGCAGAGTCTTCGGATCGCTTCTCGAAGCAATGACTGACCTTCTTCCGAAAGACGACGAGTCCACGGAGTACGCTGCGACGATCGCGGCGATTGACGAGCAAGAGTTGACAAAACGTATCAATTACTACAGTATAATGTGCCACTTCCACACGGAGGGTAAGACCGTTGAGAAGTTCCTGAAGAAGAAAGCGCGCAAGATTCTGAAGCATCCCGCCGTCATCGACGTGGTCAATTCCAAACGATACGGATTCCATTTCAACACCAGAAGTAAGCAAATTTCCTATTAGCCCTATCATTTGCAAATTTGTATTCCAGAAGCTCTTCTCGCTCTTGAAAACTACTACACTCTGAACAAGCCGATCCCGGACGACGGATCTTCCGTCCTCGATCTCGGAATTTTCATCCAGAACCTAGTCAAATCGGCCTTCCACGTGGAACGAGACGGAAATAAGAATTTCAAGCTCAACGACACCTTGAAAATGACTCTTTTTGATTTGTAGATCAACTGACACAATTCATTGTGTTTCCTCGTGTTTCCCGAACTGTGCCCAAAACGTTCTCCAGATTTGATCATTTCAAGTATTCGTCCCAATTTTTGTGTTCACCATTTATCTGATGTTCCTCTCGCTTTCCTTTTCCAGAAATGTCCTTATCCCAAAGTTCGATGCCAAGACCAAGGTGCCACTTGAACATCTCCAGTGAAAAACCAAATATCGCAAGAACTGCTTTAATTCATCTTCAGGCTTTCTCTGTTTCCATGATTTGTTTTTTTTTCGCACTTATCCGTCTCTATGTTCTTTGTGGTTCAGCCGTGTTTTTTTTTGTTTTCCTGTAAAAATCATGCACGCGGCTCTTGTTCCCAGTTCTTTTTCCACTTCATGTTCTGCTTGAATTTTGATACATTTATTTTGAGACTTACAGCTAAATTTGACGGAAACTTTATTTTTTGTGTCACTGTTCTCCTAGAATATCTTTCAAATTCGATTCTTGTGCAATTTAGCCCTGTTAACAATCTTTTGCAGGAAAAATAGGGGATCACTTTGGGACTTTCATTAGAGTCCGGTGGAGCACCGGACTTTTTCGCTGTTAATGTCGAAGAAACAGCCAAGAGGACTCCAGAAGGTGCTTAACGGTCCTTCGAATGCATCTATCTAATTTAGCTGATCGAGGTGGACGCCGTTGCAGATATGCCTGTGAGGGACCTGTCTGACTGTATTGTTGTTGCTGAAATCAGAGGATCCCCGGCCTTAGTGAGCAGAACGCTTTATACGTGAGCTTTTTGGAGTTTTACATCACCGGAAAGTTTTATAACGTGAGTATTTCCACACATAATACTAGATTCTCATGATATACCTTTCAGAACATTCACGGATCCATCTAAACATCGACCGTTCCTCGACATTTCGTGCAGCGTCGTCTGTCGTCGACAAGCCTCTCTACAAAATTGATCATAGCACCCGTCGGATTATTTTGACTTCGACATTGTCCCAAACATCTACCTATTGTACCTTTTGGACTCAGGTGGAGCGTGATTGAAACTAAACGATCATGTTCGCGATGTTCAACGATGTGGTTTGAGAGTTTGTGAATTGGTGGCTTGGAGTCTCCACACATCACACAAGATTTATGTATATGAAATGCATTGCAGCACTGTAAGGGATACGTCAATAGCAAAGGCAAGCAGAATATGTATCTGAACAAGGACACTTCACAGGAGAAGCCGTGATGGACGTCGGACAGGACCATTCGAGTCTCCTGGACCGCTAGCTTGTCGGATGCTCCTTGCTTTCTCTGGAACCGTCCATCTTTGATCGACGGTATAGCCGATTAGGATGCGGTTACATTTTTTACCGTCTGGATGTCGTCGTCAACAACATCGCACTCGTCCCCGTCAGTCTCGGATTCGCCTTGAGAAAGATGGACAAGTCTCTCCCAGATTTCATTTTTTATATTGCTCTCGTTTTGTTTTAATTTCTGTTGAACTACTCGCTGATCTTGATAAATTAGCAGGAGATTTTCAGCCCAGAATGTAGATATCCATATATTTTTCAAGAGGTTTCTCTTCTACCATTACTTTTGTCTTCAATACTTTCCGTAAATTCATCAGGACTATTGGCAAAGTCGTCTGAAAGGATGGGAATAGCCCATTATCTCGCGTGGATGCTCTCTGCACCGACTCCGCTATCAAAATTGTTGCTAGAAGCTGTATCGTCAACCTCATCGTGAGTATTTTTCCTCGGAATCCCATAGAAAACTGTACAGCAGCAAAAAGACGATGTCAGTCGGAAAATCCGTTCACAAAACAAAATGGTCTAGGTGCTAAGAATCCAATTTCCGTTTTCAGACGCCAAAAGAAAACATATCGTTGTGAATGTCGCACGTCTGAAGTTTTTTCTGGGATGATATCATCTCAAAACACTTACGAAATCGTGCCGACTGGGTAGGCTATAGAAAAAATAAAGTTGCAGCCTAATTATGATAATTTGAAATAGAACAAGGCGCAAAAGTACTTCTAACAATGTGAATCGACAGAAAAGCCATCCGTCTCGACTAGAATCTCAGAATATCTCTTTTTTCCCATCTAGTCCCTCCTGCTCATCCTATTTGCTCAAAGTTGTCAAGAGATCACTTCCACGGCACTGTTTATTTGTTAAGATACTGTTCCTCATCCTTGTATTACACATTCCTGCATGTTCTCGATGACATCTATTAAGGACCACGACTCGCGTGTGACCAACGGAGGCCTCCCTCTTTGCAACGAACTGTATGCCCATTGATGGTTCGTCTGGTTGCACAATAATCGATGAAGAGAGATAGAGAGAGAGAGAGAGGGCCCAGACATCTCAAGACAACAGGTGCCATTGCATGTGACTAAACACAAACCGACTCGCCGTGCCCACTCGCAATCAACCATCCCGTCTAATCGTCTGCCAGACCCCTTCTCCTCGTCTTTCCTCGGCTTGTTTTTGTCTGGAAAGAAAAACAATGGATCGCCTTCCGTTCACACCGTCGTATTCGAAAAACACGATCCAAAATGTTGACGCACAGGGTATGTTTCTATTTTTTTTTCTCCGCCTCTTCCTCGCCATTTCTTTGTCTCTAGACAATCGTTTCCTTCCCTTTTTCAGCATCTCTCTATTTCCTGGACGGCAAAGCGTCACCACAAAGCTTGTTGGAACTGGATAACAACAGGTTGGCCTTCTTCCTCATCCGCTGCACATCTGTCTGCAAAATGACCCCTTCAGAAGTGCCTGTGTGAACGGAATGTCTTCTTGCAGGGACATGAACGAGAACACGACACCGAGTAACAACAGCATGTTGGACGAGAGCATTTTGGCCAGCTCTAAACACAATTCGACGATGGATTTGCCAATTTCCGCGCCGTCCTCAATTGCAAGAGACCGTGTCCTGGCTTCGAGCACTCCGAAAGATCAAGGAGGAAAGAAACGTATGTTTTTTTAGAGCAGGGTAGTTCTCGGTAGTTTTCTAAACTTGTTTATACTGGTATGTATTGAGACCGACCGAATAGTTAGATGTAGAGAAATACATAAGTAGCAGAGTCCGAATATTTCGATCGGTCTGAAACTTAGACCCAATACATCAAAAAGCCGGGGCTGCCCATTTTGTACAGTTGATCTTTTCAATGTAGGCAACGTCCAGAATCAGTACGTATGTTTTGGTGTGACTAACAAAAATCAATTGTGGAAACTGCCAAAAGTTTTGTTTGTGGGGATGGAAAAAGTGATTAAGCTGGCTATACAAGGCCCCATACGTCTTGCGTTCACACAAAATTAACTTTATTAAAAATCTGAATTCTTTCAGTACCAACTCTGCCGTATCCGGAAATGAGCGTCAGGCGGGAGCCTGTGCCCACCTACGAGTGTGCCGATCGTCGTCTCCGCTTTCGGTCCCAGCGGATGCGAAATCAGTCCGATTCGTATCCCCACCCCAGAGAAAGATCCACTCGCAGCACAGAGGAACCTGTCCGCCCGGCCAAGAGGCTCTTCGATCCGTTCTCCAAGGAGAATATTGTGAGTTTTTTTTTCAAATTTGCAAGCGTATTAATGTGAGTCCGGTGAACTGACACAAATCAATTGTTTTTTGTAAAGTAACATAGCTTATTTATCAGAAACTCCTGGAAGAGCAAAGAGCTGCCGAACTGGCATTGGAAGAGCGCTGGAAGATGGAATCTGAAGACAGAAATCGCGCACGCAATGTGGCCTTTATCAAGAATCTGACGGAACTTCTCTTCTCGCTCTTCATGCCGATCTACCAACTCTTCGTCCTTCAAGAAGTGATCCCAGATCATGCTTTTTTCTTCTACCTCACCCAAACTCTGAACACCTTCTACGTCATTGCGTTTTTACGGACAAGCAAACTCTTTTGGAAAATCTCCATCTCCAGTCTTATCCTTGTCGCTGGTACACAGTGGCTTCTCGGCTGGTCTTTCGATGTTTTCACATTCTTTGACACGACAATAGTGGCACGATCACTGCTTCTTGTCCTTCGAAGAGTCTGCATGTATTTCTTGTAACGCCTGCACGTCATCGCCCTTTCCCCGTCCGTCTCCGGCCTGAGACCAAGCCACGTATTGTCCATCCAGTCATTGAATTTTTATTTTTTATTTCTTACGATTGTAAACCGTTCTTATTAATTTGTACAATTATTAACGAAATAATAAACTTTAAAAAGGGATTTGAGATTGAGATTCGGGTGATTAGTTTTCATGAGGAAGTTGGCGTGATGATCAGCAGTCTCCAAAGTTGACCACATTCAAGGCGTTCATTTCTTTCTTGGAGATTCTCTGAAAAAAAACATACATACGCCTCAGATGTTTCGAAGAACGTACCGATTTCAAGTATTTTTGCAGTTGCTTATCCGGATTATCAAAGAACTCCTGCGGATCACGGACAAGAAGTGCCACGTCTTTGCAGTCTCCTTGGCTGTTTGTGACCAACATGTGCTCATAAACAGACGATTCGCCACCGGATCGGATCACGCAGACTGAAATTGAACAATGAAGAATAACTCTTGAATGTAGTTTTCTTACATGGGAAGCTGAAATTCTCGCCTTGGAAGTCAGCCATTTGAACTCTGACCGACTCGTGGTCCATGGTCAGAGCACTTCCACGCAGGCGGAACAGTTTCGGGGCTCCTTGATTTCTAAACTGCCAGATAAGTCGGGCATCTTGAGCGGCAACTGATTGTTTTCCGGCAGAAACGTCGAATCTAGAGCAGGTAAGAGGTTCCGATTTGTCCAACAGCTCGTTGGCCTTCTGCTGGACCATATCGACAACATTTGGAGAGGCCAATGCCATTAACCACTTTCCGTTCATTTTGTCCAGAGAAATCTTTTCGCAGTTGCATTTGGACACAAACTCATCGCTAAAATAAAGTTTTTTTAAGAGCCTGAAGGTCCGAACTGGACGAACTCTTCTCTATCAACTGAAGTGCTCGGTGGGATGACTGGGGTCGGGTCAGTAACCACTGGAGTAGGCGAGTAACGGATATGTTTGCGGAGGGCGCTGCTGATCTTGGTTGGAGGCGGCACTGGCATCATTTGTTGTTCCATAATATCTTCTCGCTCCTCGGCAAGTTTACGTTCGTGAGATGATGATGAAGAAGAAGAAGAAGCAGAAGCCACTTGGAATGATGGAGGCTCGGCTGTAGTTGGGAATTCAGTGGTTGGAATGGCTGGTGGAGCTGGTGGAGCACCCTGAAAAGAGATAGAGAGTGAGAGATATGCTCGGCCCCAAAGATTCTTACCAAGTTCTCCAACTGCAATTCTGCTGGAAGTGGAACTGGTGCTCTCTGCAATAAATATCCGTATTCCTGCCACGCGTCCGAGTACTTACAGGTTGGCTTGGTCCGAAAGAGCTATGCCAGCTGCTTAACTGCTCTCTGAGTTGCTGTTCCATCTTCTGCTTGGCGTCTTCTAGTTCTCGTTCCTAATCAGTCAAATTAGAAACCTCTAAAGCAAAAGCCCGCCTACCTTCTTTCGCAACTCTTCCTCCATGATTTTCTGCACTTCAATTCGCTTTCTCTGCTCTGTAAGCTCTGTCTGGAGCACTTCCAGCTGTTTTCGTCTAGAAAGCAACTCTTTGGTTTGAAGAGTTTGTTCATAGGTTTGAAGAATGTTTTGAAGACGTTTCACATCCTGAAAGATCCACATTGAATTTTATAATGCAAGACAGTTTAGGGAAGCTCACATCAACATTGAGTCCATAGGCTCCTTTAGTACGGAGATTAGTGACCACCTCATCAATAGCAGGATCCAGAGATTGAACGAATCCTGGTGGTCCAAAGTCCATGGCTCCTCCGCCTACAGCTCCAGTCAACGAGTTTCTGAGAGGTTCCGAACTTTCGAATCTCTGCGGGGCTCTTCTCAACAAATTATTCACTTCAGCCACTCTTCTAGGATCAATGAGGTTCATGTCTAAAGAGTTTGCAATATCCGGGTTCGATCTCGGTCCTTCGGGCATAACCGGTCCATCCCGCTGTTTCAACCTCTGCAACACAACATCCGCAATGTTCTCCGGGCTCAATTGAGTTGTAGTAGTTGGTGGAGCGATGGTGGTGTAGCCCAAGTTCTCCAAATGGTACTTTCTGGCGTATCTATCCCAGTCCTTGACCTCAACACCGTCAATAAACATTTTCCTGGCAGTCGTTGAGGTTGAAGGGGCGCTGGTGCTGAAAACGAGTCATATTGCACTAAGCGTAAAAAGATTCGTGAAAAAAACTTACAAAGCATTCAGGAAAGTGAAAGCTGCTCCGGCAGTAGCGTCACTCGTGTTCAGACCATTTGCAAGATTGATAGTCTTGTCCAAAGCCGTTTTGTTAATGCCCAAGTCATGAAGAGGCACGCCCATATTCTCGGCAACTCCGAGCGGGTTCACAACGAGCTGACTCAAAAGTCCATCTCCCAACATGCTCGAGACCATTTTTCTGAAAATTACAGACTACCGCACATTTCTACTATTGTCATTCCCTTACTTCAACTCATCCGGTTTGCCCTCCATTTGTCCTTTGATGACATTTGGAATTTGCGGCAGAGATTGTACCAATCTCTGCATAAGTGCCGGCTTATCGGTACCTTCGTCTTCCGCGCAACCTTGCCTGATTAGGAGTAATAATATTAACGCGACGTGCTTCATTAGGCCTATAAAAGTTGGTGATAATGAAGGGGAATTGGGTACTACAAAAGCGGAATGCGCGAGAAAGGGAAAATGAAGGTGAAAGAAGGTGAGATTGTTTCAAACGGCGCTGAGGGCGTGGATGAAATCGCGAAACAAGGAGAAAGTAGACAGGACGTCCGCAAATTAGGTCGGTATCAATTGAAAGCGCGGCACTAGGTCAATTTTCCGTTTCGTTATCACCATATCTCTTCTCGGAACAATCCCCTATAAGGAAACTTTTTCTAAATCCTCAAGTTTTTGTCGATCCCTTGAATGATTTTCAAAGATATACACATGTCATCACAAAGGGATGGCTTCATTTCGATACTGATTAGGATTAGCTTATCAACATTGAAAGTGTGGAGAAAAAAAAAAGAAATGAGAAATAGGAGGACGTACAGGTTGCGAAAGTGTTTCCATCATTTGAATGGAAATGGAACATTGAAAAGCAAAAACGCAAGACAAAAAAGTAAGAATCAAAAGGGTCAATCACATGGAAAAATGAAACAGCTAATTCATCTCAGAAAATGGATGAAACATTTTGGGTGTCTGGATTGTAGAGAGATTTGACCTACAATTCAGCTCAAAATAATGGGGAAATGGAAACATTCTAAATAATACAAATACAAATTATCATGTCACAAAACAGTCTTTAGGACAAGTGAGTTATATTTCCAAAAAAAAAAAGAAACATGGAAATGGAAAATGGGGGACTCGCAATCAGAGATAGAATATAATTACAGACAGAGAGCGGAAAAAGAGTGGGAAAGGGTGTCATGACGCACGGGGATTGGTTCCTAGAGCATTGATGGATGGGTCTACACGTTTGATGATTCCAGAGAACTCGTTTCTCCAGCCTAAATACGCACAATTTTTGTTTCATGAACTTTTTAAATGAAACTCACCAAAGTCGGATACTTGTGAGTCAAAATTTGTGGGCACAGCAGCTCCTCCGGCTCCAGACAGATTTCATTCTTCGTCTTCTTTCTGGTCAATGAGAATCCCTTCTTGACAACCTGAAACTCTCACAATTTGTTCTCCCGTCGCCCATTCGCTTTCAATACCTTTACCCTCCCGGTCGGTGAGATTTGTGGATAATTGCCGGTGGCCAGGAAATCGCGTTTATCGGCGATGATCTTCTGTCCGAGAAGCTGGTTGAAGTGCGACGTGAGGTGACGTCTCAGCAGCGTCTTGTGCGGCGGCATCTGCAGAATCTCGGCCAGCGATTCGGCGGTGAATGATGGTTCGTAGATCTGAAACGGAGATTTGTGAGAGTCAGTCAGTAGGACAAATCAGATCGAATCTCACCATCAAGGCGCCAGGGACTCCGGCACAGAGAAGGTTCGGGGTGAACTCGGCGAGGTCGATCTTCCGCAGCCATTCACATGTTGCCGAGTGACTCCACCGCACAACCACGTCAGGGCACGGGTACTTTTCAATAATGTTCTGGAAACAATACCTTGCTACAGTAATCTTCTCTGAAATGCTCACCTGATCCATCCTCTTCTCCATGGCATCAAAACGGAAGTCAGTTCTCTTCAAAAACTGAATACTGCGTGCCAATGTCGCGTAATGATGAGCGTTCACCACTTTCATTTCGACCGCATCACTCGCCGTCAGCGCTAACAGCAACGGTCCATCGACCACATTCTCCGCGAAAACCTCCTTGTACTGCGGTAGGCCGATATCATCCAACCAACGAAGAGTCTGATGGACATCCCACTTGTTCGCCGGTTCCACAATATCCTCCTCGATTCTCCGCAACAAAATAGCCACTCTCTTCCTTTGCACCGGGTTCTTGATGTTCAGCAATCCCTCGTATTCACCCATGCTCATGTTCAAAAAATGTCGGCCACTTCGGACATGTCTGGCCACCTCGTTGCTGTATTGTGGGTATCCGATCTCGGCGATCCAGTCGGAAAGCTGCTCGGAACGCCAATCCACAAACTGGGAAAGTGGAGGCCGTTTTGGAACACTTCCCAGATGAGTAGTGGACCCCAATCTGGCCGTCGAGGTAGATCGGATGGTGCTTCCACGTCGGAAAGAATTGCTTTGATCTTGCGAGGTAGAACGAGTGAGTTTGCTGAAGATGTTCCGCAGAGATGATCTTGTGCGTTCACGCGAGAAACTTTTGAGATTCTGCTGCGAGGTAGTGTTCAAACTACGCCCTCTCGCGATTTCATCATCGGATTCAACTGAAACAAAAGGTTTTTGAAGAAAAATGCACTGGAAATTCGAAAAAAGGAATTGGTTAATGTTGTTTTCTCAGTTAAAAAGCTTGCTCTTGGATTCGAACGTGTGGGGGGAGTGCAAGGTAAGCGAAAATCAACCAATTTCTTTTCAAAACACATAAAAGTAGGAAGAGAACGTTACCAAGGACAAATGTGGACCGGATTCTTGATATCTGATTGAGAAAGAGAACAATAATTGTTAGCGGATATTACAACGAACGCAAAATTTTTCGGTTTGAACATAAGGAAATCAAGTCAGACACAAACTCTTTTCTTTTGCCTGTCTGTTAAAAACGTGAATGTTAGAGAATGTCAGAATGCCACGCCGAACAAAAAACAGTGCCGTCATTCTCGCTCTCTACCTAAATTCGGCGCGCTTATCGCCCGCTTATTCCGCCGCAGTTTTTCGTTGATCCATCGGTTCATTTGTGCTCGGTAAGTTCGTTTGGGCGTCGGCTGAGCGACAGAGCTCATCGAACCGCCCAACTCACCGGCTGATGCTCCCGACGCGACCGACAGTTTCTTCGCAGGTAGTGTCAATGTGGATGATGCCTGGAACATTGATTGTACCACTTGAATAAATCTGTTTGAAAGTGCTCTTACCTTTCCTACACCTCTAGGCAAACTGGCAGAGGAGTAGTTATTGTGCGCCGCAACTTCGTTTCCGATCCTTCGAAGCTCATCAAGCTCAGCAGCCAGTTGCCGTGCAGCCGGAGAGGAAGGAGAACGGTACCTGCAACAACAATTTTTTCTATAAAAAATCAAATGATTCTCGTCTTACTGTGTAGCCGAAACATTGTTGACCCGTTGGTTACCAGTCATTGGATGCAAGTGACGTGGTGTTCCAGCACCAGCCGACGCCCAATTATGCTGTGGAGAGACCGCAGATAGAGATGAGTTGTAGGAAGAGGACGATTGCACAGTGCTCCGCGGTGCCTTACCGTTGCTGTTGTTCGAGCTCAAGCTCACCGGGAACGAGGTGGAGTGCGACATGGAGTCACTGGGCTCGTCCATCAGAATCCGTCGGATCTGTGCATTCACATCAAACGTGTCATGGCCGTTGTAGTTGCGTTGTGCCGCATAGAAATCCTCCTGTTGCGATCTGGACCGCATCTGCTCATCAAGCGCACTTCGCAGCGAGTTGATCTGATGGGATTTGTGCTCATTGTCAGCAATCAGCCGTTGCACAGCGGTTCGGAGCTGCGCCATCTCCTCATCATGCTTCTCGCTTCTGTGCTCACGGAGTGGCGCCATGTAGCCTCCAGAAGCATGACCGTTGTTGGTATGGTGCTGAAGTTGTTGTTGGACCACCATTCCGTGCATTGACTGGTTCACATGATCCATTTCGCTCTGAAAGTCAAAGTTAAAGAAATGGAATTTGATGGAAACTGCACGACAAACACGAAAACATGCTACCGTAGTATTATGAAAGAACTTGTGAACCTAGTGCAAAAAAGACCAGCAGATCCATTAATGAAGAGTGGGTATTTAGTAATGGAACGAAAGGATGGGGTTTAGTGAGATTAATAAAGTGCACAGAACCAACCACATTATCCGCCCATTTTTCCCCTGACCCTTCTCCCCTTTCGGCTAATTTTCCAAGAATATCATCCCCCCATCACACGGACCTGTGAGAGACGCAGCTTCTTCTCGGTTTCGTTTTTCTCACGCTCCAAAGTGGCGTAACGCAGTTTGAGCGAAGACACCTCGGCCAACAAGTCCATTTTCTTCGACTCGAGCTCTTTGCACTCATCGATACGATGGTACTTCTGTGGAAAGTGTGAGTGAGGTGGTTGCAGAGTTTGTGGGAGATTTTTGAGAGAGAATAACATTGAAACATTAAAAAAGTTGAGTTGCATGGTGAAATTAGATATTCTAAACAGGGAAAAGTGTATTTACATCTTGAAGAAGTTCTTCGGTTGACGTCAGGTTGTTCCTTTTCAATGCCAGCACGGTTTCCAAGTCTTTGATCTTCTCTTTTTGCGCCCCAACTTGTTCGCTTAGCACAGATACCTAAATAACGTTTGTATGGGGGTCATGAATTGAATACGGTACCTGAAGTTGCAAACTATCTCTGGCCATTGCCAATCGATGCAGTTTGTCCTGTAACTCGGGATACTCTGGGCACGAAACCGTTGACATCGAAGGCGATGGGCTCTGAAAACAAAAGATGACGTTTTTCGAACAGAACGTTGATTTTGCACACAAAACGAAAATCAAATCAAATCCACACTCTCATGCTCACCGCATTCTTCAACTTGACAATACATACACACACACACGACATAAGACAACACAACGTTCTTTTTTTTAAAAATATTTTTCACTAGACCTTCGATTTGGCCCGTCTTTGTGCCATATTTGATGCATATTATTATATCCTCCGCATTTCGGATCGGATGTTACAAAACTGAAATGTTTTTTTGGTTTTCGGGAGTTTGGAGCTTTGGTCGAAGCAAATGATATCAAGAAAGAATAAAGCAGAAAATGGTGGATATTGTAGATGTGGCAACGTCAGTAGTTGTTTGCTCAAACTGAATAATTCCGCAACGGACACGATATACGTATCCGATTGGATTGTTTGCTTTGCTTTTCAATCGCCCCAAACCAAAACGGGGATAATAGAAGATGAAATGTGTGGGATTGCTTTGCGTTCATCTCCAAAATGTCAACCGCCCTCGTCATCCACCCCCAGCACCGGATAATTATCTCTTCTTTTTGCTCTAGAGGGTCCCCTTTTCTGCCTTTTTTATGTTTCTTGCAATATAATTTCTAGTTGTGACGCGACACGCTTCTCGAGAGCCTTTCGGCCGATCGTCAAATCAATCCGACTACAAAAAGCGAACAGATAGCGAGAAATTCTTTGCGTTTCGGACCCCGGCGCTGGAGTCTTTTCATCTCGCGTCCACATGTCAAAACGGAGCAGCATTCCGCACATTCCTCAAGCAGGATCTGATCTCAATTTCCTTTCTCTCTCTCTCTCTTTTCCCTTCCTCTGTCACATCGTTCATCAATTCGGTCCCGTCGCTCGCCGCTCTCCGCTCTCACTTTCTACTCTTTTCGAAGAATTAGTGGATCAAACTCATTGCCGGAACATGTGTTAGTTGTTAAATTGATGATGGACACAAAGTCGGCGGGGGATGCACGTTAAAAAGTTGAAATTGGTTTGGATGGATTGAGTTAGGTTCGGTTAGAAGAAGAGAGAGAGAAAAAACAGAGAGTAAATCGAGGGTGCAGTTGCAAAGTTTGTGAGGTCCCAATGAACTTTTGGAAAGGAGACGTGATGTCATTTTGAGCGAAGCAACAATCTTCAACTTCAATGGAATCATCAAGGACTAATAAGCATAAATAATTTCAAATATTCAGCCTGGAAGTTCATTGTCAAAACAGTCAAAGAGTTGTAGTGTTTTTTGTTGCAAAATCGCTCAAATAAATGCTATTTTTCTCGATAAGTAAGAAAAGAGTATAACATGGTCGTAACCAGAAAAACAAAGCTACAGTTCAAGTTTCCTCATTTTCCAGATGTCCGGAATGAGCGTGACGAAAATTTTCATTTTAGTTCTGCCCGGCCCGTTCAAGTAAGCTGATAAGGACCTCACGGCAATCTCAACGCACACCTACTAACCAAACTAATCCAACTTGCTCCGCGAGCATCTCTTGGCTGTAACGCATTCAACGGCGTCATGGAGGACAAAAGCGGCATGGGAACCGCGCTCATCAGGCTCGCGGTGTACTTGGAATCACTCAAACTGCGATGAATCTTGTGCTGAGGTTTTGTGGGCCCACTTCCGGGCCGCATACGGTAGGGCGGCGGCGGAGGAAGATATGAGCAGCTGGATCCAGCTGATGGTGCCGAGCCGAAACCGGAATCGGAGTAATGGGTCACATAGGGAAGGACTTGACGGCTGAACAGTAGAACACATGAACACTAATTGAGTTTATGCATGAATTTTTGAGAATTTCGAGAATTCGTCGGCACAATTGCATTTTGAAATGGGTCAGTCTAAATGGTAATGATGTAGATCATTAGGAAAGAGTGGACCAATTGTTTGTTTGGTCTTTCAGAAATAGAAAAAGTACAAGTTGCGGGTCCCTCTTAGACACAATCACAAATACATAGTAGTGGGGAGGGTAGATTACTTGAGAAAATTGGAGAAACATGTCCCCCCTACCCCGCAAGGGCTCATCTTCTACTCACCGTTTTATTGACCCATTATCCTTGAATATATTGCCACTGCCCGAACTGCGCAGTATATCCACTCCAGCGAACGCGTCAATTTGTGAGTTTTGCAATGAACTGACTGTCAAAACGTCTTCCGGAGTGGTACAAGGCAGAGCATCGCCGATGCTGTGTCGCGAGTACATATAGAGCGAATATGAATTTATGAAATGCTGAGATGATAGAGAGGGTGTACGGGGACTATAGTCCTTCCTGTGGGTCTCTCCCGTTTTTTGCAGGCGGCGGGCTCCGACTGATAAGAGAGCTGGAGAGAGAGTCGACAGACACGCTGTGGAATGCGTGATGACAACTGTTCACAGAGACAAACGGCCCCTCCAGGCGCACACGGATCAATCACTACTGCAAGCGAGCGAGCGAGCGAGCGAAGAGATAGCCGCCAGGGCCCAGCTTCTCACGATTTCCCCTACACAAAGAATTTTGTGTTGTTGAAGAAGTCTCTTCAGTCTGAGCAGGCACGCACACACACACACATAGAGATAGAGTAAAGAAGTATATCATGTTCGCTATCCATCATTATTGATCATTTTGACAAGAAATGAGAATACGACTTCTTTGTCAAGAGGAATCACTTTTTCGCACCCCTCGTAAAGTTGCTTTAGACAGATCAAAGAGACGTGCCGAAATGATTATGAGTGTCACTTGTCAGCGGTTTTTTTGCTTGTTGCTTGTGAAGGGCTCGCAGAACAAATCATTAGCAAGAGGATTTTCGTCAAGGACTCGAAAAATATAGGGGCACTTGACAATATTGTAACTGAGAGTGATTCGCAACAAAAATAGTGGCTGGGCAAACATTTAGGGGGGGGGGGGCTTCCGAGATTTTTCGAAAAAAGATCATACTACTCTCCACTTAAAATTGCCAACAAATTAAAAAGTTCTAACACAACTCACAAACACCGCCACCCCCTAAGGCGATCGCAACCAAAATTACCTTATCACCATCACACTTTTCTCGCTATTTTACGTGAGTCATCTAAAACTATACAAGGAAACGAATGGCCTACATTCCATCATTCAAGGCAACAGAAAATTGCCCCAAAAAGATCTTTCCGTTTTTGAGAAGAAAAATGAGATGGGGGGAAAACCGAATATACATATATGCCTTTTGGTTATAAATGACCTGGTTCGGTTAGGAGAAATGGGCTTGGGCCAAGAGGATGTTTTACTGAAAGATGGTTACTAGTACTTAGATTGGGCATACTTGCAAAATCAAAATTTCAGCCTGGCTAGGCCCGGATGCTCGAATGCTCTCGAAATGTACATTTTTTAGAAAAGTCAACAACCTTAAATGCTTTTCTGTGAAACAGATTTAAGAAATGTTTTTCAAAGAGATGATCAAAGAAAGACTTCAAAAAAAGAGTTTAAAAAACAGTTTTTGACGTAAATGTTGGGAAGATCTTTGGTTTTTTTTTTTTTGAAACAGAAAACAGAAAACCGACAAAACGGAATGGGAATAGAATTGGAAAACATTTCAAGATCATTCTGTATTCTGACCGGATCCAAGTTAGCGATTTGATAGAGACTAAGTGAATGAAGAGCGGTCCCCGAAAGAAGTGCTTTTCGGAAAGAATCCCAAATGAGGAAAGGATTTAGTGGTGGGAGGCAAACCGAGTTGTGGGAGTGGGAGTGGGAGACAACTCCGAAGTCCACCCCCAGAAGAAGAAGTTGGAGGGGAAAAAAGAAGAAGACGAAAAAATAGGAAGACACATGCATACGCACAAAGTTTTTTTTGGGTAATTGTCAGTTGATGAGGAAAACAGAACAACTGGGTGGGTTTGGAAAACTTTCAAGGACTCGGACTTGACTCCGACTTTAGACTTCCCATTATAATTTAGACGAGCATTTTAATTCAGATATATTTCAGATTTGAAAGTTCTCAGGTTGCTGAACATCAGAGAACAGAAAATGGAGAATAGTAGCTTCAGGAAACGTCTGTTTCCTCTCCGAAAGATGGAAGGGACACACACAGCAGAGTATTGGTGGACCTCTGTCCCGCTAATTGTGTTAGTATCGGTCGTCACAGAACCGCAACATATCCTCCCAGCTCTTTCTCTCTCTCTCTCTCTCTCTTCCTCTCCTTAGTTGTTTCTTTTTTGGGAATAGAATGGACATCGATGCATTGGAATAGGACACTAACTTCTTCTTCTTCTTCTTCTCTTCCTTCCTCATAACGTTTTCTGGTTGGAAAGAAGAAAGGAAGAAAGCGAACGTCTTCTTGACATTTTATTCGGAAAAAAAAACACACAAAAAATGAGGTCCCTACCATTTTAGAGATAAATGAAGAGAAAAACGAGAAGCCGCTTGCCTTTCTCTCTTTCTCTTCCCCCCGTCTCCCGTTTTCGGGTTTTCCAATTATTCCAAAGACGGGCCACCAAATTTCTCATTGACCCATTCATTTTTCAATTGAACACCACAAAATTCAACATGCCAGCACGCGCAAACGTCACAAACATGCAAATTTCGCAAAAAAGTTCCAAACACTCACCGTTCTTCCAGCCACCCAATGCATAATCTTAAGCCGCGTTTCCAAATCGGGTCTCTCTGTCATTGTATGCTCATCGATGGCCTTCACAAACTCCTGATAGATGCGTGGAGGATTGAACAACGAGGACGATGACGTGGGCAGGTCCGAAGGCGGCGACTCGACGCCTGACGAACCGTCTGAGCCGAGGTCTGAAGATGCGAAAGGTGAGAATGAGTCATGCACCAGGAAGTGCGAGAATTGTCTAGAGATTTGTTGGATTGCGTAAATGAAGTATTATAAGATTTGAGTTCTGAATCACAGAACAAGTGGGTAAACAGAATAAGAGAATGCGATAATGAGGTACTAGAAATGCTGGGGTTATTCTAGAGAAACTGAGGGTGACGTCGGTAATAGATTGCATTTAGCAATCAATGGACGTTTTGCAACCAACTGATTTGGAAACATGACTGTTCACAAAATTCTTGGATAATAATTCAGATCGGTTAAAATGGGCTGGGCCAATTTTCGACAATTCTGGTCGAAACACACCTGTCCGATGTTTCCAGTCGGTACTGATCCATTGTCGGTTCATCTCGCGAGTAGATCTTTCATCATCGGCATTTCCATTGTCAATGTCTAAAAATACACTCTTTTGCATTCGCATTCCAGACTCATATGCGCTCTTTTTCTGCTCGGTTCACTCACCATCATTGATGTGCTTGTTTCCATGACCATTTTCCATGATCCTATGTGAAAATGTGGATCGGAGCACTGGCGGCGGAGGCAAAAGGTCTCGAAACGACTTTTTGATGATTGGCGGTGGAAGAGTGGTTGTACTGCGAGAAGTTGTGTTGCCTGGAAAGAAAAGAAAGGTTTAGACCACTCGACCAAAATCTGCGTGTGAATTTTGTTGGTGCCCGGGTGAATGACCAAGATTGTCTTTTTCAAGGACCATTCAAGACGACTCATTTTGACACCAAAACGTGTTTACCTCTTGTTGTTATCTTCTCTGTCATTATTCAGTACGCGGTGCGCGAAGTGAGTACACAAACAGGCAAACACTAATCGGCGGGCAAAGAAAATGAAAAGAGTAAAGTGACGAGAAATGGAACAAGTGGTGAAATGGGAGGGGAAATGAATTGAAAGACTTTTTTTTTCCAGACAAACGAAAAAAGTTTAGTTTCAGTGCTCAACTTTTCTATTCTCCATCAAACTGGTCCCAAGTGGCGGGGGGGAAATTGAAAAAAATGTCACGGCGGGAAATTGAAATTGAGCGAGGAACGGAAATTTTGGCGCGAAAACCGAAACGAAGACCCTCAAGGACATTTGACTCCCGGGCCTGAAAATGAAATGACAAAAGCGGGCACACGACATTCGAGCCTTTTTCATAAAACAATTCCGGGGCCTAAAGTGTAGGAATAGAAGAGTACACCGACTAACAGGAAAAAAAAACAGGAAAAGAGGATAGAATAGCACGACTACTGTGTGTGTGTTGAGGGAATGGGCTAGCAGGAACAAAAATGGAAATGGAAATGAAAATGAAAATACAAATATTGCCGCTTCTACCATCCTTATACTTCTCTCTCTCTCTCTCTCTCTCTCTCTTTCTTCCCTCCTCGTGTTCGTTTTTCACTAAAGACCATACTGGTCGTTATGAATACAACAAAACCAGTCGGCGGGGCGGCGGTCGGCGGTGGCGACTGTCGCCGGTCAATGAAAATGAATGCCTCCTCGGAAGGAACAGTGAAAACAGGGAGAGGGATGAAGAGAGGAAGGTGAGAAGGATGAGGACGAGAAAAACGGTATTCTTTGTATTTTATTGCGTCAATTTTCGTCTTCTTTTGGTCTTGATCATAGTTTCTGTTCAATTAAAGGTTCTTGCCTGATTTCAGCCCAAAACGTTTGGTCTGCACGGTGATTTGGTGCTGTCAAAATGAGTCAATGTCAAAAGTAGTACTACTGTTGACTTTCAGTATTACTGTCAGGGCTAGACGTTTTACAACCGGACTGTTTGCAACCAGTGGAACATTTTCCGAGTTTTCTGCTAATTTTTCCAAAAATTCTGCTGTTAAAAGTTCTTTCTGTTGCAGAATGTCCAGTTGCAAAACTTCTCGACTTACCTTGCTCATTGTCAGTGAGACTGTACCAAACACGTGTCAACATCCTAGGAATGAGTGATCATAGGAAACAGCAAAATATGAATATGAGGATCCGAACAAATTTCCGAGATGCGAGTCAAATAAATAAGTGCGCTCTCTCATACACACTTATTTTTATGACCATTTCATTTTGGACCTCTTTTCTCTCCTCTTCTTTTTCATTTTTGCAATGCAATGAACCATTTCGACACCGACTATTAGGCGCATTTTATGAGAAAGAGAAATAATATGATGTTACCATAGAAGTGGACTGAAAAAGAGGATGCTCACCATTTCGAATGATATCATCGAGCTGCTCGAGTGCCGACGAGAGAAGTTGGTTGGCTTCTGCGAAACCATCCATTCTGCCCTGAAAAATCGGAAAATTTGGTGTGAAGCGGATCAAAATTAGAATGAGAATAAGAATAGCGTGCAAAATGTTGCAAAGACATGAGTCAGAGAGAGGGAGAAAAGGTTGTTGCTAAGGGAGGGGCCGCGCGGCAGCTTCAAAGGCAACACCTTCAAGGGGTTAAGGTTGTTCGGTAAGGGCGTGACTGTGTCTCAAAATATGCGTACGACTAATATGGGAATGTGAATGAGAATGAGAACGGTAGTTTGCACGCTAGGGTTTGAATGATGAATAAGATAGCTGTACTGTACTGTTGTACACTGTTGGAGCTAGCTGGTGGTGTGAGGTTTGAGATTTAGTGTAATGCTTAATAAAACTTATGTGCTTCTCATATGAAAACACAAAAACCGGACCGGCTATGAAGAAAATCTTCGAGAACATCCCAGAAAAGTAAAATTTGAAGATTTTCATACAGAATTGGATTTTCTAGAGAATTTCGTATTTAGGAAGCAAGCAAACGCTCTTTTCCGAATATAGTTAGCAAAATATGCGTTCATGAGCCGGCCCGTTGCAACTATGGATTCCTGACCAAGAATTTATTGAAAAACAGATTCAAGACCCTAAAACCAACAAGCACAATAGAAAAGCAAGAGAAAGAACGTTTTGTGAAGCAACATATGCCACCGTTATCTCGAACAATCTTGCCCTTCGCCGATCTCTCCCCTCCTCTCCACGTCGTTGACACCAGCTGCCCTTTCCATTGTGCGAAATTGATGTTGGACCGGCTGGACAGGCACAACACGTTGTCGTGCTTTCTCCCCTATTTTTGGTGGGCTTTTGGGTCCGGTTCTATTCAGCTGGACCAGAAGTGCCTTATTCTCAACAAATACAGCCGGCTGGTGGTCACCTTGTGCGCAAAAAGAGAGACCGACAATAGACAGAACCGAATTAAGGAATATGTGATTAATGTAACAAATAGTAAAAGCTGTTCATTTTTTGTGAGGGGAAGAGCAGAGACAGAACAAAAGAGCCGAATTGGAATTAGACAAATGTCGAGAGCGTTATTTGCTACATATTTGCTTGTCAGAACTGAGGGGAAAGAGATGTGATTCCATAATTGTTACGAGAAAAGAGGGGCAGCCGAGTAGTAAGAAAATGACGAGAAAAGCGAAGAAGGTCACAAATATTAGAATTTTAGGATTTCAAAGAAGCTCTACAAACTTTAGTAAGAAACCAGCAGATGGGAGATCTGGCACAAGCACAAAAACTGAAGACTCACTTTTGGTGTACCAATCGGCACACTACGGCGGCGAATATTAGTGTTTGACAAGACGGACGATGAGTACACCATAGTAGGAGTTGGTCACAAGAAGCTCTCACACCAAGACGAACAGTAAGAGAGAGAGAGGAGAAAAAGAGCCGCCGACTTCTTCTTCTTGGGCACAAACAGTATAGGTGCTGGTGGGAGAGGGGCTCGGCCTAAGTCGTCGGTCAAACAGACACTCTTGCTCTCACTCAAGAGAATGAAGGATTTGCAAAGAAAAGTGATGGTTTCGTGGTGATATAAACCCCCCTTGCCTCTTTTGCGGCAAGCGGATCGGAGGATAGAAGGATAGGGACAAAAGAAAACGGAGAAAAAAAAGAGCAACATGTTCGGTGCTGTGCAAAATTTTAAGTGTCGTCGAGCCGCCAGACGAGTGCATAGTTCAGAGCCAACTATTATCATGTCATGTCAAAAGAAGTGTCAAATTCAAACGCAAAGAGTATATATGTTAAGGGAAATGAAGCGTCAACGCGATTCATACTGACAGTCCGTGTACGCATAAATGCACAATTAGGCGTTGGATTGGAGGGAGGTGGATGTTCATACAATGCCATTGTTTGGTTTTTTCTGGAGACATGTATGTAAACTGGGGGTGTTCACTTTAAAAAATATATGCTGACTCTTTGTAGTATGTAAATTTCAAAAATTAGATGAAGGTTGAGTCAGATTTACACAAAAATCCGACAAAATTGGAACTGGACCTATCCATCCTTCCAGACGAGAAATAGATCTTCGGTCCATGAACAGTCAATCCAAAAAGAGATTTATGGTGACGCGCCCATAAATATGACGCTTCCTCCCGTTTTTCGCGTCACCTCCCACAGCAATTTCTCCTAATTCTTCCGAAATTTTCATCATGCGCGAAAATTCGCACACCTGCTTCACTGAGAAGCTTATCAGTAGAGGGGGGAGGGGGGTTTAGGAGGAATTGTCAATGATAAACTGGAAGCTGGGAAGAAAGGAAAAAAAGTGGGAAGAATGACGGATGGAAAAGAAAGAATAAAGAAGAAGAAGAAGAAGAAGCGGCGGAAGGATGGGTTGCAAAGCCACATATCCACAGCTCTTTATGAGACGATCATACGAATGACAAAGAGGAATGGGTTAGCGAAAAAATATATATGTAGGAACTGGGAAAAGTTGAAAGGAATCACATGAATATTCGTTCAATTCTTCTGGGGCTTCCTTTTTTTTTCATTTTTCACTTCATCGAATCAAAATCAACATAACGGCTGCAGTAACGAATGGCGGGACGATGTGGCGGGTGTGATAACGTTTGTTCGTACACACACACAATTGATAAGAAGACATGTTGGTCGTGTGTGTGTGTGTATGTACGTTTGCGTGGAATATTATTGTAACAAAAACCTTTTTGGATGCGATGGTAGAGGCTGGCAGCCAACGTCTTAACGGCCTATTGCGTCCGTCTCTAACACACCTTCGGAATAGAGGAGGCGGCGGAAAGGAAGCGGAGAGTACATAAATGTGCGATGGGCCGGCAACGAATTGGATGCGAGAGGAGCGAATGGATGGATGGTATGCAATTGGTACATCATTCTGACATAAGACGTGGTTTAGTTTATCGAATTAGGATTATCTGGGCGTGAAATGATGGCAAGGTGGCATTTTTGTGTTAGGAATGAAGTAGAAAGTCACAAATCCTGAGGTTCAGTTTCAATTGCAAACGCCACTTCAGAGAATTGAACGATTTTATGGCTACGAGTAGTATCTCTTTTGTTTTCTGAACCTCCGAAAGTTGCAACACTCCAATGTCCCCAGGTCAGAGTCATAAAAAAGGTGATCAAAAACGATCGGAACCAATCACCACGCAGAAAGAAACAGTCAACTTGGGGCCGGGCCAGGTTTTAGTACTGAAATATAAAAACGATGCTTGAGTCGAAAATCTTCCCAAAATCGGGACTGTTTGTAATTTCGAGATTACCGACTTCAATGGAAAAACAACTTTACAAGTGAATATTTGAAAAATTCGTCATTTTTAGAGGTCAATTCATGACAAGTCTTGGGCGAATCCCTGCACATTCGGAAAGTACACTTTTTGTGTTCTCCATGACATGTCCCGAGGTCGGTCATTCACAGAAATCTGGAGGGTAAAGAAATAAGAAAAAAAAGAAACGCTTTCACATTTGTCCATCTGGTCACACAGAAAGCCATTAAAGGACCAGGGAACCCAAAAATTTTTTGATGTTTTTGTGAAATTTTTTTGTGACTGTTTGAATTGTCTCTTATTGCCTCATACACTGGTGAAATGCTGCCTCTCGAAAATGCCAATGAACGAAACGGCATGCAGTTGAAGTTGTGGCCGTGGCCTAGCGCCAATGGCCGAAAAATATATAAAAATATATGCGCTTCTCGCCATTCTATTTTTTCCGCTTTTTTACCGGTTTTTTTCCAAAAATTCACGGTTTCTCCCATTTTTCAGTTGATTGACATTTGTTCGGCACTTACTTATTTTTTCACTGCTAAAAAATTGTTTTCATTCAGTCGATATGAAGTGCCAAAATGGGAGAAACCGTGAATTTTTTTGGAAAAAAACCGGTAAAAAAAGCGGAAAAAAATAAAAATGGCCGAGAAGCGCATATATTTTTATATATTTTTTTCGGCCATTGGCGCTAGGCCACGGCCACAACTTCAACTGCATGCCGTTTCGTTCATTGGCATTTTTGAGAGGCAGCATTTCACCAGTGTATGAGGCAATAAGAGACAATTCAAACAGTCACAAAAAAATTTCACAAATTAATAAAAAAAATTTTGGGTTCCCTGGTCCTTTAAACTGCGTGGACAAGCGATCAAAATGAGGGCAGTACCATACAAAACGGGAACAGAATCACCCCGCCGCTTCTCGAATTGAATCGTAAATCAGAGGAATAAGAATCAGGCAGCGTTACCGCAATAAATGCGAATGTTAAGTCAAGTAGCGTTAAATTTCTCACCAAAACCGGACCGGACCTCCCATGGGCGTGTAACTGGAGGGGGGATAGAATTGAAAAGACGTGGAAGAGGAAGAAGAAGAGTGTCATGATGATTACTATTATATAATACCATTATCATTTACGACACCTTTATTCCTCTATCTTTATCTTTGTATATCACAAAGGCTGTGAGATTGTAGACTGTACATTGAACGATAATTACGTAATCCTCACCTTCGCCCACCTACCCACCCAATCCGGTTTATCAGAAAAAGGACAGAGAGACAGAGGGAGAGGGAGAGAAAGAGAAATAGCAACAAAAAAGTTTCAGGGTGTGGTGTCAAGGAATTTTCTTACAATTTCGACGAGAAAATGAGTCAGAGCTGTCCGAAAAGTGATTCCTAATGATTGAATTGAGAAGAAAGAGACGAAACGTACACATTTGTTTCACTTGTTTTCAGCTTTCAGCACGAATCCCGAATTTATGACCGAAAAACAAATTCGAGAGGGGAAAGGGTTGGAACAAACAGATTAGATGAGCAAATGAGGGGTCTTGAGCAGGAAGGAACGCCCAAATCTTGAAGATGTGATCCGGTAGCTTTCGTTAAGTGAAAGTTATAAAAACTGCTGTATACTGAACAGAAAATGATTTTGATACAAATGTTCAAACGTTCAATGTTCTGACTTCTTGATGTCTACAATACTAACCTACTTTCTAGCTACTTCCGTTTTCACTCCCGAAAAACCGTACTGGCAAAGTTCAAGTGCGGCAAAGGTGAAAAACGAGAAGGATAACGATAATTACAACAGGGAAGATGTACGGAAGGAAAAACGAGAAGGAGAAGAATGAAAAGAACGTTCCCTTTGCGCACCGGACACACGATATGTCCACTCACCGGTCGGCCCGCGGGACACGGACACCCATCAAGCCCTTCTCTCCAGGCTCTTTGTCCCTCTCTCCCTCTCTCTCTCTCTCTCCCTCTGCATCTCCCTCTCTGATCGCCCAAAAAAACGTGATGAGTGATGCGCCCGCGCGGGTCTACAGGTCGGCTTCTGTCTGCGTCTCTGCTGGAAGATCCACTCTCTCGGGCTAATGCACACACGTTGCACGGAGGAACGTAACGTTATAGGTCAGACACACTCGTTGATTTGTACAGCATTGCGGCGAATGGACTCTCCGCGATAGAAGTGCCCCCCCCCGCTTTTTTGCACTTAATTAACTGCCATTATGACGACGGAGTAATGTCGAAAAACAGAAAAAGGAAAGGAGAAGAACAGAATTGACCTAATTGAATTCAGTACAGTCCGAAAAACGTAAATTGCAGAGTCTGTTCAACCTCTCACTTATGAAAAAAGTGTCACAACCGCCATTTTGTCAAGTTCTCATGTTTCATGAGGTTCCGAGTGTCAAAAAAAGACGCAATACGCCAATATTTATCGTATCATATTATGCAACAAGGAAAAAGGAACGGAAAGGAACAGTCGCCGCTTGTCAGGAGGGAAAAGTGAGGCTGACACCTCCCGCGCCGCACAAAACATGGATTGCCGCTGCTTTTGTGTGGTGTGCATGTAGAAAAAGTTTTTGTGGGTAGTGAATGTATAGTACCAACCAACCTCACCAATGAATAAAAGTTACCTCCTCTTCCTTTTGCATTAATAAAAATGTATATATTTTATTTTGGTGCGCTCTACTTGACGCGGAAAAAGGAGGAGTGAATAGTTACCAAGTGTGGGAATGCTATTAAATTAATGAGGAAAAAAAGTTCGATGTTGACCGACCTGAGTCGTTTTTTTGTCGTTTTCCGCCTATCGCAGTCCAACACACAATTGTTTTCGAGGACCAGCAGCGGGGAAAACGAAGAGGAACAGCTGATGAGTTTATTTATTATGAGTTTATTTGTCAGTAGTATCAAAGGATCGGAAAGAGAAAACAGCTAGCGGCCAGAGAAGAAATGTACTGGAATGGAATGAAATGGAGTAGACAAAATATCGATGGAATAGGAGGGAAAAAACATCAGAAGTGAATTATGGCACAAAACTTGTTAGATTATTATATTCGATTGCATGAGCGAAGCTTTCGTACATTCATAAAACATTGAAAGAGTCTATGTGAGTGCCGAGGCAAAATATTTACAGTAAATGCAAAATTTCGAGTACTGTGTGAACAATCAGACATCGAGACGAGCGATGTAACCATCATGGGATCGATTTTTGTAGTTTTTATTCCAATAGTCCATCAGCTGGTCCATGTACGGTTTCCGTTGGCTCATTGGGGAAGTGAGAGTATCCTCCATTCGCTTTTTCTTCTCCTCGAATCCCCATTTGAAGAGGAAGTAGTACATACTCATGGAAATGAGCGAATTGTGCGGCATGAACTGCAAAATAAGTATTTCTGAATAAAAATAACTTTTTTTCAACACCACTAAACCGAGATTTTGATATTTCGAACTTATGATTCAACTACTAAAGTTAATCAAGCGTATGGGCATATCTTTTTATCGTCTGTAGGCTCCATGATTCATTCATGGCACTGGCCTGGACTTTTGACCCACTTGCAATAATCCGATGGGTTCAAAACTGTCCAGGTTTCTTGGACTTGGATTGAAGTATCTTGAATTCAAGTTTCAGACCAATCGGATTATCTGTCCACGAGATTCACTCGTGTATGAGGCCGGGTATTTACAAGAAGTTCGACTTGAGTAAATAATCCAATTAGTCTGAAACTTGAACCCAATAAACTTTAACCCAAGTCTAAGAACCCCGCTAAGTTCCGATCCGATCAGATTATTAGAAGTGGGTTAAAAATTCAGGTTTTCTTCCCAACCCTGCTCATAACACTTACAAAGATGCTCGATAAAAACTGCTTGTAGTGCGGAAGCGTGAATGAGGAACGGAAGAGTCGCCCGGTTGATGAAGTGACAATGTACACACCGATAATAGCACTGGAAGTCAGAATGAGTGGGCCGAGTTGCTTCAGCACAATCATGTTCTCAAGACCCTGGAAACGATCTCCAAGATGACCCTCGGATTGTTGACGGACCCTTAAAATTGAAATTGAAACAAGATTTGCCATTTGATTTATCAATACTTCTTTCTGTGGTAATCGATTAGAAAAATGTAGCCGGCCCAGGTGACGATTTCGAGAGCTAGCTGGAAACGGAACATGCTGTAGACCCTGTCTCCGATCGAAGGTGAGGATGAGAATGCGAAACAGTTTGTGAGCATTTCCGATGAATCCTCGTGAGCAGTGATGTTTTCCATAACCGCAAACGCTAAGAGCAGCGAAGCAGATCCGAGTGCGATTCCGAGTTTCGGTCCCATATACTCGTACTCTCCGAGTTTGCATGTAGCGTACGCACGCTCCAACACCAGCGAGGCGTGCGTGAGTGTTGTCAACAAGATGCTGAATCTGAAAAATCATCAATTCTATTGTTGGTGGTGACTCTTTTTGGCACGTGGTCACTTACAAAAACATGCGCCGGAGGAAGGAGCAGTTTTGCGTAAAAAAGAGAAAATCGCAGTCGTGGTCGGCGAGAAGAGCGTTGAGGAAGAGAGTACCGTAGGAGAAGAGGCTCGCCAGGGAAAGTATCAGGAACGAGATCATGTTCAAGAACATTAGGATCTGAAAGTACTGTTGTTTTTCTAGCGTTTTTATTTTTTCTTCCCATCGTTATCTGATTTCTTCACTTTCCTCAAAATCTATTAGGTTGTTCGGAAAGTTCCAGTCATTTTTCATAGTATGTTTTTGAAGATTGTTTTTTCTATCGGGAAGCAAGCGAGTTAGTTGTCGTTTTATCAGTATGTTGGTAGGGTATTGAAGTGTCAACACAGCAACGGATATCATTCTCGTGTTCCCGAGGAGTGAGATATGCCGAACGTTTTCGTCCCTAACAACTTACATTTCCGAAATGTAATCTTATTTCTATTTATATCTGACCTGAAAATGCCGACATTGATCGCCGTTTCACGGAGGTTTACAACAAAGATGCACCCACTCGAACTACCATTAGCACTTGGTTTCATCGATTCGAAAAAGGAGAATTTTCGATGGATGATCATCCACGTTCAGAAAGACCGATATCGTTAGACTTGGAAGCATTGAAAAGCGAGATTGAGAGGGATCCTTTTCAATCCGTCCGTGAACTATCAAGGACACTTGGGGCGAGCCTATCATCAATTAGTCATGGACTCGAAGCAATTGGCAAAGTCAAAAAACTCGGAAGATATGTTCCGCATGTTTTGACTCAACACAACTTGGATACACGTGTGTATACCTGCTTGAATCTTCTCACCCTGCATCGCACACATGGATGGTCGGATCAAATCATTACGGGAGACGAGAAATGGGTTATGTATGATAACAATGAGCGACGTGCCGAGTCGGTTGACGAAGACGCTCAGCCAGCTGACGGGCCAAAACATGAAATACACGAAAAAAAGGGGTTGTTATCAATATGATGGTCTGTCCGTGGAGTTGAATATTGGGAGCTACTTGATGACGGCGTCACTGTTACGGCCGATGTCTACACTGATCAGCTGCGAAAACTCAGACTCCATGTGGATCTCCATTGGGGGAAAAATGCGAAAGCTTACTTGCAGCATGATAATGCTCGTCCCCATTTCGCCAGAAAGTCCAAAGCTGAACTCGCTGGATACGGCTGGCCAATCTTGTTTTACCCACAGTACAGCCCAGACCTGGCCCCCTCTGACTACCATCTCTTCAGTCACCTCCAACGCCATCTCAGTGGAAAAAAGTTCAACTCAAGACAAGATATCAAAATCGAGTTGGCTTCATTTTTCGACTCCCAGCCGCAGGAGTTCTGGAAGGAAGGTATCCACAAGTTGGTGACACGTTGGCAGACAGTCATCGAAAAACATGGGCAATATGTCTAATTAATCGGATAACTCTTTGACTTGTTTCACAATAAATTTTTCTGAACCCAAAAATGACTGGAACTTTCCGAACAACCTAATAGATAACAAAATATTTTTTCTCTTTTCTTTTTCGACAAAAGCCGTTGTTAAGTATATAAAAGCAATCTGAACATATCCCATTATATATCAGACGTGGGATTACCAGTCATCACTAATCTCATGTTCAGCTGAAGGTTTGATCTTAGATATCACATAACACACCCAAGGGACGTTTGTCACATTTATTTTTCGAGTTTCTCATGTCTTAGGACCAGAATTATGATCTCAAAATCCCAAAATGTATATCAGGGTTTATTTGAGATCAGAGCACAACTTTGAAAACATGTTTGGCAGGTTGAAATTGACGTGATTCCCTAGGGATCTTAATATTTTGGGAAGACATGGATATCAAAACACACATGAGGTTACCGAATTCAATTAGAACTCATAACCGGCTTTTGGTGGTTCTGGGTAAGGACGAGGACAACCGGAGAACAGGATATTACTAGTAAAGTTAGTCGAACTCTGGGTTACGGTAGCTGATCTATAATTTTCAAACTTACTTTTGCATTGACGTGATAGTAGATCCGCAGACTGAACCTCACATAGATCAACGCAAAAACGACAAAAGTCCCGAACGAAGAGCACGTGTTCAGAAGCGAAGGGGCCAGGTAGAAAACGTCTCTGACCGTAATCGCCGCTTCCTTGCACTGGGTCAAGTTGAATACTCGAGATGGACCCATCGGTTGTCGGAAAAATGTTGCGAGTAAGCTGGAAGCCTGCTGAAAAATGAGGGAATGTGTGTTGTGGAGAAGTGAGATTAAGAGAAAGGGGAAGAGGAGGCTACGGATTGGCGGGGATTAGCAAGAAAGGGAATTGGCGGAGCGTGACTGGATTTGAATGAAAAAACTGAAAAATTTTCTGCTTAACTAGCTATAACGGGTGCTTTGAATGATCTCCTACAGTGTTTCTCATTCTGTTTCTGATTTCCAGCTCACTGCTTTCTGAATGAAAGTGGACTTCGGACGATAAAAACGTCTGATTAGAGAGATAATTGGCAAGACACGAAAAAAATCGGCTTGAGAGTGATAATTAACAAAACTGAACACCACTTGCAGCAAAAAATATCTGATCTGTTTTTCGTCTTCTTTGGGTGAGAAGAATAATAATTGATAGAGAGAACAAACGAGACAAGAGCGGAAATCGTGAAGGTGGAAAACACACGAATACAATGGTTTGATTAATGGGAATAACAATAATAATCGGAAGCGTTTCCAGGTAATCACTACATCAATTCAATCGGATTGGAAAATTTTTTGAAAGTTTGGTATAGCTTCAGCTTTCGACATTTATCATTTAGAAAAAGAAGTAAACGACGTTTTGAATTTCTAGGAAAGCACAAAGCATGTATTTCAAAAGTCACGCACGTGTCTACTCCACTATTTCAAAACATGTCACCTGTTAAGTTATGGCCCGACACCCTTAATTCATCGAGTCAGATGCCACATGTGATGTTTGCCATAACTGCAGGATGAGAAACGATGAGACAGAAGCAGCGTTTGTTATTGAGAAAATCGTAAAAGTGTCCTCAGAGAAATGCAATGTTTGCTGCCCGTTTTCATAGGATTACGGTAGCGCAGACAAGCACGTGGTGCTGGCGGGCGGGGGGGAGGAGCAAACACAATCAGGGAGCCGTCTTTTATGATAAAAGCAGGAATGAAAACGAAAATGAGAGGCGATGAGACGGCGGTGTTATGGCACGAGAAGCGGCACACTTTAATTACGGATGACACATCCTGCTGGCTCTTTGATGCATTGTAAATAATAGGCATTGCAACTTTCATTTTATTTCGATTCAATGCACAAGATGAAGAAAAAAACCGATTTTTGGTTTGTTATGCACATTTTGAATGAGGACATTCTTGTCTCGTACATGAGAGGGGAGACAGAGCATTTCTCATTAACTTTGTCAATGAAGGACAAACAGAAAAATATGTGTTCTCGAAATCAAGGCGTCGACGAGACAACCGCTACAGTACTCTGACGCTTTTTAAACTTGGATATCACTTTTGCAGAGCCCCAGTTGAAGCTAACAGGTTTCATGTCTTTGGCCTCTAGACGGTGCTGATATTGAACATCCCAATTTTCGATGGCAATGTGGAATTGGTCGTCCAGCGGCACGTCTTGACTAGCCATCATTTGGCGGTGAATTTTTGCCTGCCGCTTCTGGCCGAGACGCAATTCATAGAGGATCAGGGAAGTGAACATGAATGGCATGTGCGGCATTATCTGGAAGAAAATGTGAAAGTGAAGTTTTGAATAACACCTAATTGAAAAGGATGAAAAAGATTTCTGAATGAACATTTCGCAAATGTGTACATAGTTCTTTTTAATAAAGTTGGTTGAACTTTGCTAGATGTAGGTTTTATCCAGGGTTGGACAAAGGCCGGCCCAGGCTTTTTGAAGGCCTGGACATTTAGCACAGTTGCAATCTTCCGATTGGACACAAACTTTTCACGTTTCTTGGGCTTCGATTTAAGTATCTTGAACCTTAGTTTCAGACCGATTGGATCATCTGGTCATGAGATATACTGGTTCGAGCCAAAATATCGGTTTTGTGCAAAAACAGCGACGTTTTTGGCATCTGACCCACATTTCTCTAAATTAAAAAAAATCCCATTAATCTCAAACTTGAACCCAAGATACTTGAATTCAGGTTGAGTCCGATCAATTTACTGAAATTGGGTTAAAAGTCCGTGAAGCCTGGCCCGGCCTTTGCCCAGCTCTGGTTGCATCAGAGTTCAGCAGAAAACCATGACGTCTACAAATTCTTGGAAACACGTCTCCTTTCCAGTTTTCCCATTCCCACCGACGTGAACTCACAAAAAGATTGGCCGCAATGATCTCGTACCAATTCGGCGGCAAATAGTTTTTGTAGAGCCGAAACACGGAGAGAATGAAGATGTAGACACCAATGGTCACATTCGAGAGAATCAAAAGAGGCGTCACTTGTTTCAGCGTTTTCACGTTCTCGTTACGCTGGAATTGAGCCGAGAGATCCGATGATCCTTTAGCCATTCTGAACGGGAAATAGAATGAGAGGTTTTTAAGAAAACAGAAAGATGACTGACTTGTTGTACTTGTACAAGGTCAGATGAACTCCGGAAATAACGGCATCCAGGATGAGTTGCACAAAAAACATGACATAAATGCGTGAGCCAATAGATTTTGAAGCGGAAAAAGTGAGACAGGTTGTTATCATCTCCTCGCCATCCTCGGGTAGAATTACAATAAAAATAGTTGTTGCGGCAACGCCAACCTGAAAAATGTATTCTTCTGGGCTTTCAATCTATGGTCCCACAAAATACCAGAGCTCAAAAAGCCCTCCCACTCACCGCTAATATAGCCAAAATTAATCCAAGAGTTTTTCCCTGTTTTTCATATTTGCGCACGTGCCACGTCGCCCAAGACCTTTCAATCAGTATTCCAGCATGACTCGTGGATACTAAACAGAACGCAAATCTGCAAATCATTTTATGCATGATTTATTCTATATTTCGAACTTACAGGAACGAGGCGCGGATCTTTGAGCAGAAATGCGTTTTGAGTAGAAGGTCACAGGGAGTCGGTTTGATCATCAGGTTAACGAAAAAGTTGGTCGCACTCCAGGCAGTGATTCCGCCGAGGAGTAGGCAGCTGACAACGTTCAACATCATTAGGAACTGCAAAAATGTTATTGTAGGACTACGATCAATATTTGTAGTTTATTAGTCAAAATTTGGAGTTGTCTGCTTCATTCATACGAAACTTGTGATTATAGCATGGGCTTTTGATCGAATACTAAAAAAGTTGGATAATTAGGCTCTCGGGGGAGGAGAGAGGTTCAAACTGGATTTTAAACTCTGAAATTTGAGAAATGTCAAAATATCAACACTGACAGACCAAGGTTCTGTTTGATGAAAAGTTTAAGGTTCAGAACTCGTTTTCCTACGTACTCTCGGGGTACTTTAAAGTAAAGGCGCTGTGTGTTCAGAATCCGTATGATCTTTGCGGCCTAGTTTTTTTTTCAACAGCGAAACAAACAGAATTCATCAGGCTTTTTTGGATAGAAATTTTTTAATCCATGTTCCGGACCGATTGGTTTGAGACAGGAGAGACCGGGGTTATGTCAAAATTGCGGCCTTTTTTCCCTCAGTTTATCTTTGAAGTTCTCTGTTTTTCATTGGCGGCCGGCCGGAGATCACAATTTCAACAGAGCGCATTCACTTTGAACTCACCACGAGGTTCGGATGGTAATACACCTTGAAGGCAAACTTTTTGCAGATAAAGAACAGCATCGGAAAAGTCATATAACCCGAAATGCCTTGAAAAACGACGGCAAACAGGTAGAGTGGGTGATAGTAGAGTTCTCCACGAGTCTCGCATCCCTCCATAGCTGGAAAAGTGAAATTAGCTTAGATTACAGGAAAAACAAGAAAGTTTTTACATATTCTTGACTGGCGCTGGTGCTGGCTTTTCCACTCACTACAAACCAACCCGCTAGCTTCGTTCACGAAATAAGATCTGGTCAGCCGCTATTTTTACCTAGTTTCATAGGGGAAATAATAGAGACTGTATTCTATGAAAGAACAGGTGATTTTCTTTATTTACACCTTCGATTTATATTTTCCTGCTGAAAGGTCACTCTCACCTGGATCGCTGTAACGGCTCGTCACGTTTTCCATGAGAATAAGGTGATTGTTTGGCTACTGTTCTCCCCAAAACACCCACCGAAACGCTAAATTAAATGTACCTTATGATTTGAGCAAAAGGTGAAAGAGGAAAACAGTGATTTGAAAGAGAATGATGCAAGTTTCGTGTCAAAATGTTGAGAAGATGGATTTGAGGTAAAAGGAAGTGGGAGCTGAAATAAGAACAGGGAACAGGAAACTAGAATCTGTTTTGTGAAAGTTCGAGATTCTCAAAAGGACAAAAAAAAAACAGAAATATGTCAATAGGAATAACTATACCGAGAAAATTGCGTTTCAAACCTTTCTCCAAGGAACCGGAAAAACTCGAAATGTGCAATTTTTTCTGTTTGAGGTACGGTACTTCTAACTACATCATCTAGAAACCCTTAGACAACAGTAAGTCGAGTTGTGAGCACATGGAGATTATTGTAGCTTCAGATGAATCAAGCTACATTCAAACTGCCAAAACACCTGAAGTTTACGTCGTCTAATAAACTTTTCGAAACTTCTCGATTAGCAGAGATCTAACCAGCTGACCACGTTTCTTATCCACAACAACAATAACTCACGTTTAAAGAAAGTAGGAATCAAATCGTCTAGCTTAAAACGAGAAAAAAAAATGATTGTGCCCCAGAGAAACTGATTAAATTCAGTGTCCAAATAAGCGAATATCATAATCTAATGACGGACGTACGGAAAAGGGTAAATAAATAAACATGTCGTGTGTTGATCATATCCATGCCAATTCTTTTGGTTTCGTTGTGGGTAAAGTGGAAATGTGACAAAAAGTACCAGACACTTTTACATGCTTTAATGTGATCTCATTACCCAGACATTTTCTCACAGCTCGAAAAGTTACTTAGGTCATAGGAACGAAAAGTTATTTAGGTCATTGGAAAGTTGGACCCTGTGACTAAGAACGTGTTTCACAGATCAGCGAGAGTTGTGAGAGAGTTGGGCTCGGGAAGAAGGAAGGAATAAGCGCGAGTTGTCAGACGAATAGTAACCTTTTCCAAGACTACTCTATAATTTTATCAGTAGGTTTTTCTCGGAAAACACTCAAAACACAAGCAACGTGCCAACCCCGAAAGGGAAAACTTCCATGATTGACACCTAGACACACGGAATATATGAATCGGCGGAAAAGACATTTGGAGGTGGGCGCCGCAGCAACGCTTTCTATTTCCGACCGAAACTGACTGACTGATCTATTGAAATGAAATCTGAAAAAAATGTGCATGTTGGTTAGTAGTTGTTGTAGGACAGGTGAAATGGAAAAAGAGCAAAAGTTGGGATCGAGTTTGGAGCAAACAACCTATCTATATTGCTGATTTTTCTGTGAAGTGTGTGCTCAACCACCCTAATTCGTTCAAAAGAAAAACTCGCATTCACATTCACATCCAATTTCCTGTTGCTGTCCCCAGACAGGTCTGAGATTCAATCTACAAATGAACCAGTTGGAACTGAACCGAGTATTTTTCAATTTTTTCAAATGTTGATTTTGCTAAACATTTCCAGAGGCACGTGTTGTTCTTGCCGTCACGAATTGGTGAATGTTTAGTCAGTTTCAGCTGTTCACTCATAAAGTCACTTGTGCCCAGTTTGTGCAACTTTTAATTAAATTTGTGTCGTGAATCTTTGATCGGGGACTGAATGTGAGGAAAAAAGTGCAATGCGAGTCAGATACTGAAGTAATAACACGTGTCAAGATGGAGGAGGAGGAAAAGAGCAAAACATGGAACTGGTCAGATGAGTTCGGACATTTTGAAACTAGACTAGTATGTATGTATGTACAGCAATTGTGAATTCGAAAACTGTTTGAATGAATTTCGCTGCAGATTGTTCTAAAAGTTATCGAACGTGTTGAGGTTATTCTGAGGCATTATAGCTATGTGAAAACAACGCGTTTTCAGCACCTGACACCTCTATGTATTGGACAAACAATAGTACAATCCTTAGTTGTCCTGAAATTGAGGTAAGTGATCTATGGAAAAAACCCAGACCCAGGCTTTGGAAAGCCTAGTCCTCTAACCCAGTTGAGATAATCCGAACGGTCCCAAAAATCATGACCCTGAAAGTGTCTGACTTAATTCTCTTTCAGAAGTGCTCCCAGCGCATTGTATAACCCCTATTCAGACGACCGGGAGCAGGCAAAACGCAAAACGGATGAAAGGCGGAAGAAGTCAGAATAACTAAGAGAGAATTCGAATTACCTGATTACCTTCGGAACTTTAGGTGGAAATATCGAATCCTGTTACTCATGAAATTAAATAATAATTACAGCACGTTTCAAAAAAGGTGAGAAACTGAAAATGATCTATCGAAAGTGAGAAAACCAAATAGAACTAGAATGAAGCCACAGTCATTTTTTGTCCATTTTTGCTTTGTCGAAACTTGTAATGAAGCATTTCAAGTCACTATGTATGTAAAAGAATGGAAGGTACGAGTTTCTTTGAAAAAAGATGGAACAGCTCACCTTCATCAGCGTCAGAGCTCATTTTTTTATGAACATGCAAGAACTAGAGTAAAAGTTTTGAGTTTTACAGCTGACAGCACCAGCGCACAGTTTTTTTCCCCAAATGACCGAAAAAATTGAGTAATACGGAAAAAGTACGGTTGATGGAACATTTTCGGTTTGATTACCCACAGACTTGATACGAATTTGGATAGAAAACACTGTGCCCTTCTTTTTTTTTACTTACTTTATGTCAGACCTATGTAAGACTCACCATTTTCTTCATTGAATGTACTCATTCTCCGGTTCTCAGCCAAAGTCACAGGATAGCCAAAAAGTTATTCGGGTCACTTTCCGGCTCAGGTTCTCATGATCTTATACCACGAAAACAGACGTCGTGTGTCTTTTTTCAGCGGAAAAACGATTTTGTTGACGTCCGGCGAGTTCATTGATTGGTTCAAACATGCATCGTTAAACAGCTGTTTGCATGCAAGAATAATGCATAATCTAAAAATGGACACATTTAATTGAAAATGAAAAAAGAGTGGGCGCATGATATCAAATAATTCATGAAGAAACGAAAAATACAGCAATCACATGGCTAGTGGAGTGTGTCTAGGCTCAGCTGGACATAGATCAGATGAAAAATGATGTGAGCTAAGGTTAGGGTAAAACTCTGTTGTACTTTCTATCAAAACATTTCTTCCACCAAACCAAGTTTTCTGGTTTTTTGTCGGTGGAGTATTTCGCAACATAAGAGGTGTCCCAATTGTAATAATTGTTCGAGAAATGTGCAGTTTTGATCATGTCAAGCTCGACGGTCTTTTTCGCCATTTCCGCGCGCTCCTTTAGATGTTTTTTGAGCATGTAGTATGCGATGTAGGTCAGCAAAAACGGTAGGTATGGAATTACCTGAAAAAATAAATGCAGAGTTAAGTGGCAATTCCAAGACAAGGTGCAACTTACGAAAACAGCAAAAACAATAATAATATAATGGTTTTTGGTGATCAAATGACGGAAAGGTCGGATTGCAATTGCCACCAGATTGTATCCTCCGATTATCAGTGAGCACGTGATTATCAACGGGTTCATTTGCTCCAGAACAGCCAAGTTCTCATTGGTTTGAAACTTTTCTGACAGATTTTCATCGGTATGCCTCGTTTTTCTGTAACTGAACCGATTTACAACGTGTCAAACTGAAAGAGGAGGTGTTGAAAACCGTTTTCTGTTGAACCAAAGCAACGTTTTGTGAGCCGAGAGCACGAGGACCTCCGTGAAACATTGAAACGTGAACAGATAGTAGATATTCTCTCCGATTTTAGATGCCGAAAGGGACAGACATGTTGGGACGTACTCTGTGCTGTCCTCGGGGATCATTATGAGATGCACAATAAGCAATGACAAGGCTGTCTGAAAATAGTGAGGTAATGCTGATGTTTTGCAAATGAAAAACTACTTACAATGATTGCAACTAACAGTATGCCCAAAGCACCGCTGGACTTTTCGTATTTGGAGAGTCGGACTGTCGCCCAAAGTCTCTCGATCACAATTGCCGTGTGATTCAGGGTGATCAGACAGAATGAAACTCTGAAATATCATATGAACACGTTTTGAGGTGGCTTCAAACTTACAGAAACACCCATCTGATCAATTGACATTCTTCCAGCTGCACGACGACTTCACAATTTGTAGTTGCTGTTAGAATTCTGTGCCACATTCCGGAAAAGTTGACAATAACTGAAGTTGCTAAGAAGAAAGAAATGAGCATGTTAAAATAGAACAGGATCTGGAACAGATTATTGATATTTTCAGCCAAAAACTCATTTTCCTATTTCCTAAACTTACTTTGATGTTTAAGTGCCAAAAAACTCGGAAAGCATATTTCTTAAAGAAAACTGCCATGAAAATGTAGGATGCCAAACACGATCCCAGGCACAGAAGAGTCATGACCTGGAACGCAGGATGGTACGCCAAATCTCTCTCGTCTTGACATGTTGAGCTCATCTGAACACACATATATGTATGTTAAACGTGCAATTACACATTAGCACAATGGCTGATTTTGAACTGACATCGCTAGCTGCTGTCGCGAGAGCAGCGCCCATTTGGTAGCTGCTGTCGTGAGGGCAGCGCTTATTTGGTATTATAGGGGCAACGCACAGAAATGGCGCTCTGTTGAGAAACTCTTTTTGCAGTGCAAATCGAGCGACCTCGGGGCCGAGTTTGAAAAGTTAGGCCACGTTTTCAGTGGAAAATTACTTCGCGGCCTAGAAATTCGGCCAGATTGCGAACATCGCGCCCTTTCTGTCCGGTGCCCCTATAATAGCTGCTGTCGCGAGAGCAGCGTCGATTTGGTAGTTGCTGTCGTGAGAGCAGCGCCCATTTGGTAGCTGCTGTCGCGAGAGCAGCGCTTATTTGGTAGCTGCTGTCGCGAGAGCAGCGCTTATTTGGTAGCTGCTGTCGCGAGAGCAGCGTCGCTTTGGTAGTTGCTGTCGTGAGAGCAGCGCCCATTTGGTAGCTGCTGTCGTGAGAGCAGCGCTTATTTGGTAGCTGCTGTCGCGAGAGCAGCGCTTATTTGGTAGCTGCTGTCGCGAGAGCAGCGTCGCTTTGGTAGTTGCGGTCGTGAGGTTAGAAATAACAGAAAAGGGGATACAAGCAATAAGGAAAAACAGAGGAAGGAACTATTTTGGTCGGAGAATAACAATGTTCACTTATCTATACCGATATTCAATTTCCAGGTGTGGAGAAATGACTATGAAAAGTTCATTAACCAACCCTTCTAAAGATCAAGCAGACTTCGAAGAATCGTTTTTCGAAAAGGTTCATTAGGATCACCTTGTCATGCGGAAATGGAAAGAAAAGACAAAAATAACGTTGTGAATCACATGTAGGCCGGCTCAAACAAGGGAATGTACATGATCACAATAGAGACACTTATCCGGATTTCTAAAGATAACCTTTCATCACGTCATAAAGAGTTTTTGAGCCCAAAACTAAACCAAATGATTTGTCTAGTTTCCTAGGGTGTGAGGGTTGAAACTTTTGCATAAAACCCGGGCCGCCGGGGCCGGTGGTCAAACCTCCGTCGACCAGATTTGGTCCGTGACTACTTTATGTTCATACTTTCCTAAGATGTTCATTTTCCGCACAAAAGTCACGATGCTCATCAGCATCTGCTTTGTATTTTCAAAACACCGGAAATCCACTAGTTGAAAACACGTTACCTAACAATACATATACGCACAGACAGATTGAATTTGTGGATTGTATATTGAAGAAAATGGCGATCGACTGGCGCAATAAAACGCGATGACGTTCAAGGTGTTTTGAAAGGTGAAAAACAGAGGAAAATAACTTTCAAAGCGCAGAAAAATGGGAGATATTCGAAAACAGTGTGGTAAGGGTTCAAATGAGTCAATGCCCGTGAAATTTTGTCGTAGATGTACGTGACAAAGGATTAGGTGTAATTAAACAGATTAAAGCTATCAAGACTCGACCTTTAAAGAAGATCTTTGTGCAAAAGCAGAGTTGAAAAATTGTAAATTCTAGACGCTTCTAATCTTCTCGTTTCTGTTTAAATAAATTCGATCTTCAAAACAGATCTCTGTCATTCTTTCTACGTCAGAAGGAAATATACCTTTGTCATACATTCAATCTAGACGAGACTGCGACCAACCTGAGCAGATTTATGATTGAAGATGAATAATAACAGATGCGTAGACGTGTGATCAATCAGAAAGAAGTGAAAGAAGAAATACGGTTATTTCCAGAAATCGGCCGGATTTTTGCGTAGATTGCGTTGGAGCGCCGTTTCTAGAAATCTGCCTGTTTTGTACAATTGAAATTAGACGATGAGATTTAGAGCTGTATGAGGAATTGGACGTCAAAGCAGGTATAAGACCCAATGTTGGAGGTAACAAAATTTGACGTTTTGAGAGGTTTGGTCGTTTGACAGCTCAAATTTGCAGAATTCCATTCAAATAGAGTTCAAAGAAAATCAAGGATAAGTAGTGATTAGTTAGATAAGTTAGATAGAGTTTTGGCGGAGCCAATTTGTAAACACGTTGCAAAATGGAAGAAAAGTAAACAGGGCAACATGCGATTTGCACCGATGGCAATCCGCCGAAGCGAGTCCACTAATTAGTGCCGCTACAAAAAAAGAAGAGCGTAATGACAATTCTACTTTTTGAATCTGGAGAGTCAATTGATGCAACTCAATCTCTGGATGCCAACTTTCTTTTCATTCATAGTTTTTCAAAGGGCGGGCACTGTAGTTCAAACTGATCGTTCTGAAGATTTAGTCTGCAATGCGTGAGCAGCGCGCCACCCCGCGCCACCCCGCGCCACCCCGCGCCACTCCGCGCCACCCTGCACCCGGCGCCATTTATATACGCCCAGTGGGCGGCTGTATCTATGTATTTAGATGAACGGAGCACATTTTTCTGATCATTTTTGCTATTGGACGCTTCTCGATAGCTCCAACCGTTCTCGAGATATCACCGACACCACAGCGTCCAACGGTTATTTGAGGGCAGAGGACAAAAAAATTCAAAACTGCCAACGTTAGTTTGAATCTTCGTATTTTTCTCATTCATTTGATATACATAAAGTCATATTTTCGTCATTTTTATTTTTCGGTGTCATCTGAATCCTCAAATGACTTCTGAATCTTGTTGATATGTATTTAGATGAACGGAGCACATTTTTCTGATCATTTTTGCTCTTGGATGCTTCTCGATAGCTCCATCCGTTCTCGAGATATCACCGACACCACAGCGTCCAACGGCGTCCGTCGCCATTATATATACACCCTATGGGTGATTGAGCCGCGTGGCCAGGGTGGTGTAGTGGATGAGCTTCCGCTTACAAATCTGAAGGTCGCAGGTTCGAGCCCCGCCGATTGCAAATAAAATTGCCTCGGTGTGAGAATGATCTCTGTGGTTTCCAGATGTGACCAAAGGACGTGATGACTCCGGCGGCACATGTAAATGGTAATGATAATAAGCGGACGACTGGGAGACGGCTCAAGCACGGATGAAAGGATGTGAAACCTAGTAAGTGCGATTGAAAAACAGCTCGATCCTGTGACCTTCACACCGTAATACCTGAGCCACCCCTTTTTTGTGAATTTGGTTTGGGAATCTTGGTCATCGAGTTAATCGCCCTCCGCAGTTGCTTGTTTTGTCTTTCCATTGCGTTCCTAGTTTCTGAGGCTTTTCGGTTCGACAAGTTTTATCAGAAATGTAAGAAATATCACTCCATAAAAGTTTTTCGCAGGCCGGAAAAAGTGGTAAACTGGAGTCCATTTTTATTCTCTTTTTCTCCAGTTCCATTCTAGGTTTTGTTGAAGAGATGATTTTAGCCGAGGACAAGTCACGCTCCTTTTTGAATTAGAGGCGAATGAAGACGATATTAGTCACATAAACGGAATTTGAACTCGGTGGACGAAGAGATTTTTATTAAAGAGCTGAGATCTGAATGGGAAAGAAAGAGAGTGCAGTCAAAAGGTTATGGTGAGGTAATTGGAATGTTAAAGGTGAGAAGAGAAGGTGGCATAAACTCAAAATGCAATTTATGTGTCAATTATCTTCTACATGTACGAAAAAATTCGGTGCGGCTGAAGCAACCCGGTGCAGTTTTCTTTGATTTTTTCTCGTTCGTCTTCTTCTCTCTGTCCCTGGCCTCCTCGAAACTTTTGTTCCACGTCATCTCTAGATTGACAAAGAAACTTGAATGATAAGAAGTGTCGACTGTCTTCTTTTCGCGCTTCAAGTTCGCGAAATATTCGAAGATGAGGAAGGTGGCCGATTCGGTGATTGGGCACAATGGAGGGAACTAAATGTAATAATGAAGGGTTTGAAAAAGACGGATACAAAATGTTCACTCACAAAAATGTAAAACGTGTAAAGTTGGTAGTCGTAATTATTCGTCGATAACGAAACAATTCTGAGGACCGATGCCAGCACACAGTAAGTGGCAATCAGGAAAGCGTTGCACGTGGTCGAGAGTCGAGTGTATCCAAGTACTCGCATACTCTCTCGCATAGTGTACTTTCCGGACAAAGGCACAACTTTCTGGCTGAAACAAAAACAAGTACTTGTGGTTTTTTTAAGGAAATTATTACCTGAATCTCTTATTCAAAATGTATACCCAAGTCTGCAGGATCACAACTAAAACCTCAGAGAATATCTGGCAGTAGTAGACCAGATATAGACGATCGCCGATTTTTGTGGACGACAGGGTGAGGCAATGAATGACCAGTTCGGTGGGGTCTTCGGCGAGAAGGATAAAGCAGACGGCTCCAAAGACGAATGGGATCTAAAAAGTTGATCATTATTGAGGTGGCGCGCTGAAAAAAATTACCTGAGCGAGCAACAAAGAAATTGCCAGACATGATTTGCACTTCTCGTAAGTTGTTGCCCATTTTGTGGCAATCAGACGTTCGATGGAGATGGCCACGTGGTTTGTAGAATTAAATATATAGCAAGTGCTAGAAACATTTTAAAACGTATGTGTGAGACGCCTATCGAAACATACAGGTAAGGCAATCTCACGATGATACATTCGCCGGTAGAGAGAAGAACATCGCACGCGTTTGTGTAGAAGTGACGTCGAAGGAGGTACCCAGTGAAGTCGAGAGTGCAGATTGAGGCCAGAACCAATGAGTTGGAGAAGTGGGCGATGAGCAGACCCTAAAATTAGAAAAAACTGTTAGTTTTGTTATCAGCTAAAAACTGAAAACTACCGTCCGTGTTCTCTTTTCTTTTAATGAGGCTTTACTGATAATTGATCCCATTGAAGTTCATTATGAAAAGTGCACTACGTTTCGAGCAAATCATCGTCGTACTTTCAGAACCTTTCATTATGACTGAATCAAATGATATCTGAGTCACGCAAGGCTATTAGACCGAATACTCACTTGATCGCTTTGAACTCATTGCTGTTTCAGTCACCTGCACACGTTTTTAGAAAAACTCAAGAGCTCTTTGGGCTTGCAATGTTTTTTCTGAGTTCAACACACCAAAAGAGCATGCTCACTACTTCCTCCCAGTGTTTTTTTGACATTTTAGCCTCCCCCAGTGCATTCGAAACTAACACTAATTCGGTTGATCTCTCTGACTATCTCACGCTCTCTCCCGCTAATTTTTAACTTTTTATATTGATTTGATTTGTGTTAGAGGCTTCGCCGTTCAATCAATAAAATTCAAACGTGAACTGCCCACGTGTCTATTTTTGTGCTAACATGTCGGGTAGACAGTAGCATTCCGGGGAAACACCGTAAGATCCCACAGTCTAAGTTGATCTCAACTTGAAGAACGTATGTACCTTGATGTTCGTGTGCCAATATCTGTGCAGAATGTTGCGCAGAGCAAATGATGATATGATCACTCCTGAGGTGCACGCGATGGAGAAGACAATCATGATCGTCTCGTACTGCCACCTATTCATCAATTGCTCGTCTTCTCCACAATATGAACTCATTTTCGACTGAAATCAGATGCGTTCACTTATCAAAAAACAAAGTTATACAGTACAGGAGAGGAGCCCTATCACAGAAAACGGTTGGTCACAAAGCTACAATAGCACGGGGCAAGAAAAAGCGTAAAGAATTGGGAGGAAGTATGATGGGAAAGGTTATTTTCAGCGCATTATGGGGAACTGATGAGTACTCTGTGAATGATAACTAGTTTTTTTCAGCGAGAAAAAATAAGAATGAAGTTATTCTGTGGTACTGGAATCTTCTCGGCAAGGCGGAGTTTATGACGGATTGCAAGCTGAAAAATAATAATTGATACCTTCGAGGAGACCTGACGCTGACGGAGCAGACATAATTAGAGTTGCTGATTTGGTTTTTTGGCACTCCTATCATTGGAAACTGTGCAAGTACACAAAATTAGGGCATGAAAAGATGACACAACTCTACAGAGATAGGATGAACGAAAAAAATTCACTTTTCAAAAGAGTAGTCGGAAAATGTAGAAGAAAGGAGCGAAAATTCGAGAAGAATGACTGACTGACTGACTTGAGCTTACAACTCATAGAAACAGAGCCGTCGTGGAAGACGGGGGCAGATGTTTTCTTTTCCAGAAGTCAGTCGTCTCTAAACTTTTTTCGCTCACAAATCAACATCACGGCCATGATTTCACTGGAACCATCCAAGCAGAACGACTCACCCTTTCCAAGTACTTGATATCTTTCAGCCCGTGCTCGGCGTCTTGATTTCTGAGCATCGCGTGAAAAGCCACGTTAGATTGGGGACTGATGAAGCCGTCTTCGCTGTACCGGCCATAGGTTATGAGCACTCCGCTTGTCTCGTGAAGAAGTTGATCGGCCGACTGAAAATCGATAATTGCTGATGGTGTGAAGAATTACTGTTAGGTCCGAGATGTAATCTTTTTTTTAATTCAAACCCAGTACCTGGCTGGGCAATTGGCTAGCCCGGGCTTGGACTTTGGACTTCTTACAATTTTCCAATCAGACCCAAACATTTCCTTCCCAAGGTCACATCGTTATGTTACCTATGACTGATGATGGTGGTTTTCTGACCTCAAAACTGTCAAATCCCGAGGGAAGCACAAAATCGCAAAAAAATTTTTTCTCAAGACCAGGCCGATCGGGCCGACGGGCCGGATCTCCATACTCCCGATAATATCTTTCAATCAAGATTCCTGATTCTGTTCACGCTCTCAAATAATCTTTGATAATGATTTCCTTCTCCTTCCGTATCCCGCTTCCTATTTGTCTTCTGACGGCGTGCATGTACATAAGTATGTGTTCTAGAGGCGTGATCGGCGGCCGTCGGTCTTTTCGGTCATTACACTCGCTTTCCGTCATCTGCCGTTACTCTCGAACCGGTGCAGCTGAAAAATACGACGGACGGGCGTCCTCTCGCTCACTGGGCGGAGGACACTGCTCACCGCTCAAACATTCGCGCTCACAAACACTTTCAGACGGGCGGTTAGCTGTCGGAGCGCCTGAAATTTTGGGGCGGCTGCATTTTTGAGAGCAGCGGAGAAGACACGCGGGAGCTGAGGCACACAGCAAAAGCCGACAAAGCAAAAAAGCGAGGGGCGCAATCAAACGACGAGCTAACCCTCATTAAAATACATATATAGGAGGGAATTTAGCGGTGTGAATCCTTCGGAACGCGACATCTTCTAATCGAAGCAACGGGTTCCACTTCGTTTCAGTTTACACTTCAGGAAACTGGCAAAAATTTACTTCAAACAGTCCTTCGACAGCCGCTGTGGAACAAATATGGAGCATATTGATGTTGAGTACAATGTCAACCTATAAGAAATCATTCCAGCTCCATTTTCATTCATCCTCCTCACCATGTTCGGTCCGAAATCTGCCGGCAGTGCCCATTGATCGAACTTCTTTGCCACGTCAATATACAAAGGGATGCGCACATTGTCAAGCTGAAACAGTTCAAGTTCAAACATCCAAACCAAGATTTCCAATCAGAAAAAGTCATTTTGAGTGCTAAATAACATTTTCGAAAGCGATGATTATAGTTTTGGTCAAAAAACCAAAGTTGTTTGTCCGTTTCGGTAAGGTTCCACCGCGTGGGAAGAGGGAAAAGGGCATAGAAGCAAACCATATTTAGACGATTCTTTGTCTTGTAACGGTTATAGATCAGAGTTGAGCGGAAATGGAATTTTGAAATCCGGAAGACGGCAGACGGCAGACGGAAGAAATTTTTTTACGGAATACGGAAAACGGAAGACGGAAGAAAATTTTTCTCACGGAAGACGGAAGACGGCAGACGGAATTCCGCTCAACACTGTTATAGATCGAAGAGCATTGAATGTCGCAGGAAGTGTACAAGGCAAGACAAAGATTGACACTAAGTAGTAATCGGAACTGATATGCGTTTGTCAATTTGGAGAGTGATTGAAATGGGAAAATCTTAGTCCGTCCTTCAGCGAGCGAGTAAGGTCAGCGAATGGTCTTCTTGCAGTGATTACCGCCTTGAAATGCAGAAAACCGAGCATTTTTGTAATTCAAGCAAAAGAAGGAATCCGCTTGTATTCAGTCTGAAGGACGAACTTTGTGCCCGTAACTGCTTGCGAAGTTCAGGTAAACTACATGGAACACAACTTTGCCAATTTTGAAAATAAATACTGACTCGATATTGATCTACATGGGCCACAATGCTGTGTAAGGAGCGACCATCCACTTCTGTCGGTTGAAAAATGGCCTCCGGGATGGCCTGAGCGAAATAGACGACGTGTTGACCGGTTCCTGAGGCGACTTCGAAGACCTGCAATAAACGGAATCATAGAAAACGTCTATTTTTCAAGATGAAGCGCTTACTTTCTTTCCTGGAGTCGCAAAACGTCTCAACACCTCCAAAATCACATCTTTATTCGATTCGGCTGCCGGCGCACGCAACATCGTCGTCTACAAATGGTCGGATTACACCAGTTCGGCCGGTGTTTCTGCTGAAACGTTTTTTTGGTGGGATTACGATGCAAAGTGGCGAGAGAAATGAAACAGTTTACCGGAAAACGAGTGTAACTGCATTTTAGCTGATAGAAACTGGTAACGGAATGTAATTCAATTCACAAAAGATGAGCAGAAGAGAGAGAAAGCGAGTGAGAAAGAGAGAGAGAGATCGGCAACGCGTGGAAGATCGATATTCTGCCCTGGGCATGCGCATACGGGTCACCCCGCGCGGGAGGCCCGATGACCCTCCTGCCGCACGATTTCGCAACAAAAAATTGTAGAGAACACCGAAGAAACTGTTTATTCGAATCGAAAATGTTAGAATAGACAGCAAGATCAGGGGAAACATGAAAAAAATAAACCAGTGGGTAAAACAAATATCACTCGATGAGTAGCATGATTATTTTAAAAATAAACTATTGCAAGAAATCGGTAGGAAATTCAAAAATCACGGGGAAACAGACTGAACCCGTAACTTAAATTAAAAATATTCAAAATATTTCAGAAAAAAGCGTCATCAGAATTAGAGAACGTGCTGGCTAACAGCAATACTTCTTATCCCTCGATACTGTACTCCATTGCGAATTGTACATGGTGAAATACGCTTGCGAATTCACTTTTCCATTCGTCTCCTCTTTTCTCTGTTTCCGTCGACGGAACTCGCTGCGTGTGGTCAGAAGGATGGTGACTGACAGAAGAAGAGAAACGTAGGGGAAAATCTGAAATATTTCGACCATGACTTTAAAATCTCTAAGTGAAAAAGGGGGTTGAACTAACAAATGTGTTGATGGCAAATAATTTGTAGTTGGTCAGTGTCATAGAATTTCGGAATCCTCTCACAATCACCGCAAGCAAGATGTAAGCGGACACAAATATCGTGTTCAGCACAACCATCGGGAACAGGGCTCGTAAAACCACCAAGTTCTCGTGTTGCTGATACTTTTTGTTCAGTCCCGCTGATCTGAAATGAGGGGAACGTTGAAATTCCGCCCGCAAAACGTGGGGTGTATAACTCACAACACTTTCTGCTTGTTGTTCCAGTAAAGACCAAGAAAAACGACGAGAATGCAAAGATCAACGGCCAAAATGCCATAGAACACAATGAACATTCTCTCGCCGATAGAGACGGACGCTGAATAGGTCAGACAGTGAGTCATTGGCTCCGAAGCATTTTCGTTCCACAGGGTCCATTCTATTGTGAGCATTGCGGACAGAATCTGGAAGCAAGTTGTTTAGACAACAATATTTATTAAAAACCAACCGAGAACAGAACAAATAATCCTCCGAGCCATTGGGTCTGAAACTCGTATCTCTCCTTTAAAAGCGTTGCAATCAATCTTTCAAACATTTGGGAAAATTGTGTTGTTGTTACACCCACAAAACAAGTTCTGAAGTACACATAATTAGGAAACTTTCTCTCTCTCTCTCTCTTTTTTGACTTACAATGCAATTCTTCTGAAAATCGAACAAGAGGCGGTGGTGAAGACCAAATCGCAGTCGTTTGTATACGTCAACGCTTTGAAAACTTGCCGAGTGCACACAAAAGTGATGTCCATTGAAAAAAGCAAACAGAATATTGTGAGCAATATCATCAGTACCTTAAATTTCATCTAATCTAGAAGATTTTGTGTAATAACGGTAACTCACTTTAGCGTTATGATGGAATAGTAATCGGAACCCGTACAGAAAGAATGAATAGGTGAGCACTGCCACCGACGCAATTCCAGATAAAGAGCACATGATCTCAGGTAGAATGTACAAGAAGTGGGTGGCGACACTCCGGTTGTACGCACATACCGAATCGGGAATATCAGTTCCCAAACCATTTTGTTCCGTGCCCATTTTGCTGGAAAAGTTCAAAGAATCGAAAAGAAGAATGAATAGAGCCAATGTAACGGAAATCGCGGCACCCCGCTTTTTAGGATAGTCATTTGATCTTCTGGAGAGAATCTCGAGAAAAAAGAGTAAGCAATGAGTGAGAGGAAATGGATAATGAAATGAAGTCTTGTTCGTCTTCTTAGTCTACATATTCTACACATCCGGACAACAAAAAGAGGAGGCGTGGGATTTGGAGGTGGAAATAGCATGAGAAACCATAACATTTCGAGAAGAACCTGAACATTTTAGAACATTTCATAAGGATCAGTCGGCTCACGTGAAGTGCAAACAAACTAGTTTTTAATAAATCTTACATGCAGAAGTGAGAAAGGATAGGTAGAAAACTCTAATGAGCCTCATTTCATAAAGTCGAGACTTCTCGAGAGTGTGCATCACATGTTTTTAGGGTAACTTATTTCAAGTTGAGTAAGTTGTGATCCGCTAGAAATCAGAGAAAGAAATGTCCCATGCAGAAACAAAGAAACATTGATAAAACAAAAAGAAAGCGTCAATTTTGGAATTCCGCTTGTTAGCAGCCAATTATCGTTAAAAATCATCTATGCAAACTAACACATCAAAGTCAGAGAACATGAAGAAGGTAGACGCCGTTTTACGAAATACACTTTAAATAACGCATGAACAAACATGGCGGAAACATCTTCCAAAAGTGGAATGTTTTTGCTGGGCAGCTCACATGTGCTGCAGCCCTTATTCAAAAGAGAACTGTGCTCTGAAAGCACTCTGATCAATTAAGAATTCTTTTCCGGAGGGAGGGAGCAAAGGAAAATCGAATTAATAAAGCAATAGCGGCCGTGTTTCATTGCTCTTCTTTGTCTTGCCCGCCCTGCTTCCGCATTTTTCCATCTTCTTAAGCACGACCATATGGATGAATAAAGGAGAAGAAGAGGCATGTATGAGAAGGAGAAATTAAAAATGTATGCGAAGGAACAAAGAAGGGCAATGGCAACAAGCGCTTAGAAACGCGAAACGGCTCAGAAAATGAGTCGTTTTGCTCAAAACTGTCTATTTTTCACTTGCTTTGCTATTGTCACTTCATTATTCGGAAAGATTCTGTAAGTGTAAAAGCAGAAGCAGAGCACTAGACAATCGCATTGACTTATTCATCAAATGCCGAGTGGTTTTGGAGAGCGGCGGCTGGGACCCTTTTTGGTTGATTAGTTGACCCCGAAGTGGGGAAATAGCGGGGAAAAAGGATGAGTTTTGAGCAGTTGGGAATAGCCAAAACATTGAAAAATTAGGCAATTTTTGTGCTTTTCGTTTTAACTTTTTTCAAACTCTAGAAGTTTGGTGAGAAAGGAAAAACGTTCTCACACTAAGCTCTCGACGAACTTTTGAAGAAAACACGACTTTCTCTACATTTTTCACTCTAATCCGTTCAAAAAAAAAATGTGAAGTGGGTTACCTTGCCGAAGTATCACGTGCAGGAACAAAATATTTGCGACGTTAGTATCATAAAGATTAACTAGAATAACGCAATTCAGAAAACCCAAATAAGCATTATTGTATCATATTTTTGGAAAAACAAGATATGAACAAGTTGTTTGATGACAAAATATGAAAAAAAGGGTTCTTAAAGTGATGTTGATTGGATTATGATGTTTTTCTGTTTGCAGACTACACCTAGACATCAACAAACGGACCTACAACCATGTACCGGGAGAGTGTGGAGTCATACCCAATTTGCCGGGAATCTTGAGCGTTGCAACAACAACTGGTGGCAGGCTGTACATGACAGTGGTAAGAAATGGAAGGATTGGGGCAATAAAGTTGCAGCGCTTCCTGAATCGTGCTATCCGCTAAGGATTATGCAAATTTGACCGGATTGATTCTAGGAAGCAACTCTCGTAAAGTAATGACTTCATTTTCCCAGCATGCTAAACGCAAAGTTCACGACTTAACCCAAAGACCAAACTAAACTAGCATAAAATACTTTTCTTTTTCTCAGAGTCCCAAAGAGAATACAAATGGAGACACGCATCTCTTCACATTCTACTCGGACAATCGCACCGCCAGAGAAATTGTGCTGCGCGGAACGCCCAAGAAGTTCCGGCTCAAAGCGAGTGCACTAAGTGTCACGGACTCGCTGAATGTGAGTGTTCTTTGTGTGATGAGGGCGGCCAATTGCTTGAAAGTCCAGCAATTATTGCCGGAAATAAAAAAGGGTGTGGGTAATTGTGTGAAATACGATAACTTTTCCTTGTTTTTAAGCCGGATGTATTTGTTTTCAACGAGAAGACTTTGGAAGTGGAAGTATTCGAGACGAACGAACATGGAGATGTATGGAAGTATCTGAGGACCATGACAAATGAACATTTTGAAGGGTGAGCACAAAATATTCTTGAAAAACTCTATACAGCGCTGGTAATGGTGTGAAGAAATTTCGTTTCTCAATTCGATTTCCCCCGCTTTTTAGTGTCTCGAATTCAAAAGAAGCTAGCTGCTCACAATGAACATTTTATGATTTTGTTTTTCTCAGACTGGATGATCTTGCAGCTGCCGGACCACAATCGTTCTATTTTGTCAAAAACAGCATTTTTGGAAGCGCATTTAATTTCATAGAAAGGTATATAAAACTATTAATCCGAACCAATCAAAAATTTGCATTTGTTTTCTACTCTACATATTCTTGTTTTTTGGCCGCCCGACAGCCGTATTCCCGTTTTTAGACTTGTTCCTCTGCCCACTGGACAGCTGCTTTTTGCGAACAAACAGGGGACACGACATGTTATGCACATTTCCTCGCCGACTGGAGTCGTCTTTGACAGTCTCAAGAAGTGAGTCATTAATTGACCCCTCATTTGAAAAAGGTTTGTGGAAAAATGCATTTTTCAGAACAATTTTCGTCACCTCATTTACTAGGAATTCGATATACGTTGCTAAAATGAAGCGAGGAAGTGAAATTGATCACATAAAAGTTGGTGAAATTTTGCCACTAAAATTTCAAATAATTCTTCCGTCAGGAATACGACATAGGATGTTCGCCGTCTTCCATTTGGAAAGACTTTGACGGATCGTTTTTGGTGACGTGCCATCAAATCAGATTCAGGTTAAAATGAAAAAAAAACGTACAGAGAATTGAGATAATATTCAGATATCTTCTGAATTATTCGAAAGTCATTTTGTCCTCGCCGTCAATGGTACTTCGCGTTGTGATTCCGAGGAACGAGGACAAGAAGATGTGAGTAAAATCGGATGGAATGAAATATGAATGTCTATTCCGGAGCTTTACGTGCTCTCCCGAAACTATCGTCTAGTTGATAGCGTTAGCAAAAAACACGTAGATAGTCTCCAGAGGTCCTTAATTATGTGCAGTTTCCAGAGCGATCACGCAGTTGTACTCAAATGACGGAGCAACAATATCTCGAGCCAATATTGCTGTAAGAGCTGGAAGAAGTTTACTGATTTCTGAAGGGGACAAGATTCTTAATTGCCACGTGTAGCACAATAAAATTTTTTTAAGTTAGGCTTTATGAAGTTTCTCACATTTTTCAATTATCGATTAGACCAGCTGCCGTGACGTGATTGAAGTTTACTTCGTTAGAACCTGATTTTGACAGGCGATGTTTCGAAAATCTGGTCTGGTAGTCTGAAATTCGGAGCTCAATTTAGTACCACTGCCGCCCACATCCCTGAGAACCTCTTGGAAAAAGTAAATGTTGGACCGCTGTGGTATCTACCAGACTTGCAACGGCCCGGCCCAGCCCGGCCCGGCCCGGTCGGCCCGGGAGGATGCACCTAAAAATTCAAAGCGAACTAGAACTTCGAAACGAACATAATTTTCTGTTAAAAAATAGAAATTGCTGTTTAAAGTCGCAAAATTTTCACAAAAATTACGAAAATTTTCTCAAGAGTGGGCGGAGCGATTGATTGCAACTCTGGCACGCCATTTTAGCAATTTAGCCGGACGCGTTTTCCTCTTCCTTCATATTTTTTTTTGCATATTTTTTTTGAGGTCTAACTTCCGGGCCGACCGGGCCGGGCCGGGCCGACGATTTGCTGGGCCGGGCCGGGCCGGCCCGGGATTTGGCAAGTCTGGTATCTACCGGTTAACGTTATTCTTGCGCTTCACATCTTCTGCCCGACTGCTCGAACTTATTGATCGGACTGATATCTCGACTAGCTGTCTCAAGTCTTCGAATTGACAATCACCTTAGCGTTCGACTTTTTCAGACCGAATGCGCCACTAGAACTTGACTTCCTCGACAGTAAAGTGTTCCGGCTGACAAAAACACTGTTTTCACTAATGTAACAGTCAATAACTCCTCGTTCATTTTTTTATTTCTGCGATAGACCGAAAAGATGAAAGTTGTTAAGAATCTCACGGCATTACCAACGATTGTAGAGAATGTCTGTGAGAAAACTAGCAAAAAACCACTTTCTTTTCGTGAGACCTCGTTCCGTTTCTGCTGGACCTCATGAACAGACTTGATCTGCCCTATTTCTTATAAGTTTGAGATTTAATTGTCATCAAGGTGCACTTTTCCTTTTACGACTCTGGACGCCGTTTCAACGGGTTCATTAGCAGTACTGGTGAATAATTTGACATTCGGACTTGATGAAAATGACTTAGCGAAACACTATGATTCGTGAGCAGTCTGTGCCCGTATGGTCTCAAGGGTAAGCTAACGAGCACGAAACACGGATTGACTGCCGTCGGCTACTCATTTCTTTACTATTTACGTCAACCTGAGTGGTTCCCTTTTGTTCAATCTCGAAATGGCTGGGAATACAACGTCCGTCGTTCTGCTCGATGAAAGTGCAGAGCTTGACGTGTTCTCTCTGATTTGGACATGGTTCCAATTCCTCTATGGAATCCAAGCTTGTCTCACCATGCTCATTTACATTGCTGTCATCTGGTTCAACAGAGCGAATAACTTTAATTCCATTTTATACGCCCTTGTAGTTGCGGACTTGTCTGTGGTAGGTGTAACTTTTAGGCCGTCACTCACCAAAAGTCTCAGAACATTCTCTGCTGGTGGAACACCTGGTTCTCTACCCGAATGGAAATTATCCCGTTCCTGATTCCTTGGCTGAAATTCATTGAAGCATTACGTCCGGGTTCGCTGACTTTTTTAAAAGACCTCAACACTTTCTTCTTCCACCTCCAAGTCTGCTCTGCCCTTTCCATGTTCCTATACCGCCTTGGACGACTCGAGTGTCCGTTTCACTTCAAGAACTATCAAAAGCTCTACTTCGCCCTCTACTTTCTTTGCTCTGTCGCCTACAGTGGCCTTCTCTTATTGCCGTGCTACGGGGAAGCAATCCAAGTTTCTCTGAACAATGGAACACTCACAAAAGTGATCGCCCTGCAAGGATCAAAGAAATCAATGTGGTTCATTTCAATATCTTCCGGAGTTTATATGTTCCTGTTCTTCGTTCTCGGGCTGGCTCCACGTTTCAAATTGCTTGTATCTACAGGTATAATGTTTCAGAAAAACAAGTGTTTATTTATTTACTTTTTAGACGTTTCGAGTCCAGCACTTCGGGAAAGGGACAAGGAATTGCGATCCATTCTCGGCTCCCTGACATACGTCTACTGTTCTGTGTACACCGGCATCGTTGTATGGAGCGTTCTGAACCTCATTCAACTCTACCATCCGTTCCTACCCGTTTGGATCCTGCAACACAACAACCTCTTCCTGACCACTGTCTCCGACATTGTAAACTATTGACAATCTAGACATTTGACTTCAAAATTAACATTTTAGATGACTCTTGCGCTCCCTTACGTGCTCATCCACTACGACGGGAAAGTGAAGAAATGCTGGAGAAAGGTCTTATGTCTCCGGAAATCGATTCGCGTTGGACCCATGCGTGGTAGAAACGTCTTCATCGGCAATCAATAATTCCCCCCAATTGTCGCGAAAACCTTCTTGAACCGTATTATGTCTAACTATACATATTATACCTAGATTAGGGATGTGCTTGTCAATTAACTTTTCTTTTAAAGAAACAATATGTCGCCGAAATCGGCTGTCACATAGCCCTGTCCCTGATGAGTCATCGTTCCGATATGAATACCTCCAAATAATCGACCTCATTCCATTGTTTTTACCTCAAATTATTCTGTCTTTCCCACGTTACTTTTCACGTTTATCACTTGTTATTTAACTTAACTATACAAAAGTACACCCTACCCAATCAAATGCATCCTCTCCTAACTCTCTTCAATCGTAATCTCTCCGCTATTCTTGTTGTTTCATTTTGAGAGCTCTCAAACCAGACTGCAAACACCCGACTTTTGAAAATCTGAACCTCCGACCCGAAATATCCTATAAGCCCTTGGATTTCCAACTTTTAAGAGACCATCTTCCGCTTCTCAACTAGGATTGTCATTACTATGTATCCATATGCATTGCACGTTATGATGTTTGGAACAAGTTACGAAAATAAATTAAATACTCGATAATCAGAAAGTTGTTTTATGTGATTCAAACAAAAACAGGCTAGAGTCTAACTGCATTGTCATCTGATTTGAAAAATAGTAATAGGACTATTTCGGAGTAGATACGAACACCAGGCTCAAAAATCGGACGCAGCATTACATTCAAAAACCAACGAGAACTGGAGGGTAAGTCGAACAATGGCGGTTGTCCGCCTTGGGTCACGAAACTAAGTAATTATTTTGTTAGTTTAGTTCATTAAATCGTGTTGGTGTAAGATCTGAATGTTTTTTTGTTCTCAAAAAGTAGAAGAAAAGATCTGAGAGTCTGAAAACCAGACTTATCGTTTTCACATGACCGACGGCTCCACTAACATTCGAAGTTTTTCTTCTTCTTTATCAGTTTAAGATTCATTTGTCCTCGAGGTGAGCTTTTTCCCCTTTACCACTCTGCACGCGCTTTCAACGAGTTCATTAGCCGTACTGGTGAATAATTTGACATTCAAACAAGATGAGAATGACTTGGCAAGAGCATATGATTCGTGAGTAATCTGTGCCCGGATGGTCTCAAGGGTAATCTAACGAGCTCGAAATACCGGGTGACTGAGTGCCGAAGACTGACTGCCGAAGGCTACTCATTTCTTCTCTTTCGACATCCACCTGACTGCCCTTCTTTTTCTTTTCAAACTCGAAATGGCTGGAAATGAAACTTCCGTCGTTCTGCTCGATGGAAGAGCAGAGCTTGACACGTTCATACTGATTTGGACCTGCTTCCAATTCCTCTATGGAATCCAATTTAGTATTACCACGCTCATTTACATCACTATCAGTTTTGGCTACAAATCGATCGTTCTCAACTCCTTTTTCTACGGTCTTGCGGTTGCAGACTTGTCTGTGGTAGGTGTAACTTTTATGACGTCATTCACCAAACGTCTCAGAACATTCTCTGCTGGTGGAACACCTGGTTCTCTACCCGAATGGAAAGTATCCCGTTCCTGATTCCTTCGCTGAAATTCATCGAAGCATTACGTCCGGGTTCTCTGACCTTCTTCAAAAACCTCAACACTTTCTTCTTCCACCTCCAAGTCTGCTCTGCCCTTTCCATGTTCGTATACCGTTTCGGACGACTTGCGTGTCCACTTCACTTCGCATACTACCGAAAGCTCTACTTTATCCTCTACTTTCTTTGCTCTTGCGCCTACAGTGGTCTCCTCTCATTCTCATACTACGGAGAAACGGTCCAAGTTTATCTGAACAATGAAACACTCACAAAAGTGACTGATATGGAAGATTCAAAGAAATCACTGTGGTTCACCTGCATATCTTCTGGTGTTTATATGTTCCTGTTCCTCGCCCTCGGACTGGCTCCTACACGTTTCAAACTGGACGAAGCTACAGGTATAATATTTCAGAAAAACAAGTGCTTACAATTTCTTTTTCAGACAGGTTGAGTATAAAACTTCGGGAAAGGGAAAAGGTGTTGAGATTCATCCTCGGGCCCCTGATATACGTCTATTGTTCCGTGTACACCGGTATCGTTTTATGTAGCGTTCTGAACCTCATTCATCTCTACCATCCGTTCCTTCCCGTTTGGATCCTGCAACACAACAACCTCTTCCTGGCCACTGTCTCCGACCTGGTAAACTGTTGACAATCTAGACATTTGACTTCAAAACACCTAATTTAGATGACTCTCGCGGTTCCCCACGTTCTAATCTATCGCGATCGAAAAGTGAAGATCTGCTGCAAAGAAACTTGGTGTTATCGGAATTGTTTCCGAAAATGTTTTCCGGAAAATATTCGCGTTGGACCCACCCGCGCTCGAAACGTCTTCAGTCACATTCACTAATTGGTTCATTCTTGGCGAGAATCCTATTCGTATTTATCATAATTTTATTATTACTTGATGAATCATCAATTCGATATGAATATCCTCAACACCGACCGCTTCCCATTATTTTTACCTCACGTTATTTCGTCATTTCCCCCTTACGTTACTCAATTTGATTCACTCATTCCTATGTCCCCTACTTCCTTAACAAGGAGTGAGTCATTCTGTTTATAAAATTTTTAAAAAAATTTACTATGTATACATATGGGCGGTCCCACATAATAGAACTGGGAGAATAGAACTGCGCAGAATAGAACAGCAAGACAATAGAACTGTTTTTGTGTATTTTATATGAGCATTTTGTCCGTTCCTTTCAATTAACTTTCGACTTCTTGCATAGCAATAACGTCGGAGAGAGGAAGAGAGAGAGAGCCCGACTTCTTGCATAGCAATAACGTCGGTGATAATGAGTGTTCTACTCGGCATATATAGCTACAGTGAATTCACGCCCACTGTGCTTCACCATCATGCTCCACCCCCACCTTAATTAACGGTGACAAAGGTGGAGGAGGCGGAATCTCAAAAATTTCATATATCTCTGGGTAATCTCTAGGAAAATCAGTTTGATTGGTATCTCCTTTTTATCTCAAGTCTCCCACGGTGATAAGTAGGAGCAGGTGGGCGGAAGGCTTTTGAAGATTAATTTTTCTCTAGAAAAGTGTCAGATGGATGGGTAATGAGATGTATGCTTCAAATGGCTTCTGTCAGCGTGGAAAAACGAAAGGAAAAGGAAATGAGAATGCAGCTAATGGGCGGAGCAGAGAAAAGAGCGAGGGAAACGACCTTGATGTGTGGAAACGAAGAAGTGTGCGGTGGCGACGTACTCGAGCGTCTAGAACACATAGAAAACGTTACAATTTCACGAAGAATGAAGCGATCGGTGGCGAAATTTGACGACAGATGACGTTACAGATCGAGCAGAGTCTCTGTCAAAGCGTGTGCTTTATATTTAGAACATGGTATAATAATAAACTAAATAATCGAAAATTAAAGAGTAGTTTGATGCGATTAACATTAAAAACATGCTAGAGTCCAAAATGGAACAGCCATCATAATTCACATTCTAATGAGGTAGAAAAATGATGGTAATCACGTTCGGGATCCGGAGTGCATTATTTGAAAATCATAACGGTCATGGGTTCATGGCATTTTTTTAAAATTGGCATGGACCCAAAACGGCCAGAAGTCGTTTGTCCGCACTGTTCGAGAACGTTGGGCGACTTGCTGAAGACACACGCAATGCGCAATCATGTGATCTTGGCAGCGAAATGTGAATTTTGCAATGTGAACAACGAATGCAGGGAAATTGGAGGACCTTCTGTCACATGCACCGTCACGGATATTGATGGATTCTCAAAAGAAGTAGTTGGTGCGGCCTGAAAATAGCTGTTGCAAGCAGTGTGTTTTTGTGAAATGATCAAAAAATTTTGGAAAACACTCTTTTTTCTCTGTTTTTCGCTGAGCCGGGTCAGGTAAATGATCAGATTTTCCCTAGCCCGGCCCAAGTGACCAAGCCAGGCTTTCAGGCCAATTAAATCTTTCTTCGGAAGTCTTTTGAAAGTAGCAATTCTTCAAATCATTGATAAAGACTCACATCTTGAGCTTCCGCTTCAGCTGCTCGCGTTTCTTCCATTTTTGGAACCTTCAAAGTGAGACGTGTTTCCACTGGCAAGCGGTGGTGGGGTGGCGGAAGACGGACACGGAATACTGGTGACGGTGGCCAATTCCCCATAGTGCTTTCTGGCGGACCAACACGGAAATTCTGGAAAAATTCGACTTCAGTGGTCGCGAAATAGAGGGTAGCAACTATTTTTCAGCTACTCCTACACTTGTTCAGAATTTTAACAAACTAAAGGGAAAAAAACTCACGGCCTCAGCTTGTTCAACATTTGGCGTTCCATGGACTGAGCGTTGTTTTTTGGGCAGTTGAGAAGTGTGATTTGAACTAATAAAAACAACGGGAGAAGGTTTCTCACTTTGCGATCTTCTCCCACTATTCACTTCTCGATGCTTTTTATAATCGATCCGGTTCTTGAACGTTGAATTGCAACATTTACACGCCGTGGCGTCAGGGTATCCATGAAATAAATGGCAATGAGTGAGCGACGTAACACTCGATGGCAAAGTGATATTGCATTCCGAGCAAACACGATTGTCAGAGTGATAAATCATGTAATGCCGATTAAGAGTCATCTTGCGAACGTAGTTGACGCTTGGACAATATTTGCACCAATATGCGGGTTCAAGCGAGTTTGCCATTTGTCTGAAAAAACGAATGTGTCAGTTGATAGTACTCACATGATCTAAACTCACAACAAAGTCGGAAAAACAGAAACAAAATTGTTTGGCTTTTTATGTTTCGGAGAATGGACAGATTTCTAATGAAGTGAAAAGGAGACTAATCAGCGGTTCTGGGTTCGCATTTTACTTTTCATTTCCAAATGAGCAGGTGGCGTTGCCCGGGAGAAAGATTGCGGGTATAAGAACATGCAAAGGGCAGGAGAGACAAAGAAAATAGAATGTGCCGATAACTCATTAGAATGAGTATTTGGGTGGTGCACACTGACTAACAGGGGCTATCAGAGAGTATGACGAGAGTTTAATACGCGCGTTGCAAGTTTATAAGGCCACCCCAGGGGATAGGGGTTTTCGCTAATCTGGTCAATCCCTATGAGCACAAAATAAGTTATACATATCTAAAAAGACGTTTTAAAGCTGTTTTTGTCATTCAGACGGTTTAGGTTTTTTCGTAAGACATGCCACATGGAACTTTGCCGAGGATTCCGAAAAACTCTTAACACAGCCATTCAAAACGGCTGGATGGCCGAACCAAGTGATCAGTTGTCGTTTAAATTGCTTCAAATACATTTCGTGATCAGTCCTCGTTGCCGCGCCGAATGGGGTGGCCTTATAAACTTGCAACGCACTGTCTGAATCAAGTCATATTTTCGTCATTTTTTTTCGGTGTCATCTGAATCCTCGAATGACTTTTAAATCTTTTTGATAAGTATTTAGATGGACGGAGTACATTTTTCTGATCATTTTTGCTCTTGAATGCTTCTCGATAACTCTATCCGTTCTCGAGATATCACCGGCACCACAGCGCCCAACGGGGTCCGTCGCCATCATATATACACCCTATGGGTGATTGAGCCGCGTGGCCAGGGTGGTGTAGGCGGTTAAGTGTAAAAAGGGGTGACTCAGGTATTACGGTGTGAAGACCACAGGATCGAGCTTTCTTTCTCTCAAACTCACTCTAGAATTCTTTCTTCAACCTTCCGCTATCAATCATTCTTCCTGTCGTCCGATTGTTCTGTGGGTTTGAACCGTTTACACACTTCCGGAGTCGCCACGTCCTTCAGTCAGGTCTGAAAGTTGTCACGATCAGTGTCTAACCGAGGCAAATTTCTTTGCACTCGGCGGGGCTCGAACCTGCGGTCTTCGGATTGCTAAGCACAAGCTTAACCGCCTACACCACCCTGGCCACGCGGCTCAATCACCCATGGGGCGTATATATAGTGGCGACGGGCACTGTTGGACGCTGTATTGTCGGTGATATCTCGAGAACGGACGGAGCTATCTAGAAGCATCCACGAGCAAAACTGATCAGAAAAATGTGCTCCGTTCATCTAAATACATATCAAAAAGATTCAGAAGTTATTTGAGGATTCAGATGACACCGAAAAATAAAAATGACGAAAATCTGACTTTATGTATATCAAATGAATGAGAAAAATACGAAGATTCAAACTAACGTCGCCCCCAAATAACAATTAATCTTATGAAGCTATGAAAAAATGTCAAAAATCATCAATTTTACATTCATACCTTTTTTCTTCTCCCGATGATGACCGATTTAAAAAAAAAGTGTCTTAAAATTGTTTTGCTCATTTTCTTTTTTCAGGAATGTTCAAAGTACAGCGAATTTGATTTCCAATTGTCAGATGAATCTGTACAGTCTCGAAGCATAGCTGACACCGATTTTGCGATGCTTCTGGTGATGCACGGTGAATACAAAGAAAATAATTGCAAAAAAAGATGTTGTGTTTGAAAACCAACTCCCTAATGCTGGCTCTGATAGTGGTGCTTTCTGTTGTTCTCGGCTTGGGTACCATATTCATCTGTGGTGCTGTTTTGGTAAAACTTTGAACGGACAAACTGATTGTTGAGGTCGAAAATGTGGTCCGTTTACTTATTATCAAGAAACTTTTTTTCCTTCCAAAAATGCATTTTTGGGTTTTGACCAGTCACGAAATGGATTTGAATCACTTTAGACAACAACTGAACCCTCCGTTAGGCCATCTAACCGTTTTTAATGGCTGTGTTAAGACTTTTTTGGAATCCGTAATGAAAGTGCCCCGTGGCATATCTTCCGAGAAGACGTTAACCACCAGAATGACAAAAACAGCTTTAAAACGTCTTTTTAGATATGTCTAACTCATTTTGTGCTCACAGGGGTTGATCAGGTAGGCGAAAAACCCTATCCCCTGGGGTGGCCTTATAAACTTGCAACGGTTGCAAAAAACCGATTTTTAGTTTTATCGAGGTAGTTCGGACAGTTTTTTTTTGAATCCGATTTTAAAGTCGCCGGGTCGGAAATATTTTTGAGCGCCTCGTTGCCGCGCCGACTGGCGGTGGCCTTATAAACTTGCAACGCACTGTAGGGCATAAGCTCTCGTGTTGCCACAAAACAGAGATGCTTCCCGACACCGGGAAACAAAAAATTTTCGCCAATTATATTATTATTTTTATGCCCAAAAATGTGCCGAGAAACTGGGAAAAGAGGGAATCGGCCTAATCGAATCAACCACTCCCATAAAAAGAACAAACTCCCACATTTCTGTCAATCAGTTCTCCGATTTTCCCGGGAATACTGAGCATTATTTCATCTAAATGTGGAAACTCTTCGTTCTCCTGGCCGTCGCTGCTGCTATAGTCCTTCCAAACACTGTTGGCGCTCTTGTGCAGCCCTGCGATTTTGACGATGACTGCGGTTTCGAAGGAATCTGCTACGAGAGAAGTCATTGTGGGAATTGCCACCTAGACGATGAATGTCCCAACGGAAAACTGTGCGTCGATGGATTCTGTACTCCCAGTTCACCGCGACGTCACGCTTTCGATCTCCCATGCATTCCGCCTTTTGGATGTGACAAAAACCACGTTTGCATTCTTGGAATGTGCTTCCCTGTTGGAAAATAATTGCTTTATTGAATAAACATTTTTAAAGGCATTTCAATCAGTAGAATTCAGCTTGGATCATTGAGAAGATGAAAAAATTCCGGTGCGTCACACAGAGAAGGCGCAATTGCCGGGGATATGCGACTCCTTAAGTTTTTTTTCGTCTAAAAGGCCCCATCTGGATTTGTGGATGGAAATATGTGTTATTGTCGAGGTTACATTGATCCTGCTGTCCCTAGCAATGGAAACCTCAGTCCATAAAGGCAAGACTGTTGATCACTTGATCTCGGCTGATCCTATCATCATAAAGCAGAACTTATTGATTGTCGTTTATGAAAAGTGCGGCCGTTTTGACAAAGACCGCGACTTCAAAAATTCTGCGACATTGTCAGTTTCAGCTCGAGTCCAGCCTATCTCACACTGATTGTTCATACATACATTGCTCAACAATCTGCTACTGTGGGTGCGATGCGGAAAAGGAAAAGGAAAAAGAAAAAACCAGAAGCCGCTAGCCGGATAGCGAAAATAGAGCTATTAGAAAGCATTAGGTTGGATCTATTACCGTTTTGTTCCTTAGATTTGCACCAAATTGACTTGCCGCTCGCACCTGTTACAGGATTAAATTTCCGTTGGAAACAAAGAGCGGAAAACTATGAGCCCAAATAAAGCAATTATAATATTCTCCGACCATCTCATTTGCCCTTAGAAATGTGTGACCAAATGCTTCTCTCTTATTTTATTCCCAACTTAAACGCACCGATTTCATTTTGAACTTAATCTCTTTTCGGGGCAGATTTTTATCGTCACAGTTTTCAAATCCTTAATTCCTCCAGGCAATCATTTTTGAGAAAATGTCAATTGAATAAAAGTTCGGAACCGACCTTTATACACAAGAAACAAGCAAAAATAAATACATTATCAGATGGTCAGAATTGCCTTTTTTTGATACGCTCCATGAAGAACATCTAATCAGTGCATAAATCCTCCTCCATTCTGCTCAATGACGTCACTGTTCTTCATATTCAGTGATGCTGGCGTATCCCCGTCGTGGAATAGATGAGTGTCGTAATAATACCTGCAAATCATTCCTTGAACAACGGCGTCTAATATTTTCTGAAAACTGACCGGACTCTCTGCCCGTAATGTTTCAGATTATGACTGTTGTAATTCTTCTTCACTTTGTGCATTGTAGTATTGACTTTGACGCGAAGATCATATTCCTCACAGGAAACATTTTCCGTACTGCCGTGGCAAATTTCATGACGATGCTTCTGAGACTCAGGAGTCCTGACTTTCTTCTTAGTTGCAGAAACAGCAACGGTTTTCTCGAACATTGCTGAAAAAAAACATATAGGAAATGGAAGACAATTCAAATTCAACCAAATTTACTTTATCACTACTTTATCGAGCAAGTGCACAAAAGGAGCAAGAGAGAGGGGGAATGCGTGGAACGAGAGTGTCATTGTGAGTGAGCAGTATGCGAAAACGGTGATGAAGTGAGAGAAAGTGAATGAAGGGAATTCGCCATAAGCTATGAGCCTTTCATGCAGATGACTGCTTCAAAAAATGTTTTTCTTGCATCTCAAAGTGTACCGAAACAAGTTTATTAGCATTGTTCCTGTGACATTCCCAAAAAAGGAGCTAAAACTCGTAAAGATATTGCAAAGCCGGATTTCCGACCGATCTACAACTATTTGAAAACTGTGAAAAAAACGTAGCTACTCAATAAATAGTCATGACAGTGACGACTCACGGAGCTACGCGATTCATGTTGGATTCAAGGTGGACATTTCAGATTGTTTCCAGAGAAAATGAAAAAAGCATCCTAAATTAGCCTTGTGAAGATAATTTTTCAGTGATAAGAGTGATAATTATTTACTTCTCTTGATTTTCAGTGATAATTACTTCTCTCTTGATAAGACTTCAAAGTTTTGGGCCGGCAGCATCTCGCAACCCGACGTTGCTATACAATTGCACAGTTAACATTCACATTAGTTCAAAAACGTCGCGATCCCAAAACTTGAAGTTGCGAGATGTCACAGGGCCAACGATTGCAAGCGACATGAATCTCACTAACAAACTGCTTCATCTGGTCAATGATTCTTAATTCTTCGGGTGATAAATTCCGATTTTGAACCAAATGTTCAGTCGGATGTAAAGTGACCGAAGTTGTTTCAGAGCTTGGTAGGTCTCACCACAAACAAATTGTTATAGACTATGTTGGCCAATCGTTCGTTTCACCGTGTGCTGCATTGAATGCAAGAGGCAGATTCATAAAGTGGTTAATTTGCTTTCAATCTAAAGTTTTTCAGAACAAAATATAGTTTGTTTGGCTAGACAAGCTGAGAGATCAATATTGGGAAAACGTTGCGACACAAAGCAAGCAGGGATGTTCATTATTGCAGACGGGGACGGGAAGTTGACCTTGCTCTCTGAAAAATAACCGTTTCTCACAATTAAGTACATACATTGAAACTAATAATAAATAGAAAAAGCTTACCAGACTGTGAGTTTGTGCAATGATTCTGTTTGCAGCTCTGTCCACTGTAGCTATCCGGTCCCACATGTGACTTTGATACGATTTTGTCTTCCGAATGTTTCTGAAATCAAAATTCAAAATAAGAACATTTGTGTGAACTGATTCTACCTCAAAGTGATTTCCCTCATATCCTGCTCATAAAACGCTCGCACAGCTGTTGAGTCAGCAAAAAGTTCCCTGCTCACACTCTCCACACTCCTTTGTCCGGTGGCCACTGCTCTCGCTGCCAACTGAAAAGATAATCGGTGGTTCGGTTCGAAAAGTCCACAAAAAAGGACGCTTACCCTCTTCCTCCGCTCGATGTCCGCTCTTTTCTGTGAGGCCGCTTTGATGATGCTCTGCCTCGCTTCGAGCCGTTCAATGAAATCCGGACGGTTACGCTCGAGATGAAACTGGAAGTGAAATCTGATTAGGTTTGAAGGAAGGGATAGAACTCACTCTTGGAGGACACGATCGAGCCCATTGATCATCTTTAACAGGCGAAATGTTTAGATGTTCTATTGGATTCTCATTTCCGGTTCCAGTCTCTCGGTTTCCTGAATTCAAAGTGTGATTGGTCACAAAGACTGTGAAGAGGGCTATGTGTGTGCTAAGGATTAGGAAAATGACATGATTTCACGAAATACTCACGAGTAAAGTCTATTGGTTCATCTGCAAATAGTCTCCTGCGGGATTGAGACCTTCTGGCCGTTGCCGATTGTTGTGGAAGAGTCGGCAGAATGGGCGTTTCCGAAGCTCCGGCGGTTCTCCCCTGAATGCTTCCCATTGGCAAAGAATGCGGCGTACGGATGATCGGAGGAAGACGAGACCGTCTGTTTGGTGTTGGCTGTAAACAAATACTATCGAATGTGCATAACAAGATCAGAAAACATACCGTGACGTCCCTTATTGATGAGTGACTAGAGCTCGTCCTATTCGCTGGCGGTCTCACATTTCGGGTCATATTCGGCGTCCCTGTGGGCGTCCGGACGATTCTCGGATTGGGTAGTTGTTGCAGAATATGTCTGACGACCGGGGAAGACGTGCTGCTGCTTGTGCTACTGCTTGTTGAGGCAGTTGTCTCTCTTTTGGTGGGCGTGACCCTCTGGACCTTTGTACTTTTTGTGGTGCTCGCTGTGGATCCGTTTCCGTGCTGAGATTCGGACGAATCCATCTCACTTGTGCTGACTCTGAAATAAAAAATGGGGATCAAAATGACCGAACTCCCAGGAAAGCCTATAAAACTATTGGGTTCCGACATAATGCATCATTTTCATAAAATTCACACAAAACTCACGAATTCAGCGATTTCAGCAGTGATTTGATGAATTGGCTCTGTTTCTCCACTTTTTCTTCCAACTTCTGGATGACAGATCGCAGTTCTTTGCAGTTTGAGCAGGAAGTTGTGTGGATGACTTGGGTCACGTTGCAAATTCCTAAAAACTTTTTGTTGTTCTGGTAAAGTTTTACTTCCGAAAATTGAAAGAAAACATGGAAATTTCAGCAAACAATAACAAAAAATTACCAATATTCTCATCTTGTTCTTGTTCCACTATAATATTGGTGACATTTGGCGTTTCCGGAGCTCTGCAATTATCATGTCACTCTTAATAGCTTTTTGCTGTATGTTTTATACCAAAAACACATTCAAAAGTATACTAACCTGATGGATCTCGGCGTTTTTGGAGTGGAATGAATGGGCAACGGTCCTGCTCGCTGCTCTGTGGTTCTATAGGATTCCCTGTAACGATAAAAATGTTATGGATGTCTAGTTAATCGAAAACATAACAATAGGAATTTTGCACATAAACATCAAATTTGACGAGCCGAACCCGAACTGTAGACAGTTTCAAGCGGTATTTTACGAAGGAAACTCCAAATTTTGCCCAAAACCTACCAGAGAGTGCCCGAATCGTTGAGGTTAGCCATCGGAGAATAAGTAAATTAGGAAGACTGAGCGGAGGACTAGGCGCACGGAAATGGACGACAGGTGCGGAGGGCGGTGTCCTTGGACCGAGCACCGATTAGCTTCTGTAGAAAAGAGTGGTGCAAATAGAGAGAGCGCAGACAGAGAGAGAGGTGGAAGATACCAACAAACCAATTAGAACAGTGTCCTAATGCTTGGTTGGGTACGTTGTGCAAAACAAAATGAAAAGGAAGGTGAGGAAAAGGTGGGCTGGGGGACCTAATAATGGATTAATGGACCTTGTTGATGTTGCAAATTGGGTGGTAAACACGGAAAAGTATTTGAAGGGGTCGATTTCCATTTTGGACTCGAACAAAAGACCAGGTTGTTAGAAATTCCGGCTTTTCCCGGCAAAGTGAAGAAATTTCAGGAATTCCGAATGGAAAATGTGTATTTCTAATGTAAAACAGAGCAGATAACAATACTTTCTTGAATTTCTACAGAGAAGTACTTTTTTAAGTGAAAATCAATTAAAAATCCAATGACTGCAGAGAAAAATGAGAAAAATACATGGAAAAAGACTGAAAAGCACATTCTCCTATTTATTTTCTTCAGTTCTATCCATTTTTACCGCAAAAAACCATCAGATATCGGTTTGATTCGAATAAAACGGACTCGCGGTGGATTCGACGACAATTTCTGCGAACACGGCGACGCGCAATCGCGTACCCGCCGGCCGTTCAAACAAGATTTGCGTGCGAGTCGCTCATTTCGGTCACTGTTTACCCACCGTTTGCCCCCAAGCCACGTTTGCTCTTTGTATTCTCCTCTACGATACGCATGTTCACAGGATGATTATCGATTTTTCTCACTTTCCGTTGCATTTTCTGAATTCCTGCCGCGGCGCAACGGAAAAATGATAAGAATCGCGTACAGTTTTGGCGTTTTGTGTCATTTTCCGTCGAAAATTGTATAGGTTTTTGGTGTCAGCGCGTAAGAAAACGATAGTTATGCGCAGAACTCTTGCATTTACCAAATCGCACGCGAAAATCGCTGAAAAACTGTTTCCTCTCAATTTTTTCTGTGTTCTTCAAGTGGGCTAACTTCTTTTTCGTGAGATGAACTGACGAGTTTACCCCTTTTTCTTTTCCTACGCCTTTTATAAGAGTTTTCGCAGAGAATTCTCAGAATCATTTCACTTTCTTGTCAAGAAACGAAGTTTTAAGAAGCAGTTTTAAGGTCATTTTCTGGATGAAAAGTCTAGGTTTTCTCTTTCTTGTGCTCTTGGCCAGATGTCCCAAACGGTGTTTCTCAACACCTGCCGTTGCCGTCACCCAAATTTCGCAACACTCGATAATGGGAAATCCCTTTGTCTCTCTTCCTCTTTTCCTCTTCCTCTCCGCCTGATTTTTGTCGTTTGATCGTTAAAATTCTGAAATTTCGTAACAACTTTCCGGGACGATGCCACCAACCCACTTGACATTGTCCCGTCGATTCTTCTCCTTCCCCCCACACGTGTTGCAACACATAAAATATGCCGAAATCCTCAACATATCCAGTTGGGTCTCCCCGTCACTTTCGATCTGATGAATTACAAATTACAAATTACAACGCCGAATTTCCGACATGTTCTTCTCTGTGTTTCGGCATGGCATGAGATGAGATGAACTGAACCCTTTCGCTTGAAACGCCTGAAGATAACAGCTGTTTCTGTTCCCTCTCTCTCTCTCTCTCCCCTTCCGATTTCTATCCATTATTCTCTAAAGAACATGTGATTGATCTATATTTCTCTCAATTCCTCCCATTCCTTTCATTCACCGCAATAAATTTTCGTCCCTTTCCCTTTTCCTTTGAGCTCTTTGACCTTAAGTTTACGAGTTTGGAAGAAGCAGATGTGGCAGGTATCTTCTTGAGTTCGGCGCCTCATCGGAGACGAGGAGGAGGGCAGTGCCCCCCGTGCGAAACATGTTTTTTCGTTTGTTTTATGGATAATCGTTAGGTTCTTTCTCGACCCTTTCTACCAGACCACCCAACCAATCACACTTTTTGCTGCTTTTATGCTCCGTGACGTTTGAGATGGAAAGGACAAGTTTGGACCTAGAAAGGTCTCGATCAGTACACACTGATCTCAGCTCCCCTGTCGTTTCCTTCGCCGCCTAATCTGTGATAGGTGTACGCCGCTCTCCCTCTCTCCCTACAGCCGCCTACTCTCTACCCCACGCATGATTGTCAAGCGATAATTTATACAAATAATAATCGGGCAGCACGCGTTCGACAATAGTCGACGTGAGAGGAGAGAGAGAGGAGGGTAAACGATGATCAAGTTGATATCAGTCTTCTTCTTCTTCTTCTTCTTCTCTTACACACACCTTTTCACTACTTTTACGACTGTACTATTCCATTTGATTCGCGCCGGCAAATGCATTCGTTTGATGCCAGGCAGAGTGCGTTTGACAAGCATCTCAATCAACTTTTCCTTTCGCCGCCTTTTTTTGGGAACTGGGAGCTAGTCGGTGTTTTCTGGTCGTCTCGAGACCTTTTGACCGACTTTTTTTGTTGATCTTTCAATGTGTACTCGCGCTTCTCTTGTTGTTATTGTCAAGCTCTTTTCTCCACCCTTCCGACAATACTCCAAATATTCGCACCTTTGCTACCCCACCACTCTCAAAACATGACATCAACACTAGACTTGTTTGGAGCCACCAGTTTTCCTTGTTTTTGCGTTTCGACACAGTTCAAAATACGTTTTCGAATACTGTAGGAGCACTGAAAGCCTCAAGAAACCAGCTTAGTCGGTCAATTCCCTCATGTTTCACATAATCTTCACGCAAGACTCCCCGGCCGGCTGACTGACTGGCTGGCAAGCTGTATTTACCTAATTTCTGTCAAGAATTTCTCTTTGGGACAAGCCCCCCCTACCATGTGGTGTTTCACGTGTATCACCCCCGGTTACCCTTTTTTCAACCGCTTCCCGCGCCCCGCGTCCGTTCGCCTTATTCTTTGTTATGTACCGACCGTGCATTATAGTCGTTCTTCCAACTAAACTACTACAACTACTAGTGCCTCGGGACATGGAGTATTAGTGCGGTCTTCTGTATGCATGGCGGCCATGGGAAAGATCCGGTTTCTTGAGGAGAGAAAAAGGAGTAGAAGCTGGAGACGAATCTGTTTTTTTGCATTAAACGTTCCCCTCGTTCTCCGTTCTTCATCTTCCGCGCGGTCGCCGCCACCGCCGCCGCCGTCCGTTTTCTCAGTGGAATCTGAGGAATACCTTATGCACGAATCCTCGTTTCCCTTCGGGATGGATGTAATTGCGGAGATGAAGCCTCGAAAACCCAACGACCGGAGAGAACATGAAATTGCCAAAAAAACTAACGCGGAAGAGACGGAGGGAAGTGCGTTGAAGCGGATAAGATTAATGCGTGTGACCTCTTGCGATGAAAAGTGTACGCTTGTTATCATGGGAGCGGACAAGAACATTTTTTGATTGGTATGGGAACCCATGTAATTGACTGTGTTGATCTAGAAGCCCTAGTCTTGAATCAAAATATGTACAGTTCGCAGAGATTGTACTAAAGTTACCCTATACAACTTTTCACACACTCTTCATAATTTCCGCTCAACATATGCAAATCTTGTAAACGCCCCGCGCCCGCTAGAAATCTTCTACTCTACTAATTCATCCGAAACGCTGTTCTCGATATAAAATGAAATGAATGAGATTTATGTATATGTAGAACGAACACAATAACACAGTTCCACATGTGTATGCCTATACTCTTCCTCTCGCCCGTCTTGTCCTTTAACTATCTGCGCATCCGTCTCACCTTTAGCCCGCTCCAGAGTCTTTGGGCGGTGGCTGTGGCGGCAGCGGCGGCGGCGTACTGTTGTTGCCGGCACGTTTCCGCCCTATCGCGGACAATCGGCCCCCAACGGCCGCACACGCGCGCACTCCGTTCCTCCTTTTTAACCTATGCCCACCTTCCTCCTTCTTCCAAACTATCTATCTACTGCGCATCCTCCGCACTCGACTGCGTCTCCGCCGTCATCCCGCGTTCTCTCGTGCATTTTGTCACAGTTCAGTTGAGTTCAGGCCCAGCAGTTGAGTTTGGCGTCGGCAATCCTCCTTTTCTTCCTCCACACCTGTCCGCGCGTATAGTTTGCTTGCGCTGCTCCTTTTCGTTCTCTCTCTCTCTCTCTCTCTTTCGTTTTCTCGTTCGGTTCTATTCTACCAAACCCCGTGTCTCTTTTATGGGAAGAAGATGGAAAAGGCGAAACAGACGAGGAGTATACAAAAGACCCTCTCTCTCTCTCTCTCTGTCTTTCTTACCCTCTTGTGCGCGTACGCCCGGTAGGTAGAGGGGAGGCACTTGTTGAAAATGCTGTTTTTGACGGAGAGTGCGACCCGAACGAGTGTGGACAAAAAGACGCAATTATCAAATATTGATTGAGTCGATCCCATCTCCTTCTCTTTCGAGACTTTTTTGCCGACTCTTCAAGTCCCCCGCTCACCCATATTTGGCAATTTGATTCCGCGATACTCTCGTATTTAGGACACTTGTCGAAAAAATTTGGTTGGGTTGAACCTACTTGAAATTGCATAGCTCCCTTGCCCTCTTCAGTTCTCTACACACCGAGAGTCAAAAGCTTGGAGGATCCAAGATTGTAGTTCTACTTTTTGCTCCTTTTTTCTATACTAGTCGGTGCCCGGCCCAGGTTTTAGTACCAAAAGTTCGAAGAATTATTTATGAGTCATCGTTTTTTCCAAACTCACCTTTCAATAGTTAAGTTCAAAAAGAACCCCAGCTTTTCGAGTAAGAAATCTGAAAAATTATCCATTTTCCAAGTGATCAGCTCTATTTTGCTCTGACACATCTTCCCGATTCCATGTACATATGTATGTAGAGACACTCACTTGCTTCGCGGCATTTTTAGACAGTGAATCACTTTTTCTTATTCGCTATATTCCAAAAACTTTCGCGCCTCCCCCCCACGCTTTTTTCTGCTGATACCTCGTGCCCTCCCCCTGCCGTTCTTTTCTCACCCATTTTTGTGTAGCTGTACATTTTTGTGTACACAGACAGACACAAAACCCGTCATCACTCTCCTCTCCCCGTCGTCTTCGCTTCCCCCTTTTTTGTTTGGGCCTTCCTTTTCCGACAACATTAATCATTCCGTTTTCCAGAAGTCACGCCGTATAAAAGGAGAAGAGACAGCCGCCGTCAGCGCCACCGTCCTCTCGCCTCCTGCCACAATGGCGTTTTTGAACAAGGTGAAAAACTTGTTTCGTGGGAACCCTATCGAAAAGAAGCTTCCCAGTTACATTCAGGTCCGTTTTATCCTATACCCGTTTCTGGAAAATGCAATTGATTTTAGGATAATGTGAACCCGCGCGATCACTGGGATATCATCAGCCACATTGCGAAAGGCGCATTCGGAGAAGTGGAAAAGGCCGTGTCAAAAACCGATCGACGCCTGTTCGCCGCCTCGAAAACGATCGAAATCCAAGAGGGCGAGTCCCTGGAGGATCTGCTCGTCGAAATCGAAATACTGACAGAATGCAAGGACCATCCGGTCATGTTGGGTCTCTACTCAACATACTTTTATGAGAACAAATTGACGGTGAGTGAAGAAATCCTACCGTTCTTTGAAGATTAATCGGCAAATTTCAGATGATGTTGGAGTTTTGCGGTGGTGGTGCCATTGACAACATCATGGACGAGCTCGGCCGTCCTCTGAAGGAAGATCAGATCCGCTACATTGGCTACTACGTGTGCGACGCCCTCAAGTGGCTCCACTCGCAGCTCGTCATCCATCGAGACCTGAAAGCCGGCAATATTCTGCTCACCAACGACGGTCAAGTACGTCTCGCCGATTTCGGTGTGTCGGCGAAGCTGAAGAGCGAACGGGAGAAGCGAGACACGTTCATTGGAACTCCGTGGTGGTGAGTCACTGACTTTTGTGGGCAAACAGTTATGACACACGGTTGAATTGTTTTTAGGATTGCGCCGGAAGTGATTGCATGCGAGACATTCAAGGATCAGCCGTACGACTGTATCTCGGACATTTGGTCGTTCGGAATCACGCTCATTGAGATGGCACAAGGAGAACCGCCTCATGCGGAAATTTCGAATGCGATGCGAGTCACGATGAAAGTGCAGAAATCGGATCCGCCAACACTGATAGCGCCATCAAAGTGGACGAAGACGTTCAGTGAATGTCTGGCCTACTGTCTGGTCAAGGATCCCCGACATCGACCATCAGCCGCCGAGGTCTTCAAGCATCAATGGTTCGCCAACGCGCCATCGAAACGTAAGATGATTATGGACCTCCTAGTCGAGATGGAAGCCGATGTGCAAGAGGAGATTCTGATGGAAGCCGACGACGAGTCCATGGCTGGATCTGATGAGATTTCGCAACGTCCAGGAGGTGACAATTGGAGTTCGGCCTCAGATAGCCCACGCCCGGCGACTGGAGAAGGATTCAAGGTTCCAATGTTGCCGCCGCCGATTATCGAGACCCCACCGCCCGAGACGCCGCACAAGAAAAGGGCAGCTCCGCCACCACCTCAAGAAGCTCTGGCACACGTTTCATCTCCGTTGGTCAATGGACATGCGAAGAAGGACAATTCCAGTTTTGTGGAGGTGAGTCAAGAAATCTTACAAAAACGGTAGTTACAGTACTTTTCAACCAATTTTCGGATCAGTGCATCCTTTTCCAAAACATTTAGATGCGTCGTAAACAAGACATGTACAGAGTGTACTTCTTTACATTCTCAGTCTTGACAAAAGAAGATACGCTGTACATTTTTCTTGCATCGTTTATGAAAACGAACGTAAACTTTCGGAAAATGTACAGCATGAATCAATCTAACATCACGTCATGTGCGAGTGGTTTTTTGTTTCCCTTGACATCGGATTACACTCTTGTTCCTGACAATACTATATTCTAGCTGACTCACTCAACTTTTGTTTTTGTTTTCAGTTCTCCTTCTCCAACAGCAACACGTCATCGGAGGCCAACGCGACTTTCTCGACTCCGTCATCCACGAAGAGCAGTGCGCATCTCTCCACCCCTGCCGTTCTCAGCCTGAACACGTCGGCAAGTCCCAGCTCGCCCGGCGAGTTTGTCAGTCCACGAAGAGAGGCGTTGAGCATTCTGGATGAGCTCACCACGACGCTGGATGATGAGCAGTCGCAGTACTTCAACTCACCGCGGTCAAGCGCGTCGCCACGTCACTCACCAGCCAAATCGCCGCAAAAGGAGTTGGTGGAGCACTCGATTCGTGACACAATTTTGGCCAGTCGAGACAAGAAGTCTCCGAGTCCACAGTTGAGACGTAAGATCTCCTCTAATAGACGTTTCCATGCCAACTCGTTCAATTTTCAGAGCTGTCGCCAGTGGAATCCTCCTCTTCCTATGAGGAGCAAGTCAACTTGTCATTCCGTCGACCGGAACCACTGGAACACGCTGGACTTGTGGTCGCTCAACAACAAATGGAGAAGGCCTCCGCCAGTCTTCAAGAGCGATACAATGCCGCCAACAGATCTTTGGACACTTCCAGCAGCAACAGCTTGGCAAGTGCCAATCAGTCCATGGAGATTCCAGAAGGTATCGTGATGAGCAGAACAACAGAAAACAATGGTTACTTGCAGGAATCGTCACCCGGAAGAAGAGTCAAGAGAGCTCAGCGGCTGCGTCGAATAGGTCTTCGCAAAACTCGGAAACCGTCTTCAAGAAGCCATCCCAGGACATGTCCACCAGCTTCACTTTACGCGAATTTGTGCACGGAAAGACGGAGCTCTCGGTGACGGCGCCACCCACGCCATCGAAAAGTGTGGATCGACGATCGCCAGCTCCAGTACGTACAGACTCTTATCAGTCGGTCAGAACAAGTGGCTCGTCGACTTCTGTGGCTCAAACCTCACAGACCTCACAGGCCGCTGATTTTGCTCCGACCCCGGTTCCAACCAATCCTGAGTACTTCGATGTTCCGTACGGAAAGAAGGCAAAGGAGAAGACACCACCACCAGAGCCGCCAGTTGACTACGAGGGAAGTGCGAAGGAGAACGCTGCTCCGGCCGTAGTTTCAGCCGCGAAGATTCCAACTCCACAACAGACTGCTCCTTCTACATCCGCAACACCCCAGAAGTCTACGACAAATCCAGCAGCCGCTCCAGCAACGAGAATTGGCGGAAGGAAGGATGGAAATCGTCAGACGATTACCAAGAAGACAAGAACGTACATGATCGATGGGGTGCAAGTCACCTCGACGACGGTCCACGTACTTGGTGTGAAAGATGACAGAGTCCAACGGTAGGCACTCGGTTTTTTTCTTCTCGGATCTCGTGCAATTCTAAAAAGTTTCAGCAAGCAACAGCTACACGATTTGCGACGACTTCAGCGCGACGAAGCACGACAAAAGCAAGAACTCCAAGCGGAAGGAATCAAACTGGTTGAGGAGCAGGCAAGGAAGTTCACTGCGGAACAGTCCAACCTTTCGCGGACGTCCGAACTTGAAATGGATGCCATGGAACGCCGACAGCGAAAGGAGATTGAGGACACGGAAGGGACGCAGGAGCAGGAGCTACGGAATGCTCAGAAGCGTCTTCGAATTGAGCAGGAGAAGGATATGCGGGCATTCAAGGATCGTCTCAAGCAGGAGATGAAGATATTCAAGCAGGAGCTCACGATGCTTTCGAAAGTGCAACGAAAAGACGCACTGAAACTGCGAAAAGAGCAGATTGAGATCGATCATCAACTAAAGGAGAAGGATTTCTTGATGCAACTGCAGCAGAATGCCGACGCGATGCTTCAGCGGATGGCCGAAAAGCACAAGGAGAGAATGGCGTCGATTGAGAAGCAATTCTTGATGCAGAAGCACAATTTGTTGCGTGCCAAGGAGAACAACATTTGGGAGTTGGAAGACAAGCAGATGAGAGAGAAGTGAGTAGGGGGGATTCAGAAATCACAATTCAATGTGCTCGAGAATACTTGCTTGCCGTGTCGGCTGGTGGCCGAGAAGAGATTTCTCGGCCGTGTACTCCTCTCGGGCCAGTGAACAATTTTTTTCGTTGTTTGGGCCTTGATGGGAAATTTCGTGGGAAATGGAGGGAATTTAGTCTCAAAATTGGATATCTGAAAGTTTTACTCCTAATCTGTGCGAGTCGTAGTGCTCAATATCGATTTTCGCAGAAATGATAGCATTTTTCAGGTTTGTACTCCACCGCAAGCTGTTCAAGGATGAATACTACCTCCTCCGTACTCAAATGCTCGCTCGCCACCAACGTGAAATGGCTCAAATTGAGAAAATTCACCAAGAAGAGGAAGACGAGCTGATCCGTGCGCTCACATTGGACCGCAAGAAGCTTCCGAAAATGTTGCGCGCCGAGACCAAAACGCGGAGTGTGATGTTCAAAGAAAGTCTTCGAATCAGTTCAACGGTAAGTTATCGTGATGCGCAATTCATTCTTCATCGCAAAAAGGTTAAATTGAAGAATATGACGAACGCGGAGATGCAAGAGAGAATACGCCGATTCGACGAGCAAGAATCGTTGAGAATGAGGGCTGCGTTGGAAGAGCATGACCTGAAGTCGCAGAAGAAGTTGACTGCGTTGAAGGAGCGTCATCAGGAAGCGGTTAGTTGGGCGTTGCCTCAGGATGCCCTGGAAAATCCCTCAAAACATAGGATAGCGCGATCAATTTGAGAATTTTTCAGATTCTCGAGCTTGATGAGATGCAAAACGATAAGCGCAAGCAGTTGTTGGAGAAGGAGCGCAACACGATGAAAGAGCACGAGGGCAAGTATCACGAGATGCGAGAGCTCTGGCAGGAGAACCTGATCGCCAGGAAGACGGTAAGGGACGACCAGCAATTGGGCCAAGAAACGGAGAGTTCGAAAGAGAGAAGAAGCGGGTGGAATAAAATGAAAACCCGCTTCAACTTTTCCATCAATCTCACAAAGTTCCGTCGGTTATCGAGCGCTGACAAAGATGCCAACTAACATCTTCCACTTCTACCCCTATCCCTATTAATAAAGGGTTGTTTTTCCGGGAGACAGTTACTAACTCAATCACTGTTACCCACTAATCGATTGGAGAATTTTTCGTGATCTCACACAGATTTGTTAAGGATTCTTTAGAAAGTCTTGCGAATCCGGAATATATGTACAGTGCTGGCCATTAATATATGAAAAAATGGTTTTTTGAGGATAACTTTTTTTCTAGTTATCCGGGGACCCTGAAACTTATACGGTATACAAAAAGTACCGTTAGGCAAAGTTGAGGACTTTCAAACTGCATCATCATTTATTTTTTTCAGAAAAATGTTTTTCCATTTTTTTCGATTTTTTTCGATTTTTTTGACGTTTTTTTATTTTTATTCGATTTATTTTTCTGTGATATCATATGACTCTAAAATGATTTGTAGACATGGGAAAAACCTCGTGGAAGACAAAAATGTGCCCGTAGATGTTAAAAAAAGCGATCATCCGAGGTCGCCAGCAAGGCATGAAATTGAAAGATCTTGCTCAGCAGTTTCAGCTCGGTATTTCCACTGCTTTCAGCATTTTGAAAAAGATTCAAGACGCAGGTAAGGTTCAAAGTGTTTGTCAAACCCAATAAAAATATTTAGAAAAACCTGCATCGGTCCAAAGGCGCCAGGAAAAACCTCGTGGAACCGCCAAGGCCATGGATCGGAACATCCTGAGAGCGTCGAGAGAGGATCCCAGAAGGACTTCAACGGAAATCCAGATGGTTGTGAATTCTCCCACGGATCCAGCACCTTCTAGAAGAACAATCAGAAGACTTTTACAAGATGCTGGGCTCCATGGACGACGTCCAGTTCGCAAACCAGAAGAACCGGAAGGCTCGAGTTGCATGGGCAAAAGCTCATCTCACCTGGGGACCTCGCGAATAGGAAAAACACATCTGGTCCGATGAAAACAAGTTTAATTTGTTTGGTAGTGATGGAAATTGCTGGATTCGGCGTCCCGTTGGAACCAGATATTCTTCCAAGTACCATCTTCTAACAGTCAAGCACGGAGGAGGATCGTGTATGGTATGGGGATGTTTCTCGGCCAACGCTATGGGACCTCTGAGACGTATCAACGGAATAAACGTCTTCTGATTGTTCTTCTAGAAGGTGCTGGATCCGTGGGAGAATTCACAACCATCTGGATTTCCGTTGAAGTCCTTCTGAGATCCTCTCTCGACGCTCTCAGGATGTTCCGATCCATGGCCTTGGCGGTTCCACGAGGTTTTCCTGGCGCCTTTGGACCGATGCAGGTTTTCTAAATATTTTATTGGGTTTGACAAACACTTTGAACCTTACCTGCGTCTTGAATCTTTTCAAAATGCTGAAAGCAGTGGAAATACCGAGCTGAAACTGCTGAGCAAGATCTTTCAATTTCATGCCTTGCTGGCGACCTCGGATGATCGCTTTTTTAACATCTACGGGCACATTTTGTCTTCCACGAGGTTTTCCCATGTCTACAAATCATTTTAGAGTCATATGATATCACAGAAAAAAAAATAAATCGAAAAAAATAAAAAACGTCAAAAATCGAAAAATCGAAAAAATGGAAAAAAAACATTTTCTGAAAAAAAAATAAATGATGATGCAGTTTGAAAGTCCTCAACTTTGCCTAACGGTACTTTTTGTATACCGTATAAGTTTCAGGGTCCCCGGATAACTAGAAAAAAAGTTATCCTCAAAAAAACATTTTTTCATATATTAATGGCCAGCACTGTAATTGATGAACCCGGAAGTAATGTATCTCACACATTCTGTGTAATGTTCAAGATTTGTCGCGGACCGATGTTAACTAAAGTTTTCTGTTCAAAATAGCATTGCCAGAAACCGCTTATTTTCGGCAATTTTGTTCACCAGCCGTGTCAATGCGAACCGGCCGATTTTTGGAAATTTTAGAGAATTGCATGAAATGTTTCTGATTATGAGCACAATTTCACAAAAAAAAGTGTTAAAAAGAGACTGACCTTCACCAAAATTAAACGTGACGTGACGTAATCAAACTTGAAACAAACAATGATGCTCCGAGAATGTTATGAATACACCTTGCCTTGAAATCTGATAGCTTACACTTTAGATAGATACACTTTGTTCAGACACGTGAGAGGGTCAAACTCCTGGAAAAAATATCGAAAATGTCAATTTTACTTTGCAGGTGCTCGAGGAGAAGTTTGAAGACGAGCTCTCGAAGCAGGAGGTGTTTTACGGAATGGCGTACACTTCGTCGCAGAACTCGACGCTCTCCGGCCGTCACATGCCCTAGATGCTGACTCATCCCGATGCATTCATTACCTCCACACAAACGTCTCAACCAGTGCCTTATTTGAACACTTCTTCCCAGTTAGCCTCCCCCCGTGTAATTGAATTTTGTCTACATATTCCATTTGACAGTGCCTCTGCTTCAACGGTTATTGTTGTTTTTCGAAGTTTGTCCATCACCACATGCCTTGTCTTCTTATCGTACGGTTCAATTTGTTTGACTGCAAATCCCATCGCCCATCCCCAAATATTCCTCATCCTCATCCCAAAACTGCTAGTAATTGCTGTAAATAAGATCTCCTACTCCCTCCCCTCCCCTCACTATCAAAGGGTCGACAAAGTTTTGTAAGGCATGACCTAATAAGTTATGCCTGTCGTTTTAATAATTAGCAAACAGTTTTTTTTAGATTCTTTTTGTTTTACAATCACTTTTTCTTGGATATTGTTTGTCCATCTTTCCAACAATCGCTAATTTATGCACATGTTTTCCTAAGTTAGGAAATTCAAGTACCTTTCCCTATCGTTCTACCCGTTTCTTTTCATAATCTGATGAAGAATTCCTGCTAGATACGCAAGAGTGTGACCGTGAAAAGAAGAGAATGATGATTCAGCCAGGAAGTGGCCGCTATACGGAATAGTAATAGCCTTCATCGACGCGTCGACCCGGTTTTTATTTGATGTTTTCTGTTCCACTGCAAAATGTGGAAAAATTTTCTCTATTTCGGGCTCCAATTCATCTGGAATTGACAAAATTTGACCTATCTTTCTCTGTTTTGATAGTTTGTATTTGCCATGAAACTAGTGTTAAAATAGAACAATTTTTTCTAACACACCGTACGGAAATGAAAAATGCCGTGTTTTCCGACACTCTTCCACGTGAGACAGCTGATAACCGATGAAAACCCACGGGATGAGTCACATTTCAACATTTGATACGCGAAGAGTGTTATTTTACACCCCCATCGTCCAACAGTTTTCGGTTTAAACTCAGAACACTTTGCGTTTCTGTTTTCTCTTCTTTTGAGAAAAATTGCATTTATAAACGCGCTTCAGTTGTCCATAGCTCTAAAATTGCGAAAATTAAAAGCTAACTTTTCTTTTTGCCCATTACTCACAAATTTCCATGAGAATGTTCAATATTCCAACAGAAAATATCAAAAACCAACTGGGTTCCAAGTGCAAACATTCCCATGATAAAAGATTGACTCATCTCGTTTCTGGCAATCCTTTCAATGTGAAGGATGAATAAGCGGACGCAAAAAACATCACATGGTGTCAGAAAATACCGGATTTCCCCCCCTCGTGTTTTCAGACTCGCCGCTCTCCCCCTCAATTCGACCTTTGCCCATGCCGCGTGCCCGTACTAAGAGTACATCAGACCATCGGAACTCGTGGTCTCGTCCGAGCTGCCGGACTCACTCATTCGATCGGCTCGGCAGGCGGCAGTCCTCTCTTCGTGTCCCGTTGTTTTTGTCTGCGTTTCCCCCCTTTCTCGCACTCTCTCGCCCGCCGCTCGGCCTCTTCACAGCAGTCATCCGGTTGCCCGAGGGGCCACCCTGACCAATTTCTGTCCGTCTGCGTCTTGCACCCTCTCGCCGCCCTCTGTAATGCTGTTCACCATCGCCTCACACCCAGCCGCCGATTTCGATTTCGCAATGTGGCGGCTTCGCATACACATACACATGTCTCATTTTCCTCCTCTTCCGTCGGTTCAGTCTTCCGGGTCCGAATTAGCGCGGCGAAACGAAATGAAATGAGATCTGTCATACCTTTCACGCTCGCTTTTGACAGCTTTCGTGCTGAGAGTTCGTTTTTCTTGTTGGAAATGCATGGGGTAGTAGTAGCAGTATCCGTTGATTGACAGACAACTGCTTGATACATGATACATGTATCAAATCATTTATCTTCCGCACCCTCCTCGCTGTCCGCCTATCTTTTCTCTTTTTACGCAATCACTTCCCTCTCTCATCGCTTTTTTCTTGCTTTTCCGCCCTCACATAACAGTAATTAATCAAAGAAATTGGTCTGGCTCCTCAAATTTCGTCCCATCAAAAACTAGACCCTTTATTTTTGTTGACTTTCCGCTCCCATCTTCGATCTGTAAACAAATAAACGCGCGGAGAACACGCGCTCATTTCTCTCGTTCGTCTCGAGTGGAAAAGAAGATTCAGTACTTTTTTCACGAGAAAAAATGTGACACGGTTCGAGTAAGCGTGTTATTTTTGATCAATTTTCGGCAAGTAAGCCGATTTCTCAGGGTTTTCGAGGATTTCTTTGTTCAACTTGCGCTAAAAAATCTCATCCTCTTAATATCAAGCCTCGATTCATTCTAATATTTTGGAAATTGCTCACTCTCCATAATCTCATCGTTTTCCAGCATGTGCCTACTATGACGGACATAATCGATCTCAAATATTCGAACCGTCGTGCGTGGTACCCTTTGCGGTGTCCGGTACGTCTGGAAATCGACGGTCGACTCCAGACGCCCCAATCTCTAGTCGCCACGGCCCTCAACAGCACTTCATTCAACTTGCTGATCAAATCTTCAAACGGACAACAAGTGTACATACCATTCAACGAAGATAGGTACGCAATCGTTTGTTCGCTTTATTGGATTTATAATAAACTTCAACTTTTCAGAGAACTATTCACTGCGAATGTCGCTGCCGACCCTTCAACCTCATCTTTGGTAAGTAAAAGAGAGCGTGTAATTGTTTGGCCTCGACGGCCAATAAAGGAGGAAGAGGAGAATGAGACTTACACCTAATTCCGACCCTGAACTAGTTTTTGAGTTTACATAGCTGAGGACTGAAAGGACGTTCTTCTTTCAGATCTCGTATTGTCACTTCGAAGGTGTGACGAGAGAGGGAAGACATGCATTGTCGCTGTGCAATCCGAAAGGTACGAGGAGAGGGTTACGGTTAGACTTGTCGAAAATCGGCTCGGCTCTAGTATAAAATTTTTGGAGGAAAATATAAATTTAGGATCAAAATCCGGGCCAGGCACACTCCGACCCTCTAACCCTACTCATTTCCAGAAATCGCCGGACTGATCATGTCACAAAGCAACCGATTCGGTCTTTCTCTTGACGACGCCACCTCGTCATCCTTTGTCCTTCAACCATATGTTGAGAACGAGTGCGGTAGGTGAAACATATAATCCTCTTTCCCCCACAATTTCACAATTCGTTAACGGAAGTCTCGTGTTGAAAGAGACAGAGAGGAAAAGAGCGTTTACAATTTTACGGGGCATTTATCAAAGAGAATAGATGGCGGAACCTCGGCCACAAACCAGTTTGGCCTTTCCTCAAGAAGGAACATGCAACATTAATCATGAACCACCTCCGTTCTCTTTCCAATTATATTGTTCAGATCTCGGTTCACTGGTGTCATCGACGGCGCCGTCACGCGAAAAGCGGCAAGCGGGAAAGACGAATTCGGCGATCGATCGGAATCCGTCTTACATTAAAGAACATCTGGATGGACGGAAACGATATGTCGAGCTGGCATTGGTCGCCGATTACTCTGTGGTACGGGCTGAAATCGAACAGTGAAAACATTTTGTGTTGAGAGCTGGAAGGGTTTGGCCAGCAAAACCTTCTTTCCGGGACGGCATCTTGCAAGTCTGGTGTGTATGTAGTGATTCTGGAAAGGTCTAACTCTGTACGCAAAGGAAATGCTCAGACAAGTAACAAGGGACCGTGCCGATGTCGATTACTTTCGTCGACACGGACGCTCCGTATATTCAGACGGAATTTCTGTTGAAACTGAAGGAAAATATGTACTGTAGAAAACCATGAGGACCTAGAAATACAACTTTAGAAAAATGCTATTTTTCAGTACACCAAGTACGATTCGGACGAGAAGAAGGTCAACGACTACATGCAGCAGACGTTGAACATCCTCAATTCGGTGAGCCCCACAACTATCCTCGTGTCATTCTCAATTCAATTCATTTGCAGCTTTACTTCCCCCTCAACATCCGAATCACCCTTGTTCACTCGGAAATCTGGAAGAAAGGCGATCAAATCTCTGTGATTGCCGACTCGAAGGAGACCTTGACCAGTTTTATGGAGTACAAGAAGCTGATGCTCAAGGAGCACTTTTTCGACACAGGATACCTGATGACGTGAGCTTTCGGTGAAAGTTTTACGCAAGGTTTGTAATTCTTCGTTGTAGCACCCTCCGCTTCGATGATGGTGTTGTGGGAAAAGCCTACAAAGGAACGATGTGCTCGTACGACTATTCCGGAGGCGTTTATGTGGTGAGTTTTAACCGACACTCTGCGGAGAACTCAAAAAACCAAGTTGTTATCAGTTCTGTACGCTTTTTTTTTGAAAGGAATTCCATAAAAACCGGCCAAAATACGGAAAAAATTATATTCACTTGTCCGCGAGGACTACACGGCCGAGAATTCTCTCCTCGGCCATGCTCCTCTCAACGCGTTGTGTGTGTATGCCATCGTTGCGAAATGTTGGAGAAACATGTTTTGTGTATGTTGCGACGCATTGGAAACAAAACTGATAAGACCTTATTGGGGAGAAATACACTAACAAAATGAAATTGAGAAATGACACTTTCGATGAGACTGACAAACACTGGTTCCTGCAACCTGAACACCTCACAACTGTATCACTTTTATTAATATCCGCAACTGTTTCAGGACCACAACAATGACACCGTTGAGACCGTTGCCACGTTTGCCCACGAGCTCGGTCACACTTTTGGAATGGACCACGATCCCGACGACAAGGACGCGTGCTACTGCCCCATGCCCCGATGCATCATGGCTCCACAGTCTGGTCACATGGAAGTATGGTCTGAGTGCAGTGTCAAGAACTTGGCCAGTGGATTCAGTCGTGGCATTGATCTGTGTCTGTTCAATGAGCCCGGCAAGAAAGCGAGTGACGCAAAGTGTGGAAATGGAATTGTGGAACCGGGAGAAGAATGCGATTGTGGGCCGTTGAAATGCGACAACGACTGCTGCAACGGTAGTACATGCAAACTGATCGGAGAAGCGTTGTGTGCACACGGAGACTGTTGCGATTTGAAGACGTGCAAACCGAAGCCACGAGCTACCGTATGCCGTACTGCCGTCAGTCTCTGCGACCTGGATGAGTATTGTAACGGAGAAACAAACGACTGTCCTGCAGACTTTTTCGTGCAGAACGGAGCAACTTGTCCCGGAAGAGAGAATGTGAGTTTCATTTGGTATCAACAATACAACACAAACTAGTTGTATCAAGCAGTAAACAATGAATTATTCAGGAGTTCTGCTACGAAGGAGGATGCGGAAGTCGGAACGACCAGTGCACGAAACTATGGGGACCAACTGGACATGCTGGCGATGATAACTGCTATCGGAGAAACACGGAAGGAAACTTCCACGGAAACTGTGGATTCAACGCGCATACCAAGGAGTTCAAGAAGTGTGAATCCGAGTGAGTTATTGTCAAGACCTACAGATTATTCAAGTCTTGGGCCCAGAATCTTGCATGTCCGATAGCCTAGCCCAACTGAACTTTTCGATTTCAGAAACACGAAATGCGGGCTCTTGCACTGTGAGACCCAAGCGGAACGTCCAGTGTTCGGAGATCCCGGCTCGGTCACCTTCACCCACAGCACAGTCTACTCCTCGCTGAAACCGGACGACAAAAAGTTCTGCTACGTGTTCAAGTCGGCGTACGGCGGTCTCAACGCTCCGGATCCGGGAATGGTGCCCGATGGAGCGATGTGCGGCGAAGAAGAGGTATTGGCTATTCTTAACCTTGCTCCCTTTTCTAAAAAAAAATGTCTCCTTCAGATGTGCATTGGACAAAAGTGTCAAAAGAAGGAAAAGTTGACGAAAGTGACTGCCCAGTGTTTGGATAATTGCAACTTCCGAGGTTCGCCGACCACGTTTTGTTTGGACTAGAAACCAAGAGAACTTGGCACTTTGCTGATCCCCGGGATTATATGTACAATGTATTTGAGAATTTGTTTGCAGGAGTGTGCAACAATGTCGGAAACTGTCACTGCGAACGGGGATTCGGAGGAATCGCTTGCGAAATTCCGGGATACGGAGGATCCGTGAACAGTAACGAGGCCTACAAGTTCAGAGGGTGCGGAAATGGCAAACAGAGCCAACATAAACACGGTTTTTCTGCAGAATCACACTGTCCTCAATGTTCTTGGTGTTCATCATTCTGTTTGGATTTCTGATTGCCGGACTTTGCATTTACTATCGTGTCAAACGGAAGAGAAACTTGCTTTCTGAGTGAGTTTTGTTTCTCACAATTCTGCATTGACCTTCATACGTTTTCAGATGGTGGAGTGTGGTCAAGAAGCGTTTCGACTTGCACGGAGAACTTGTACCTGTTCGGAAAGCTCCACCACCGCCGTATGCCCAGCGAATTCGGTTGGTTCACTTTAAAGATTTCGGGCAATTAACAAGCATTCATTCATGACGTTTCAGACAAAGTTTCACTGCAATGTGGGGCGAGGACCATTCTCACGTGGCAGTTGCTCAACCGGCCCACCCACGCAACTGCTACAGCGCGTGCTGCCGTCAACCGCCCCGATTCGAGCCACCATCCATTCCAATGGTCACATTGAAGAATCACGAGCTCGCCAGTCCCACACCTCTTCTGAATCCCGCTGAAAAGGAACAGCAACAAACGGCCGAGTTGTATCCTGTTACTGAGAAGTTCCGCACTGACTCAGCGGTGAGTTATTGTCAAAACCATGTCATTTCCGTCCTGAGAAATAATATCTATGTACCGGAACAGGGTCATAGTGACCAATAACATCAACTTGTGTGGTCACCCAAAAACAATGCATTATTGTTATTTCCGATTTGCAGGCATCGTTCAACCGCATCGGATCGCTTCGTCCAACTGTTCAACCACCGCCAGTGCCGCGGCCCAGCAACGATGTATTGACGAAATTCAATCAAGACTTGAAAAATGAGAGCAAAACGAAATACGAGAAACTGTGAGAGCAGGAAAAATGGTCAATAGTGGAACGTATACATTTTTAGGAACAAAACATTACCGCTTCCGCCGCCACTTCCGAAAGAGAAACCAAAGACCGGCAGTTCGACGAGTCTTCGGAGGAATGAGAGCATGCGGCCTGAACAGGCACCGCCACCACCACCACCCGCCCACGCTGTACGTATTGCACAGGGTCTTTATGAAGAACATTTTAGAGATCTGAGACTTTTTGAACTTGATATCATCAATGATCCTTGCCCTGAATCCGGTCAGACAATACGAATGCAACTTGTCGCGGGTTTTTAGAACTAAAATTTCCGTACACAGAGTCTCCGGCTTAGAACTCATTGTTCAGATGAATGATATCATCATTCTAATCCCAATCTTTTCAGAAGCCATCTCTTCCGGTCAAACCACCAAAAGTAGTCAGTCAGCCACAGGATTCGGATGATGTCACCGAAGAGAAGGTGGACGTGCGATCGATGGCCGCAATGTTCAATCAGAAACTGAAAAAGTGAAAAATGTTCCTGTATACATGCACAACCGGTTTTGTATAATTATTTCTATTGCACCCTTTGATTCTCAAATTATTTTTCAAACGTTATTCAGAGTTCATTACACCAGTGCCCCCCCTAAACCCAATTCCAGTCATATAATTATTTGAAATGTTGAGCCCCTGTGATTGAGTGATTTTTTCAGCCTTTCAACGCTTGTCCTTAGGTTTTGAATAATTTTCCGTTTACACTACGCGTACTTTGTGAATTATTCGACTTTTTTCCCGCAGCTTTCTGCCTTGCCTACTGTATCCTTTTGAATTGTTTGTCATCGGGCACCTTTTTAAGATCCCTTTTCGTAACTTCTGCAGAACGTTTGCAAAAACCGATTCTTTGCGGATGCGTCGGTGACATTAATAATGGAAATGACAAACTCGCAACGCAATTTTTTTTTTGCTATATTTATCCTCCGACCACCCCTGAGCGCAAAGTGTGTAGTTGCACGAAACGTCGCAAACACTTGGACGCACCGGATATGTGGGAGTAAGCTTCACATCATCGAATTGCAAAAAATTTGAGAACTGAGAGAATTTCCGGATCAACATCATTTCCTTTTAGCCCTCTTTTTTTGAAGCAATGTTGTGTGCCTCACGAAAATCCCAAATTTATACTTTGATCTCTCAGTGAATTCTATATCTGAAATCTGAGAAATTCTGCTGGTGAGGATGTATGAATAAACAGCTGCACCCTTCCCCTTTATCCTTTCTGTCTGAAAAGCAGAAGGGATAACGTTTTAGAGTCACGTTTTTTTCTGTGAGCGCCAGTGTGCCATCACGAACCTGGCACGGACACTCTGCGCTGAGCCGAGGACAACTACAAATACAAATCCAAATCTAAATCTAAATCCAAATCCAAATCCCACTCCGCAATGTGTTTGTAATAGATCGGATTAAGAATAATCACATCTCCGGGCAGTTCTGACTGATATGGATAACCGAAAGAGTGCGGAGAACGAGGAGAGCCCTAATCCTGAGATGTTTGGACTTGGGACTACGGTATGTAGCAGCAGTTTTCGCTGGTTAATAAACAAACATCAAGAAGAATAACTGAATCCAATTATAGATTGGTGTATCTGACGAATCGGATTAAACGATGACTAAAGTGCAAAGAGATAAAGGATTGTGTGGCTAAGTCTGTTAGCAGGAAACTGTTTGTAACCCGACGTTTCGATGCGCACGTGAATTCTAACAACCCTGACAACTCCCGTTACTTTCGAAATGATGTAGAGCCTAAAAAAACGGTTCCTTTGTTGATTCTTTACTGCCTAAGAAGAGCTCATTAGTTAACAAACGTAATATTTTGTGTCCGTTTTTGGTCTCCATGGGGAAGATCATAAACACAGCTGAATTAATCATCCCCCGCGTTTGACATCTTCATTGCTCATTATTATTCACTAAATCAGGTTGGTTGCAATGAAACCACAACACAACGTCACATTCTTCTTTCGGTCTTACAGTGAGATTTGCTCTCAAAAGAAATGAGTTGGGTAAACATTATGGGTACACAGAATGTCCCCGGGCATACTGTAGTTTGCAATTGGAATTGAACCGTAATTCGATTGTGAACTGATTGGTTCTTCTACGTGATATTATTTGATTATGTGTTTACTTTTGGCAGAGTTTACGTGCGGTTAGTTGAGTACGCTAAAAGTGGTTGGGACTCTTATGAAAAGTTGAGTCGGCAAATCAACGCCAGAGAGGGATGGTTTATGAAGTTACCCTTATATTGGCCACCAACAACAAAACCCTCCATACACTCTAAACATTTGAGCTATCGTAATCCCTCGAGATTGCATTTGACGATCACCCAATCCACAAATGCAAATTTTCCTTCTCTATTTTCATACCCACATCTGTCAAAATCTGACAAGGACAGATAAACATTTGACAAATGATGCAAGACGACATCTTGAACGTCACTCTTTCGGTGGGGTAAAACTGGTTTGAATTTCGTCAAATACGGAAATTGTTTGTTTGTTTGTCTGCAAACGCAACGAGGGGGAAGCAAGGGCAAAAGTCCGACGGTCTTTAGTTTTTCATACTGTAGTTTTGCAAAAGAAATTGTGATGTGTGTACATTGCGGTTTGCAAACCAAGTGGCCATTCTTTTATCAAATTGTGGAGACCGCCGATGAAAATTCGTGTTTGTGTTCACCGCGATACTTGATTTTCTTGTTTAGTTTTCTGAATGACTTCAAAAACTTCTGGGTCCAATTATAAGAAGCTCAGAGAGCAATCACATCAAAATTGAACGGAGAAGTACGGCCACACAATCAGTTTCTCGTAGTTTCAGAAATGTAGTGCGTTACAAGGGAAGCATGATTGGAGAACAAAGGGAAAAACAACACTTATAGCGTAAAATTGTTAGCTACAGTAACCTGAAATAAGAAGAGAGAAAGGAAAACGCTCGGAGCTCGGAAAGTTTACCCGGTCCGTTGCAAGTATGGTTAGAATTATCAATTCCGAAACAAATTTCAAGCATTGAGTGAAGTGAGAGCGTTCCAAAACTGCTCTGCTTTTGTAACTTTTCAGAACCTAAACAGGAATTTAAACTCGAGTAGCATGTCCAGACTACCGTATTCTCTACTGTTCAGACAGACGAGACTTGGAAAGTTGAGCCACGGTATCTTTGAAACTCCCCGTTTCTAGATGTATCTTTTGAGTGGGGAAAGTTTTTCCACAAATAAGTGTTGCAAATTGAGTGAATCGTTGATAAAACGTGCAACAGTTCTTGTTATCGAGAAAGCACGAAGTACAAATAGAAACCTTGCGTTGTCTCTCCCCTCTGCCGGTATTGTTCTCCGCTTCGCCAAGAAACGCATCGTAACTGGCGGAAAAGGACATTTAAAATGCGTGTGTGGCCTCCGCACACACTCATCATCCTCTCCAGTTCCCCTTCGCCCGTCGTTTATCCTAATGGACATCTGGCCCGTTTGTCCATGTTGCGTTTTCAAATCGCCTTACGACGGGTGGCATGCCATTAATAGAACGTGGAGGGAATGATGGTCAGGCCAGATGACAAGAAAATGTTGAGGTATACGGTAGTTTCTTGTGCTTTGGCTTTTTTGTGTGGGAGGCGGATAACAACATTTTAGCGGTCTTAACAAATAATCTTACCAGAAGACCCGCATGAAAAGACCCATTCAAAAGATTAGAGAACTACGGTAACTATTCGTCATTCTGCCCATTTTCTATATTTAGACGGTTTCAGCCGGGAGTTCTTGATATAATATTTATGATGAACTGCCATCCCACATTTCTTTTTACTTGTCTTTTTTAGATTCGTAGTTTGCTCTTCGACCATACCACATTTAGTATTTTTGCATCACTGTGACACTAAAGCAATTGTCACAAATCAGTTGTTCGGGTCTATTTCCACTCTACGCTCCGTGCATTTGTCGAAAATGTCACCTAATTCATTTTGCTCTACTGAAAGCAATAATGTAATGGGCCTCCAGTTTTCCTCCTACGCACAAAAGCAACGGATCTGACCATTAGGACATTTTTTCAGATGAAACAAAGAAACAAACAGATATAACCTTTCCAAAAGCTAAATGCAGCAGAAAATGTCTTGTACCATTTGAGAAAGATCGTTGGTGTTTAGGTTCTGATCATGATCAAATGTTGGTTACTTGATCGCCCCCGTATCTATGTACACAACAAAACGTCACCCAGGGAAAAGGAAAGAAAATCCAATTAAAATTATCGCTTTGTGAGGCCCGGTTTATTTCATTACATCAAAAAACCAGAGTTCAGGACAATAAAAGTTCTTGGGCCTAAAGGAATCAAAGGTTAACACGAGCTCAGGCCCTTTGAACGCTTTTTGAGACCTGGACTTGACCCAATTGCAATTATCCAATCGCACCCAAATTTTATATGCTTCTTGGACGTGGATTCAAGTATTTTGAGTCCAAGTTTCAGACCTATCGGATCATCTGGACCCGAGATATGTGCATCGAAGGTCGAGAAGGCCGCACTTATTGCAAAAACCCGGCTTTTTTGGCCTCAAATCAGTAACGTCCGATCGGTCTGAAACTTGGCTACAATATACTTCAATCCAATCCCAAGAAGCCTGCAAAGTGGGAACATGTGGAGAAACAGTGAAATCATGTTGATCTCAAGATTAATGTTGCGAATTAGAATAATAGAGTGCACGTGGTGAGGTTAGCCACAAATCTTGTTCAATCTCGGACCAAATTCCATGTGAATGAAGAGCATTACAAATTAAAGGTCACATCGAGGGAAAAGACACGTGCTGGAGAGGTCAAGAAAGACGAAGGGCCGCATCTGGTAGAAGGACACCCATTAGCAGCTTATTAATCGGAAATGGTCCGGTTTCCCGGGCTCTTCTCACGTTTCATTGAGCAAAGCGTCTCTCCTGACACAACTGTTACAATGCCTCTTGTACATATTTTCAGCAGAATCTTGATATCCGATTTTGGAAAACCAAGTATAAACGAATCATGCCGGGCCTCCTCCTGTTCAAATTTTTTGAAATCGTACATACTGAATAATAATGTTTCAGGAAACCCGAATTCTGCCTGACAACTTAACAGAAAATGTGACGTTTGAGCCTTTTTGAAGCATTTTCAAAAAATGCTTCTCAGATGGTCCACTCAGCCCGGATTTTGCCAACAATGAAACAAATGAGTGCTTCCCTTGAGATGCAGCTGAATAATTTGATGAGCGACATCTGTGTGGTATTTTCAGGATGATACATCATTGCTTGTATGGTTTATGAAACATTTCAAGGTCCAGATTATGTACATAGTCATTGGACGTGTCCTTAATGTGATGTGTACCTTTAGACAAACCTAAACGCTTCTTCTATCCAACTTTTTTTCTCGTCGAACCTCCCGTTCTTGGAATTTCCGATAAGTTTTGTTTAGCGTTTCCTTTGCGTCATGCTCCCTCAGTTTCTATAATGTCCGATCGGAGCTCCGCCCAGTTTTTAGAGAGAAGAGGTAAAAAAGAAATTGAGGCAAAAGCGGTTGGAAAAGTGGGTGGAGCTGAGAAGGGGCGGAGCAACTACTGATTGCTTACATCTGCTCTGACGGCCGGTATAAAAAACGAGTTTTTTTTTTGGTTCAACACAAAGTCATTTTATTTCCCACGAGCAAAATGTTTGCCCAGCTTACATTTGTTCTCGCTTGTCTCTCGGCGAGCGTAAGATGCGACGAAGGACTCTCCGAAAAAGAGGTGCTGTCATTTGTGATAGCTACTTGCGCGGAGAAGGAGATGATGTGTCCGAAAGAAGGTAATACCATTCAACTCATTTTCCTTTAAACGTTTCATTTTTCAGAGTATGCGCGATATTCTGCGGAAGGATGGACTTGGAACGTGAAAGGGGTGCTCGCGTCATCGGCGCTAGATACGCTGAGGAAAGGAGACATGACACTCGAGTCCTCTGTCAGATACGCTCGCGTTAGTTTACAGTATTCTTGATCTCTAAAATGAAATCGGTTTCAGGAAAAATTCTGCTGCGTGCGAGGGTCTTGCCTAAAGCGTTGCGGAATATCGGTGGTATCGGAGATTGACTTGGTTCGGAATTTTCCGAAAAACGTCAACCAAATATTTGCACTACACATCGAAGATTTGGAGGTAAGACACCCACACACCCTATATGCTGTTTTTAATTGATAACTTTACAGAAAGTCCGCCCTGCCGTCCTTGAATGGATCGAAGACTACAAACTTGGACTCGTTCGGAAGCCGTACCCGGAGGAGGTCGAGGTCTATTTCGATCTTCTCAATCTGCATCACGCAGAAATACTGAGGAGACTGAGACTGAGGAGAGAACGAGCGTGATTCCGAACGCGAAGTCTTTGTTAGCTGTGCTGTACGGGTTTTTCCGTTAGGAAGATCTCCCCCTCTTCCACACCCTTTTCCTTCAGCTTTTGATCTTCTTACACCCCACCTCAATCGAAAGATGTCATAACGCCCCAAATTTCACCTCCACAACACTTGTGTCTCTTTCTCTTCAAATTGCTTTATTTGTTTCTGTCACTGTTGTTCAGTTTAGTTGTATTGATTGATAATAGTAAGCTATGAATAAATAATTCTGAAATAAACAGTGATCTAGTTCTCGATGTGACCTCCACACCATCCAATAAGAGTGTGATTCAAAGAAACTTTGTTGTCTTCCTTCGACGCGTACTTGATCAGGTCTTCGAAGAACGTTGCAATTCCCTGAAATCGTCAATTGATGATGATGAGGGAAACTAAACTGGAGTCAATGTTTACACAGAAAAACATTTGTTTACGTCATAATCATAGTTTAAACTGTTTAGGCGAAAAACGTTTAATTATTGTTTACTCAAGGTTCGAACCGCTCAATGTAATACAATCTCTTATCAGTCCGAAATCGGGTGATACCTCAACTGGCAATCATCTTACTTTCGGCATGAGTGTGTCCACAATCGCTTGGGGAACTCCTTGCAGAAACATTTCTGCTTGCACAATCGCAGTGATCTTTGTGCCGTCGCCTCTGAAATCATCGTCATTGAGCAGAGGAACAAAGCACAATTCGACACATTCCATGGTTTCTCGAAGAATGAATATTCTCTAATTGACACCGTACATTTTATATGTATGTTATCACTTTAACTATTTCGGTTCATCACTCTCACTTACAGCGGGTTGATCATAAGGAGTGTGGGGAAGGTTTGCCCACGCACCACGCCAGCGGTCTTTGGCATTTTTTCATGTTCAACACTGACCATAACCACGGAACGAGTTCCTGAAATCACATTTAGCTTCTTCATTTCAACCCCGTTATCTAAACGTACCATCAACCGGATCGTAGGCGAAACGGCAGAGATCTACGGTCTCGCGTGGAGATATCAGGCCCATCATACGACCTTTCGTCTTGTGAACGATGACGGAAGTATCCTGGAAACAGGGCCGTTTCCTATTGGAAGGAAGACAGAAACTGACCTGATTTATGGTCTCGACCAGACTGGTTCCAGCAGACTGCGAGTCCCATCTGTTGCGGTGAAGGCCTTGCGGATGGATCATAGCGGACACCTAGACAATGCTATTTTTGACCACCCACAAAGCACTTTACGAGTTTTTCTTCAAAGAATCCGTTTTAGAACTCCAAAGTCAACAATTTCCAATATTTAGAAGATTCTTTTGGCCACCACAACCAGACAGTACCTCCTAAAACGACGTCATCCGAATCTGACCTGTTCTTTTGTTATTTTGTTCAACTTTTTGACGTTTTGAAATAAATCGAAATGAAAATTACATGATATTTCAAAAGAAAAATAGTTGCTTTTCCCTTAATGCACTTTTGATGCAAGGTGACACACGTAACAACTACACTCTAGTTTTGTTCGTTCACCTCCGCACAAGTTCTATTTGGAATCCTTCCTTCGTAGCGGAAAATGTAGTTATCCATTACATTACATCTCATGCTCCAGATGCTTCCGGTCTTCTGAAACACAAAACATCGGGACTATTCGACGTGTTGGCGTCATTCACAAGAGATTCACACGTGTTTGACGTCAATGGGAAACTGAAGCATTTTCCCGCACTTCTCAGTTTAGTTTATGTTTCATGTTGACGCATATCCAGTGAAGATTACGCATTTCAAAAAGTGAGGGCTGTCATTTTCAAAAAAGCTGACCTTCTCGGAATGCAATTGCCATTCGAGAGAATGCAAGAGATGGAAAACACGATTCTCGGCATTCTGCATTGCCACGTCATAATTGGCGGTGGAATCGGAGGCATCGGTAGCCGGCATCATGGTTTTGTATAGGAGATTACCTGAATTAAAAACCGATTATAGAAAACCTAGTGAGAGTGTAACGTCGGACAGAATGAACAGTTCAATGCGAGAAAGAATTGTAAACGTTTCAGGTAGACAACTTTCGAGAAAACATGGGAAACTTTCAAGTGATCTACATAGTTGTATTTCCTGTGTAACGTGCGAATTCTTGGTTGTGTACTTAAGCCTGACCAAACAAATTCTAAACGACACAAATCAAAATAACACAAATGAAAGTTAGAAAATGTCGAGAACTAGCACCAATCCGAATCTTCAAGCTCATAGCAAAAAAAAAAGCGATCAGAAGGTAAAAGGAAAGAAATGAGGCTTCTTCTAAACTGTCATCGGATATCTCATCATCGCATCGACTGTTCTTTCTTCTCCAACCTCCTTTCCGTCCTTTCCAACCCATTCCGAGCTTACAACACTTGCTTTCAGAGATAATATCTGTCCGTCGGCGACGTCAACGGCGGGAGATGAAGCGTGCCCTTCAAGTTGAGGCTAAAGCCTTTCCACCAAATGGAATTGCATCGAAACTGGATCTGTGCTGGCCTGGTAGAAAAGATGAATATCTGAAATACGTAGACAACGTCTTTTTTGTGTTGGGCCATCTTGGAATGTTGCCAGAGATCGAAATGTGCGATGAACGCGACACGGGTGGCAGCGACGGAAGATAGTACGAATTTTTTGTCCTTTTTGGCAGACTACCGGTTTCGGCGACTTTTCAAACATTCAATGAGTCCTGGAATTAATGAAAACTGGGTTTCATAGATGCTGCTGCAATGATAAATGAAAACTAAATATGAATTTTCTAATAATTTTTGGTGACGTTACACACGTAAAAGGCTCTGAAATTTAGCGGAATTTTGATATTCGGCGCACTTGTTTTACCACTATTTCAATGTGTAAAAACAATTCGATGAGCAATGATTCTTTGTGTAACATCAGCTCAATCAGGAACAGTGTCTTTGTGACCTCCAAAAACGTAAACCTCCAAAAACACAAATGATCACTTTTTCATCTTTTGATCTTTTCTGCTTCGCATTCAAGCACATCTTCAAAGAACCAAGAGTCCATATGAGTCCAAACCACACAACTCGCGCCGTGTTTCCATCGTGCAAGACATTTGCCACCGATCTGTGATGTTAGCCCTTCAACTTCCTCCTTTTTCCTGTCTCGATTTATCAGTTTTCATTGAATGATTGTGAGCACAAGGTGTGTACCACACGCGCTCACAACAGAAGTGTGTAATACTCGGAAGAAAACAAATGACGGGGGAAACATCGTGACCGTGCCGGAACGTCACATGCAATCATTTTACTACGGATTGTTTGTGTGGCTCGAGCCGAAAGAGTTGTATAATTGGCGTAGTGAAAACATGTGGGTGACATGTCAATATCATAGATCAGGAGCAGGGACCAAATAACATGAGTGTGGGGGACTGGAATAAGTTTGGGGTCTCGTCGTTGCTCAAATCAGAAAGGGAATGTGGAAGTAAATCAAAGTTTGCGGGAAAACGGAATTTCAGATTCACAAAGGAAGTTTCAACTACCCATGGAAATAACGAAATTCCATCGAATCTCACTGAATTTATACGCTTTGACGTCACACTAACCAATTCAATCCCCCCACAAGTATTTCAGGTTTCAAAGACTAACAACACAAAACCGAAATTGATTGAAACATTTCAACTCGTCCTCATCACGGTAAATCCCTTTTTTTTCATGTCGACCCGACTGAATATTGTGTTCAATCCCCTATCGCACCTCATACTGGTATGCCTGTTCGACGTCGTAAATTGGAGACTTTCATCAGTATTTTTCTGCTTTTGATCGTCGGAGCACAGGCACTTGTCACCTATGATTCGGATTCAGGAAGACGGGTTTGTTTTACATTCCTTTATTTGCCAACTTTTCTATATTAGAAAGATTCACAAGGAATGACAAATGTCAAGAAAGGAGAATGCCTTACTTTTAGAGGTTGACTTTTTTCAATTTCTTCCGCCTCGTTTTTCATTTCACATGTGTGTGTGTGTGTGTGGTGTTGAGGACGAAAAGAGACCCACATCTGGCCCGCAATTCGGGGTCTGTCCGTAATTTTCTTTCTTTTGCTCGGAGTGGCTATTGTTGATTGTGTAGGAAACTGAAAAACATCAACCTTGTGCATACAGCAAATACCGTATTAGAAGTGCATGCCCTTCTATTTTTCAGAGTGAACATTTCGAAATTTGAAAGTCTTGCGAAACGCTTTTCATGTTACAATCGGTTTTTTCAGTTCTTCATCTGGTCCTTGTGTATTGGCGCCACAAATCCGGAAAAATGCGTCGAAACGGAGTTCTACGGACAATTGATTCTGGCAACGTAAATAATTTCAACCCAAAACTAACTGATACTTTATGTTCCACATTTCAGCTTTGAGGCTGACTGTTCGGACTTGATATTCGGAGGGCTTTGTCGAGTTGTGGTACAGTGTTCTCTTTGTTTGTTCTTCACATAACACAATATGTCTAGATTGACGTTGATGACGGCTACACATTGTTGGGAATCACGTTCAAATCGGAAAGCGTCATCGAGAACACAACAGAAACAGTTTTGAACAAACAAGTGCTCACCGATTTTGGAACGTATGGAATGGTACAGACAGATCTTCTCACTGCGTTCGGCCGACTTTGGAACAATGGTCTGGGGGCGTACATGCAGTCGTTGTGGACCGAATATTGTGATCTTTACATTTCGGTTTGTCCCAATCTTTATCACTTTAAACTCAAAGTTTTGCTTCCAGTTCAGTGGATATTCTTTGGGCGCATGTCTGGCACAAATGGCTGCTGTGAGATTTCAAGAGGAGAAGTGGTGGCCTGCAGATCAAATGTTCTATTTCGGATACGGAGCTCCAAGATGTGGAAATGAGGTATTTCGCTACGGAGTTCAGTTGATATTCTGTGATTTTCAAGGATTTCGCCTACTATGTGGACACAAGTCTGGCAGACGCGTACAATATCATGTGGTTCAATGATTATCTCATGGTGAGGCATTACTCCTGAACGTTTTGAACGTAAAGTACTCATCTTTCAGGCCTATCCAACATCAACCTGTACAATGGGAAGTTCCGCAGTGTTGGATCAATGCACGGACAGCTATTTTCAGTGCTGTGTAAGTCATTCCTAGGAAAAATGATGTGAACAACTCTTTGCAGAGAACAATTCGTTACACATCCTGGTCAAGTGTGGCTTTGAACACTTACACAACTTGCATTTCCAACATGTGTAATGCTTCAGGTAATCGACTTTTCTTTTAAAATTCAAACTAATGGCATTTGTTTCAGCTTTGACAGCATCGGACCACTACAGCTATTTCGAAACAACAGAAGCTGACGTGGATAATTTGACATGCACTGACACCAAAAAGTTTCCATAAGTGTACTTGATTCACATGTTATTTTCAGATAAAATAATTTGCTTTTTTCTAAGTTGTTCAAAAATTTGAGTGCTGAATCGTCATGTGTACATATCGTGCCTCCCGTGTGTTGTCTAGTGAAATCGAAAACGAGAGATAGGGGAGACGACGGTTCCGCCGCAGCGATTTCAATTTCAATTCATCACAACCGGGTGTAAATCGCCGCCCGGTTAGCTCAGTCGGTAGAGCACCAGACTCTTAATCTGGTTGTCGCGGGTTCGAGCCCCGCATTGGGCTTATCTTTTTTGTTGTTCCAGGAAAGAAATTTACAAAGTACTAAATTTCACAATATGTGCGCTTGACACTATCAGGAAAGTTCGAATTAGAATAGTTAGCGTACTCTCGGTCAGTTCGATCCCTTCCAATTATTAATTTAAAACGCATGATTTTTTCTGATTACACCGATTTCTTATCAAGATTGACATTGAATTTGGGGCTCGTCATTTGAGAGTGAGCAAAGGGAATGTTCTGCAAGCGCATATCACTCACTCCGTCGCCCTCTCTCTCTCTCTCTCTTTCATATTTTGTTATCATTGATTTCTCTTCCAGTCCTGTGCTAACCACATTCTTGTTTGTGCTTAAGTCAATAATAAATAATAACTCTTTTCTCTCCTTCTTTCTCTCTTCTTCTCCCTTTTGGTCTGTTGGATTGCGCGACTACGCGTGCCGCTGTCGCCCACTGTCTCCGATGTCTCCGCTGCCGCCGATGTGTCCGCTGCCGCCGCTGTCGCCGTCTCGCTGCCCGAGTCTCTGCGATTGTGTATATGGCGAACGCAGCCGGACGAGAGACTGTTAAAAAAAACGGAGAGAGTTGCGAAATACCCACTAATGGTGGGTTCATTTGCTTCACGCGTACGCATTCGTCGAGTTCTTTTACCTTCTTGCTACCTTTCTCCTTCTTCTCTTTTGCTAAGGACGTAGCTCGCCTCATTGTTTTATCGAATTTATTTCTATGCCCGCAATAATTTTACTATGTTCTAATCAAGGTATGTCATGATTATCACGTAAAATGATCATTTTCAGCGAACGAATGTCTCAAAATTTCAATCAAGAACGTGTGCGTGATTACGGAGAAGGGGGTGACCGCGGAGGAAGAGGTGGATATCGAGGAAACCGAGGTGGAAGAGGAGGACACCGCGGAAGAACCGATCGAGATGAGGAGAGAGAACTCATCGGAGACCATGGCAATCAACAATCCCCTACAGGACGTGGCGGATACGGATACAGAGGGAGCGGCGGGCATCGTGGAAACCGAAATGATCGCGGAGGATATGCGGGTGAATCGTCTGACAGAGGAAATGGTGGCCGGGGAAGAGAAAGAGGAAACGGAGAGCACCGTGGAGGGCAACGCGGCGGATACGCTAACCACCAAGTTCATGACGAGCAACTAGTCAGTCATGGAGCTAAATTCATTTCAAACTCATTTGACGGAAATGCAGGAAACCGTGGAGGAAGTCGTGGCAGAGCGGCGCCACAAAGTGGCCGAGGAGGAAACGAGCGTTCGCGTGGACGTGGCGGATACGGAGGAAGTGGAGAAAATCGAGGTGGACATGGACAGGGCTCCGAAGGAAATGGCTATTATGACGAGACCCGTGTAGAACACGCCGGGAATCGTGGTGGATACGGAAACAAGCACGGTTATCGCGAAGGCGGACAGTATTCCAGAAGAGTGGATGGTAACGAGAGACGCGAAAACCAAGAAGATCACGGTGGACACAGCAGCGGACCTCGTGACAAACACAGATACGAGAATGCTCAAGACGGATACCGAGGAGATGCAAAGCCTTCCAGAAGAGATTATGGGCATGTACGACAAAATGAGGTTCGTGAAACACACGGAGCTCAGAGTGACCAGAGTCCACGTCTCGCTATTAACGTTTTTGGACTCCAACTCGACGAATGCAAAATTTTCCGTCACGTGGTTCAAATGAACTTGCTCGACAACAACAAAGCTCACAACCTCACAACTATGAAATCCAGGTAAATTTTCAACCAAATGCGGTTAAGGTGAAGCAAACCTTTTTCAGCGTGCGTGGAAATCGTGTGAGCAAGCAAAAGGACAACTTCCTTCTGCTCGATCATTTACTCGAAAAATGGACGGAGAAGACCGGACAAGTGAAAAAAGCGCAATTTGCGTATGACGGTGCTCAGACACTGTTCACATTGGAAAAGATCAATATGGTAAGAGATAGATAAATTGAGATTTTTCACCTCAACTTTGTTCAGACCGTCGAAATCCCAAATAAAGAAGCTCTGTTGATCAGTGGGATTTCCGAGTTCCTGATAGGATCCCTCAACTTTTTGAAGTGTGGAATCACCATTTCCTGTATGCTCGATCAAGACAAACCGTCATTCCAACAAACCAATCTCCAAGAATGGAGTGACCCAAGGTTCAATGGCTATCTCGACATTGTCACGTCACAGAGTGCAATCCGGAGTGGCAAGTATTTGTCTCAATCGAAAGGATTCTTCGTTCTCACTGATTCCATGAAGCAGAACCAAGGATGGTATGTTTCGGCAATGGCTGTACACAAAAGTTGTAGAGTGGTTGGTCAAAACGTACCGACGCCAATATTGGAACTCGACCGTGAGTATCGAAGCCAGACTTGTAAATAAACTTGTTCCATTTTCAGCAACTTCAACGCAATATTATGCGCCGATGCCAGTAAACGAAATCCTCAGAAGAGCGTTCCCGCAAGACTTTTCATCGAGAGGAATCAATCATCCAAGTGGAAGATTGCAATTGAATGTGAAGTTGCTTCTGAAAGGTGACAGAGATTTCAGTGATTACCTCAAACGTTTGCTTTTTCTGCAGATCTGAAGTGCAACAAGTACTTTGTGGAAAGCGGCACTTGGGGCACAAACACGATTGCCATTAGAGACATCGACTACAACGCTCCAAATGTCCCAGAATACAGACAGAGATATCCCGATCTGGAGTAAGAAAAGTAGATTTTTTAAAATTAAATATTTTCTTTTACTTTAGGTTTCCCCTCTTACCGGCAGCTGTTTACGGTACCGATCGTTTTTTGATTCCGTTGGAGTACCTCAAGGCGATTCCGTATCAATCCATCGATCGTCGTGTTCTTGAAAAGTTTGAAATGATTGTAAGTTAAAAAACGGACTCTGTTCTGGTACATTCATGCTCGTTTCAAGCCACGCGCAAGCCATCCGGATGAAAGATGGAAAAATCTTCAGCTTCACTTTAAAAAGTTTGGATTCAACGACGAAATAATGAAGGCATTTGCAGTGCAGGTCTGCAATGACCCATTCTCACAGATCAGCTATATCGACGGAGAAAGAGTGTCAAAGCCGAACATTGCCTACGCTAAGCAGGTTCATGTAGATGATCAAAAGGTAAAATGACCGTGAATGTTCAACAAGGAACAATTTGAATGGTTTCAGAGAGATTGGAAGCCTGTGGACAAACAGTTCTCTGATCCGGCCATTATTGATCACTTGGTGTTCGTTCTGGTAGTAGGATACTCGCGAAACTTCGTAGCCGACAGATCTGATTTCGAGTTCGTCGCTAATGAATTCCTGAAGAGATGCGAGCAGAAAGGCATGAAAATCGCAAGCAGAGCCTTTAAATGCCACAATGGAGTTCGAGGATGCGATGAGTTTTTGAAAAGGGTCTTTGATGACCTATCACGGAACCCGAAGTACGACTCTTCCACAGCCTTGCCATTTGTTTTTCTTGCATCTGACGACATTCCTAACATTCACGGTAAATTTCACAAAAATAAATCTCAATGGACTAAATCGAAACTATGTCAGAGTGTCTCAAATACTATGAAAGAATGGCGGACGTTCCAACCCAGCAAGTTCTTCTCAAAACCATCCGCAAAATTAAATGCAACGTGGAGGAAAACAGTCAAAATGGCAAAAAAGGGTTCGATTTCACTCTTGACAATATCGTCCTAAAGACAAACGTCAAGTGCGGAGGCCTCAATTACATTTCCATTCCCGAGGAGTGAGTTCACCATCAGTTATCACGAGCAAATACTGTTTCAGTATCGCCACTTGGGAAAAAGTGTCCACTTTTGTGATGGGAATGGACGTGGCTCATCCGGATCGTGGCATTCAGGGAAGTCCGTCAATCGTCGGAGTGAGTGACAATGACACATTATTCACAGTGTCTTTGAGTTTTGTTTTCCAGCTCTCGTGCAATTCGGCCGAAAATCCCTTCCAGTTCATCGGCGACTTCCACTACACTCTTCCAAGAACGGAGATTATTCAAGACGAAATTCTGCAAAATTTCACTGCTCACAACGTTCGCAAGTTCGCGGAACTCCGAGGATTTCCCAAAGATCTCATCATCTTCCGTGACGGAGTGTCAATTGGTGAAGAATCGAAAGCAGTCAGAGAGGTTGAAGTCATTGAGAAGACCATAATCGAGATCGCCAAGGAGATGGGAGTTGTCGATTATGCCCCGAAGGTGCTGGCCATCGTTGTGAAGAAACGTCATCACACTCGGTTCTATGTGGAAAGGAATGACTCAGAGATTCAGGTGATATTGGATTCGGTTTTCTGAATGCCTAACTTATATTTACAGAACCCACTTCCTGATACGTCTGTCTCCGGGCACATTTCCGAATATGGAAAGCGTCAGCTCTTCATTCAAGCTTTCCGTCCGATTCAAGGAACTGCAAAGATCCCGTCATTCCTCATCATTCGCGACGATGCGAAAGTTTCGAATGATTACATCTCCAAACTTGTGTGCGCCGTCTGCAGTCTCCATCAGGTACTATCAGTGGACAGTCAAATAGTGTGCTTAATGTTGACTTTCAGATTGTAAACAGCCCAACGTCCATCCCCACCCCCGTCTTTGTGGCCCATGAGTTTGCGAAGAGAGGATCAAACATGCTCAAAGCTTACAAGTAAGATATCTGCATTCAAAAGATGTTAATGAATCCCATATTTCAGGTACAAAAAAGGCAATTTCAACGACGACTGGTTCTCTTTGACAAAAGAGCTCTCGTACAGTGCGCTCGAACGTCTGTCCAAAATGAGAATTGTCTGAGAGCAGCGGATACATGTTATTATGGATCACCTTTCATTCATCTAATTTTATGCCACTTTTTCTTACTATTTTTCTTCTCCCAATCTTTCTCTCTTCTCGCAAAAGCGTTTCACTTTGTATAATCAGTTGAGCGACAATAACGACTGACTGAAATTGTTCATGGTCCCTTAGAATACGTGACAGTTACGTGTCCTAATTCCGTTTGCTTTGCAAAGGACCAAATTGTGGTTGTGTCAGCTAAAACTTTTATTATATGAATTATTGATTATTTTTCGGGAACAAGAAGGTTTACATGAAAGTTTCAGTGATAGTACTGTAGTTTTCTTACGGAATTTTTAGCTGGACTGTCCACAATTTGAAAATTTTTAAAAAAATGTATAGAATTGTCTGGTACAAAAGTCGTCGAGAAGTTTCGGGGTCCTGCTTGACGGAATGACATTGCAAATGTGCCGGGTTTCGACATACTTTCTCTAAAAGATGAATCGTTTTAGAATGTTTGATATAGAACGAAAACCTGATGAGAAAGTCTCCCGGTTGGGACAATCTCAGACATGCTGTTTCGTGTGAAATTTTACCATGAAAACAGGCAAGCATTGGAATCTTGTACTCGTAATCTTGGGTTGAACGCTAAAAGTATTCAATCATTTCCTCGAAATTTCGATGAAGACAGCAACTAACCAATCGTGGTTCCAATTTTTGAACTGGGGTGTGGTTTAGATTGTGAATACAATCAAATTTCTCTTTCAATTCACGAAGAGCCTGTTTATTCGCCAATTTTATCACATTACATTCTCTTTTATGTTCTTGAGACCTCTTCACCATCACTATTCCCAAATAGTACTGGTCATCCTGAAAAAAGACGTATACACAAATAGAATCACATTATCACCAAACAATTTTGTAACTTACAATAATAACATGATTGTAATAAGAAACATTGTTGTTCATATATCGTCCAAGTAAATAATGTTTTCCATTATAAATGTGGAAGAAGGTGATGGTGTTGTTGGAAACATTCAGAAACACCTCTAACGAATCTACACTAACAAATGGCTCAACTTCCTAAATGAAAAATTTTGCAAAATGTTTGCTGACGAGTGTAACCTGTCGAGCGAGCAAGTTTGCGTACTCCATAGTCATCCTTGATGTTACAACAGTATTAACGAGAAATCTTGAATGAATGAATTTATGAAGACATTGGAAAAAACGTGTAATTCACCTCACTAATGCGTCTTTTTCTCCTTGTGACTTGTTCATAATCGAATTCGGTAAAGGAACATAGCCCATAAACTGAATTAGCCGGTCATTTTTTCAGTGTCAACAAGTTTACTCACATTAACAGAAAATGTCGTTCCACTTGGATTCATCGGTTTCTGTTTTTCACTCCAAGAAGAAATAGGGTCAGTTTGCAATGCTTCCATCTTCAATTTAGGTTCGAATCGGAAAAGGAAGAAGGAAAGTAATGCCCACCAACTGATAACAACACCTGATAATGATGGTGTTTGCGTTGTCGGCTGAAAGGCGTTTTCAATTGATGAGTGATACACTCATTTGTCATAAAATTAGAATTCATATGTTTTGCAGTACTATTGGAAAGTAATCCAGAGAACGTGAAATGAGCAGACAAAATAACTAAAATTTTGTTTGGACTTCAAAACGATCACGTTTGGCAGAGAACCCTGTGGATTCCGGCAGAAACTGTCAAGTTTGCTTGGAAGAATTCAATATCGAGGACAATGTCCGTCGAATTTAAGGTGAGTGTGTGTATTTCTGTAAAAATTTTCCCCTTATTCCATAATTTCAGCCTGTGGGCACACACACACAACACATGCCATTTGGAGTGGAGACAGCACCGGAAAACTTTCAACAAATCATGGATTCGCTTGTCTTTGGAATGGATGGAACAACTTTCTGTTTGAACGACTTGATGTTCTTTCGAACGACATTCAAGACGAACAACAAGCTAGCGACTAATTTTCAGTTTATCCATTTATTTTATCGATATAAGAATCCCTTAGCAATGTTCGGATATATGTAAAGTTGTTCAACAAAACATGGGGACGTGGAAACACAACGATACAGGGTTGAAAGAAAAACAGACATATGTATCAGATACACGTTATTCAAAGGCATGTTTTCAATTTTTGGGAAAGGGGAGACAGAAATTAAGAAGCGGAAATATTAATTGCGAGAGTTGGGCCGAGATTGGGAGCGAGAGCGGGAGCGGGTACGGCTGCGACTACGCGAGCGGCTCCTTGAACGGCTCCGCGAGCGACATCTGGGAGCGAGATCGTGCCTGTGCCGTTTTTTTTCCGTCCACTTATTTGGATTCCTGCGATTCGCGATTTCAATGTGTTCATCCATAATCTTCGACCAATCGTGGCTCGTATTCACGTATTGACTCCAAGCCGCACGAGTTGGATGATCGGCACCAACCCATCCAAAACCAGCAGCGTCATATGCGTCAGGGTCGGGCTCTTCAGACCCGTCTTCCATTTTCATGAACCAGCTCTTCACCGGTTGAATCTCCGAGGGCTTCAGAATTCGTTGCGGAGAAGGAGACGGTAAAGGGGAAGTGGGAGACATTGGCGAATCAGTGGAGAAATCCGGAAGAGGAGCTGACCAAGCGACAAGAGTAGAAGGCACTGGTGGCTGAGAAATGAGCGTAGGATTCAGCCAACTTGCTGGTGTCAGTAGGGTAGAAAAGGCCGCATTATGCTGAATATTCGGATGCGATGTTGGAAACAACGGTGGCGAAGCTTGCTGAACGTCCGGCTGTAATGTCGAAGAAGCGATGTCGAAAAAAGAATCAGGTCCAGTACAATATACCACCAGCTGAAAAAAAGTACATTGAATGTTTAGAACATAATAGAAACTTACTTTCTGGAGATTTATAATATCTTTCGACACATGGAGTCCCGCATTCCCGTATTCAATGGGACCTTGATACGGAATGTGGGAAGAGAGACGTCTATCCGAATTGTTATCCATCTTTTCCAGAGATTTATACTGAAATGTTGAATCAAAATTATTTTCAGAAAAATCGAGTATAGTTCAGTCAAGAATAGCACGCAAAGGGAACTTTCAGCAGAGACAGACAATGGTATGGAACTTGAAGACGCTCTATAAGACCTTATTCACAGCAATCTAACATTCTTGCTTTCGAATCGGAGGATCGTCTTTTGAACGAATCCTCTTTAATGACAGCAAGACCAGTTGGGGCCTCAGGAAATGTCATCGAGTCAGGAAGCAAAGAACACAAAATCATCGAGATGAAAATGGAAATCAAGTGGAAGTCAAAGCAATCGAGGAAGAAAAGACGTTTTACATTATCAACAAGATGAGCCACAGCCAATGGATGTTTTTCTCAACATTTATCGCGTGGACATTTATCGTACACTGAGATGCTGAATTCAATGGTTTTTTGGCGTGAAATGTAACATACATAGAATAAATAAATACACACACAATTTAGAAGGGGAAAAGAGGGAGATGAGACTAGTAGATGGGTCAAATGAGGGCAAATGGGACACAAGCGAGGGGGAGGGGTTAGCCGTGACTATCCTGTCTTGCGCAGTCTACGTCTTTCGAGTCACTGCACTATTGCGAAAGTGAACCGTGCGTGACTTCGGGAAGGGAGAGAAGACGCTGACAGACCATAAAGAGATTAGCAATGTGCCAGTGAACTGAGTCGCAAATTCAAAGAGCAGTTCTCTATTACATGCGCGCTTCTCGACGGCTGATAAAATTGGAAAAAAGACCTCGAACATTCATACTTAAAAAATTATTTAGAATAAGCAACGAGAACAGACACATGACATCCAAGTTTGGTATTCCCAATTTGATGTGCCTAGAAACTCCGTTCCCTCGCCGGAAATTATCAAAAAAAAGGAACCGCGAAAGGAAAAAAGGAAAAAAAGGAACCGCGAAAGGAAAAAGGAAAAAAGGAACCGCGAAAGGAAAAAGGAGAAAAGGAACCGCGAAAGGAAAAGGGAAAAGGAATCAATCCTTCTTTCTTCCCGTTCTCACTCACGCGAACTGTTGTCCAATCGCTATGAGCGCGATAAATGAGGATACTGTTAGTTGTCTTGATGAGGACATATAAAAAAATCAATAGGTTGTAGGCGAAGACCATTTTCTTTTCATTGTGTCTTCGCATTTTGTTGCGCTCCCCGTTCGTTCATTCTCCAAATATGTTTCCTAACTTTTTGATAATGAGAATTCTCATGGAGACAATGTCTTTTGTGAATCAGAGAAAAGACAAAGAATTAGTTGACAACGGGATCAACACAGTTCTCAAAATTGCCACCCAAAAACGTCGCGCCCTGGCGAACAAAAAAGATAATGACTTGAGAGTTCGAATCGGCCACATCCAACTGGTCAACCGACTGCGCTTCCTGCTCCGATCAGGAAAACCATGCGCACATGGAGAGCAACGGCGTTCCACGAGTATTTGATTCAACAGGTAACCGGTTTCAGACAACTCCTTCTCACAATCTAATCGAAATTAATTTATTTCAGAGCTGGAATCAGTATCAGAGTCAGCAACCGTCAGCCCAAATCATCACGCCACAATACAATACAACTTGTCAACAGTTTCAATTCGACTTAATAAACGTTTTCCTTATTCTCACATTTTCATCTTCGTATGCAAACAATTTGTCTGAGTTCATGACACACCGAACGTTCTGTGCTACAGAGCAACAAATAGCCTCTTTCTGTTCTCAATTCTCATTTGTCCCACTTTTGAATTAAATTCCTTTTTAGAGATGTACGCCAGAGGAGATATCGATCCTCAATTTCTCCCAATCGACTATGTGTTAAAGGAAGCGCAGAAGAAAGATCAAAAGGAAATGCTTCATCAAAAAGCGCTAAATACCTGTTTTTCTGTTCAGATATCCGCATTCTCTCCGCTCGTTTTGGCTCTTCTTGGTGATTTCCACAAAGTGAATTTTTTTCGTTGTAGGCGGGAGTGCAGTATTTGTGATCGCTAGTTTCTTTTTTTAGTACTGACTGTCGGCGGCAGTCTCAGAATGACGCCTTTTCAGCTTCGATACCAAAGGCAGTAACATAAGTTTGTTCGCTCCGGGATCCGATATTTTAGTCGATTCCGACTCGGTCAATCTCGGCAGGTTGTCCAACGTGATTCCAAAACCAGCAGATGTCGACAAAAATGAAAGCTCTGGAAACAGCGTGTTACTTCACAGAATTATGTGGATGAGAACAATAATCCCAGAAAAACAGACATTTGAAATGTGCAAGAGATAAGCGAGACAACTAACCTGTTAAATAAGAGGTACATTGGATGCTGTTTCTGGATTCTGTGTGAAGACATGTAACCATGTAGAGTTGTGATAGTGATGAGGTGACGAGGCAAGGACGTTTGTGAAGGGCGTCTGAAAACTTGAAAAAAAAACACTTTCTGATGAAACTGCTGAGCTGATGACTCTGCTTGTTAGATTTTCAATAGAAAACTATATGGAATCTAAACAACATCAAGGCTAACTCGCGCTCTCAATCAATCAGGTTTCCGAAAATCTCTCGAGTGAACAACACCCATCACAAAAAACGTTACTGTAGGCTTACCCTCCAATCCAAGCGACCGCCCCTTAATCTCTCTGTCTGTGCATGCTTCTCGCGTTTTCCCCTTTTCCATTATTCATCATTTCTTTCTCTCGTGATTCATTTCTTCTAACAACATTGTTTTTCTCCCGCTACACATTTCATCACACGATCTCGGTCGCCGGTGACTTTGTCATAGTCGCGTTGTGCAATCTCGGCGGCCCTTTTCGAATCGATCTCTTTCTATGACTTTCTGTTCATTTCGATTGCTGTAATCTCTTTGTTTTACAAAGGCTGCCGCTCCACTGCTCGACCACTGCACGATATGATCCGGATTGACTGGATTCAACTGGAAAGCCACTCCCTCTACCGATTTTCCTTTTTTCCCTTGCTATTCTTTCCCTCTAACGATATTATTTTTCGGTATTGTCCAGTGTCTCCCTTTCCATCAGATTTGTGCCGCCTTGTGCTGCTTTACATTTCCTAACACACATTTGTACTATCCTCTGCTGTCAGTGACTTCTTCATGTCCACATTGCGCAACAACGACTATCCGCTCCTTTGGGCCGCTCTTCTGTTTCACAAACGCTGCAGCCAGCTCCCCTTTTCCGCCATGTCTTATCAGACGCGTTTTTTAGCCACGGAGGTGCGTTATATTTTCGCTGAACTTAATGAACCTGTGAGAAGAGAGATTTGCCATTCTACTGAAATTGTGGTTTTTTTTATTTTTCCGGAAAACTATCAATTCTGACCGTATCATTCGCATTTCGTGGCAGCCAGGGGAGATTACTGTAGGATTTCTATCCTATCCAAGCGGCCGCTGATTCTCCGCCCTCATCTTTCTGCGTCTGTGCTTGTCTCTCACGGTAGTGTTCTCACTCCACCGATTTTCCTTTTTTCCCCTGCTGTTTTTTCCCTCTAACGACAATGTTTTTCGGTATTTTCAATGTCTCGCTTCCCATTAGATTAGTCCCGCCTCGTTCTGCTTTACATTTCATAACACATAAGTGTACGATCCTCTGTCGTCGATTCCTTTTCCATACCCACATTGCGCAAAAGCAGTCACCCTCTCCCAAATGACTTCTTGGTATGAATTACTGCTGCTCCTTCTCCGGTACGCTATATCTGATCTGCTCGGGATCCACAGGCTTTACTGAAAATCACTCGCAAATACATTGTTTTTCCTTTCCTCGACGTCTAGTATCCTTTCGTTGGCTATTCTTTTCCCGAATCGTAATCCAATTCTTTTCCGGCCATCTTTGAGACACCTTGTGCCCCTCCCCCGTTTTCAAACGTTCTTCTACTTTGTTTCTTTCTTCAGCTTATTGTAACGTGCTCATTCAAGTAATGAACCGCAATCAACCTCCCGACGGGAAACGCGTGGCGATTCCTGGCCTCGGACAAGATCTTCATGTGAGTTTCTAGTTGTTTGTGTGTGTGTGTGTTTGATACAAATCAATAGAAAAAAGAGTACCTGCGTATTCACAACCTTCAAGCCAGTTATCTGGTGAAACCTCAAACTCATGCCTTTAAGTATGTTGAGTTATGAAAGGGATTCACCTAAACTGTCTTTTTTTTTACCCGCTTGCATGAAACGCTCTTTTGTGAGTGGCAGTCAATTGTTGCTCAACTTCTTAGGTGCTAGTGGCAACACGTAGAACCAGAGGTGCCGCATTGTGCAGGTAAATTCTCAGCAAATTATTTCTTTAATTTCATGTTAACATTGGTTTACTAATTCAATCTACGCTTGCTTGCTGTTATGCATACCGGCTTGTAGCGACATAAAATCAGTTAACTAATTCAAAGTTTGTGGGTTTATCCTAAAGAATTATCGGAGAAATCGAAACGTGTGTTGTTGTTCTTTTTGATAAACAAATAAACAAAGAAAGAAACATCCAATGAGTTCATTCCAGAATCCTGATGTTCTTCGACATGGTCCTCCACCGGTCGTTGCGCGACTGAGCCCTGAGATTGCTCAAATTGTAAAATATCCCTTTTCCGATCTCAAGCGTCTTTTTCAAAAATTTTCCAGCAGCCGCGTCCGAGACCAAGAGAGCGCAGAACTTTCGAACCGAATCAGAATCAGAATCATGAAAACCACGCAGAGGTAACTTTGACTATCATCTTATTACATACATACTCCCATTATTTCTTTCAGGTCCATCGTGCTCTGTTCGGTGATACTCTAGTACCGCCTCAAGCTCCTCGTCCTCGTCCTCGCCGCATCTTCCTCTCACCTCCGCCTCCGCTTGCTGTACAACGTCCACCAGTGGCCAATGGACTGAAGGTGACTGTCAACAACATGCAAGTGAATATCGATGGGCGCGCTCCGGAACCTATAGTTATGATCGTTATTCCGTCACAGGTAAGATGACCAGTTCTGATTTAACGTTTCAAGCAAAGACACGCTTGGTGCAAGTTTTTAGAACACTACAAGTTATGCTTGCCTGATCAAAGCTTTTGCTACTCAATCTCCGGCTGAGAATTTTGGCAAACCATTGTGTTAAATAGTTATTTCTCTAACATCTCAGCATTCGTACATAACAGCGCATCATTGATACTAAGTCGATAATTTCAGAGCTTGAACGGCGCCGCTGGTCCCGCCGCACGTCCCGCCGACGCTGGTCCCGTCTGATCCGTTTGGTTTCATGAACACCGAGACACCATACGAATTGTGAATTTCATTGTATTTGTCTGAATTGTTGTTATTCTCAGCCAAATCAATGAAATTGTTGCTGTTGTTTGAATTCACAAACAAAAATATGATCAGTGATGATTTTCTGATAAGATTCTCATGATAACCATGGAAACTTGTTTAGAGAGTTTTCTTCTGTCAAAATGTTTTCAGTGCAAGCCCCTATCTAAATGCAGTTATACGAGTATATATATATATATATATATATATATATATATATATATACTAATCGCTATTATAGCTTCCCACCCCTATAGATTAGCTTTCATGTTGCCGCTTTTAGGTGCACACTGTTTCTAATCGCAAACCGTGTTGTCTCTGAAAAGTTCTTATAGAGCCAGAACATTAAAAAACAGATATGAAACGGGTGAATCGTCCATTTGCGATTATACTAATCGCAGAAAAATCCACACTCCGTCACATCATCTAATTGATAACGGCACTAGTCCGTGACTCTTCTTAAAAGAATACTATTGTGATAATTTATCATGATAACATGAGCAACCATTCATTCCGTGTTTTCTTCAAATTCCATCCAATTTGAATCTCAATCTATCCGCAATCTGGAAGAAATCTCCGCCTGACAACTGGCTCACCTGAATTATTTCCCAGAGATCGCTGAGAAAAAGGCCTTTCTGAAAATCTGCTCGGAAATGCACCCGACGCGCTACTGGCAATTTGTTTTCAACTTTCAAAGCCGAGTTCCCATATTCAACTTTATTAATTATAATAAGAATTGGAGGAGGTTCCGGGGTGGCCATTTAAAATTTAAAATGGAACACAGGCAGAAACATAGCTTTTTAAGAGAGAGGCGGGAGACCGGAGAGAGAGAGGCCCATCCATTTAAAATGGAACACAGGCAGAGGCATAACTTTTAAAATAAACATGGATTTGAGGGGTAAAGGGTCCAGATTTCTGAAGAGAGGGAGAGAGAGAGAGAGAGAGACCCATCCTTACTTATGTTTTCGAATGTATACTATCACTTCCAAGACCCAACCAGATGTTAGCGGAACGTCAGTCCCGTTAACCCATCCATTAAACATGTAACACAGGCAGAAGCATAACTTTTTAACATATCTCGGCTCGTAGTGGTCCGATTTTGACCGTTCAACTTAGAGGTTATGTATTTTCGTGCAATGTATCTCACCTAGCGGATCGCAGATCCGCTAGTTAATTATAATAAGAATTGGAGAAGGTTCCGGGGTGGACAAATATATGACGGGTTGTACTTCTGAATTAACATTATGAAACAATTTGTGATACAGATCATATGAAAAACCAGATATCAGTATTAACTCGAGACATTGGGAAACAAATAATGAAAATGATTGGATGGTAAAGTGGCTCACGAGCTGAAGGCAATCTTGATGTCTTCAACAAAGTGATTCTCTCGGCAGACGACTCCTTCAACTGACCAGCTATTGAAAAGAACAAGCAGAACGTTGTCCTTGTTGATTGTCGGGAACTTTTGGATGTGATGGTAGGTGTAATTGCGGCTGAAACAAGCACTTTATTTTAATGAGAGTTTTATACCCCCGTAAGGTGGAGAGTCAAACTAAATTTTATAATGACTTGTGTTCTCTATACATTATTTCAACCTTCAACGTTCATCAACCTGTACTTTTTTATTTTTTCGGATTTATCCTGGCTAATTTCGCCCTTATTTATCAATGTACACTAACTTCAACGCCAAGTAGGAATTGTATTCTTAAACCTCAAGTTAATACTGTTGCAAAACTGGATTTCCTTTAACTCACGCTCTTAGCATTTCCTCGTGGTGTTTTGGGACGTCAAACTTGGCGTAAACTTGTTCGTATAGCAATGTACTATTTGAAAGCATTCTAAAGTGACTCTCGACGGGCAGATCTCTGTTTCGGTAGCTCTGAAATTGTTCTGATTGTATTATAATGTTGAGAACAATCTTAACTAACCATTATCACTTCCCAGTAATCACACGCTGTCGCATTTTTCTTCTGAATCTCGAATGACTCCAAGTGCAGAAAGTGGCGGATCGAGATGGGAACGTCGTTGAGAACGTGAACTCGCTTCAAGTTCTTCCACTGCTCAGTCTCTCCGATTTCATTCATTTTGTCATCAGACCATCTTTCCATCGTAGAGATCTCCACTTTCTCCAAAAGTTTAGCATCGAACCATTTGAATACGTCCAAGAACTCTTCTCCAGAATACGTGTACGATTTCCAGCCTAGTTGCTGGGCTCTGATTTTGAATCCAGGTCCGAGTTCTTTGAGTTTCTCCGACAGTTTGCTGATAAAAAGAGGGAGAAGCTCCAATTGATTGAAGTTTCCGATATCCACACGTTTGACGAGCGACGTTTTGTTATTGAAGAGAAATAGGAAGTCGGCGATCGCATTTTCCGTCGGGTATTTCACATTTGCAATATAAGTCCTGTTGTCCGAAAAGTTGCTCAGTTTGAAGTGGGAAACATGCGAAGACGAAATCAAGGGAGCGGAAATACCGGCAAACTCCAGAGAAATCGGACGTCGATCAACAAGCCCTCGTTCAGCACTTGCACACTTTCGGAAGTTACAGCTGAAAATGCGGGAATGTTAATTTCTAGTTGTAGAAAAAAAGAAATTTCAGCTCAAAACCAACAAACCATGATTTGAAATCTAGGCGCTTGATAAGATCCAACTTGAAAATTTGTGGAATTTGATCCCAATTCGGAGCGACCTGCTCAGCATCCATTTCCAGCCACAATCTCTGAAAAACGGGAAGTTCAAAGAAATGTAGAGAGAGAGAAAAGAGAGATTTCAACGGATATCATGAAGAAACGAAAAAGCACAATTAACTCTGAGTGCAACCGATCGAGAACAAGGGTAGAGTTGAAGAGATAAAATACCAAAAAAGAAGGAGGGGATGAGGAAGTAGGGGGAATACGCAGACGATAGCAAAAGAGAGCAAAAGGACGAGGACAGTGAGAGAAAGCGGAGCACTAGAAAATAAAAATAAGAAGGCTAATTGATTGCTATCCAAATCTGTCACACCAATCGTTTTAGCTATCAGAGCAGCCAAGGCTCGAAACTTGGAGATTAACGTTCCGTTGAACATAAAAGATGGACCGGAGTGTTCGCTATCCGACTCTCAATCCAATCGATAGGCGGGGTTGGTTCTGCAAGTACAGAGCCTCTGGTTATCGGAAACGATGGAAGGATTCGTTGGGCCAGCACTTATCTTTCATTTCCGTCTCCCGGCTCCTCTGTCTCCAACAACCCGAGGTTCCATTGTCGTCTCTCTGAGAAGCAATAGGTGTTCTGGATAAGCCGATCATCGATCGTCGCTTTTCCAAAGTTTCCCTCTTTCTCAAATGGGGGAAATTGCTCTTATGTTGCTTGCAAACCTGCAAAAAATTCGATTGAACACAAATCGTTTCTGTTGGAAGTTCAAGGAAACGACAAAAATCGATATTTCGAGCGGAAACAATATATTCACGTGAATTTCACCGGAAAAAAATTGAGTAATTTTTGTGAAACACATGACGAGGCAGCGACACTTCAAAATACATCTGAATCGAAACAGAAAAAAAGATCCACGACGAAATATCAATACGAAGGACAATGAGAGGAAAAGCGAGAAGAGGGGAGGGTGGTGGAGGTGGACACTGACGCATTTCTCGTGCGCGCATGATGCGCCAATGCCTGCTTTCTTATCCGTGCATAATTTTCAGGAAAAATTAATGATATACACATTTTTGAAATCAGCGTTTCAAGACTTACGCATTGACACCAAATTCCGATAGTTTCGGAAACATTTCAAACATTCAACCAACATTTCGTTTGTGGCCAATTGTCCCTCTGTCTGCATTTTTCCGTCGGCTGTTGTGTTTGCGTACGCGCGAAATTATAATTTCAAAAGAAGTTTCAGTGAAATCCACGTCGTTATCACTGTTCTCCTTATAACTTTCTCAGAAATTCTCGGTTGCCTGACGACTTGACAACAAACTGCGATGTGCAACCTGAAGGCAGCGAAAAGCGCAAAACCTACAAAAAAGGATGATTACGTGACAGATGAAAAACCCAACAGAATGCGTGCACAGTGAATGAGTTTTACAACGGAAAAATGTCAAAATACGGAACAAAGGTGAGGCGGAAGAGGAGAAAAACGTACCTAGATGAGAAGCGCGGACGGGAAAAACCAGTTTCGCAATCCATTTCGGTTTGGTCTTCGAAGCTTCGAGGATTTGAGAAGCTGACCCTTAAATCTCGAATTCAAAAAACTCCTTGAGCATCGGCTGTGTGAAAATTATAGAATTGTGACGGGAATTGTATGTAGTAATGGGGGCCTCAAAGCAGTTTACTTCGCCCTGTTACCTTCACCAATCTTGTCACTTTTAGCGGCCCGCAAAGGGACCAGAGACAAATGAACCGCCGATGACGTGCCATTCGTGTTGAGACCCGCCACGATGTGACCGTCGCTGTGCGGCCTTTCCGGCGCAGCCTGCCATACGTTTATGCAGACGGTGGCACACCATTTCCCCGTCTTCAGTTCTATTTCTTGCTAATTTGTTTGTTTTTAATCGAGTTTATGATGATTTTTCAGCTCTCGTCGCCACGCACAAACGTCCAAAATGATGCGTTTCATTAGTGATTTCGAACGGATAGACAAAATGCGCAATATGAGAGTGAGTGTATTTTTCGGGTTTCCCTCAACGTGTATGTTTTCAGTTCACGCTCCAATTCTTCCTCACCGTCGAGATAATCATGACTGCCCTCGCCTACCACTCGATGAACACGTTCGACATCTGGCTGAGACCGTTCAACAAGCTCATCTACCTTCCAGGATTTGTCGTCTTGGCGCTGAGTCTCTTCCCGATAACTCTCTGCAGCGCTCTTAATTTTGCGAGATTTCGTGTCATTTGGCGGGTGAGTGGTTTTGGGATTGATTCATATAGTACTGATTTTTTCCAGATTTCGCACATGATCGCAATTGTCGGAGTCTACTACAAGTACGGATTCATTATGATGCCTCCTGCTTTTGTCTTTTACTACAGTCTCGAGCTGGGATATATGATTACTGGAATCAAAAACCGGCAGGTACGAATCACAACATGACGTTTAAAAGGAAGAATTATTCTGATTTCAGATGCAGTGGCCAGGCAAGTGGATAGCTGAGATCACCGAAAAGTTGCAGGACGTCGACGAGCAGACTAACAAGGACCGTCTACCATACCCGTTCTCGTCTGTTGCCAACGAGGTTGTTCGCGACGACTGTACCTTTGAAGACGAGTACATCGATGACTTGTTCGAGTATCACACCGCTCACGAGGATGTCCTGTTCCCTGTCATAAGCCCGAAAGCTCGTGGAATCTTTATTGTATAGACCCCTCCTTTATTTCTCTTATTATTGATTCATTTGAATTTTGTAAATAACTATTTCTGACATTAATGCTCGAGTGCTGGTTTCATCCCCTTTATCATCTTTTTTGTAAACCTGTGATACCTCATTGTTTCTGCCGTCTCTCTCTCTTTCTCTCTCACTCTTTCATTTCAATAACGTCTCCCTTTGCCCTCCGTTTTCCTTAATCTGCTTGGATCACACTGTCCGGTCTTGAGCTAGCGTTGACTTTCATCTTTTCATTGCATTATTAGATAAATTCTAGAATTGTCAAAATGGTTTTAATCGGAACCGAAAGTGCTGTTCAGTACATGTTTACATACTTGTTTACATGTTTACATGTTTACATACATGTTTAATGGATGTACTATAGTACCATAGTACATCTGCCCTACTTGAAATTTTTGCGGTCCCGCCTCCACCACCTTTGTGATCGTCATCTAAAGGGGCGTGGTGGCGGTGAAGCACGGTTGAGGCGTGGCCGAGTGGGCGGGATTTAACTGTCACTATATAAACCAAGTACAACGTTAATTATGTCTATCTCGTAACTTTTTTCGCTTGAGTGCCTCTCTCTTCCTCTCTCCGACATTATTGCTATGCAAGAAGTCACACTCTCTCTCTCTTTCTCTCTCTGGCATTATTGCTATGCAAGAAGTCGAACTCTTAACCATCTCTCGGAGAGATCTATCAGAATATGTAGGATTCACTTCTTTCTTGACAGCGGTTCTGGGAAGATTGGGCCATTCAACTTTCAACGCCCATATCTCTCTTATCATCAAGAAAACTACCGAAAATGACAATTTCTCTGCTCGCTCGCCGAGCTCTATCCAACCATGTAACTTTCGTTAGCGACAGCTTAACTTTTTTGGCAAGGAACCAGAGTGCTCGTCGATGAGGTCGATGAGACGACCACTCCACTGGCAGTCGTAAAAATGGTAAAAATTGCGTTTTTCGGTATTGCGTGGCGCTGCTCCCGAAATCGAACTCAGCTCGATGAGATCTATCAGAATATGTAGTCAAATCTCTCTTGCAAGCCAAAATTTTCCACTGCGGCGGCCTCGAACATGCCGCTCTTCTCTCGCCTCTTCTCCTTTCCACCCGCCAGCACGGTACTCCATTCGACATCGCATGTCTCATCGTCTGTGTGAATCTCTCGTCGTTTGCGCGTGCCTTGTTTTTGTCGGGACATGGGAAAGGGTAAAAGCGGAGGCCGCGCCGTCCTCGCCGGTTTTAACCCAGTTACTCAAGGTACGCTGGAGTTCCGACCTTTCGAAAGAGAGTGTCGAACAACTATAACTTTTGGAAAGCCTTCCCGGGGTCATCCGGTTAGGCAAAATTACTTAATAAAAACACAAACAAATTTTTATAATAACTTTAATAATACAACACAAAAACATGTTCTACGGAATTTTTGTCCATATGAGTGTGGTAACAAGTTGAAAAATTTGCAAAATACGAGATTCATTCAGGAGTGACTTTAAAAGTTTTCAGAAAAATATTTGATTTGATTTGAAAATATTTGATATCGGTGTTCTTGTGAATTTTCGAGCAGGAAAAATAATAAAAAAGATAGATGAATTGCAAGATGTAGTGAAAATAAGACAGATTTAACTAAAACAAGTGGATTTGATCCATGAAAAATGTACAGACTCCTGGCTTGGCAATGACAATGAGCAGGTAACAGAGTTAATTATTCTTTGAGATACTCGCTTGCAGACTGAAATTTGTTTATTTAAATCACCAGCAAAAGGCCATGAAACTTACTTTCTAGCACATTTCTTCATGAGCGGTGCTTTGAACGTCTCATCTTCTTGTCTCACATAATCAAAGCCGGCAAACAGATCATCGTCTTGAACAAAACATTCTGGCTTACATGGAGACTCTTCCGGTGCCATGTTAGTGAAAGCACTATCGAAATTCGAAACATCTTCTTCGTGAATATGGCAAGGCCTGAATGGCGGTTCCACTTCTCGTGCTTCCATTTTAAGCCAGTTAGTCTTCCCGAAAAATGAGTGACTCTTCATTCCGGAGGCTCCGAGTCGTGTCTTCTCATTTCGATGTATGAGCTTTCTCAGAAGACTCTTCGCTTCCGGCGAGATGTTTTTTATCATGGGGAACTCTGCCTTCTTGATCAAGATCATCGTCTTCTTGCGGTTCGATGTATAAAATGGAGAACATCCCGATAGCATATCATAGAGTAAAATACCAAGAGCCCAATAATCGGCGGCTCTTCCGTACTGTCTCTTCTCCAGAACTTCAGGCGCCATGTACTCGATTGTTCCGCAGAAAGTGTCCGTGAGCTCATCGTGGCCCAAATTCGCCTTGCAAAGACCAAAGTCGGTTAATTTCACATGTCCTGATTGATCGAGCATAATATTATCCGGCTTGAGATCTCGATAGATGACGCCATTGCTATGCAGGTGTTGGATAGCCAGCAGCACTTCTGCCAGATAAAATCTCGCCGCACTCTCCGAGAATTTGGTCACTCTTTCCAATCGCGCAAACAGATCTCCTCCCGAAATGTACTCCATTATCAAATAAAGTTTGTCGACAGTTTGGAATGCGTAGTGGAGTTCACAGAGAAATGGAGAATTGACATTCTCCAAGATATGTCTTTCGGCCATCGTGTGCTCGACAAACTTTTCATCATCTCGGATGGTATTTTTCTTAATTGCTTTCATAGCAAACAAAGTGCCCTTGTCGCGGCCTGTAACTTTTCGGGCCTGGTAAACCTGAAAAGCTGCGTTGTAATTTTAAAAAAGTAAAAAATAGAACCTTACCTTTCCGTACCCTCCTTTTCCGAGAACTTTTAAGATGGAAAAATCTTCCGGCTTCATTTTAGGGGCGTCTTGAATACTTAGACCGTCCATCGCATCACTCATAACTTTTCCAACTTCAATACATCTGAAAAGTTAAATGCAAATTTTGTCGATCAATATTTTAAATAGGAAATAAAATGTATAACTATGAAAATCTTACTGCATATGGTTCTCTTGTCCGGCTGACATGATGAAAAATACTTGTATTACGCGAGAACTGTAAAGACAAAGAGTAAGTAAGAAAGTAAGTAAGAAAAATAAAAAAGAAGAGATGTGAGGAAACGATTGATCGCAAAGACAAGTGGACGAGACAAGAGCAAATTACTCAATCTTATATATAATAATGAGCAGGTGCATCCATAATAGCTCTGCGGTTTTCGATCGACATATTGTAGATGTGATAATGTGAAGACAGCATATGGGAAGGATGTTGCAAGTGAAATAGAAATGACAAGATTTGGGTTCGTTAGAGATAGTAGCACACCAAGGTCTGCACACACTGAAGGTACGATGGAGTGTAGCGCACTTGCTCGCGTTTCACGGGTTTGATCTACCACACATTTCCGTTTGTTTGGCTAACTGAAATAATGTGAACATTTACCAAATCTGAAGAGCAAAAAACCGTTGAAAATTTAAAAATTTTTTATGCTACTAAATGGGACCGATGTGCCAATATTTCCCTCGAAATGTTCAAGCCTACAATATAAATCGTTTCAATCTGGATTTCCAAGTCTGGATATCTCCATCTATCACCATCGAGGATAAAAAGAAGATCGTCGAGGAGCGCCTCGCCGCCTACGCCGCCAAGAAGTCGGCCAAGCCAGGACCGATCGCTAAGTCGTCGATCATCCTCGACGTGAAGCCATGGGACGATGAGACCGATCTCGGTGAGATGGAGAAGCTCGTCCGTGGAATCGAGTTGGACGGACTTGTCTGGGGAGGTGCCAAGCTCATCGCCATCGGATACGGTAACCATTTTACTCATCCCTTCTAATATGAATTGTCTTTTCTTCCAGGAATCAAAAAGCTCCAGATTATCTGCGTCATCGAGGATCTCAAGGTCTCCGTTGATGACCTCATCGAGAAGATCACCGGAGACTTCGAGGACCACGTTCAGTCCGTTGACATCGTCGCCTTTAACAAGATCTAACGGGTGTTCTGTTGTTATTGTTATGTTTTGTTCAGAAATAAAATAAGTATCTTTTGCAAGATGGCTTATATTTCCATTTCAAAAGGTTCCGAGGCTTTCAGTCACAAGATTCATTCAAATTTACAATAAAGGTTATTTGCAAGAAACAACTGTTCCTTCAAAAGCGAGCCGATCTTCAATTTTAAAAAACTGCAAGTGATTATCGAGATTTAAAAATATGATGCCAAACGAGCAATCGAAACGTAAATTCATGGTCGATGTTTCGCCCGCATACAGCTGAAGCCAACATTCCGTCGTCTCGCTCAATGTCAAAGGCGTCGCCACAATAATAACTCATATTGTTTCGGCCATTCTCGAATATCTCATTCCTTCTCTCGGGATCCCATTCTTTCGCGTTCAGTCCTTCGACTACTTTATTCCAACTTATCGCAAATGCGTCATGGATTTTAATCTCCAAAGTGATTAGTCTTTTGCGAGTTACCATCCAGTTCCTGAGCAACTGATTGATGCTAGAATTGTTCAATTGATTCTCGAAGATCACCAAGTAATCGCAATCGATCTTCATCAGTTCGTTTAGATCCACATCCGCTGGAACTCCAATCCGGATCGCTTCCATTTGCAGCATCTTCTCGTGAAACACCAGCGCTTGCAGGTTGACGTCGATTTCCTGGACGCCTTCATAATGATCCATCAGTTTCTTGAAATCCTCTGCGGACAGTACGGTCGTTTCGGGGAATCGGAAGGAAGGGCATTGTCTCGGCGCGAGCGGAAGGAGCACGTCCACGACGAATCGCAAGTCGCAGTCCATTTCGGTCGTGTAATCTTTGATTTGCAGCAGCTCGTCAAAGTATTTCAGCACCAACAACGTTTCCGTCTCATAGCTTTCCGATTGCGACAAAAGTTCCAGGCGGTCCTCGTGCTTTGTTCTGAAATATTTGAGCATTTCATCAAAAATTAGCTATATACACAAACTAGCGCTCCTCTGAATCCTCTGATTTTTCCAGTTTTCAAAATATTCTCTCTCTCTCTCTCTCTGCCCAACTTACGCTTTCTCAAAGTGCACTCCGTCGACGGTGCGTGCGCCATCGTCTCTTTCCACGTCCTTTGCAAACTCCCACGTCATCTGTTTGAGTTCCTTCCCGAAGAAAAGTGTCGTTTTCGATGCGGAGATCGCCACCGTTTCCACTTCGAAATCACACTGTTTCACAAGATTTCGCGTCGTTTTGGAGCACAACGACAAGTCCAATCTGTGAAAAATCGATAGGCGCACGTTTGGAGCGCATCCAGAAAACTTACAAATCGATGGGATTCATGAGATAAAGAATGCGTTTTGCGGCTAAAAATGGGAGTGTGAGCAGCAGAAATTCAGGGGAAACAGGCATGATCGCAAGGAAATGGGTATGTTGGTTGGGGGAGGAGAAGAAGAAGAAGAAGAAGTAGAAGACGTCGAGCAGGGGGGACATCGATTGGATTAGGGTAACCAGGGGTAACCAATTAGCAAGCCGACTCAAAGGGGATTCGGTTGTGGTTGAGTAAACAAGGTATGTACGAGAAATACGAAACGCGGTCTCATTAAGCTAACGCTCAGGACCGCGCAACGGAGCTAACGACAAACAAGGCAACACGAGAGTTGATATCTTTGTCGCATCGAAGACCGGGGACTAACTATCCGGAAAATGGTTGGCGATCGCCGATTTTGAACTGATTCTCGCCCTATCAATCCACCAACTTTTGAGATTTTTAAACCAGCGCAAAGTGATAAAACGGAACGAATCCACCATAAACTAATAGTAAATCGAACAAGACAATCCTAAAGTAACTATATTTGAGTGCATGATAAACGATTTTATTGTAAAAACCACGTGGGAATCTATTTTCTGCGGGTTCCGTCCTCGAAGAAAACTCCTCCGTCGATGGCGCAGTACTTGGGGCAGATTCCGCGGTTTCCGGCGCCTCCGTCTTGTCCCGGTTGACCCGGTTGTCCTGGATTTCCGTTGGCTCCCGGCTGTCCTGGATTTCCGTTGGCTCCCGGCTGTCCTGGAGCTCCGGATGGTCCCTTTGGTCCTGGTGCTCCCGGCTGTCCTGGTCCTCCCGGAGCTCCTGGGCTTCCGGCTCTTCCTGGTGGTCCCTGTGGTCCTGTTGGTCCTGGTGCTCCCGGAGTAGATTGTTCCTGGGCGTCGGCTCCCGGCTGTCCCGGTGCTCCAGCTCTTCCTCGATTTCCTGGCTGTCCACGTGGTCCCTTTGGTCCGGCTGGTCCTGGGGCTCCTGCGCCTCCTCCATATCCTGGCCCTCCTGGAGCTCCGGCGTCTCCCTGTGGTCCTGGCGAACCTGGAGGTCCGGGTGGTCCCTGTGGGCATGGTGGCGGGGTGATTGGATGGCATGGCTGTGCTGGTGGTCTTCCCGGGTTTCCAGGAAGTCCAGAAGCTCCCGGACGTCCCGGACGTCCTGGCTTTCCAGGGATTCCGGCTTTTCCGGCGGATCCCGGCAGGCAGCAGCCAGAGCAGGATCCTCCGGAAGATCCTCCGGAGAACGACTCAACAGCGGCGCCGGCGTCCGAGTCATAACCGGCTTGATGGGCGAAGCGTGAAGCGTTCTTCGGGTTGGCACGGATATGGTTGACCTCGGAGAAGATGTCACGGGCCGAGTGCTTACAGTAGGCGATCTGATGGTCGATCTGGGTCTTGACGCTGTTCACGTAACTGTACACCATAGGAATGGTTACGGCGAGCTGAAAAAGTGAGTTGAGAGCCGTCAGCCATGCAAAAAACTAACCGAGAACACGGCAACGACAGAGAAGGTGACGGCTGCGTAGGCGCCAAAATTTTCCACTGCGGCGGCCTCGAACATGCCGCTCTTCTCTCGCCTCTCCTCCTTTCCACCCGCCAGCACGCTCCTCCATTCGACAGCGCTTGTCTCATCGTCTGCGTGAATCTCTCGTCGTTTGCGCGTGCCTCGTTTTTGTCGGGACATGGGAAAGGGTAAGAGCGGAGGCCGCGCTGTCCTCGTCGGTTTTAACCCAGTTACTCAAGGTACGCTGGAGTTCCGACCTTTCGAAAGAGAGTGTCGAACAACTATAACTTTTGGAAAGCCTTTCCGGGGTCATCCGGTTAGGCGAAAGTAATGAAGAAAATAGTTCAGCAATTGATTACACTGCGGGTAGTGAAACAACACAAAATTGAAGCATTAAATTTCGTTCAGGTTTTAAGTAATTTTTGTTTTTGAAAAGTTCTACAGAGTTATCAGTCATGACAACGACGAGAAAAGACCATTATGCTTGTTCACGAGTTAAATAACGTAGAAGCTGATGGAAGTCATTAGTTACTTGTAATGCAAAAAAAAACTCCATACTATCCGAATAACAACAATACATTCGGTTTTTGTGTGCTCACATACTTTTTTGATATTAGTTCTTTCGTTTTCTAAGTGCATTCGTTCCATACATCTCAAAAACTAGCGCTCGCAGTAATCTTATCTTCACCTACTTCGGCGACACAATCAAAGTCATACTCATACTCCTGTACATGCACATTAGCAAAAAGAGCGCAGTCTATTATTGACTGCCAGACAGAACAGATGTGTTAGGCAGATGTCGATGACCACCTCCCCTCGGCTCTCTCTTCCTCTCTCTTTCTCTCCTCGCCCCCTTTCCCCTTTTCTTGACCTCACCATTTGGCCTACCTGCGTTCCTCCCCACACCCCCTCATCTATTTCTTTACTCTCACCGTTTATTTTAATTTATCTTCTTGGTTTTTCACGTTTCCATTATCGGCCACGATAGTAATGATCAATTCCTGTATGTTTTGATTCGAAAACAAATCTTCTAGGTAAAAATGATAACTGAAAAGGCGTAAAATTTACTAGACTTATTGAATCGGCTTGTCGAGATGCACCTGACCATGATCACTTCCTTGTCAGTTCCTAATATTTTCTTCAACTTCTTCTTAACAAGTTCATTGTGTTCATCCTTCCTTCCTCTCTCTCTCTCTCCCTCTCTCTCTCCCTCTCTCTCTCTCTCTCTCTCTCTCTCTCTCTCTCTCTCTCTCTCTCGTATCTTTCCCCGTCTGTCCGTTCTCCGCCCGCCAGCCCGCTACTCCATTCGACAGCACATGTCTCATCGTCTGCGTGAATCTCTCGTCGTTTGCGCGTGCCTCGTTTTTGTCGGGACATGGGAAAGGGTAAGAGCGGAGGCCGCGCCGTCCTCGTCGGTTTTAACCCAGTTACTCAAGGTACGCTGGAGTTCCGACCTTTCGAAAGAGAGTGTCGAACAACTATAACTTTTGGAAAGCCTTTCCGGGGTCATCCGGTTAGGCGAAAAAATCGTTTGTGTAATGAAAAATAAGAGGGGGTTCCACAGAAATCGGCAGCAGCATCAGTAATTTTTTCGGTTTTCAACGACCTTTCTTTGAAAGTGACTGTTGTAAGATAGGAAAAAGTAGCTCGGATGATATGAATTCACTAGTCCTGCCAATCGAATTGAAAGAAGTTACGAGAAAAGGTTGATATTATTCTGGCCGCTAATGTCTATTCTACACTTTTTCTGTTTCTGATTTTGCGACATCATTAAAACTCATTGTATAGATCTCGTTCTAATATTTTTCCGTTCAGTCATCAATTCCCTTTTTTTTCAGCTCATCTTCACAATGTCGAATGAACCAGCCATTCCACTCTTCAGACTTCCATCTATAGCCCAAAGAAACATAATTTTTCTAACGGATTATACCACACGGTTAGTTAGTCTTACTCATTAATAAACTAACCGACATTTTCAGCTATGATCTTCGTTTGTGCTCAAAACGAACCCAGCTTCTTGTCGACAGTTGCCCTTCGAGATACATGAAGCTAGAAATTCGTGTCCACCTCAACAAGATCAGAATCTTAATTTTCCATTCAAGCTATGATTCCCACTACTGCGTTCCCATCGTTTACCGCGCCATTGACAGCGACGATGGTAACATGTGTTCGCGGATCCGTCGACTTGCCCATCGCTTCTCCCGCGTGCCGGTCTATGAAAACTTCATGACCGCCGCATGCAAGGAGATCAAGTCGATTCTCCAAAGTCCTCGTTTTACAGTGGAGAACCTGTGTGTCTCTGACATGATAGATGTGTCTCCAGAGCACGGAGCACTTCGAAACGCTGTCATGCAGTCGTTTGTGAATAACATGAAGGAGATTCTCGAAAGCAGACAAAAGATCTTTGTGAAGCACTTTTCTACGAACACTCATGAGACTATGGTCGGCCTATTGCAATTCCTCAATAAGAATAGTATTCAATCAATCAGCTGCCCTAAACGGCTGTGGACGGCCGACTTGGAAACGATTCTCGAAAGCGAACAGTGGAAGAATATTGTGTCCCTTCAGCTCCCGACGACTGCGCTCCCAATGAAATACTTCCGGGATTTCAAAGCGGTTCGGATTTCCGTGAACCGAATGAGTCGGAAAGATGCCGATGATCTGATAAAGGTTTTTTTCCTTTAATTTTCCGTTAACTCACTATACATTTTCAGAGCTTACCGTTCGATACTCTGGTCCAGTGGGAATTGGCGTGGAATGTGACCATCCAACAACTGGAAAGAGGTTTCGGTGTACGCGGGGAGAGAAACGCCGAGAATAGATATCAAACCATTTTCGAAGTGAACGACACACACACCGTGTTCTATGAGCAAAATTTGTTGACTCTCTCAAAGATTGAGGCCCCATCCGTACTCTCGTGATTGTTTGTACGTCTTCTCATCGGTTTTCTGAAATGTACCTGTCTTAGCCTTATTTCGATTGTTTGTTCTTTCTAAACAAATTATCGGATTATCGAAGAAACCCCTTTTCATCCACCACGTTGCCTGATATCCTTATTCCATTATATTTACAGCCTTGCACCTCATACATTGAAAGTTCTTGTAATTTGTTTTTTGAATGTTTTTAAGTAGCATATTTTGGTGACTGGACTTGTTCCGACGGCGACGAGCGATTTTCGAAATCTGGTCCGTAGAGTCGTATTATTATTATCAATCGTTTTACTTCAATTTTTCAAATATTCTACCCTTTATTTGTTTCGTGTGCCAGCATTGTCTTTCTCTCTCTCTCTCTCCTTTCCTTCCCTTATTATCTGTTCTAAACAGTCAAGGTCCCCCGTTCCCTTCTCACTCTTTACCGTTACTTCTCTCCTCTCTGTTTATCCCTAAATTTTCACATTTCTCACTTTTATGAATATTCTTCAAGAACCAATAAATTTTCAAGAACCGACAAAAAATGTGTGCTTTGTCTTTGTCAACAGTTCCGACCTAACAATCGACCAATATTCATTGATTTATAGGAATCCGATTCATGAGTTCGATTATAATCCGATTCATGGGTTCGATTCGAGTAATCCGATTCATCGGTTCGATTCGAAGGTTTTTCATCCTTTTAGTCTCTTTTCAATTCCTATCAATTACCATCCCTCATTTTCCTCCAACCCTCTTTTCAATTACCGTCTTGTGATTCTTTTCTGCTTTGCGTTACTTACATCTTATTTCGGCTAAATCAATGTCTGGGCAAATGCCGTTAGAACTGGTAAAATTTGAAAGAATGGCCGAGCACATGGCTATCGAGAAGAAGCACCAAGAGAATTTGGAGACATTGAAGTGGAAGACGATTGGACTCTTCAAGTTGACCGAGTACAGTGACAAATACCCGTTTGATGGACCACGGCCAATAATGACGCTCGTTGACATGACACAAGAGGATTTGTTCCGTAAACAGGCGAACTGCGTCCCAGTGAAGGTAATAAAAGTGTGCGAGGGCGAGGACGGGATTTATGTCGACGATACGAAACACGGGCAATTCAATGGAGTCGTCATATTGTACGGATACAGCGGACGGAGGTGCTCAATCAAATTACGAATCTCCGATGCTCGTCAATTCCGGATCTTGTTTGAGAAGTCAACAATGTTCCGATTTGAAACGAACACACTTAATAAAGATGTGGATTATTGGAGGTGTTTTAGTATTTCATAAATAAAATCTAATTGAGCGTATTTCCAGACAAGAAAAACACTTGCAGAGCGAGCTTTTCCAGCTCACGCTGGAAGATGGCGCCCCGAAACTGCAATCAGCATTTTATGTGCTCGACGGTTTCCGAATGAATGCAGAAAGTCTCGAGCAAATGAAGGACGAACATCACATGGAGCATACTTTTGATCGGAGCCAACTCATGGCTGCAGCAATGGCTCTGAACGACCATCGGAAACTTGTCTGCATCCAGGGACCGCCAGGCACAGGAAAGACAAGGACTCTCGCTTTCATCATCTACAATCTTCTGAAAGATGGAAAGACGGCGATGGTGCTGACGCCAACGAGAGAAGCTCTTTCCAACATCTTGAGCGCCACCACTATCTTCCTGGAGAGAATGAAATTTAAAGTCCAAGAATATGGTATGTCTACAGGATGAGCATTTCAAGTTGAACGTAAACTAACTTTCAGAACTCTCGACTCAGAAAATGCATGAAGACTTCCTGAACAAAAATAGATCAGAGGAAGTTGTGGAAGAGCTGACGAACATTCAGAACAAGTTTGCTGCGCAAGAAATAAGCCAGCAGGATTACGACGCACAACTACTCGCCCTAAAGAAAAAGCTGTCCCTACAGTTCATAAGGAAAGCAAAAATTATCTTTTCCACAATATCTGCGGGATTTGTCGATTTTGTTGCACGATGTGGAGCGTTCAGACCGTCAGTCTGCATCATAGGTCAGTTTAAATAACATAGTCATCAATTAAAATGCTATGGATATTCAGATGAAGCAGCGCAAGTCATGGAAGCTCAGACATGGCCATCGGTCCCATTGATGCCGCGAATTGTTATGGCTGGCGACCCGCATCAGCTTCCGGCTCTCGTGTTAACGCCCGAGTGAGTTCTTTCAAACAGAAATAAAACAGAAGTTGAATAACTTTCAACAAGAACGATTTTTTAAAGTTACATGTCAGATATTACCCAGAAATAGTTCATCGTTCTAGTTATCATGACACTCCGTTTTGAAATACGGCTTACCCGAACACAATCACTACATTATTAATTTTTTAGAGGAAAAGAGTACGGACTGGAAACGTCGATAATGGAGCGTTTGTCGGTGCGAAAGAGCGAATACAGCTGGGTTATTCTCAACAACCAGTACCGCTCACACTCGGCTATCATGGAGTGGTCAAGCAAGGCGTTCTACAACGACGAGCTGAAACACTGCGTCGAAAACAACCTCCGCCTCTTAAAGTACAGTTTCCTAATTTCTTTTTGATTTCAAAATTAAAGTTTTTCCAGAATCAGTTCGGGGGACATACGCTTGAACGAAAAACTGTATGGACCCCTGGTCATGATTGACACAAGTCTGGAGACGGACAAAGTGAAAATAGCAGAATCATGGGAGGATGTTCAAATCTCTACCAATACGTCGAAGACGTATTTTAACAAACGAGAATCCGAGATCGTCGTCCAGCACTATTCGAATTTGCTGGGTCATGGCATCAAGCACGAAGACATCGCCATCATCAGTCCTTACAGAGGACAAACGGAATTGATAAGGAGCATGCTCTTCTCCAGAGATCCCGACAATGCAGGAAAGTTCGCTGTCGGAACTGTTGACAGCTATCAGGGAAAGGAGTTTGACGCGGTCATTTTTTCTCTGGTGAGAAACAACCCGTCGAGTAAGTGCAAGACGTTCTCCAACTTGGAAAACATTATCTTAACAGGAACGCTTGGATTCGTTTCCAACTTGCGTCGTCTGAATGTGGCCATCACCCGCGCCAAGAAGCACTTTATGCTCGTTGGAAATGGCTGGATGCTCTCCGTGCAACGTCAGCAACAGATCAAGGACCTGTTCGAGTAAGTTTCACTTTGCAAAAACATAGTCACAGCGTATTTTTGCAGAAAAATCCGATACGACCGGAATCGTCTTCCTCCGGACTACGTGTTTGGCGACACACGGGGAGAGATCAATAATGACCCGAACCTGATCAAAAACAATTTCGGAAAGGACTTTCGCGAGTTTATCGCAGTCTGCAAGGATCCGGAGATGAAAAAGCCGCTGATCGATTATTTGGAGGGAATGAACGACCCACAGAGGCAACTCGCGCGAGAGAGCTGCACGACAAAATAAGGAGGAGAGAAAGGCCAGAGAGAATAAATTATCTGCTTTTGATTTAGAGTTTTTTCTGTATTTGACTGTATTGACTGATTATTATTTTTCTCATTTTCTTTTAAAAAATCAACAGAAAGTCACAGTAAGTTAAAATAAGATAATGTAACAAAAAGTAGTAGTGATTGACTTCTCGATTGTCAACGTCCATGTTTAGTTTCTTTTTACACTCCCTCCTTGTTCTGATCATAAAAACATAGGGAGAATTGAGAAATGTTTATCATAGAGCCACACCGATGATTAGCAGTTTCGACTCTTCCCTTTGCGACGCGAGACCTCGAGATAAGTCACGCTCACGCCGGCTGCCGCTGATACCCTCATTCTTCAACACACCGAGCTCTCGCCTTGTTTGCAAATGTCTGAGAACAACAGCACGCTCTCGAAATCTTTTGAAACCTTTCAAAATTTGGGCTACCTTAGCTTTACGTTCTTTGTGCTGCTTCTGTGGATTTCGGCCTTTTTGGGATCAACAATCCGCAGTCAATGTTGTCACTGGTACCCTGATTTTTCCAATGTGGTTTTCATCATAATGACAGCCGCTCTATTCACTTCAACTTTAGTAATCACAGCCAACTGTGCCATAACGTGGGTCCAGATACTATATGCTTCATATAACGCAACTGCCGAAGTGGAAAGGCTGGCCGCATTTGACAAATTCCTGACGACTTGCGATAGTGTTGTGGGTGCTACTCAAACAGTTCTTTTAATACGTAAGCGAATTTCTAATCGATTTGTCATAATCATACTCTTTTTAGACTTGTTCACAATGAACTTCTACCCTGAAACGCGTTGGAGGCGCACATGTTCTTTAATGTACCAGTCATTATCGGCTTATTCAGGAATATGTTGGATTGTATTTAACTTGATAATGAATTTCAATAACTACTTCTCGTCTTTCGACTACTCCATCTATGTTCGACATGTTGCAGCATATTTAATCCTGTTCAAGTTAATGGTACTGTTGTCTTCACAAATCGGACTTTGAATCATTTTTTTCAGGGCGTTTTGTGTTACTTCTTCACAGACCAACTGTCACGAAAAATATTTCCCGAGTTCGATGTGGTAAATCCATTTTCCAAGCGCTTCAATTTATGTCGTTTTTTTTCAGGTTCTGAAGTTCCCGGTCGGGGCAATATACCGTGTGATCTTGGCTTTGATCTTCCGAGCCTGCACTCATTTGCTCCCTTTTTTCACTGATCTAATCATCAACGCAAATATCGAGATCGATCGAATCTACTTCTACTTTTGCAAAAATTTCTTGCACTCGCTTGAAGCTGTTCTTCTCTTAGAGTTCTATTTGCAATACGAAAACCAATTCTTCCGTCGTCGGTCATGTATCGATCTATCCGCATTGCCAGTTTCATATAGTAATGGGGTGGTGGATTTGCCAGTATCGTACGGATCAAACGGAACCGTCCAGCTCTCGTCAAACCCTGGAAACAACAACTCTCAAATGCCATCCATTCCTTTGCCAGTGGTACCAACTTAACTTCTGGGAATGTTCCTTATTAACTTCATTTAAATTAACCGTTCCAAACACTCTGACTCTCCTTTTTCCACCTTATTACTCCTCACGACACCATGTACCCCTCAATTATGTAAACTTATCCGCTTCGAATAAACGTAGAGACAGAAATGTATTGCTGACGCATGTCAACCATGCAATTAGCGTTAAAACCTTGACGAAGGTGTAGTCACTCTTATGCTGATTAGCTGAAGTGAGAGGGAAACGCGAACTATGTAGTTGAAAGTCAATTCAGAAAAGAGAGAGAAGACTCTTGATCACAAAAACACTATGAAAAGAGTAGAGTCATTAGTGCTCCGAGCGGGTTTGCGGGCCAAAGTTTAGAAACCAATATTTTGCTGGGTAGATGGATATGTCTAGGCTTCTGTGTGTAAGGGATTATTAGGTGAAAGAATAGGAGTCTCACATAATGGAAACCTAGGAAAAATACAGAAAACGTGAAAGATCTTTCGGTGCTAAAAGACACATTTCTTTTCTGCTAATACATATTTGAGGAATCTCCGATACTGTCGCATTGATTGAACTTTGCTAGCCTGTAGAACTTTAGAATTGACAGGTTAAAGAATAGAACATATGCACAAGATTGGCTGTCTGACTATCATAAGTCTTACATTTAGAGCTCAAAGCGACTAACTCATTTCTTCCATTTTTCTTTGATGCTTGTGAAGTTGCTGTTTTGAAAAAAATAACATAGCCTGGAAGATTAGCAAGTTCTTACCTAGTACTCCATTCTCCGAGTCTTGCATTCTCTTTTCTCAATCAATAATAAAACGGTTCAGAAGGAGTTCAACCAAATGCTCGTCATCACTCGCAATTGCATCGGAAAGCCTTGTCGTCCTGCCATCGCTGAAGCCATTGCGACGAGTCGAAAGGGATGGAAAATCTTTTCCTGATCATTCCAGACTTGCTTTCATTGACGTCAATAGAATTTTGTTTTTAAGCAAAACCACCAATAATTGCACGGTCTAAATACCCAAACATCGGCCATTCTTTTCTATTTTTGAATTTATTTGAAACGAAAAAGTTTACGTAATTGAGGAGTAGAAGATTCGTGACACATAGTTTCGTGGTGAGGAATGAGGAGAAGAAAGGAAAATCAGAATGTGTAAGTTTCGAATAAACGAAGGAAAGAAAGAAATACTTGGGTTGAATGAATAGAGTCACGAGAGAAGAAGATGGACATCAGAAAAGTAACTATTACTCTGATACCGGTGTATTGATCGGCATTTCAGAATTGTTGATTTCAAATACCGAGGGGATGATATCCGAATTACGTCTGTTTTCGTTTGATCTGTGTAACACACGTGGGGTCTCGATCACATCCAAACCCAGTGAGACCGATTGGCGTTCAGCTTGTGGATTGATTCTTGAAGATGGTCGACGACGGAAGAGTAGGTTGCCGTAAATCACGTAAATCTGCACGATGAGAGCTCCTTCACTCAAATAGATCAGTTTTGTTGCCATATTGAAAACGATTTCCTGGCTCTCAATGGTTCTATCGATGAAGAATTCGATGATGAGCGGAAAAACGTGCGCGCAGAGACGCCAGATCAGGACTATAGCAACAAAGATTCTTGCTCTGATTGGGAACTTTAGAAGCTGAAAAATGTGACATGTGCTTCAGATTTCAGGAGAGTAATAATTTACCTTCTTAGAATCGGGGAAAATCTTCTTAACCAGTTGGTAGACGATGCAGTAACAGCTGAAACCCTAAAAAAATACTTTGATACATACAAGGCTGATACAAATTGAAAACTGTACCACTAGCTTCACAGAGACGAATACAGCGGTAGAATATTGGAAGAAGAGGGGGTGTTTGAAGAAAATCATTATTACGTTGAATGCGACCCAACCAACACCGAGAACGCTCATAATTGACTGACACAGGTAAGAGCAGATGCGCCTCTGACGCAAGTCATCGGGATAGAAATTCAGTGCGAGCAAGTCTGAAAATGGAACGACTGGGAGGACCTTATTGGTGACTCGCTTACGTAGTAGATAGATTAATTGAAAAGCATCCACTGCGCTATCGCAAATCAGAGAAACTTTGTCCCATGCGCTGACATCTTCCAGTTTGATTGTTTCGTTGACGTCAGCATCATTCTTTATAGATATGATAATCCTACCATAGTTGGCCGAGTGCATAGCAGTTGGAATCATCAGACCGACTAGTATTCCAACAAACGCTGATTGGGTAAAAGTGATGTATCCGTGACGGGTAATAACATAGATCATCCATCCCAAGACTATCCCGATTGCCAGAAAAGTGAAGAATGAGCCGAAGAGCAATGAACTGACGGCATTCAGGTTCACCATGTTTGCCTGGTGATTGAAGACAATGCGCGAGCTTTGTGACTCGATGAATGAAGATTTCAACGGCACCAAGTTCAAGCGCATGGGGGGCGTGGCTTTTTTTCTTGGCTCTGTGCCGCGCGAGAACTAGGAGAAACGTGTAATTATAAACGGCTTTACGATAAACACATTTTCGAAAAGTTTCGAATCGAGTTGAGCGTCACGAGTTGTTTACCATGATTTCTGATGAAGGAAGTAAAATTCGGAAGTAATCAGAGGCTGCGTCTAGACGAACCGGAACATATCGGATCCTGACTCCGGATAGATGAACTTCGAATGGCACTACAAGAGGAATTGTGCGATTAATGCAATTGCTCTTGCCGTTTCCTGAATAACGTTAAAAAACTGAGGGCTACTTCCTGACTGGTTAACTCTGTGTGGAGTTTCCAACGCACGTCGTTTTCAAAGTTAATCCAACCATCGTATAGAATTGAAGAATTGCTCTCGCCTGGTCAAAGTTGCAAGCATCTAATGTTCTTTACTTTAGCAAAAGAGCAACTTGCAATTATGTGGCATCTGGTACGCAGTATCACCGACGTCAGCACAACAAGTTTATTTTCGGATTTTTTTCAGAATATGAAGTTCAAGTAATTGCAGGATTTACGCCCTTTTCAAGGTTTTTCTCTGAATTCAAAAAGGGGACGTGATCAAATACTGAAATGTGTCTGGAATACTGATCATGGAACAAGTTGTGTGATCGTGTTGAAAATCAAATTAACCCGTTCTTACTGGTATTTAGACTCGTAATTGAGGACAGTGTCACTGTCTGTGTAGTTTTTAAGTGATTTGGAGAATGTCTTTTTGCTGACAAAATGGGAACACTGATTAGAATTGCAATCGGCTAAGCACTTGAAATAATGATTGTGATGTAGATAGAAAATTTGGAGTATCATTATCGCATCTCTACTTCTCTAGTCCTGCTCTAGTTAATCGAGAGTAGGACTATGTATTCTCTCCAAAAGTTGTTGCAACAAAAAGCACATTCAATAAAGACAATAAACGACCAGAATAAATGTGAAACGGGTGAATCATCCATATTGCGATTATACTAATCGCCTTCCTTGATGGTATAAAAGCAAAAATTCCGCCGTTCCTGGACAGAACATCGAAATGCGAGCTGCCTACTTCCTCGTCTTCCTCCTGCTCATCGTCATCACCCGTGGAGCCCCCACTCCGAAGGCCGTGCATTCCGATCCATATAAGACTCAGGTCAACCTAGTGCAGGCACACGGAGATCACGGAAAAGACGGAAACGATGTGGCTCAGGGAAACGTGGGCAGAAGCATTCACACTCCGTCACATCATCTAATTGATAACGGCACTAGTCCGTGATTCTTCTCAAATGTATTCTATTGTGATAATTTATCATAATAACATAAACAATCTTTCATTCCGTTTTCTCCAAATCCAACGCATCTGATTCTATCCGTAATCTGAAAAAAACAGTCATTGGTTGGTCGTCTGGAATCTTCTGTATGAGCTGAAAATGGTGATATGCAAGACCGGGAAAGAAGTAGAAAAAGATTACCTAAAAAGAATGACAATATTCGTGTTACAGCTGAACGTAACGGAAAACCGTGTAGGTTTATTTTATTCAACTTTGTGTCTATTTATAACACTGACCCATTTTTGGTGGTTTATTGAGCCAAAAAGCAAACAATAACAGTTGAGATATCGAGAAATAAATGAGGAAACTGGCAAACAAAGGTGTAGCTACAATTTGTCTATTATCAATTCGGATACTTATGCAACATTTTAAAGTAAACGCGTTCTATTGAGAATAAGAATCGAACGAACAAAAACTGAATTGATAAGGGCGTGGAAATGAGTGGTTACTGTGAAATTGGAGGAGATTAGTTGAGTTGAGATGGGGGATGACGATTGGATGCGGAATTTCCCAAATCAGCGCATGTTGTTGTTGTTCTGTTTGGGAGAGTTGGAAAACCGCAAGAAAAGGTGATCTCTGGAAATTAACCACTTTCAGATATTGAAAAATGTTACTTCACTAACATTTTTTTTTAGAGGCACCTCTCTCATCATTGTCTCCGTTGGTAGTATTGTCATTTTCATCCAAACGGTCGTTTTGCGGTTTCGCATTTTTCTCGTTCGAATCTTCCTCATCAATTTGAAGAATAGCTCCTAAAAATGAACATTTAATCTTATCTGAAAATTGTTTACGCTTCCTACCAATGGAAAAATCGTTCCTTCCTCTTTGATTACCTTTACACTCGGCCTTTTCCTTTTTCTCCTTTTCTCTTTCCTGAAACGTTTCGTTTTTTTTTTTTGAAACTCAATGAATTCTTCCAAAACCTCATAAATGCGAGCAAGGCGGACGCCCACCGAGTTATGGCCGAGGCCTTTGAGCAGGCTACCGTTGTCCATATCAAAATTGATCACTTTGTCTTCATGGATCGTTTGCACCATTGTGAACGATTCCTTTTTGAATGGTTCCGTCTCGCACAAATCCGTATCGGAGGACTCGGAATCGGATGATTCCGTCTCAGAGGAATCCGTAGAGTCATCACTGTCTTCCGAGCTGTCCTCACTGTCTTCCTCACTGTCCATCTGCTAAAAAAAACATGGGATAATTTACAAAACTCTTCTACATAGCAAAAAAGGAAAAGTGACAAAGGAGACTCACGAGCACAAATACTCTTATTCCAGCCTAGAATTTTCGTTTATCGACAAAATATGTAATTACTTTTTGGTGAAAAATGAGTAAGTAGTATGTTTTTCGTGGTTTCACAAGGTTTGTTTCGTTGGAATGTTCCCCTACTGACGACTGATGAACGATAGTCGGAAATCGAATAAACAAAAGCGAATGTAAATGCAACTGATGTCATAAAAAGTGAGAAACAGAGCGGAGAATTTATTGTCTATGTATTTATTGGGAGTTTCCTTTCCCATCAGCACAGGCGCCTACAGCATTTTGAATTTTGTGGAACACAATTCCAATAACATCTATTTGGTTTTCAGTCACGAGACAATGTACAATGTACGTAGGTGACTTCCAGAAAATTATAAAAGAAAAAGCGACTAAAACTCAAAAACGGAAGTGAGGAAAATCGATTATTATTTCTCACATCTGAAAATTGCTGACTTGTTGGCAAGCTGCTGGTCAAATAGTTCAAAAAGTCGACACTTGTAAGATTAAAGAGTTTCAACACAGTTGCCTGCGTTCATCAAATGAGTTCCGAATGCAAAACGCTATGTATTTGGAGCCAGAACTTCGCAGCAGTATCAGGGACCCTCTAGAATGTTCGGAAGACAGAAGTATCCTTTTTCATTAGTCCACGTTACGTAACATGCATAAGTCTTCGATTTTACTGTTCTCTTGATCATCTTATGGTCGAGCGAGGAAGGGATTGACTAATTGTAAGTGAGAAAGTAAGAAGGTGACTTTACCGAATCATCGCTCGCGTCGGAAGAGTTGTTTTCTTGCTCCGACTCATCAATTTGCAGTGTCGATCTTTTTGGAGACGGATCATCGTTCTCCTTTGCAAGACCAGGTTCTGGAAATACAGTATATAGTTTCGTCTCCAAACTTACAGTTTTTCGTATATCTTGTACCATTTTCAGACTTGCGCTTGTTGCAAATACGAACATCGTTTTTTTTCTCTTCACTGTTCGCCTCCATGTGATTGGCTTCTGGTTTCAGCAGATCACCCTGAAAAATGACTTATTTCACCAGTTAGAGTTGCTAATATCATGAGCGCTAGCTGCTTACAAAGCAAAAATGCACAAAGTCTAATTAGTGGCATGCGGGGCCGTGCTATTTTTTCAGCTTGGTTGGCTTGGACTGTTGTCGGGCCGCGGAGCAAGCACCGAGGCGAGAAAGTTGAAATTTCACGAGAACTGCGGCGTGATGATACATGTTTGAGCTCTAATCGGGACTGGTCTAACGCTTTTTAAAAGGTTCTCTCTTGACTTGGAGAGCCGGGAGGCGTTGAATCTCCTGAAACCCTTGGAATGAACTAACATCGATTTTGCTGAATTTCTGCACCCGCGATGAATTTTTGATAAGGAATCAGCTGATAACGTGCGTTCGAGTGATCTATATTTTATTTTTCCGAGAAAAATTGATTTTTAGTCTAAACAATTATGAAATTTGCACAATACCGTATACTTGTGAATATGATATCAACTTCTAAACATGGAATTCGGGCTCTGCGGACCCGCAATGAGTTCTAATATGATCTGAAAATTTGAAGCGAATACAAAATTTAGGCTTACAAAAGTACTCACACCCAGCCCTGATTATTGCCCATACCTGTTCGAGTAGGTCCTCGGGAGCGTCGTGATCGGTTTTGTTTAAGTTATCCATCTGAAATGAAACTTTCATAAACTTTACTTCACGGCTACGAGCAGAACAAAACGCGAAAAATAACCTGGTAATTCCCAAGCGCCCTTGTTTTCACCTTCACTTTCTATCCCCCCCATGCTTGCGACAGAGCGCGCACCATTCTTCAGCACGCTGAATCTCTACTGTACGTTCTCAGGCAACCGCTGAGAAGTGTATTTCCAGAATCTACAACTCACAGGCTTCAATTTGATATAAAAATCTTGCCGAATAATGGAGAAATTTAATGTTATAGTCAGAAGTCGGCGTTGCGGCGTTTTTGACGACCCCCCACCCTCGTGCTCTTTCATGATGATAGGTCATTTCGAATTAAAAAAAAGCTGATTTATGAAACAAACAAAAGATGGAGGATCAGTGAGATTCACTCACCAAATGATGACTCTAAATGAAGAAAATCAGAGAGCGTGTCTAGTTTTTGAGGGAAATGATTTCAATTAGCAAAATTTCTTTGAATTTTCAATTAGTTTGGGCGTGTGAAAGAGTGTCAACAAATCCAAGGAAGATTTACATCCCAGCTTAATCGTTTCTCTTCAGACTTGCAACGGGCCGGGCCGGGCCAAAATTGGAAATTTTCCGGCCCGGCCCGGCCCGCGGCCCGGGAGGATGCACCTAAAAATTCGTTTTGCTTCAATTTCGAAGATTCATTGTAAAAACCAGCAGAAATAGAAAAAAAGACGAAAAAGGCAATGTTATAGCATAAAAACCTGTTAAAAAATAGAAATTGCTGTTTAAAGTCGCAAAATTTTCACAAAAATTACGAAAATTTTCTCAAGAGTGGGCGGAGCGATTGATTGCAACTCTGGCACGCCATTTTAGCAATTTTGCCGCACGCGTTTTCCTCTTCCTTCATATTTTTTTTGCATATTTTTTTTGAGGTCTAACTTCCGGGCCGGGCCAAAACCGGGCCGGGCCGGCCCGGGATTTGGCAAGTCTGTTTCTCTTGTTCCCTTTGTACTATAGTTTTTCAGACGTTTCATTCCAAAGAGCCTATCTCAATGGCCTTGAACATCTCTTTCTCTGCCCCAAATCCTAATTTCCACTCCAGTTGTTATTCATCTTTCTCGTGACATGTTTCTACAAGGACAAGCAATCAAAATATTTGTTAATTTGCTTCATCATTTCTCTCACTCTCTCTTTTCACCGAATGTCAAGGACGTAAGGAAATTTCGAATCGTCTATTTGTGAGTGTGTTGATATGAGGACTCTATCATCCTCAACAAAGGGACATCCCTTCTTGCCGAGCCAAAGTAGGAGGACTGGTGTGACAGATGCCGAATCCCCAGTTTGTTGGAGACGGTGGATCTGACTGAAGAATGCTGCGGTTTGAAGCGACGATGGCAGGAAAATGGAGGCCGTCCAACAGATTCATTCTCTCCGACAAACTGAGATTCCGTCTGCTCCGAACCAACGCGGCTGGTCGATCGATATTGGTGTAACGGATGCGATATCTCCGTTTGTTGAAAACAGGGGGTCGAACTGAAAGATGCGGTTGATTTTCCATGATAGGTTTCCATTTGTCCTTATCGACTGGTACTTGTTTAAGAAGATTGTGCAAGCCACAGTGACTTCCGGTCCGTCGAGGGCTGAAGAGAAAGGAATCGTTAAGACCCTGTCTTTTAATAAGTCATTCTGAGAGACTGATGCTGCTTCCCGGCAAAGTTTGGTTGCTAAAGCTGCGTATCCAACACGGATCCGGTTCACAATTTTCTTATTCATCCGCGTGACAGAAGAGAATTTTGGTCATCGGCTGAAAACGCCTACTCAGAGACGCGTTGCGGTCGCGCGCGTGTTGGCCTTGTCTTTGTCTCTATTGAACACCGAGTACTCTCGTCGCATGACTCAGCGTGCGAAGGATCGGACTAGAGGCAGTGTTTTAGGAACTTTCCTGGTCAATTTTACTCTTCTCATGTATTTCCAAGATCTGTTCAGACCATTACTCGTTTTCTCGTGCTTTTCTACTAAAATTACCCGCTCATTGGAATGTTTTGTGCCAAAAATCTTCGTTGTTAGCGCTTTTTATCGTGTTTCATCACTGCAATTCTTTCTAGTGAAAGGCATTTCTGAAGTATCGAGAAAAGACTGCGTGAATTCCAAAACGATACAATTCTCTTAACAATATTTTAAAGTTACCTCACTGATTTCACAGGTCTCATTTAAATTTTTCTCACAACTCCATGGCTGCACATTCTGTTTCCCCTATATTATTTGAATATCTGAAACCTTGACTTACAATTAACTTCGTCTCATTGCAGATCGATTGAAGATGTTCAGCTGGAAGAAGAATAGAAAGAGTGCGAAAGCGGCTCGTGTCGCTGTCCGGAATGCTCCCGAAAAAGCCGAATCTCGCGTGGTCAAGTTCCAATTGCTATCGTCCGATGAGAAGATCTACAAGATAACCCAGGACGGTATCATGCAGTCAAAGACACTGGCCAATGCTCTGGACAATTTGCGTACGGAAGACCTACTTGCCGCTCCAGTTCCTGTGAACAACGTCGAAGGCGCATGTCTCAAGAAGATCGTGAAGTGGTGCGAGCACCACAAATACGACGGGGTGTACGAGAAGAGTGGAAATGGCCGGGACCTGATTATTCCATCGTGGGACGAAACCTTTTTGCAACGTCTCGACAATAAGGAGCTCTTCGACGTCATTTGCGCCGCCAACTACCTTGACATCCCGAAGCTCATGGACTTCTCCTGCAAAACGGCGGCGAGCATGGCCAAGGGCAAATCGCCAGAGGAGTTGCGTGTCGTTTATGGCATTCCAACGGATGACGAGGACGCACTTATGAATCTGGCGGGGCCGTCGAGCTCAAATAATTGATATTAGGTCGCTGATCTGAGCGCATTTCTACTCGCATCTCTTTTCCCTATTCTATGTATTTCTGTCCCTATCAATGTTACTTTCCTTTTTTGTCTTTTTTCATCTTTCGTGACACTCTCTCTCTCTCTTCTTCTTATTCTTTTCCTCTTTTTTCGTTTATCTACAAAGATATTATTTCCCTTGAAAAATAAATCAGCATCACAAATAACCACCGGAAAACAATTTTGAGAGCAGTGCATAGGATAGTTGGAGAATGGTACTCAAATATCTGAAAATGTTGCATCTGCAAGCGCCACCACTCTGGAATCCTCTTAAACCGATGAACATGATCTTGAATGGAGTTTTTTGGACCTTTAGGATGTCCACAAATATTTGACATTCCACACGTTTGGGACCTCATAAGGAAGGTTTGAAAGATGGAATGTTGGAGTTTGGAGTCAATCGGATCAGTTTCAGCCACGTTACGGCATTCTTATCATGGAATTTCACATTTCACTGCATAATGGTCCTTTCTCGTCGTTGTCAAGCTGATTTGCCTTCTGAAATTGAACAAAGGTGTCTTGTGACTTGACTGATAACTCTTTAGAACTTTTCAAGAACAAAAATTACTTAAAACCTGGACGAAATTTAATGCTTCTAGTTTGTGTATTTCCGAACCATTTTTTATTTCAAATTATGAGAGTTATCTGCCTATTCTACATTTGATATGAAATGCATCAGCTCTTCCGATTGCAGACGATGGCTGCGCTTGTTTCACTAACCGCAGTGTAATCAATTGCTGAACTATTTTTTCCCTTATTTTCGCCTAACCGGATGACCCCGGGAAGGCTTTCCAAAAGTTATAGTTGTTCGACACTCTCTTTCGAAAGGTCGGAACTCCAGCGTACCTTGAGTAACTGGGTTAAAACCGAAGAGGACGGCGCGGCCTCCGCTCATACCCTCTTCCATGTCCCGACAAAAACGAGGCACGCGCAAACGACGAGAGATTCACGCAGACGATGAGACATGTGCTGTCGAATGGAGGAGCGTGCTGGCGGGTGGAAAGGAGGAGAGGCGAAAGAAGAGCGGCATGTTCGAGGCCGCCGCAGTGGAAAATTTTGGCTTGCAAGGGAGATTTGACTACATATTCTGATAGATCTCATCGAGCTGAGTTCGATTTCGGGAGCAGCGCCAAGTAATACCGAAAAACTCAATTTTTGGCCATTTTTATGACTGCCAGTGGAGTGGTCGTCTCATCGATCTCATCAACGACCACTCTGGTTCCTTGCCAGAAAAGTTAAGCTGTCGCTAACGAAAGTTACATGGTTGGATAGAGCTCGGCGAGCAGAGAAAATATCATTTTCGGTAGTTTTCTTGATGATAAGTGAGATATGGGCGTCGAAAGTTGAATGGCCCAATCTTCCCAGAGTCGCTGTCAAGAAAGAAGTGAATCCTATATTCTGATAGATCTCTCCAAGAGATGGTTAAGAGTTCGACTTCTTGCATAGCAATAATGCCAGAGAGAGAGGAAGAGAGAGAGAGAGAGAGTCCGACTTCTTGCATAGCAATAATGTCAGAGAGAGGCACTCAAGCGAAAAAAGTTACGAGATAGACATAATTAACGTTGTACTTGGTTTATATAGTGATAGTTAAATCCCGCCCACTCGGACACTCCTCAACCGTGCTTCACCGCCACCACGCCCCTTCAGATGACGATTACAAAGGTGGAGGAGGCGGGACCGCAAAAATTTCAAATAGGGCAGATGTACTATGGTACTATAGTACATCCATTAAACATGTATGTAAACATGTAAACATGTAAACATGTAAACAAGTAAACAAGTAAACAAGTATGTAAACATGTACTGAACAGCACTTTCGGTTCCGATTAAAACCATTTTGACAATTCTAGAATTTATCTAATAATGCAATGAAAAGATGAAAGTCGACATTAGCTCAAGACCGGACAGTGTGATCCGAGCAGATTATGGAAAACGGAGGGCCAAGTGAGACGTTATTGAAATGAGAAAGTGAGTGGGAAAGAGAGAGAGATGGCAAAAACATTGAGGTATCACAGGTTTACGAAAAAGATGATAAAGGGGTTAAAACCAACACTCGAGCATTAATGTCAGAAATAGTTATTTACAAAATTTAAATTAATCAAATTAATAAGAGAAATAAAGGAGGGAAAGGATTTATGGATCTATACAATAAAGATTCCACGAGCTTTCGGGCTTATGACTGGGAACAGGACATCCTCGTGAGCGGTGTGATACTCGAACAAGTCATCGATGTACTCTTCTTCAAAGGTACAGTCGTCGCGAACAACCTCGTTGGCGACAGACGAGAACGGGTATGGCAGACGGTCCTTGTTAGTCTGCTCGTCGACGTCCTGCAACTTTTCGGTGATCTGTGCTATCCACTTGCCTGGCCACTGCATCTGAAATCAAAATAATTCTTCCTTTTAAACGTCATGTTGTGATTCGTACCTGCCGGTTTTTGATTCCAGTAATCAGATATCCCAGTTCGAGACTGTAGTAGGGGACGAAGGCAGGAGGCATCATAATGAATCCGTACTTGTAGTTGACTCCGACAATTGCGATCATGTGCGAAATCTGGAAAAAATCAATACTGTATGGATCAATCCCAAACCCACTCACCCGCCAAAAGACACGGAATCTCGCAAAATTAAGAGCGCTCCAGAGAGTTATCGGGAAGAGACTCAGCGCCAAAACAACAAATCCTGGAAGGTAGATGAGCTTGTTGAACGGTTTCAGCGAGATGTCGAACGTGTTCATCGAGTGGTAGGCGAGGGCAGTCATAATTATCTCGACGGTGAGGAAGAATTGGAGCGTGAACTGAAAACATACATGTTGAGGGAAACCCGAAAAATACACTCACCCTCATATTGCGCATTTTGTCTATCCGTTCGAAATCACTAATGAAACGCATCATTTTGGACGTTTGTGCGTGGCGACGAGAGCTGCAAAATCATCATAAACTCGATTAAAAACATAGAAATTAGGAAGAAATAGAACTGAAGACGGGGAAATGGTGTGCCGCCGTCTGCAATAAGGCCGCGCCGGAAAGGCCGCACAGCGACGGTCACATCGCGGCGGGTCTCGACACGAATGGCACGTCATCGGCGGTTCATTTGTCTCTGGTAGCGGGCTCCCGGCTGGCCATGTAGATTTCCGTTTTTGCTGCAATGAGATGTAGTCAAGAAGAACTGTCACCACCCTTTCCTAAAAAACAGCAAATTGAGGACAGCAGGGGCTCTTCCCTTTCCTGGCTCGCGAATGTTGTTAAAGCTGTACGTTTGCTTCTGTTCTTTCACAAACATTAATATTGTCCACCTTAGCTGTGCTTTTCGATGTGCCGATTGTTTTGCATTGTAGTGCAAACAATGACGTGTCTTTTGAGTACAGAAAGTTGATTTAGGCACATGCATTCTATCTTCTTCTTTCTCTCCTCCTGTGCATGAAAGAAAACATATTAGGAGCACTTCAGATTTCAGTTTTCCCTTTTCTAGTTTTTTTAAATGATGAAATGACAATCGAATCTCTCCTTTTGCATAATGACGGCTCCCCGAAAATTTTCAAAAGCCAACATATTGAAACTGCAACGTTTTGCAACTAACGTAAATGTTTTTTTCAGTTTTGTCAGTGAAATGAATCGAAACACCTTGGTTCCAATTCAACTTGTTGATGCAATTCCCTTCGAGCAAATCAGTCTTGAGGATAGGAAGAAGTTGATACAACAACAACTCATAATTCTTCTGCATGCCAACAAATGCGCCATCCGGAATACTGTAAGTTTAGAATACATGTATATTTCTGAATCGTTTGCGACAAAAAATGGAAACTTTTTGAATGTGTCTGTCAGAATTATCATTATTTATTTAAGTAGCAGATTTCTTTCATATGCGTTACAAAACATTTGAAAAATCGACTTTTTGAAACCGCCACGGCCCAATATCCACGTGAACTTTAATAGAACAATTTATCGTTAAGTAGTTCACGTTAGAAAGTTTTGAAATGTCACGGTACCGTCGCAAAATTGTCAATAGAAGATATTGTTTTTAAAAATGTTGATTCAGAAGAACAAGAAAGCGACGGAGCAAACGCGTTGTCAAGAGTGCACATTGCCCCATTGCTCCATGATGAAAGTCCTTATCGGTCATTTGCAAACTTGCAATAACGTTGACTGCGACGGTTTGTTTTCTAACCGTATTTCAAAATTCACCTTGTAAAATGTACTACGAATGAGAATTTACAAAGATTGGAAATGTGCTACTGTACTAGAAGTGATCTCACAAACTATTTTTAAACATGAACGTTTCACAAACTGATTCCAGTGGCACACTGCAGTTCTTCTCGCAAGATTATCGAACACTGGCTTGTCTGCTCACCCAACGCGCATTGCCCGGTTTGCTCCCAGATTCGGGACGCACAGAACGGTCGGCTGCCACGAGGTACGGCATCTGCTATCTTCCGACTTTCAAATTGTGTACAATTTCAGACATGTGCAACGACGGACTTGATGATCGAAGACCACCTCCGTAACTGGGAATGCAGTTTACAGTGCTGGCCATTAATATATGAAAAAATGGTTTTTTGAGGATAACTTTTTTTCTAGTTATCCGGGGACCCTGAAACTTATACGGTATACAAAAAGTGCCGTTAGGCAAAGTTGCGGACTTTCAAACTGCATCATCATTTATTTTTTTTTCAGAAAATGTTTTTTTTTCATTTTTTCGATTTTTCGATTTTTGACGTTTTTTATTTTTTTCGATTTATTTTTTTTTTCTGTGATAACATATGACTCTAAAATGATTTGTAGACATGGGAAAACCTTGTGGAAGACAAAATGTGCCCGTAGATGTTAAAAAAGCGATCATCCGAGGTCGCCAGCAAGGCATGAAGTTGAAAGATCTTGCTCAGCAGTTTCAGCTCGGTATTTCCACGGCTTTCAGCATTTTGAAAAGATTCAAGACGCAGGCAAGGTTCAAAGTGTTTGTCAAACACAATAAAATATTTAGAATACCTGCATCGGTCCAAAGGCGTCAGGAAAACCTCGTGGAACTACCAAGGCCATGGATCGGAACATCCTGACAGCGTCGAGAGAGGATCCCAGAAGGACTTCAACGGAAATCCAGATGGTTGTGAATTCTCCCACGGATCCAGCACCTTCTAGAAGAACAATCAGAAGACATTTATTCCGTTTATACGTCTCAGAGGTCCCATAGCGTTGGCCGAGAAACATCCCCATACCATACACGATCCTCCTCCGTGCTTGACTGTTGGAAGTTGGTACTTGGAAGGATATCTGGTTCCAACGGGACGCCGAATCCAGCAATTTCCATCACTACCAAACAAATTAAACTTGCTTTCATCGAACCAGATGTGTTTTTCCTATTCGCGAGGTCCCCAGGTGAGATGAGCTTTTGCCCATGCAACTCGAGCCTTCCGGTTCTTCTCACTGATTAGTGGTTTGCGAACTGGACGTCGTCCATGGAGCCCAGCATCTTGTAAAAGTCTTCTGATTGTTCTTCTAGAAGGTGCTGGATCCGTGGGAGAATTCACAACCATCTGGATTTCCGTTGAAGTCCTTCTGGGATCCTCTCTCGACGCTCTCAGGATGTTCCGATCCATGGCCTTGGTGGTTCCACGAGGTTTTCCTGACGCCTTTGGACCGATGCAGGTATTCTAAATATTTTATTGTGTTTGACAAACACTTTGAACCTTGCCTGCGTCTTGAATCTTTTCAAAATGCTGAAAGCCGTGGAAATACCGAGCTGAAACTGCTGAGCAAGATCTTTCAACTTCATGCCTTGCTGGCGACCTCGGATGATCGCTTTTTTAACATCTACGGGCACATTTTGTCTTCCACAAGGTTTTCCCATGTCTACAAATCATTTTAGAGTCATATGTTATCACAGAAAAAAAAATAAATCGAAAAAATAAAAAACGTCAAAAATCGAAAAATCGAAAAAATGAAAATAAAAACATTTTCTGAAAAAAAAATAAATGATGATGCAGTTTGAAAGTCCGCAACTTTGCCTAACGGCACTTTTTGTATACCGTATAAGTTTCAGGGTCCCCGGATAACTAGAAAAAAAGTTATCCTCAAAAAACCATTTTTTCATATATTAATGGCCAGCACTGTATCTAGCTACATTCAACAGCAAGTTTGAAACAGTATTCTCAACTTTTTGCAATGTTTCTACAAGTTTTATCAATGCATTTTTGTCAGTAAAGTGGTTTCAAATTAGTTCTAAATGGGTCTGCGTTATTTTACATTTCAGCAAATCAGATTCTTTCGAAACTACACGATTTGTTGTTTAATATAAAAATTAAACAGTTTCGGTACATTTTAATGATATACATAAATGGCTGGGAACATTCTGCCTCTATCTCTCACAAACGCCCACTGTTTTTCTCAGTTTTTCCTACAGTTTCAAACCTTTGCTCCCTGATTATTTTTGGCTTAAAAATCAAATACTGGCATCAAGCATCACGCGCCTTGATGCACGTAGCTAATCTCTTTAAGCAGGTGCTTAATTTCTCACGTCCACATGATGTTTGTTTGCAGGTAAGAATACCAGAATAGATTCGAGCGGAAGACGACGGAACAAGCAAGATTTTCCTCCTCTAGGCTTCAAAAACTTATTTTCCAAACGGAACTTCGGTCTTGGTCAATTCAGTACAAGTTTTACAGAATGTGTTTAACGAAGAAAGTGCAACAATCCGCCACATGGATTGTAGAAGAAAACACGATAGCGTGGATAGGAAAATGATGATCGTCCAAATTTGTTTGATTGAGATGGCTAAGAGAAGGCGTGCAGATTTGCAGATTGATTGTCGACAAATTGTGTTCATTCTCGCCAGCGGACTCACTGAACTTTCAAAAGCAAAAATTCAGGAAGCTTCTGTTTGTTAATCTGATGGTCGCCGATTTGAGCAGCGCCGTGTGAACAGGAGTTTGGCTCTGACGCGACACCTAAATTTTTGTTCAAAATGCCACAATCGGAAAATCTATAAGGACCACTTCAATGTGTTGAAGCAAATTCTTTGAGTGTGATCAAGTATATCATCAAGTATAGTATTGCTTTTTCTGAAAAAAAAACTACACATCTCCTTGTTTTGTACAGGACTAACAGTACACGTCGTTTTCCTTTTTTCTGGTCGCCACGTCACAAGGATTTAGTTTTCAGATGGAAACGTGTAAGGCACTACTTTTCTTCAAACGTTCACCATTTAGTGTCCTTCCCTTCTCATCAAAATGTACTTCTAACGTCCATTTGTTTATGTCAAAAGAAGATTTCACAAAATATTCGTTCGAGTTTGAGTTTTACTCCGTTTTTATTGAAGATTTTGTAAATGCTGATCTAGAGCACATGAGAAATATCCGGAAGACGGTCATTGATTTAATGTCACCCCTCTCAGAAATAAAGGAAATTCTATTGAGGACCGGCTGATGGATGGGAAAAGACGTTGACAAAGAGAAAGAGTACGTAAACAAAAAAAGGAAATGGGAATGGATAGAGATAAAGAGAGATGGAACTCCATTAAGAAGAGAAAATTGGTCCCTTTTCACAAATAGTCTAATTGGAAGTACACGAGCAACACCGGAAATTGAATAGAAGAATAATTGGAATTGGATGGAGAAAGACTACGGTATCTGAAATATGAAATCATCGTGATTCCCGACGTCTGATTTCTATCAATCTGATTAATCCAATAATGATAGGGATCTTGTCGAAAATCGGCTACGTCATGTTGAATATATGTATTTGAAAATTTTTGGGAAAATGATCGACTTTCAGATGATATCAAGTTTTCACTCGGCAAGTCTTCTATCTGTTGCATTCAATCATTTACTACTTCCTCAGCTATTATAGCAGTCACCACCTTTTTTGCCTACTCCAAGTACTAATCTCAGCATTTTCAGTGTCTTGTTTCAACTGCTCAGTCAGCTTCACGGCCATGTTTCTCGCTATTCCATCCAAACACTCTACAATCGCCCACTTTTCCTTTCCGTTTATCTCAATGTGCGCCGCACTGCTTCAGTGCCCTTTTTCTCTACTTTCTCTTATACACTTCTGCTCTCTCGCTCCTCCTCGCTTTGCTTGGCCAACTGCTCGGAAGAAAAGAGCGGCAGGGGGTAAGGGAGAGTGAGCGGGCATACATGCATGCATAACGTCTTTTCCTTCTCTGAAAACGGAATGGATAACATTTTCGTGTGATCGATTAGAACGACAAGAAGATTGAGAACGTTGGAGGACAAGATGAGAATGGGAGATGGAGAAAAAAAAACCATAAATCATGTTTCGAAATTTTAGTCTGCCTAGTCGTCATTCACATTTGAAGGAAAAGCATTCCTCAGTGACTCTCTCCTTCCTTCCTCATGAAATTGGTGCTGCTTTTTTATTTCATCACCCTAATACCCAGTTGTGATGCTTTTTCGTCTTTGACGAAAGATCCAGTCGAAGACATTGTCAGACAATTTATGGATGCACAAAAGCAGCAGTACGAAGCCTGCAAAGACTTTCGGCTTCACGTTTTTGGGCATCGATTGCCAACATTTTACAACTACATGGAAAACATGAGATGTTTTTCTGAGCACTACAAAATTGGCCGGTCTGTTTTCGGAATAGACGACTCTCAAAAGTGTACATACAAGAATTTTCTTGGGACGACTTTTCCTCAGAATCGAGATGATAAAACTGAAGACAGACAAGTATCGGCAGATGGACAACGCCTAGAAGCCTTCTTTCATACAAAAGTAGCCGAAGAGTTGTGAGTCTCTGTTACACATTTTATTGATTAAGACCAAAAACAGTTCGGCCAACTCTGTGGCGACTTTAAGAATAAGCTAGACGTCTAGAATTTTTTGAGGTCTTATATTTGATTTGACAATTTCACAACGTGGCAATTTCAAAAAAGTTACAAGGTAGACTAGGTAATCAACACAAGACGTTTTTAAATCGTTGTTATTTGTGAAAAAGAGAAAATAGTCTACAGTTTGAGTCTTTAAAGTAAGTGGTTGGTCACCACTTCAGAAACGGAAAGAGTTCAAAAATGTTTTTCTTGTTAGCTGCAACAAACAAAAGTCAATATTCGAGTATGTTGCGTCAATTGCCACTTACAAAATTCGGAAGCAAATGTTCGGACAAGACCTATCAGAAGAGACATGCAGAAACTTACTGTGGAGCGCGAAAAAAGCGTACACAACAGTGAACAACACACTCGTGAGTTTTGGAGGGAAAAAAGGCAGTTAATATAATTGAAGTGTAGGACGACAATCATGAATATCTCCTCACAATGATGCGCCGAACTTCATTTAGCACGCAAATGAGCCATGGCATTATTGCTGTAGAGAAAATGTTTCAAGAGTTAAAAGACGAGGTATTTATTGAGTTTTTTGTAAGTTGCCTCAAGCACGGTTTAAAGTGTTGATTTTTAACTATTCAGATGCCGCATTGGACTTCAAACAATACAATCTTAAGACAGTTCTTGTCTGACATCAGGGAATTGAAGCTGAGCGTTCCGAATTATACCATTATCAGTGAATCGATTGAGAAATGGATGAAACTGACGCAGAAATGCAGAAGCTTGATGACCGATCTGGGAGAGGATTCTATTCCATGGTATCGTATTGTATGTGACGCATACGGCTCCTCCGGAGTCCTCAAAGACATTCAATATTGGATAATCAACAACATCCCAGAAGAAGTTTTGCCTGAGTTCACAAAAGATGAATCTATTTGGATCGAGCATGACAAAGTGAGTTGGCCAATTCAACTTCTGATTATGTGAACGGTATCATTTACAGAAAATCATCCCTTTGTCTCCATTCTTTACTCTGGCAGGAGGATACAGCGTCGCACAAAGAGTAGGAAAACCTGTTACTACAGAAACATTTTTTTACTGCTTCTCAGTATGGCTCACTCGGATTTTGGTTCATTCGGCATATCATCCAGAAACTGGACTTTGCTGCTCTTGCTGCAAGCCGACCCGACCTCAATAATGTGCTTACCAAGAACGATGAGTGTATTCTGCGAATCAAACCTTCCCCTACTAGCTCGAAACTCCGTTGGTTTGATTTTGATGTGACCGATAAGACTCCCAAAACAAGAGCAATTGTGGCGGAAGCTACGGCAAACATTTACGCTCTTCGAAAGGCGATGTGGGCTTTCAAAAAGTACTCTCCGCAAACCTTCAACACCATGTCGACACATTCGAACGGCAACAGAACTTCGGAACAAATGTTTTTCTACTCAGCCGCCATGCTTCTGGATGGACCAACCATTATGGGTCCTAAAAAACTAGAAATACGGCACCTGAACCTCGTGGTGAGTCAATTACAGGAGTTTCCGAATGCATTCCACTGCAAGAAAGAGGACGAACTGGCCTGGGCCGGGAGCTGTTCCATCTATCCTCCACGGAAATAATATCGCATCACATTCGTCTTCTTATCTGCTTTTTTTCGCTTGCCTTTTGCATTCTTATAAGAACAATAAACTAATGGAGTCACAGAGTCTATTTTCATATTTTATGCACATTTTATTGATGGTGAGGTACGAGCCGTAAGAGCACGATCGTGTTTGTGCTGCTCTAGGAGATTGTGTCGGCGTTCATTAGAACACTTCTGCAGGTTCCTTCTTCTTCCTAACCCCATTCTTCCCGCTTCGTCGCAAAAATGACAAACATTACGCAGGGACAATGTTAAACTGCATTCTCATTGAACTGAAATGTAACTACCACTTTCCATTCTTCCCAATATGTGATGCTCTTCTCTGACCGCATGGTTCCTTCTGAAAAAGTGTATTTGTTTCTCTTCTTTCTTTTCAAAAATCGTTTTCTCATTCACTCCAATATTTCTCTGATTGATCACTCTCTGTCAGAAACTGCAAACCAATCAGAGAAGGCTGTTACGGTAGATTAGTAGGCAATGGAGACTAAGAGGATTAATAATAAATGGCGAAGAATTAAATGATAAGTTCAATGAAAGTACTTGATCCTTTTAAGATAATCCTGTCAGATGTAGTACGAAAAACACAAGGGGATAAACGGATCAGTTTCTGGGTTCAGAAAACGAAAGCGGACTTCCAAACACTGTCTGCCACCCGGTGGTAATCTGTTGTCATTCACATTTAAAGGACCAGGGAACCCAAAAATTTTTTTATGTTTTTGTGAAATGTTTTTGTGACTGTTTGAATTGTCTCTTGTTGCCTCATACATTGGTGAAATGCTGCCTCTCAAAAATGCCAATGAACGAAACGGCATGCAGTTGAAGTTGTGGCCGTGGCCTAGCGCCAATGGCCGAAAAATATATAAAAATATATGCGCTTCTCGGCCATTTTATTTTTTCCGCTTCTTTACCGGTTTTTTTTCCAAAAATTCACGGTTTCTCCCATTTTTCAGTTGATTGACATTTGTTCGGCACTTACTTATTTTTTCACTGCTAAAAAATTGTTTTCATTCAGTCGATATGAAGTGCCAAAATGGGAGAAACCGTGAATTTTTGGAAAAAAACCGGTAAAGAAGCGGAAAAAATAAAATGGCCGAGAAGCGCATATATTTTTATATATTTTTCGGCCATTGGCGCTAGGCCACGGCCACAACTTCAACTGCATGCCGTTTCGTTCATTGGCATTTTTGAGAGGCAGCATTTCACCAATGTATGAGGCAACAAGAGACAATTCAAACAGTCACAAAAACATTTCACAAAAACATAAAAAAATTTTTGGGTTCCCTGGTCCTTTAACTCCAGAGATTGCTCGACTCTCGGAACTCATCTGAAAAACTCAAATTACAAAAGCGAAAGGAGAGTGGTTGACTGAAAACTTTGTATCATCATAGGAAATTGCTATTTTGAATACGATCGAAATTTTTTTAAGTTCCGAATAAATGCCTTTACAGCACCTACACTGCGTTGCAAAATTATACGGCTACCCCCGTTGTGCACTGCCACGTGGCGTTCAAAAATATTTTTGATTCAGCGACTTCAAAATCGCATTCAGGGCACAAATCTACGTATATTTGGTGATTTTGATGACGATACCTCAAAAACTGTCCAAACAATCTTGTTGAAAATGAAAATCGGCCTTTTGCAACCTCTGCACCTTCATGGATCCATGTCTACTCCATCAGAAATTCATGTCCCCATGACGCAGTTTTCTCTGGAAGCACCGTTGTCTCATGGACCCGTTAGACATTCACATTGTGGGGAGGTCTCTGAGTTTCGCGACGAGAATATCGAGACTCTGGCGCCGATCGATGAGTCGAAAAACATTTTCTCTGAAATCGATGCGAGTTTACGTCGGAGCACACGGTTCGTGTTCACTTGAATGGCTGCGATATGCGGAGAACAACGTTTCGCCTGAAAATTTCAATATTCGACGGCAACAAACGATTTTTGTGACCTCGGAGCGACGAATCGATTCGAAGGGCCTCTCCCTTTCCGATGGTGCGCATTGAGTGATCCATTATGCGGTTTTCAACCTGAAAACACAGAAATTATCAAGAAAAACACTGAAAATTGCAGAAAATTTGAGAAGCGGAACGTATGTTCGGCGATTGAGTGGCAAGAGAGGGCGGGCGAGTGCGGTGGGGCGCACTTGCATTATACATACATACAGGTCGTTACAAGATTATACGACAACCCCCGTTGTGCATTGTCATGTAAACGTCCACTTAAAAAATGAGAATCAAGACTCGCAAGCCGAGAGTGATCCTGTTGGACAAAAAAAAACTGAAGTACAGAACCATAGGAGTTCGGCGCCGGAGACAGAAATCTATCGTACATAACCTCTTCACGATTTTAAAATCTCAAAAATCCGAGGTTCTCGATTTCCATTGCCGTTCATTTAGATGAACCCGATACATTTTTTCAAATCTGATCTCTATGAATCAGACGATGACAACAGTCTTCGTCACGTCTCCACACTTATTTGTGCCCAAAAATAGCTTCTAGGCGCGTTTGATCACATAACATTCGACGTCAATAATGGAGGGCGTAACTGAAATTGTGTTTTATCTCAAAGTTGTCAAGGTTACTGAGAGCCCAGTGCGCAGTGTTTGGTGCAGAATGCACTTTGAAGGTTTGATCAGGGATTTTGGAGAAGAGATGGTCATGTGACTTAAGACAATCCCTGGACCATTTCAGAGTTTTCCACATGCATGCATCTCTGAAAGGATTACAGTACACAGACATTCAGGGCAGACTGATCAGCCTTAAAGTTTCAGGGTCTCATTTCTACATGATTAGCAATCGATTGCGAATTGATGAAGGGAAAATGCCATCATTTTGAGGAGCATTCTGTACTCAGCTTGAAACACTTCTTCACGGATTTTTGTGTTCCTGATGAGTTTTAATGGACAAAGTGTGATTAGTGTTTCCAGTGTTCGACCCTTCCAAGTGGTCCTGTTGTCACCGAATTTCAGGATTTCGCGTATTTTTCGTTGTTCTAACCCCTTGTTTCAATATTTTTCACTCCAAGATAAGATCAAACTGTTTTGCATCGTTTCGAACCGGGAAAAAGAAGGACTAGTTCTGATTCGTGGTCGTAGTTAAGTTCTTAAGTGAAGAATCTCTGATATTTGAAGTTTAACTATCATTTCAGAATCCTCTCGGTGCTCTTTGTATGTAGTTTCATTTCTTCCGCCCCATTTCAACTCTACACCCGTTAATCTTTTTCAGTGTCTCTTTATCACCCGCTATTTCGTCTCTCGATGGGAGGAACTTGTGACCAAAAGCCTAGCTAGGCTCCGCCCCCCACGGTATAAAAAGGTGGAAGCTGCACTGAAAATTCATTCCATTTTTCAACGCCTTGACCATGTCTTCCATTGTCGCTATCCTGGTTCTGGCAATCCTCATCTCAGCAAAAGTGCACGAGACGAATGGCTGGCAAGAACAAGGCATAGGAATTAGAAGTTGCGGATCAAGGTTATATCAGCGGATCATAAGCGTATGCAACGGATTGCCAAATTGTGAGTCCCTCCAAATTCATTACCGTAACAATAAATGTTTTCAGACGACTCGGGTTACCCGGTATTTACGTACTGCTGCACAAAACCTTGCTCAGACAACGACCTACGGAGGATACTTTGCCCGTGAATGTCATGGACCAATTCATAGCGAAGAGAGTTTGCCCGAGGAAGCTCAACGAAACTCCAGTTTAGCTAGTGCTTAATAATTACCGACCGTTGTTTTTTTTAAACTATTTTGTTGTTGTTTAGCAAAAAGTCAATAAATCTATTTATGATATGTATGTATGTGTATTGTTTCGAAAGCAAAATGCGCAATGAATCAGTTCACAATGAATAAGAAACTGAAAACAGACAAAGTACTGAATTCCTATGAAAGTTTTTCAGAAATTTTCATACATTCGTTCCAGTCTGATCTCTATGAATCAGACGATGACAACAGTATTCGGCACGTCTTCGGAGTACTTGCTTGTGCCAAAAATAGCTTCTAGACGCGTTTGATCACATAACATTCGACATCAGTAATGGAGGGCGTAACTAAAATTATGTTTTATGTCAAAGTTGTCAAGGCCTTGAAATCATAGGGGGACAGTGGGAAGGAGAAAAGTCCCATGTTCATTGTGATCACTAGGGACTTTGATGCCGCGCTCAGGGAGAAACAACTCCACCAAAAACCGAGTTTCCGTCCGTACGGCTTCGGAACTTGAACCGCACGTGGAAAAATGCTTCTGGACTTCTGTGCTGCTCACGGACTAATCATTGCCAGCACTTTCGTGGAGCAGAAGAAAGAAAGGAAGTGGATTTGGACATCACCGAATGAAGCAACATTGAAAGAATACGATCTTCTCCTAGTAAAATCCATAAAGCAAATCAAAACAGTGTACGCTCTCAACAAACTTGGCATTCCTTCTGATCACCGAATTTTTTAGTGCATGATGGGAACAAAATGCGGACTAATTGGTGCTATTTGACTTAAACAGAAAGAGAGATCAGAGAAGAAAAAATACCAGTGTCTAGAATTCGTGTTGTTTTGGGCATTATTGCGTCATCAATATAAAAATTAAAATTGTCTGTGAGACCGAATGGCTCCAAGCGAGTATAAAGTAGTTTTTCATAGAAAAAAGACATGATGAGAAACTGATAGTACAAAAATGCAAATTTAGAAGAAAAAAAAGCGGATGGAATATGGTCATCGAGCGATGAAACGATTGGTAACGGGGATGTTGATAAAACTGACAAAGTTCTGGCAACTCTGATTTCGCTGAAAACATTTGGCTGATTAAGTGTCATTGAAGAGTTCCAAGTTCTTACTTTTTCAAAATATTGCTCATCCAAAATATTGGATCACGTCATCTTGACCATTGTTCATGAGCTCGAGTCCGTCGTTTTCAACAATCGTGTTCCCCACTTCGCTGAAAACTGCTTTTTGAGAATTGAAATTAAAAAATGGTGAACTCACGTTGCAGCAGTCGGAGCTGTGTAGGTGAAACCAGCGAACACATTGTTTGTGTTTGGTGAGTACTGTTGCAATGATGGCGAGAAGACTGCATTGTAGTTGGTAAATACCTTTTGAAATAAAGACACGTCTTCACCGTCTTGAAGAGTCGGGATCATTGGCGGCTGCATTTTCCGGGCGTATGCATCGTGCCAGTTTATGTTAGAAAAGATGGCGTGTGACTTGATTGCATTCGATCCAGACGGGCCTGACCCCAATCTGTCTTCAACTTTTTTTCTTAGAAGACGAGTGAGGAAATCTTGCGCTTCTGCGGAGAGGAAAGGTGGAAGTTTCAAAGCTTGACAGAGAACATTGCGTTTAGTTTCCAGAGGCGTTGTTGCGTAGAAAGGAGTTTTTCCAACCAGCATGTCGTACAACATTATTCCGAACGACCACCAGTCCGCAGAGTATCCATATGGTCTCTTGAGAATGACTTCCGGGGCCATATGAGTCGCAGAGCCACAATACGAGTTTGTACGTGAATCTTGGCCGATATCTGGCTTGCAGAGACCGAAATCAGTCAGCTTGAGGTGACCTGAGGCATCGATCATCACGTTTTCGGGTTTGAGATCTCTGTGAAGAACGCCACATCTATGCAGGTGCTCCACTGCAATAAACACCTCAGTGGTGTAAAAGACGGCATCTTTTTGAGGCAGCACGTTGCGGCGTTGAAGTTCCGTGAACAAGTCGCCGCCTTGCAGGAACTCAAAAATCAAGACGAGCTTTCCATTTGTCTGGAAGGCGTAGACAAGATCGCAAATGAATGGCGATCGTACGGACGCAAGAACATCCCGTTCCGCTTTTGAGCGTACAACACTACTGGCGCAGATGACAACGCCGCTTTTTTGAATGCTCTTCATTGCATATCTTCTTCCTGCGTCGTTTCCATTCAGCTTGCGGACTAGGCGTACCTGTAAAAGTAATTTTGGAGGAAAAGACTGGGAAAAATGTCACTTTCATTGGCTGCCCGCGATCAGAGTTTAGAGGAATCGATTTTTCAAAAAGGCGGAAGGCAGAACGCGGAAGACGGAAAGAATCTATGGATTTCAGAGGCTGCCGTCATTATGGGCGAAAAAACAGTTTTAGAAAAACCCTTATGTTGCACAGGGAACTTACTTATTCTCGAAATACTAACCGTTCCGTATGCTCCTTTTCCGATAAGCTTCAGAGCTTGAAAATCTTCCATTCCGACGCGAACGTTGTTGGGGTTGACGCTCTCCGGACGTAGACGAACAAGTTCATCATCTTCCATCGCACCACTTTCCTCGCTCTTCGGCGGTTCCAGAGGGATCACCTGAACCTGCACGTAACGGGTATGTTGACCAAAGTTCGCTAAAATGTTGAGAAAACTCACAACACGCTCTCCGACAAAATTGTCGTGAGTGGCCATTTTTCGTACAGTCCGGAACTGATGAACTGACTGAAATCAAAACATTTTTAGGAAATTCACAGCAATGATTGGAGCAAATTTGGCTTCCGGCGGCGGGTGAAAGTTCAAAATCTCCAGATCACTAAAACTTATATTATAATCAATAGTTATCCCCAAGGCACTGATAACAAAAAAGGATATTAGGTCCGGCTCCGTGGTCCCTGATCGGATCACGGAGCCGAATGAAAAAAGTTAGTCTGCTGGGCTGTAGTTGGAAAGGAAAAAAGAAGAAGTGATTGGGATAGAGAAAAGGGGAAGGCGCCCCGGCGTATTTCGAGTGATTGTCTGGTGTGTAAACAAACGATGACGAGCTAGATTCTAGGTGACTTGCATTTTCCAATGGGTGAATGAATGAATCATAGGAAATGTTTTGAATTGCGAAATAACTGACGTTTCAGCAGAGAAACAATCCATCGAGCGAAATAAGTGTTGTTGTTGAGTCACGCCACGAACAATTCCGACTGGGGAATGATTTACCAATGTGATCCTGAAAAGCTCTTCTATATGAAAGGTCAAGAGATGGGAAAAAGTGAAATGCGTTGATGAGACAGGGCAGTTAGAGAACGGAAGAGGTGATGGGGTAAAAAAGGCGCGTACCGTAGAAGGACACCTTTCGAGAACTTTCTGGATTTTTAGACAGTTTAAAAATGGCGGTTTCTTACCTGGATTTTAGGATGATTAACAAACCTTGTCCAATCAGGCTTTATCAAAATTAAAGGTTTCGTCTTCAAAATTCCGTCAGAAGATTCGGAAATTTCCAAGAAAGGCTACCAAATATAACGAACATCCCCGTTTTGATGTAACGTTTCCATTTATCTGTCCTCTGCCAATAGTAGGGTACAGTTAGAACATCTGTACTGCCAGCCTCTGTACACACACACACACACACACACACACACACACACACACACATTCCCATATTGTGGTCTCACTCGGTCTCATTCCCTCTTTCTCCTCCTCTTCTACCTTTTGTTTTTCGTTTACAGGCTAAACTTACTTTTTTCAGTTTGAAGTTCCTATAAAATGTGCGACAACTCGATGATCCTGAACAACAGCAACAGTCAGAAGGTGAACATGGCAGAAAAGTAAGTCTTTCCGACAAAAAATGGTTTTTATGCAGAACTTTGTGAATTTCAGGTCAAAATTGGCTGAGAAGACCGATCTTGTTCCACAGATGGAGAAAAAGCTGTGTCTCGATGAACAGGAGCCCATAATTGTGAACAAGGAAGACTTCGAAATAGTGAAGTTCCTGCAGAGCGGAGGTTTCGGAGACGTGCACCAAGTGCGGAAAACGACTGGCAGGGATGCTGGGAAGATCTTCGCAATGAAAGTGATTTCGAGAAAGAAGGTTCTGGAGAAAAACAGGAAGATCGGGTCCATGAAGACGGAGCGGAGAATCATGGAAGCAATTGACTCTTCATTCTGCTGTAAACTCTTCTATTCCTTCGAAACAGACCAGAAGCTGTATTTAGTCATGGAGTATCTATCAGGCGGTGAACTCTTCAACATCCGATCACAACGTGCCTTCACCGAGGAAATGGCACAGTTCTACCTGGCAGAAGTGATCGTGGCGCTCTCTTACCTGCACTCGCTCAACATAATCTACCGAGATTTGAAAACAGAGAATGTCGTCCTCGATGTTTCCGGACACGTCAAACTTGTTGATTTCGGGTCGTGCAAAGATAATGTGACCGGGAGGAGCCAAGCGAAAACATTATGTGGCACTATCGAGTACATGGCACCCGAAATGTTGTTGAAGAGTGGTCACGGAAGACCGGTCGACTGGTGGTCTCTGGGCATTTTCTTCATTGAAATGCTCACAAATCGCACTCCATTCTATGACAAAGACAGTAAAAAGATGAAGAAGAAAATTTTCGAATGCCAGTTGATACTGCCTGAGCACATGACTGATGCGGCGGCTGATCTTGTGAAGAAGCTGATTGTACCTGACCCGGATTCTAGACTTGGATCTGGGCCAACAGACAGCGAAGAGATAAAAAGTCACCCGTTCTTCAACAATATCGACTGGAATAAGGCTGCTGAGCGACAGTTGGAAGCTCCTATCAAACCGGAAAACGAGGATGCGCCTAAAGCCGAGAATTCTTCCGAAAACTCTGCTCAAGATGAGAATGATCCGTTTTCGAATTTTGCATTTTCTGATACATAATTCGTTTTGTTACGCTAATTTATATATGTTTTTTGTTCAATCTTTTTCTCACGGCTTTTCTAACTGGATGAATGGTTGAAGTAACTCGACTGCTGACACCGAAACAGTGCAGCTAGTGCGTTTCCGGTGTTCCTGGCACAGAACCTGATGTGTCCGAATCTGAAAGACGTTTCTGAGCTTTTCAAGGTGTTGCAGTCTTTTCTTTAATTTTCTGACCTCAAGTTTGAAGACGCATCTGGCATACTTTCGCTTCTTGCCACTGTAAAAAAACGACAAACTTCTATATTTTAATGGTTACATCCGGCAGACATTCGATTGAGTTCGCACGAAAAACCTGAAATTGACATTCAAATTTTGAATCTCGCGCCAAAATTCTGACCAGCCCGAAAGGGTCTCAGCACGAACGGCAAGACGGAGAGATGAACAGACAGCAAGACAAAGAGACAGAGAACGGGGGACGGGGAGACGGAGACATGGAGGCGCATACTGACCCCCCTTCTTCACATACATACACACACACAAACCACACCAGCCAGGCAAATTGATTATTGAACCGTCCTCAGATGATAATTCCCTCTCTTTCTCGAATTTTGCCCAATCCTCTCACTATTCACGAATTTTCCAAATTGATTATTCTTCTCTTCTCTGCGCTTCGAGAGAATATGCATACTTAATCTTCCGGATGGTCCTTCAGGTGCCTTTGAAGCCCCGCCATCGATCTCCAGCGTCCTCTTGTACGAATCTTCTCCAGGGAGTGTCCTTGTGCTCGCAAGTCCATGATGATCCATGAAGAGTTGCTCCTGATTTCCCGATCAACTCGAGCATCTTCGTGGCCGCCGCCAAGATTGACTGCTTTCTTGTTCCTCAATCTCCTCCGATTTCCGTCTTCCTTTCTAGCACATGACGACTCGTTCTTTGGGAGATTCTTGCCCTCTATCCATTCATTTCTCGCTTCCTTTTTCTCCGTTTGTCAACAAAAAACAAACTATTCTTTTTTTTACAGTTTGCCTCTCATTCTGTCGTTATCCGAAGCGACATGGCCGAGCCAATGCAGACTTCTGAAACAATCGATCCGGATTTGGTCATGGATCCTGTCGTTCCGAGTTTACCTCTTCGTGTCGTACGGAAAATTGCGCTCAGATGCGATCATCAGACTCGGTAAGCATTTCTTCCAGATTTCCTGTCAAAATTGCTCGTATTTCAGCAAAACCCTACGAGCTTGCTCCACTTTGGCTAAAGAGCATTTCGACAAGTTGCCACATCACTACTTCAAAATCGAAGTGTATTTCTACACGGATTGCGTTCAAATGTACTTGACGACGTACAATATGAAGACTGTGATTCTTAACTTTTTCAACGAGGTGTCTGACGGAATCACCACCGGAGTTCGTACGTATCGTTTTTCGCAAGAATACGACTACACCCACAAAAAGCCGGGAAAGGATTGTCTTGTGATGGCGATCGATGAGCTCAAGCTGATCTTCAGAAAGGAAAATCTTAAAATCGATTTGCTGACAATCGAACCGCGAAACAAAGCTTACCACAAGGGCCTTCTACTTTGGGAATGCAAGGGAGACATCGAGAAGACGCTGCCTCCGAATCCCATCGAGACGGTCTACCTCGGACTCAGGACCATCCTCAGCTCGTTGGGGCGACTCGTCAAGGTGCGTTGCTTCGACTTCCAGTTCGATCGCAAGAAAATGCTGCTCGTCTTCCTCCCCTTCTTCGAAGCGGGATATCTTAGACAATTGTGCCTCCGCACTACCCTCGATTACCCGCGCCTTGAAGCCATCTTCGAAATGGAGCAGGTCAGAAAGCTGAAGACTCTGCAGCTGCCAAACACAGAGGTGCCGGTCAAGAAACTCTACTGCTTCCCAGGCTTTTCGGTCACCTCGAGAGTGCCGAGCAAAGAGCAAATGCAGCGTGTCATTCAGGTTAGTGCCACAACGATTCTAGTAAATAAGAAATTCAAATTTTCAATTGTAAGAAAACATAGGGAAACTTCTTTGAGAGTTTGTTCGCCTTTAAATTTTTATTTTCAGAAGCTGCACCAAGCTCCATCATTCGACCACTGCTTCCTGTACTGGCCGGCCGGAAGCGTCGTCGACTACGTGGCTCTCTTCGGGTCCGCCGGCACCGAATACATTGCAGGCGGTCAGTACTACGAGTTTGTTGGGGAGCAATACACGATGGCCGCTATTGCCAACGTCGACAACATCAAGTTCCGCCGCATATAATGATAAGTTTTTTTTCTATATTACCTTGAAACCCATTTCTCACATTTCTGCTTTTTGATTATTTATTTTTGGTTGAATGAATTGTTTTTCGGTGATTCTTTTCATTGTTTTTGTTCATTGAGTTTGGTTGGACTTCTCTAAATTGTTAGTTATCTTAGATGAAACTTGTTATGACAAAATCTTGTTTGGAAATTTCAGAAATCCTAGTCCGACCGGGTCGGGTCGGTGGTCAAACCTTTCGCATCGGCTCTCAACTAGTCTGCAGAAAATAGGTCTGGCAGAAAGAAAGAGAGAGGGATTGCTGGTGTATTCGATTATTCCTCCGGAGAATATCAAGGGCAACCGTGCGATTGCATTTCAGAGAGAGAGAGAGAGAGAGTAGGTGGAAACGAGGAGAGGTGATGGGCCGATGCCAGAGAGCGGTCCGAACGCTTTCGCACAGTGTGTGTGTCCCATTACTCGTCACTTGCCTTTTGGTTCATTTCGTTCTCTTTGTCCTTCTCTCTCGAGCACGAGAAATAATTTTTTCACTGTATATGTTTTCCACAAAATCCACTAGCCATTTTTACTCAGAAAATTCACAATTCTGTAGATCTGTGAGTATTTCCTTTTTCATCGTGCAAGTAAGCTCCATTACACTCTGCGGCACATTCAAAATTAGATTACCACAATTTAAAATTCTCACTACATTCACTTCATTTTCAGGTCCTTATGGCAACTACTCGCTCACAGAGAAAACTGAGATCGGCACCCCGACGGCCGCCTGCCTCTTCTCGAGCACCCGTCTCGACCCGATCCACCATTCGTTCTTCTCGATCTACCGCCGGTGCTCGGTTGACAGTCGGCACCTCTTCCAGTGCCGCGTCCGGATCCTCCAGTGCCACAACCAGATCTAAACGTGTCGCGAATGGGTCTATCCGTTTAACTACTGGATCTTCTCGTTCCACCACCGGTGCTCGATTGACCGCCGCCACCTCTTCCCGTACCACGTTCGGACGCTCTAGTGTCACAACCAGATCCAAATGTGTCGCGAATGGGTCTATCCGTTCAACTACTGGATCTTCTCGTTCCACCGACGGTGCTCGGTCGACCGCCTCCATCGCTTCCAGTGCCGCGTCCGGATCCTCCAGTGCCACAACCAGATCCAAATGTGTCGCGAATGGGTCTATCCGTTCAACTACTGGATTTTCTCGTTCCACCGACGGTGCTCGGTCGACCGCCTCCATCGCTTCCAGTGCCGCGTCCGGATCCTCCAGTGTCACAACCAGATCCAAATGTGTTGCGAATGGGTCTATCCGTTCAACTACTGGATCTTCTCGTTCCACCGACGGTGCACGGTCGACCACCTCCACCGCTTCCAGTGCCGCGTCCGGATCTTCCAGTGTCACAACCAGATCCAAATGTGTCGCGAATGGGTCGAGCCGATCGACGACAAAAATTCCTGAATCTGCTGCCTCCGAATCCGCAACAGCCACAATCGTTTCCATCGTGCCTTGCAATGGAAAAGGTACGAGTGTGAACTCTCACGCTTGAAATTTCCACGCAGCTGAAAATCCACGCGTGTCCATAACTGCTTTTGGCAACACATAAGAAATTAGGGAACTTTCGTGACGTTACAAATTTGGAACATTAGTTCAAACAAATTACAGAGCAAAGAGCGGCTAAACGGAATGCCACCGTCATGATGAGCCCGAAGATGTTGGTTGCCGGCAGAAACGAATCAGTTAACACCGTACAGGCCGACCAATCAGCAATCGGTATGAATGAATATATTGTTTTCATCAAGTTTTTTTTCCATTTTCAGTTATGGCGATACCAGAAAGCATGAAGGAGGCTATCGATGCTCAGCTGAACGGAACATTTTTTCTGAAGCACGATATTAAGCAAGTACCGACAAGGAAGTACTCGGAAAATGATCTCGATAAAATTACACACAAAACTGCATACACCGTTCAGGCGGTGTACAAGGTGAATTTTAACTTCATCACTTACTGTGAAATTGAAATAATGTGTTTATTTTTTCAACCGGGGAACCTTCCGAGTTCACGTATCTGCCTCTATGTACTAGGCTTGTTTTCAAGCATTGTCAAACATTTACACAAATCAGCAGGAATGCATTTTCACTCTTGAATTTCCTAGGCCCGACCTCAATTTTGATTGCGGACTATTTTTCGCACAGACTTTTTTGAAATTCGGGCAGTTAATGTGACAATAAAAAACGAGCCAGACTGACAAATCAACTGGAATGGTTATAGTGTTCTTTAACTTTCTCCATCGGAAAACAAGTGTTTGCAGAAACCAAATGACTCATGGTTAGTGTACTACGAAGGCTGGACGTGCACAACAATGACGGTGGAATCGGAAGAGTACGTCTCCCAACAGTTTAAACAGGCGAAGGAAGAGGCTCTCACCAGAGTCGAGTTTATGACGAAAGTGCTCCAGAAGAAAAACGATAAAAATGGGAAGAATTGGAAAATTCCCGACCCGGCAGCCCTGAAAGAAAATCCAGAAGCGTTGTTCTGGCTTTTCGAAGATCTGAGCTATGCTCACACGCTTCTCAACGGCCAGTTTGGCTTACCGCTGATGTGGTACCTGAACATGTCAGGGAGAATTTGCAACCCACCAAAGTACATCGTGAGTCCCAAAATTCTGAATTACTCATCCATTGTTGATCTTTTGTATGTAGTTGGTGCCGGAACTCGTAGTCACCGACTCGATCCGAACGCTTTGTGCCGCGAATCAGGTGAACGAGCACATCAAGAAAATGAACAAATGGAAGAGGCTGAGCAGCGAAAAACTCACCACGTCATGCATCAGTCGGACCTGTGTCTGCAACAGACGGGTAAATTTATTCGTAAACTATCCAGAACAGATTTTCCAACGCTTTTATTTTAGGCGTCTCGGCTCTTCCCGGGGGATGTACAATCTTTGGAGTACGGCGCCGACGGAAAGCTCATCTTCCCGCTTGAATACAATCAACAAGGCCGCCGCGTGGTTGTTGAGTGCTCGGACGCGTGCGGCTGCTCGAACGACTGTCCACGCCGCGTTTTGCAAAGGAAACCGGTGGTGCCGTTGTGCATCATGTATGTGGTTGGAATGCGCTACACCTTACGAACGATGAAATCGTTGCGAAAAGGCGATCTGATTGTCGAGTACACGGGCCAACTGCTTCTATTCAAGGAGAAGGAACGTAGGCGCACTTCTTATGATGTACGAATGTCAGTGATTTCTGACATGGTTATAGCAGCCCATAATCAAGGGTATGTGTTTGAAACAGTTTTTTAAGAAAGTCGAACGTTTTTCAGCAACTCCAGCCGTTTTATTAGCCACAGCTGCGACCCGAGCGCTTGCTTCGTTGAAATATTCTCTCGTGCCTACGAAAGCGAAGTTCTTATCCCCCGTGTGGCAGTGTACGCGCTCAGAGATATGGAAATGGGTGACGAAATCACCGTCTCGTATTTCACCGAGGCCGCCGACGACGACGATCATGATGCAGTGGCGTGCCTGTAAGTCACATGTAAAACTTTTATTGTAGACTCAGAACTACACACATTTTCTTCAGTTTTAGATTCCACATAGAAAAATCAGCGCTAATTGCGTTCGAAATGTACATTAATACTGCATTGTATAATTTTTTAGACGCATTATATATGTACAAAATTTTCAGATGCGGAGAAGCGAATTGTTTCAAAAGAATGCCATCTGGAAAAGTTTAATTTTTGCTTGTTGAAATTTAATTTTACACATGTTTGCACTGAGTTCTTGTTTTTTCATGCAAATTTGATCGTTAAACAGTTTTTACCACCAATTATTTTGTTACATATAATTTCGTCAGCAGTCTCAGAAGTCTTCGGACCGACGACTCCCCCTCCACAGGCGTGGAACAAATTTTTCAACGCTTGATACAAGCTGCTCGCTTTAGTCAAGTTGTGCAGTTTCTTCAAATGCGGAATGATTCTGTTCCCCTGATTTGAAATGACACAAATTAGTGAAAGAGACATGGCGCCATTACCGAAGAAAACTGTCCAAAAATAAATCGAGCGATGCCGGTTTTGACCTACCACCCGCCAAACGGCGCACTCTCTTTTTCTCTGCGTCTCTCGGCCGGGGGTCCCCCTCGCCGATCAATGCGGGTTTTTTTGGGGATAGCAGTCTGGAGCAATCAAGAAAATGGAAGGTAAGTGAGTTGAGAAAGAATTTCAAGACGCAAAATGTCTAATTTTCAGAACATCGAATTGGATAAGTCGCTGAACAACGATGCGATCGGATGGGATGAGATGGGATTGGATGGATGGCTCAACGCCTAGAATGATTGGAGTCTTGGCCACAATGGCATCAGGTGTGCAAATCAATACATTTTTTAAATGCACTGTAGGCTGAATTGAAATTATTCGTCGCTAAAATTCTCTCGAATTTTTTGGAAGTACATATACTGTTGAAAAAAAGGTTTGACATTCAAATCGGAGTTGGCAGCGAGCCAAGGACACGCCCCCCGAACAGCGTGCGGCAGTTGCTGTGAAAACTGTTTGGGGGCGTGTCCTTGGCTCGCTGCCAACTCCGATTCGAATGTCGAACCTTTTTTGTTCAACAGTACCTCATTTGCTCGCTAAAGATATTCAAAAACATGAACTCTTCAGAAGTATTATGGAGGCCGGCAATTGATTAGTTGGTTGTGTGCTAAATAAATTATGCAGCAACTTTTGTGATTCAGGCATGTTTGTTTCGGTTAACTTGTTTGGTTCCTACTGAACTTTTCTCGCTTTATGTCACCTTTTGCAGTCATTCTGGGACCAGCTGTATTGATTGTCAGATCTAAACAACAAAGTAGATGATGTTGTAATTTCAGAGTATTCGCTCATGCTTTTCTGGGGGTAAGTCTTTTTTCTTCGAATGATTCACGGATTGTCCACTGAAAAGGTATGCTTTTGCAACTCTATCGAATAGCTTCTTTGTTGTTATTAGCCAGAAATCACCATAAAAGTGTGAAGGCTCTTTTTGTTTAGGCTATATTTTCACCAGGTTTTTTTTCAATTGCTCAACGCTACAACTGCATTCACTGTATCGGATTCGATTATTTTACCCGACACTCGGAAGATCTATGATTAAATAATGGAAGAACTTGAATCTGGGGTAAGTCTTTTTTCTTCGAATGATTCACGGATTGTCCACTGAAAAGGTACGCTTTTGCAACTCTATCGAATAGCTTCTTTGTTGTTATTAGCCAGAAATCACCATAAAAGTGTGAAGGCTCTTTTCGTTTAGGTTATATTTTCACCAGGTTTTTTTCAATTGCTCAACGCTACAACTGCATTCACTGTATCGGATTCGATTATTTTACCCGACACTCGGAAGATCTATGATTAAATAATGGAAGAACTTGAATCTGGGGTAAGTCTTTTTTCTTCGAATGATTCACGGATTGACCACTGAAAAGGTACGCTTTTGCAAGTCTATTGCTTTTTTGTTGTTATTAGCCTGAAATCACCATAAAAGCGTGAAGGCTCTTTTCGTTTAGGCTATATTTTCACCAGGTTTTTTTTCAATTCCTCAACGGATCTCTGAATAGGGTATTTGTGGTCCAGGGCTCTAAAAGTTCGGACCGACAATATCTAAGACCTGGAAGACCCTGTGTGGACCGGAATTCGCTGAATCCGACGGTTGACCTGCACCTGCGACATGATCTCTACAATTGGTCCGAGTTCGTGATTGCTTGAAACGTCGAATGCGGCAAAAGCTAGTCTATTACAAAACTCAGGTCAGTTTTTGCAGTCATTCTGGGACCAGACGTTCCTAGAGATTCCACATGCTTTAACAAAATTGACTTGAAAATGCTCAAAAAACTAGTTTCAAACAAGATTTGACTCATTTGAGATAATCGGAGTCCCCCGGCTCCACTCCCGAGCTCCACACAGAACATTAGGCTTAACCTGGGAGAGTGGCCCTAGGTGGCGTCGGCGTCAGTGCACCTGATTTCAAAAAGGCTTTTTGGACGTCTTAAAGGTGCAAAGAACCCCATTCAAGATCATGTTTATCAGTTTAAGAGGCTTCCAAAGTGTTTTCAGGGGTGGCCCTATTCTTATGAAACGCTTGCAGTTGCAACATTTTCAGATATTTGAGCACTATTCCCCAACTATCCTATGCACTGCTCTAAAAATTGTTTTCCGGGGGTTATTTGTGATGCTGATTTCGATTTTCAAGGTCTTTGAGTGGTATTTTGTTTGGGAAAGACGATATATTCAATTTTAGGGGTGGCCCTATACTTATGAAACGCACTGTAGAAAATAATGTAGATAATGTTGAAATTTCAGAGTATTCGCACGGGACAACACCGTTCAACAATTGAATCGAACTGGGTAGGTCAGAATGTACATTGAATCTTCATTTGTTGTGTGTAGTTGGCCACAGTTCACTGTAAAAGCGTGAAGGCCTCGGAGTCTGTTGGGTCTCAATCGGCTAATTGACTTGGCCGACGTTTCACGTGATCCCTCATGGCCCTGGCCCTTAGTTGGAATTTTTTGAATGTGCTCACATCTCTAGAACTTTCAAACAAACATCGCGATTGCCCTCCTGTTGGCTGATCCTCATTTGCTCGCTCAAAATATGCAAGAACTTGAGCGTTCTTCCAAGTTTTCCAGGAAAAAGGGTCCGAATTCAAATGTTAATGCTTGAACTTGAGGACAGCAAAAAACAGAGGATCCGCACGAAAACCCAGAATTTTTCGAATGGCACTCGATAAATTCTTCAAGGAGAAAGTTTCCGCCGTAGACGAGGATCAATTGAGGAGAAGTTCACACCATTTGAAAACATTCGACGGTTTCAGAAGCCGGCAATAAACCTCAAAAATGACGCAAATTTTTCAAATAGACGATTATTAGATTTGATGATTTATGGCCATTTTCTTTTTCACATTTCATTTTACCACGTTTTTACAGGCACTGTCCATAAAAGGATTACAACCAACGAGTCCACTATGAGAACGCTGGTGACCCCGCAGTTGTGTAGGTAAAGATCTCATTAATTGATTTTCAGACAGGCGACGCGGTTGGATAGAACGTTCTCATCCGCACTCATTCATCCGCGTCTCCCCCCTCCTGACCGGCTCGTTTCTCGATTTCTTCTGTTCTTTTTCTCCGCCAACGATGAACTACAATTATTGTTTTTTCAACGTCCCAGTCCCATTCTACAGGCCTCAAATCGATTATTTTTCTGAATTTCCTCCGCTTAACCAACCTATCGATAGCTCGGATTGCGTAGTCTTTCATTTTCCAATCGATTCTCAAGAACCCTTGCCAGGAGTGGACAGGCTTTTATTGAGCGGAGAGCAGCTTCTCCGGTATGGATTCCCTGTTTTTATGCTTGGCGACACAATCATTGAGCCCAACGAGTTTCAGAAGAATAGAAAAATGTTCTATTCGAAAGATGGTGAGTTTTTTCTTTGTCTTACATAGGAACCAAGTTCTTTTGTATTACACAAAATTAGTACTGTCTTGACATTTTGTGGTTTTTGCAATTTTTTGGAAAAAATCATGATAGCGACGCTCAAATTGACATGACCGATGGATTATGCGTGATCGATTACATAATGTCACTGTCACTAACAAAAAAAAAGAGACTGGTGCCTTTAAATGCAACCTATGTTAATTTCAGATTTGAATCGTGTGTGTACTCGCTGCCAGCAAAACTATACAGTCGAAGAAGACGGTCATCAGATTCGAGCGGAAGTGGCCATTTGCGAAAGTAAAAGCGGAAACTACAATTTCCACATTACCGATCAAACGCCCGAACAGAAGCTCAAATCGTTCGTCATGGCCCCGAAAGTTTCGATTGAGAATCAGCATTTGAGCAATCAAATGTTCGCCCTCGATGTCGAAATGGTGTACACGAGTCGAGGTCAAGAAGTCGGGAGAATAACGATGCTCAGTCAAGATGGACAGCCCATTCTCGACACTCTTGTGAAGCCCGAAGATCCCGTATTCGATCCGGTAACACAGTTCTCCGGATTGACAATGGAAGACATGCTGCAGGCAACGGTTTCCCTGGACGAAGCACGTGGCATACTCTTAAGTTTTCTGAACGAGAAGAGCATTTTGGTGGGTCACGGACTTAACGGTGATCTCAAAGCGCTTGGTATTGTCCACTCCAGGGTGATAGACACATCTATTCTGTACATCTACAATAATCGTCGACCTGCTCTACGCCATCTCACCGAACAATACCTCGGATATCAAATACAAACCGGAGTGGGTCACTGTTCGGAAGAAGATGCACTAGCATCTTTGCATCTCGTTTATTATGCACTTGAAAATCCTCAGTGCCTGGCGTTCAATTGTTCTCATCAAATGAGTTTCTCGATGTCACCATAAAGGTATAAAAGTATTCGATTATTTTTGCTTATTTTTAGCCCCAATGAATAAAATTCTTTTTTTCTAATGCCCAAAAGTTTCTTTAAAAAGTCAAACAAACATTTATAAAATCAGATCAAGAGATTGGGAGATTTAGAAATGATCGAAATTGTAATGCACAAAAGAACAGAATGGTGTGGAATAAAAAACTGCACGGGAAAGAAGATAGAATGATGAAATCGGTCAGGGAAAGCCAAAGAGGGAAATTGAAACGGTCAAAACAGCATAACATGACGATGCAACGACTGCGAACAGGTTATGTTGAGCATAAGCCGGAGCAGGAGCCGGAGACGACGCCGCAGAATGGGTGCTCTGTTCCATGCTGGTAGGAACACAGTGTTTTCTGACCGTGTTGGACCGAAGAGGTGCTGAAGATAAAATGAATGAAAAGAGTAGGTTTTCTGAAGATTCTCCACAATTTTGGGAAGTATTTCAGGTCTCCGTAGCATAATTCAAAAAAATTTCAACAAAAAGTTCAATACGCTTCAACTAGAACTGACAATTCTGACCTTTGCTTGTGCCGATTGCTCTCTGAATGAACGCGTTCCATTTCAATCAATTCGTCCTCTTCCTTCACGTCATCGATCCGATTGCTTGGATCGGGGTCCTCCATGTCGGATTGATTCTCTTCTTCATCTTCCCAAATCGTATATCAACAAGGATTTTCGGCTGCTTTTGCTCTCATCTTTTGCTCAAACCCTTGCGTTTTCTCCCGTTAGAACCTAATAAACGAGTACAAGTCCCATTTGAGCAGTTCCCTTTCCAGATCTCCTGCTTGAAACTTGTTCTTGACTATTCCGCGCTTCAGACGGTTTCGAAGAGCCACCTTCGCACATTTGAAGATAGTGGCGATTGATTTGCCTGAAAAATAGAACACTTGACGTTATAAAACAAATGTAACGCATTTGTGAGCAGAATTCCGACTCTGTAAAAACTAAAGATCGCCACATCCGTGTAAAGACCTTTCTCATTCAGATTGTTGGGTTTTCTTCGGATCCGCTGAAGACGCTCGATCTCATCCAAGTCCAAGATGACACATTTCAGAACAAAGTCGTTATCGTTTCGTTCGGCAAATGCACCAGGTTCCAGCTCATCGTACAGTTCCAAGCTCATGCGGTAGTGCGGATTCGTACTCGGATTCATTTTAGCTCATTGCCAGTCTTTTACCGGTCTCTACATAGTCTCTTACACTCCATTCAATGTATTTTGCAATTGCTATGTCACCCGATCAATAGCTCTGTTGAAACAATATTCCACGGTTTCACAACCGTTATGAGGTGGCAGCCGATGCATTCTTGCTCTATTGCTAAGATTGATCTTTAACAAAGACCAATAGTCTTGAGACTTTTCCTTGATCTTAAAACAACGTGCAAGCTTTTGGAAATACTCTTCATTTTTCTCTCCTTTAAATTGCCGAGCCATTTAAAATAATGACGTTTCCTTGCACTACTTTCTACTGTATTTATGCATTTCATGTTTCAGATGACATCCTTGCACTGCTACTGCAAAGATATTTTCGTGAACAGACATAATCACGTGCTTTGCAACGACATCAAGGAAAGTGTGCGCGAACTTGTCTTCTATAGAATGGTCTGCAACGATCTCAAGACGGCGCAGGGAATCGAAGAGTTCGACAGAGTGTTCGAGAAAGTGAAGAAGGAGAATGAGGAGAAGGAACGTAAAGCGAAGGAGGATGAGGAGAAAAAGGAGCATGACAAGATGGACGAGAACGGAGGTGACAAGTCGCCGAAACAGTACAAGCCGCAAGAGATTGACGAGGAGGGAGAGTATGCGGAGCAGCAGAAATAGAATGTGAGTTGACTGAGTTTATCTTTTGACATTTCAAATATGTTCAACAGAAGCTTGATTCAAGTTGAGAAGTTTTTGATCTGAGCAATACGAAAAACTACTGTAGATAGCAGAGTTGAGCGGAATTCCGTCTGCCGTCTTCCGTCTTCCGTCTTCCGTGGATTTTTTTGTTCCGTCTTCCGTCTGCCGTCTTCCGGGAAAAAAGTTTTCTTCCGTCTTCCGTCTGCCGTCTTCTGGAATTTTTTCTTCTTTCCGTATATCCACGGGCAGTGACCCAGATCCAAAATTTTTGTTGCTTTAGTTATTTAAAAAAAACCGGAAAAAAAGATTCTGCATTGACGATTTTTTTGTTCCGTCTTCCGGCTGCCGTCTTCCGGGAAAAAAATTTTCTTCCGTCTTCCGCCTGCCGTCTTCCGTGAGAAAAATTTTCTTCCGTCTTCCGTTTTCCGTGTTCCGTAAAAAAAATTTTTTTCCGTCTGCCGTCTGCCGTCTTCTGGATTTGAAAATTCCATTTCCGCTCAACTCTGGTAGATAGCTTTTCTACTGTGAATTTGGCTGGTTTTTTGAATACTTGTACTTAATTGGTTTGGAAATGTCCGGATTCGAAATGTCCCGGAGCCGAAGTAACAGCACACCGTGAATTCCGAAAAACGGCAAACGGCAGACGGAAAAAAAATTTTTTTTTACGGAACACGGAAAACGGAAGACGGATGAAAATTTTTCTCCCGGAAGACGGCAGACGGAAGACGGAAGATAACTTTTTTCCCGGAAGACGGCAGCCGAAAGACGGAACAAAAAAATCCACGGAAGACGGAAGACGGAAGATGGCAGACGGAATTCCGCTCAACTCTGAAGTTGATCCTGTGCTGCTGCTAGAACTCCTGTAGGGCCCATGTCGACAAGGTAATTTTTCGCCAGTCCCCAATTCTTGTGAGGATTCAGTATTGCGAGAATATTCAAGTGCACGTATAGACCCATGAGGAGATGAATATTCGTTTTCTGACTCGTCTTCGTTTTGGAAAAAATGGAAAAATAATGAGCGTAAATGAAAACTGGAATAAAAACTGATTTCGGGTTCACGATTTTCTCGGGTGTGTTTTAAGGTTATGTTTTAAGGCACGAAACCTGTCTTCCCTTCAATTATCTGACTCGGACTGGGTTTGACAAAAAATATTACCGAATTGTTAGTCTTTGTGGAGTTGGTTGAGAAGCCTTGACACTTTGGACCTCGGTCTAGCCGTTCTGTCACAAGGATGCATTTATGAAACTAAGAAAATTGTCAAGTTTCCTCTTTCCGATTACCAATCTTGTTGGTGCGCAATTCGCAAACGCTCTGTGTTCATTCCAAGTGTTGATATGTATTGCTGCTATGTGTGGCAGCTGTTTGATTTTACTGTGTTTCTTTCAGAAGCTCCAAATTGACTTCTCTTCTCAACTCTTCTCGTTCCTATTCTTCCACTAATCAGAGTGAGGATTCCAAAAACAACAACCAGTAAAACAGAAACTTTCAGATTTTTCTCACGTCTACAGAATCGAAAAACGGCTAAAACGCATTCCACCTTCACCCTCACAGTATTAACCTAACCGACACTTTCTTCCTTGTAATTTAATGACACGTTGTTTTGCCCTTATACAAAAGTAAATTCTGAAAAAATGCATACAAACAATCCGTTTCACACTTTAAAAAGGAACGTGATGATATTTCTCCTCTTGCGCGTGATTCCTTGAGTTATCGTGTTAATGACTGGTCCCTATGGTCAGTGTGCTAGCAGAAATGAGGAATGCACTAAAAACAAGATAATTTTCGGCTACAAACTTACTGCACTTTTATCATGTGGCACGTGTGTGAGAATCAGTTGCTCATCCGTACTCTTATGCGTACCGTGCTTACAAAGACCAACTGGTGCAGTAGTTCACAACAATTTCTTCGCCAAAGTTCCTTGGAATCGATTGGATTGACATGTTCTCTGATGTCATCAGGAAGAAAACCTCGGTGACGGCTCGTAGTGTCCCGTGTAATCATTTTTTGCCGTATGCGTACTCGTCTTGTGGAAACCCGCTCTCCCCTTCTCCCTTCCGTCAGTACACTTACAAATCATTCGTCTTCTTCCCTGTCTACCCTAGTAATAATGCCAAAATTTTTGGGAATAGGCTGGATCGATATTCATCCTTGTTAGGAGAAAAAATGTCGTTTTTCGGTGTGCTAATCGAAATGCTCATTCTTCATCCTCTGGTTAACACTTTCACGCTTCTCCCACTTGTTTTTGTGAATTTAAGAAGCTACTTCGGAAAAATTAGTGATTATTTTTCAGATCCTTTTTTTCCTATTCATTCTCTTGAAATCCAGAAAAGGATGAGTCAAGAAAGCCCTGATAACTGGTGCACATCTGGTTCCCGTTTACACATTTGAAGTGAACGAATTGTTCTCCATGATTCCATACCCTGAAGGCTCTTGGATTCGAAGATTTCAGGAGTTCATCAAAAACCTGACAGGAGTAGCGCTTCCATTTTTGACTGGAATGGGAATTTTACAGGTTTTCTAAATTCAAACAACGTCTTATAGTCTCCAACGTTTTTTTCAACACAACTTTGGAATTCTTCCGCGTCGGCATCCAGTTTGCAATGTGATTGGAGCTCCAATAAAAGCAAACAATACCCTAGATCCGAGCCAAGAGCAAGTAGACGAGCTACATCAAGCGTACTGTGCGCAGTTGGCAAGTCTGTCTGAGGATAAAGCAACAACCACGGAGTACCACTTTTTCGGTTTTCAAATTATCATTTTGTTTTTCTCTCATTTTGCTCATTATTTCTTAGTGTGAAAATATTAGAAATGAACAAATACATATATGTATATACAAATTATCTAGAAGCTATCTGGAAGTTGACCTGACCGCCCACCAAAGACATTTTACGTCAAATCGGGATTAATATGCTCAAAAAACACCAGAAAAAAGGGAAGATCGACATGGGTTTTGTCATTGGAAAGATAGGGTAATTTCTGGGAACAGGAAAGGCAATGACAATAAATTACTGTATTATTTGTAACCTACATGTAAATGTATCGAATGGGGAATGAAAATACAAGCAGAAGTTCATTTAGTTGATAGCCATAGCCGTTATCGCTGATTGGTGAGAATGCCACTGATGCACTTTTTTCCCGGTGTCGATTTCCCACACTCTCATTCTGCCGTCTTGCGAACCGCTCAGAAGATGGCTAAAAAAATGTATGCACATCGGAAATTTTTATGTCTTTCAAAATGGTTTCGGAGAGTCAATTGGAATCCACATAAAACTCACGATGCGGTTGGAGAGAACGCGACGGTCCAATTCCATCGAAGATCCGCGAGGATAACACTTTTGAGAAGAAGCGTTTCACTGTTGAACAAGTGAATATTGACGCCACAACTGGTTGCCGCCAGTAGTTTGCCGTCGGGACTGTAAGTACTGTCGAGTGCGTAAGTGAGTGGAATCTTGGCTTTTCGTCTTCTGTCCCTGAACACAACCGGTTGGCGTTCCGGATTGGCACAGTTCGTGTCCATTTCCCATGCGAGCAGCTGACTTTTTGATGTCAACCCAGTCACTTGCTTTCCATCCGGACGAATCGCCAAGCTTTTTATCCATTCGTTATGAGGGCGAGCGTGACGTGGCATCCAGAGTGGGACATACTTGCCCGTTCGAAGATCCCAGATTCCTGTATAGGCGGTTTCCATCGAGAGGTAAATTTGAGTGCGGTCCCTGTTGAGAACCATACTCGATATGTGATCAACCTGAAAATTCGAGATATGTTTTGTGTAAAGCTGTAGAAAACTTACGTCTAACTGTATTGTTGCTACAAACTGATCATTTCGTTTGTCCCAAATTCGGCACACTCCATCTTCTCCGCCAACATAAAGCCACCTGCCATCGGGCTAAAAATCATGCATCCATAAAATGAGTTTCAAAGTGGTGAGCTCACTTCATAACCAACCACGAGCGCTTTATTCGGATGCTTCAGATCTCCTAACACCACTCCCTGACAATTCAGGTCGAACAATCGGACAATATCATCGCTGGCTGCAGCGAGGTAATGGTTGTCGCGGGTCAAACTCAACTTATTGATCTGAAATTTGAGTTTTGACGAACTGTCAACAACAAATGAAACGAAGAGACCTGTTTCAAGTAACTGTTGAGAGCCGGAAGTTTGCCTAGGTAATGTGCTTGCGCCGGGCAATAAAACCTGATATCACCGTCGTAGCTTCCCGTAACCACATACTGTCCAACCACAAAATCAAAGTATCCCTTTGTTCCTTTCGGTGATGGCTGAAATTAAGAAGTTTTTTGAAACTACTAATCATGGTGGACTTCATGAATTTCGTAACCTGTCCCATATTGAAAAAAATAACTTTGAAATTTAGGTATCTTCAGAAATAATTTTAGCTTATTGCAAAAGTATTGAAAACAAATCCAACCATACCTCAGAGTCTTTGATGGTCTTCACGATTTCATCAGATTCATCAGATGTCCCAGCTTCTTCAGAAGTTCCTGGTGTAGGCTCCAAAGTGATCGCTTTCAGTCCTGCTTCAATTTCTGTCTGTCTAGGCCCAGGTGTAGTGATTTTCTGCACAATTGCGCCTGGATCTCGATTCTTGTATTCGTACATTTGTACTTCTGTTTGAACCTGTAAATAGGACATTCCCAAAATGGACTAAAATTTCGCGAATTTGGCAGTGTGTGTAGCTGAATCGAAAAAAAGTTGACGGAAAAAATTCCTGTTGAAAAAAGTTCACTTTCGACACTTTTAACGTTGAAAGAAAAGTTAGTGAACTTTGAAACACTTTGCGTCTGCTGAAACTTGACAAAATGACACCGGACTCGGGCACAACAGTCCTTATACCTCCAAGATATTGGCAAAATTTTTTGGTGTTGCTAGCTTTAAAACAAAGGGCACTTTCATCCTTACAAATTCAGCTACACACACTGCCGCATTCGCGAAATTTTAGTCCATTTTGGGGATGTCCTATACTTTTGACGGGGGGCGATTTTGAGACTTTTTGATCTTTTTCCCGTAGTTCTTGACACAGCATTATACAAAATTGGCCCCGGGGTTTTTTGGCATTCTGAATCGAACTGTATTAGCCAATTTTCATCAAAATGTCCATGTCAGCTAGAACGTCAAAAATTTAGCATGTCCTATACTCTTGACGCGCACTGTATACTTGAGCACCCTCTATTTCAAGAAGAACATGAATATTTTGAGAAACAAGGTACAATAAAGCTTGAATACAACAAGCGGGGACGATAAACGCAATTCAGAGTGATTTTAAGAAATTATTTTTGTTATTCAATTATAGATACACAACCAGACGTACAAAAAGCGAGAATGAAAGCAATACAATCGGAAAATGCGGCTCATAATGGACTGCAATTGGACGATAGTTGAGATGAAGCTTTTCTGGGACGGGGAAATTGCAGATAATTGAAGCGAGGAGAGCAACGATATGATAAACAAGAAAACTGCAAGTTGCACAAGTTTCGCGGCCACCACGACACTCGGCAATGATGAGGGAAACTGACTGAATGCGTCAGATGTTGCTAGAGATGCGCGCTATGTGATTCACAGTTTGCGCGCTTCATTGTGATAATTTTGATCCGCTCTGCTTCCTTTACTCGTGAAGTTCGAAGATGGGTTGGGTTTGCCGTGATGTGTTCTCTAAAAAAGAAGAAAAATTACATATGCCTCGGATTTGAAAAAAAAGTCCAATAGCCTAATTATCTGCAAAAGTTTAGACTCAACATTCGGAAAAATATGTTTCAATAGTTTAGACTTGCAGGATTTAGAGTCGGGCCGAGGATTTTGCTAGCTTCGGCCCGGATGTTTCACTTCGAACAAATTTATTCGAGAAAAATATGAAAACTCGTGCGACAGAGTCAGTTTTGCGACAAATTTTTCTGATGTCTTTCAAATCTTTGGAAACATACCGACTGAGTTGGAGCTTTCCGGGCCGGGAAAGGCCACGGCTCGGAGAATTTGAGGTTTTCGCTGGCCCGGCACGATCCGTTGCAAGTCTGGTTGAATTGCTGAAAATTCTGAGAAATGGAAAACATTTTTATAAGAAATGCTTACCCAAAGTGTTGTCACAAAGGGATTCCCAACCGTTCACTCTACAAATTGATCAGTTTGTAGAGTGGAAGATGTTTTCGAATTTCCACGTGTTTTTCCATCGTTTTTGAGCACGAAGGCACGTCATCTTCAAAATTTTTACCTGAAAAACGTTGGTTGGATGAAACTTCACGAATTTTTTTATGAGGAAAGACAAGAGAAGCGCAACAAAAATCTGCTCACATTGCTGAAAAAAACATAATAATAATAAGAAAAAGAATGAGAAAAAACGTCCGAAAAATCAATTTTGTAGTGAAGGGGGAGAAAATGTGGTCTCGATAGCGAGGCCATTCCGCCTGACCCTCACGCAGCAACATGCGGGTGACAAAAGAGCGCTCAAACAAGAGAGAGCGCAGGCGGCCGCAGTGCGCGCGTGTGTGTGTGTGTGGGGAGAGACGACAAACATTAAAAAGGAAGGTGCGTGGCCTAGGATTTGCAGAATAGGAAAACTCGGCCGTAAACTTTCAGGGTTTTGAAAATGCGATATGGCACTCCGAAAGACCCAAGTAGATGGAAACTGATGAAATACAGCTATTGCAATATTTTAGCATCAATTCTAGGCCTTCGGGACACCTAAAGTCCTCAGAAATCGGAAAAGCCTGACAGAATGCCACTTCTTTGTGCAAACTGTCAAGTTCTTGGCTGACAGAGGTAATTCGGTGGGCCCAATTGAATGAAATCTAATAAAACACAACTAGGAGAATGTATTAGCATATTCTACAAATATCATTATCATAGCACCCTGCTCTTTAGTTCAATTCCATCAAACCAGTGGTACTGAACGCAGTAAAACAATTTATTCGAGTAATCAGAAAATATTTTCAGCTGACAACTTTGAAAAAATGTCAATCCGTCCAGAAACAATACATAGTTCTAATTAGAGCGACTGTCGCTGAAATAGTTGGAAGTGACTGTAGTGTTTTTAGAAATCTTATTGGGGGTGGTGGAGGCCTTTGTCCTGGTTTCACATGGTTTCAGCAGCTTTTCAACTTCTTTCCGGTCATATATCTGAAATTACTAGACTTTCAGTTGAGGCAGCAGTTGTCAGTACACACCTCAAACCCAAGCAGTACAAACGTGACCATGATGGTACAGTAGATGAACCATGTTCCGAGAATGGTGGGCGCCGCGTAAAAAATGAGGTTGAAAACGGTTCCGACAAGGTTTTGCATTCCTTTCATCACGTTCAATTGGATCGGATGGATCTTGTTCTCCTCCCAGAATTCTATGATTGTCATGAAAATCATTGGTAGCGAGTAGTGCGTCAAAACCCCAATGGTAATCACAATCTGTGTCATCATGAGAAGAGCCGTTCCAAAGGCGCACCGGTAAACCGCTACAATCGCTCCGAAAAGAGTAGCGAAAAAGAGAGTGGTTATGATTGCCAGATTCTGACGAGTGTACTCAATTTCTTCATGCAGTCTGAAAGACTCATTACGTTCCGGGTATATTCAGTCCTGAAAGGCATACATCATGAGTTGAAGAGCAGTTAGATCGAGTACGATTTGGAGAATTGAGTATCCGACCACGTTTATAACCTTGGCTTCAAATCCTTCCGTGCACACAACAAACACGCGTTTGGTATCGTTGAACTGAAATTTATTGGTATAAAATGAGAATAGACTAAGAAATGTTCGAATGTACAATCTGTCCTACATCCTCTATCATAATTTTGCAACGGAATACATTACTTGTTTTACGCCAAATTCAAGAAGTTTGACTTGCAGACTTATTTTCAAAACTTCCTATATTCAGATGACATCTGAGATACGGCAGAAAAGGAAACGGTAAAAAATTAGACAAACCTTTCGAATGAGAAACTTTCCTCCTTTGGTGACCCAAAAGTGTACGTCATGTTCGACGTAATCATCTTCCGACGTTTCCGGATCCGGATTTTTCATGTTTCGAAGACGTTCCGGTCCGTAGATGAACCGATCTCGTCCGACCAGAAGACCTGGTGGCCTGTTCTGAAAATAATCGAGAAAGTAGTAAAATGAGCGGAAAATTATTTGTCCAGGCGTTTGAAATTTACGAGCACCGCATGACATGCATAAAAATCAGAACATATCATGCTCATAATTGGAGCAAGAAAATGGGTTCAGTTCTTTCTTGTTTTTTTTTGACATGTACTTGGAGGAAAATTTATCACTTTAGAATTTATTACTGTTTTTTGATACAGACTCACCTTGGTCCGCTTGATGATGGTGGCTGAGGTTGAAAAAGCGGATGTTATAGTAGCACTAGTCATTTTGAGTGATTTCGAGTAGAAAGGTCTGCAAACAAAAATCAAAATGATTCACTTCGATAATCATTAAAGATTGTTTGAAGTTGGAATCTTTCAATTGGCAAACCCAGTAAAATACATTGAAAATCCGTGTTCTTACCAACGAGATGCAGGTTTTTTTCAATTACGAATTATTGTTTTTGGCTACATGTGAATGTCTTGAGACATTTCGGACTCCTTGGAAACGTCAACGCCCGTCATTAAAGGAATCGGAAAAAGCAAAAAGAGAGAAACGTTCGGTTAGTACATAATTCCGTCAACATTTCCTAAATTCTTCTCAACCAAGAAGCGTCTTTTAAAAATGTCTTTAGACATTGGAAATATCACAGTCTGAACTTCTTTATAATGGAGATTGGTGTGTGGGGAAACCCAAAAATGTCTGTCATTGAAATCAGTCACCACAAATTGATTGATTTTATTTAAAATCAGAATGCACGCATTTCAAACGGCACACGTTGAGCGAGAAAATGGTGATCAAGAAACAACAGTTCTCATTTGTTCTTACTTTACCTTCAGAAACAGACAAATGCTGCACACTACATATTTGAAAATGAAGAGCGCTCGGAAACTACTGAATTTCTGCTTCTGACCACAAAAAATGTATTTTTTTTCAGGCTCTCGTGACTCCTAGGAAACGTCAACGCAGTCTCAAACGGAAAGAAAAATAGAATGAATGTGAAATAAACTGTGAAATAACTTCGGAAAGATCTTTATGAGCTGTGTAAAATGTTTCGAACGTTTTACCAAAAATAGAGTAACGTTCAAATCCTAAACCAAGAAAGGATTAGGTGAGAGAAAAGAAAAACCCGGGATAATGGGTTTTCACTTCGAAATTTCACTGATTGTTTTGCATCGAATGACCGCCACGTCACAGGAAAAACAATCGAAAACAAAACGGCAAAGACGAATGTGTGCAATTTGTACATCATTCTGACATGGCATCCTTCTCTACACACAATTCCTTGAAAACCCCAATATTTTTCAATTTTTCCCTTTTCAATTGTAAAAATAAGACCTTTTGTGAAATAGCTTTTTGATTGGAAAAAAATGGGTGACACGCTGGAACAACACACCAAGAAGAGCTTTGCGAAAGTTCATCGCGAAAGTTTACGACATTCAAATCAGAAATTTGAGAAAAACCTTATTTCTAGCATTTGCTCACACGAATCTTCTGGCGAGCCGCCGAGAAAGAGGGACCGTCCGAACAGGTCTCAACCGAACGGAGAGCCTTCTTCGAGTCGTTATCGTTTGCGCCGAGCAGACTTTAACCTGGTGAGTACTTATAAAACATAATTAGAATTCATGAACTGCTCAAATTTTCAGGTTGATCTGAGAAAAGAGACAAGAAAGATCCGCGGGGCTCGTCGGATTGACCTCGCGGGGAAAAGACGACTGCTTGAGGAACTCCCAATCTATCAAAGCGATTATATAATTTGGAAAGAGCAAGTCACTTTTCGTTTTTGAGAGATGTGATTGAATGGATTTTAGGCGCAAAAAACGATCTACCAGATGAAGAAAAAGATAATGAATTCCTGAGAGGCTCTTCAAGTTGTGATTCTCCTAATTAGATCTCCAAATTTTATTGCCAAAATTCTAACTGTCCCATCATTCCCTCCAATCTGTGCTCCTAGAACTTTCATCGTCGCCGTTTAATTATTTTTTTCCGAAAACATCCGACAACCGCCCTTCTCGAGGGGTACACAAATGCGCCCCGCTGCAATGTCGATTTACACGTATTTTATCTCTTTTTCTGCTGAAATCGTCCGTTTTAGCTCGTTTTTTGATTGAATAGTTGCATTACGTGACTCGCTAATTTTTTCTCTTTCCATCGATACCGAAACCATTCATTTTCAGGCAGAATGCGCTCGATTTTCGTGATATTTATATTGACTTTCTGCAAACTCGCTGATGGTCAACTGGAGCGAGTAATCCCCGCTAAATGGAACACGATGTACGAACAGAAAAGCGGCAAGAACAATTCCTTGACAATTTTCCGGTTCGAAGTCGAGAACAGAGTGAGTTTTTGTCAATTTTGTTGGTGTTAGGCATTTATATTTTATTTCAGAATTTAAAGTGAAACCAAGTAAAAGTGAACCTGGTGATCCACGCGCACCTCCACCGTCAAAATAAGGACACCGCAATTCTACAGATGGAGGGCGCCGATCTGCCCGACGTGGCCAAGTTCTGGAGAGCGAGGCGGTGAACAGTTCGGACAACGTCGTGCTCGCCGTTTATCGAACGCGACAACGATATCGACGGACTCGTGTCGCTCTTCGTCGTTCCCGTAGAAAAGGAAGAAGGAGTGGTAGTGGTTCGTCGTCGGAGACACCGAACAGAACGCTCTTCTAACCATCAATAAGTAAAACATTCCAAAATATCTTTTAGATATAGGCCTGATGCATTTCAGATTGGTAATCAACGAGAAATCGGCGGTTCATCTGGATTTCGCGGCGCCGAAACTGGGCCGTCACACGTACAAACTCTACTTCATCTACGACTCGTACCTCGGCGCCGACCAGGAGTTCGACGTGCAGTTCAAGGTCGAAGAGCAAAACTCTATCCCAAACCTAAATTTGTTTGATTTGATGGTTCGGATTGTTGTTCGCCCCAATTCTTTCAAAATCAAATACAGCTTGTTCTGAAATTATGAAGTGACGGGATTAGAAATCCGGTGAGCACTGAATAACCGTTCACAGATGATAAGATATATAGATTTGAATAAACTGGATTTTTCAGCCGTCTTCAAATGATTTTAATTGAAATCTGCAACACTATGCAGCAGTTTAGAGATAAAAAACAAAGTCAGGAACACTTTCCAAAACAATTTTTTATTTATAGTATAAAACTAAATGAAAGACAATCTTAACACAGTCAATTTAATAATCTAATCTTTTTTCGGCAAAGAGATCCTTTTTTAAATGAAAAAACATTGATTTGAGCGCTCCGACAGCTACTTGGTGTTCATCTTGAGGTGCATCGTACTTAGTTCTTCGTGAAGTAGGACATTAGATCTTCGTCTATCAAATCGACAAAATTCATTTCTTCGAACTGACGATCCTCGATTTCCTGCTCCAACCAGACGATTAAGAACTGCAAAAGAACTGTACATAGTACATAAATAGGAACTATAAGGGACCGTACTTGTCTCAACGGTTGTCCTCTGAACGCCTCGTGTCCGTGCTTGAACTCCTCCATCTTTCCGCCAATAAGAGTGAAACCGACTGGCACATTGGACAGATGATTGATTCGCTCACTGACGATCCCTTGCGAATCCTGGAATAGATATTTTGTTATCCGTAAAAATATATTTTAATATTTACAAGCACTTACACGATCCGTGTTGTCGTTTTTTTCAAAAAATTCGGTATTGAGTGCAATCCGTCCTGCAAACAAAATTTCCATTCTGAACCTGAGCAAAAATACTTACTTATAAAAATTAAATTTGAGAAAATCCAGGGAAGAGGTGTTTCCGAATGGAAGACGAGTTTTAGGTGAAATTATCCAAGTTTTGCCATGATGTAGTGCTGAAAAACGAGTTTTTGTTAGAATTTTAAAGCAAAAGGTGAACAAAATAGTGCGGAAAATCAAACGAAAATGAAAAACAATACATTCGTCCAAATTGAATTTAGGCCCACAATTCTGCAAACACGGAGGGAGGCATTGCGTCCGCGACACTGTAGTTCACGAGCAATAACACTGGAGAGAAGAGGAAATGAGAGATGAAAAAAAAGAACGGGAGGGCAACTCCGCAGAGAAGCGTGTGCTTCTCTCTCCTTTCCTTTTTGTAGCGAGTGCTGAAAATGACTCGAAGGGAAGTTCTACTAGCAGGAACAACGAGCGGAGGCACGAAAATACGGCGATCTGGTCAGAAGGAGAGAGCAAGTTGCGAAACTTTCCAACATTAGTGGAAAACACATCATTCTATTCAGGGCTGGGCAATTAGCCGGCACGGGCTTTTCGTTGGCCCGCCCTTGACCTGGACTTTTGAACCACATGCAATATTCCGATCGGACCCAAACTTTGCAGGCTTCTTGGACATGGGTTGAAGCATATTGAGACCAAGTTTCAGCCCGATCGGATTATTTGGTCCCGAGAAATGTGGATCATTGGCCGAAATTGGCCGAAGCCCGGGCTTTTTGGAAAAAATCGGCCAATGATCAACATATCTCGGGACCCGACGATCCGATCGGACTGAAACTTGGACCCAATGACCCTCAATCCAAGTCCAACAATCCTGCAAAGTTTGGGTCTGATCGGAATATTGCAAGTGGTTCAAAAGTCCAGGTCAAGGGCTGGCCAACGAAAAGCCCGTGCCGGCCAATTGCCCAGCCCTGATTCTATTATACAGGGTGGGGAATAAATATAGCGCCGAATTCAAAACGGCATAAAAAGTTCAAATCACAAGCTTATTTTCCGAAACTCTACCAAAATATTTATTAAACAATAACAAAAAGAATTGCATTAACAGTTTTCGAACCGTCCTCCTTTCGCTTTGATAACAGCCTTCAGTCTCTTCGGATACGAGTCAACGACGGCACGGAGGTAGTTGACATCAAGATCATCCCACGCCTTCTTCAGAGAAACCTTCAGGGATCCCAAACTTGAATAGTTTTTTGTGGAAACCAGTTGTGTCAAATATCCCCACACTGCGAAGTCCATCGGGTTTAGATCCGGGCTGGAAGCAGGCCACTCATCAGAGGCGATCAGACCTGGAAAATGTGCTTTGCACCACTGTTGAGTGGCTTTGGCTCGGTGAGCTGGTGCTCCGTCTTGTTGGAAGATCCAATGGCGGTTTCCGAAGTGAGACTGGGACCAAGGCAACACTTCCGACTCGAGAATCTTCGTGACGTAGTATCCTTGGTTAATTTTTGCTCCAACATCAACAAAAACGAGTGGAGTTTTCCCGTCGGCGCAAATGCCTGCAAAAACCATCACAGAAGATGGATGAGAGGTCTTGTTGAGAATTTTTCCTTTCCTACAGGCAGTCTCGAAGTCCATAGCGATGATCCTGTTGTTCTGACCGTTTTTGTTGGCTTCAACGGTGAAGATCTTCTCGTCGGTAAACAGTGTCCGCAAGTGCGTGCCTTGTCGCGTGCCGAGAAGGAGAGCTTTCGATTTTTTCAAGCGAAGCTCCTTGTTTCGATTCGTCAAGAATGCTCCCTTTTGAATACGATAAGGAATCATGTTCAGCTTCTGTCTGACGACAATTCTCATCGATTTTGGACTCATGCTGAACTCCGACGACATCTTCCTCATGCTTCTTTCCGGATTTCGCCTGATTCTCTCTCTCACCGCTTTGACCACTTGCGGAGTTGTCACTGTGACCGGGCGACCGCTTCTTTGTCTGTCCTTCAATGTTCCGAGGTCTCTGAAGCGTTGCAAAGTTCGGTTGACAACCGAACGTCCGACACCGAGCTTCTGAACGATCTCGAACGAGCGCATTCCCTTCCTCGCGCACTCGATGATGGCGGACCTGAACGGTGACGCAGCCACCATTAGTCTCAAAAATGATATTATTGGCTGAAACTTGGACAAATTGTCAAAAACAAAATAATAAATAAAAATAATAATACGGTACACCATAAGTTTGGCTGTATAGGCGCCAGAGCTTACGCGAAGTTGCGGCGCTATATTTATTCCCCACCCTGTATTCATTTGAAAGAACATTGTCGCAACAACGCACCAAAACTAATCGAAACTGCTCATTTCCCCTTCCAAATTTTTCTCCGATTCGTTATTCTTCCCAACTATTGCAGTTTTTTACCAGAAACATCTGCAACACAGTAGAGCAAACGTTCTTGTGAGCAAACAGTAAGCCATTTGAGTTTGAGTTCTATTTGCTTCTCTGCTTGTTTTTTTAAGAAAAGTCTTTTTACTGGTTGGTTTTGTTTACTGCTATGACAAACGACTCTTGATGAACGACAAGCAACAGTGGCCCGTATTTCATTAAAACTCAACGGAAGAGATTGTCATACACACGTTGTACTATATTGCGTGCCCATTTCTATGTAGACGTTCACGTGACCATTTTTCTCCTCTTCTCTGTGTTCTTCCCATCTGATGGTGGTCACCGAAACTGCGTAAAGAGAACAACACCACCTACATATTATTAGGCAAACCCTTGTCCTCTTTCTCCCTCTCATCTTTCTCGGTTTTCCGTGTTTGTTGCAGCGAGCTCAGCTGTGGTCAGCAACAGACAACCGTCCTCCTCGAGGGGGTCTGCAAATGCGCCCCGCTGCACTGTCGATTCACACGTATTTTATCTCTCTTTTTTCTGCTGAAATCGTCCGTGTTAGCTCGTTTTTCGATTGAATAGTTGCATTACGTGACTCGCTAATTTTTTCTCTTTCCATCGATACCGAAACCATTCATTTTCAGACAGAATGTGCTCGATTTTCATGATATTTATATTGATTTTCTGCAAACTCGCTGATAGTCAACTGGAGCGAGTAATCCCGGCTAAATGGAACACGATGTACGAACAGGAAAGCGGCAAGAACAATTCCATGACAATTTTCCGGTTCGAAGTCGAGAAAAGAGTAGGTTTTTGTCAATTTTGTTGGTTTTAGAAAAAATTCGATTAATTGCAGAGTCCGGTGGCCAGGATCATTATGAGTTGCAACGAGAGTAATGAGAACAATCCGCTCCTTGTGGTTTTCCGCGAAAAACAGGCAATTTTGAGCTTACAAGTGAGTTTTTCAAAAAAATTTGCTAATAAATGCGAAATGAAGTCACATCGTCCTTCATTTATGCGAAGAATCGGTGTTTTTTTGGTTGCTAAAACCTCTAAAATGAACACTGAAAATGAGTAAGACTAGCCGAAACCATGGCAAAATTGTGATGAACAACGCCTTCAACGGATCTGCTTTCAAGAAATCCACGTGTAGTGATACATAGTTACGATTGAAACCATTCAATATCTGTGAAAAACTTCGCAGATAATCACAATTCATTACAGGTTCCTTTGATTGTCGAGAACTACAAGTACAGTAAAGTAGGCAGGACATTGTGCCCATTCACCAACTATGAAGACGGAGAGGGATTCACAGTAGAGGTCACCAGCGCCCATCCCGTACTTTATAACTTCCGCGCCGAACTGGTGCAAAACTTTTACCTTTAGTAAGCTTTTAATAATTCGCAATAAGAATGAATGTTGGCTGAGATAAAAATATGGAGAATGGGTCGGGTGGAGCCGAATCGAAGCTCAACGAGTATTACAGTTTAGGGCCGGATGAGACCGGAGAATTTACCAAAAAAGTCAGCAAACCAACTTATACCGGTTCTGTTGCACACTTTTCCAGTATTCTGATGATCATAAACATCAATGTCATGTTTCAGCAACAACTCGACCCGCACAGTGACCGCAAGCGCATCGGAACCGGTTTTCCTGCGGTATGACATACCAACTGACGTGGATTCGGTGGCGGTTCACGTGGAGGCCAACTCATCTATCTGTATGACAGTGTCAGTACAAAAAATAGGGGTGAGCATCAAGGAACTGACGAGAATCTCTTACAATTGAATGATTTTTTTAAGTGTCCGGTATTTGACCTGCCAGACAACGTCAATTCAATGGGTATGCACCAAACAATGACCACGTCGGCTACAATTATTGTGGAGGTCAGTTTCTCAATGATATCTGAAAATACTTCGAAACAATTTTGAGTTTCAGAAGTCGGTGATGTCCAGTTTCTATGTGGTCTTCGTGGTGAATAATAATGACGACCTCTGCTCGGAAATTTCCAGTATAAAGCCAACAAGTGAATCAAAACTGACTACCAGATACGTAAATTGACTTGTACATGTTTAGGACCAAGCAAATTTCCACTTCGTCTCAAATCGTTCAATGTTACCATCGAGTCTTCAATGAAAAGTGAGTTTTTCACAACATATTGAACATTTCGGCAAATTTTCTTTGCAGCATTCGACTACATCATTCCGATTGTCTTCTGGGCTTCCATTCTGTTCCTCGTCACAATCATAGTGTTTGTCTATCATCAGTTCGACAAAAATTGGGAGCGAACATTCTTGCATAACAATTACACGCAATTGGAAGATGGTGAGTTGATCACGAGTGCCTTTTATGAGCTCCCGACTATTTGAAACTGCGCCAAACTGCTATTGTTGCTGAGTTTACAAATATATCTGAAACCAGTTCATATTGAGACCGTATCATTTCGCAGCCAACAAAGATATCCCGGCCGAAGTAAGTGATTTCGGTTGTCGCAGTTTCGAACAGTTGGTAATCACTGAGAAAACGCATCTGATTCATTGAAAAGATGTCAAAAATGCATTCAATTTCAGATGCACAATCAGACAGACTTGGAGAATACTATCAAACAAAAAGAATGAAGGAAGATGACGATCTGAAAGACTATGATCTGCTTCACGATATCAATGACATGATGGTTGTACGCGCAAAGGTCAGATTTTCATTCACAATCAGCTAGTATCCGATAAAATTCCAGCAAAACCTCTATGTCGCGGACCTTTCGATGACTCCATACGAAGACCGGGAGGACAAATACGATGTGTACAAAATGTAAGCCGTCTTGTCGACGTCCTAATGACATTTTGCATAATTTTCTATGCTTAGTGCCCTGGGAGTCATCGGAATCTTCTACAATATCACCGTACTTCAATTGCTGATCAGCAAAGCAGGAGGACTACGACAATCCGGTGATTTGGATGAGTGCACCTTCAACTTTCAATGCGCTCGGCCACTTTGGTACTTTGTCGCTTTCAACAACGTTGTTAGGTATAATTTTTACACATCCTCAAAACATCAATGAACCGATACGGTTACAGCAACGGCGGTTACGTGTACTTTGGAAGTTTGATCATCGTGATGAACTACTGCCGCGAACGAAGCTTCAGAAGACTTGTTCAGATCCAACCCTCGCTTTTGGATGTTAGTTTTTCAGTGAATTACTGGGAAATTAGTGATAATAATTCGCACAAAGACTAGATCGTCCATTTTTTAGCGTCTCGGTCTGCCACAACACAGCGGATTGATGACGGCGATCGGGTTGGCTGTTATCATGGAAGGCATATCTTCGGCGACCTATCATGTCTGTCCCAACAACGTCAACTACCAGTTTGGTGGGTTTTTACGTTTGGCAAACCAGAAAACACGCCGCTGACAAGCCAGCTCCACACAAGACTGCGCTTGCATGAATTATGCATGCAATTGCGTGTTCAACAGAACATGCGAAACCGAGTCACTTCTGATCATAATTGTGCGGGAAAATTAATCAAAATTGGGAATAGTTTTGATGTTGCATAGTTGTGAATCGTCGAAAAGTCAAAAACACTCTAGAAAAACGAAACGCGAAAGAGGTTGTCACAATCTGAATTCTATGATTTGATTCACCGTATTGTTTCGCTAGCTGTAACGGTACATGAACACTTTAGAAACTCATCGGGAACAGAAACATCCCAACTCCTCAGAAAACAGAACAAATTGCAGATACCGCTCTGATGTACGTGATTGGAATGCTCGGAAAGCTCAAAATCTGGTCTCTACGACACCCGGATATGGTTGTGAGCGCCTACCACGCGTTCGGATTCTTGGGAATCTTTATTATGGCGGCGATTGCCGGAGTCTACGTACACACCATAATCTTCTGGATCCTTTTCTCAATAATCTACGTGGCAAGCATGCTTCTTGTCAGTTTGGAGTTCTACTTCAAAGGTGTGTGGAGTCTCAACTACCGAGAAATCAAGAATACGCTTGTTTACTCGTGGGCGTCTTCTCGCAGATTTTCGTGTATTGTTCCCGCCTACAAAGCCAGATTTTTGGTTATTTTGCTACTCAATCTAGTGAATACAGCCGTGTAAGTCCTTTCATTTTGCGCAAGCGATACAATTTGCATATTACAGAGTGGTTTACGGTCTTGATGCTCACCCAAAAGACTTTTTGTCGTTCCTTCTCATTCCGTTCATTGGAAACTTGTTCATTTACATCATTTACTACATCTTGATGAAGGTATTGTCGTCAAATCGAATAGTTCGAGTGGAAAAGTCCTGTTTTGTTGCAGATCATTCACAGAGAGGAGATTCCGACCCGAGCCCTGGCCCTCCTCTTCTTTGCGACCGTGTCCTGGACCATCGCAGGCATCTTCTTCAACAAACGTGTCTCGGATTGGAGTGTGAGTTTTGTTTGCTATCAGGCGAAAAATGTGCATAATATATGGAATCTTTTGCGTGTGATTAGGCCCCATATCACTACTACAGTCCGTTTCAAAAGTATAGGGCCACCCCTAAAATTGAATATACTGTCATTCCCGAACAAAATAAAGACAGGACCTTAACAATCGAAATCAGCATCACAAATAACCCCCGGAAAACAATTTTGAGAGCAGTGTATAGGATAGTTGGGTAATGGTGCTGAAATATCTGAAAATGTTGCAACTGCAAGCGTTTCATAAGTATAGGGCCACCCCTGAAAACACTCTGGAAGCCTCTTAAACTGATAAACATGATCTTGAATGGGGTTCTTTGCACCTTTAGGATGTCCAAAAAGTCTTTTTGAAATCATGTGCACTGACGCCGACGCCACCTAGGGCCACTCTCCCGGGTTTAGCCTCATGTTCTGTGTGGAGCTCGATAGTGGAGCCGGGGGACTCCGATGATCTCAAATGAGTCAAATCTTGTTTAAAACAAGTTTTTTGAGCATTTTCAAGTCAGATTCGTTCAAGCCTCTCGATTCGCTAGCCCCTGATATCAGATTTTTGATAATAATAAAGCCAGGCCCAACAAGGATCAGACTGGTTTGAGCGCCAAACTCCAGGCTGACATTGCCCACTTTTAGGACTTCATAAGGAAGGTTTGAAACATGACATGCTTGAGTTTGGTGTCAATCGAATCAGTTTCAACCAAGTTATGAGCTCCCGATTGCTGAAATGAAGAAAACCAACATTTTTCAGTACATTTCTGTGGGCAAAGTGGGCAATGTCAGCCTGGAGTTTGGCGCTTAAGCCAGTCTGATCCTTGTTGGGCCTGGCTTCATTTTGGCCAAAAATCTGATGTCAGGTTCTAGCGAATCGAGAGGCTTGAACGAATCTAGCTTGAACAAATCTGAACAGCGCCCATTTGGTAGCTGCTGTCATAAGAGCAGCGCCCATTTGGTAGCTGCTGTCGCGAGAGCAGCGTCGATTTGGTAGTTGCTGTCGTGAGAGCAGCGCCCATTTGATAGCTGCTGTCGCGAGAGCAGCGTCGATTTGGTAGTTGCTGTCGTGAGAGCAGCGCCCATTTGGTAGCTGCTGTCGCGAGAGCAGCGTCGATTTGGTAGTTGCTGTCATGAGAGCAGCGCCCATTTTGTAGCTGCTGTCGCGAGAGCAGCGTCGATTTAGTAGTTGCTGTCGTGAGAGCAGCGCCCATTTGGTAGCTGCTGTCGCGAGAGCAGCGTCGATTTGGTAGTTGCTGTCGTGAGAGCAGCGCCCATTTGGTAGCTGCTGTCGCGAGAGCAGCGTCGATTTGGTAGTTGCTGTCGTGAGAGCAGCGCCCATTTGGTAGCTGCTGTCGCGAGAGCAGCGTCGATTTGGTAGTTGCTGTCGTGAGAGCAGCGCCCATTTGGTAGCTGCTGTCGCGAGAGCAGCGTCGATTTTGTAGTTGCTGTCGCGAGAGCAGCGTCGATTTGGTAGTTGCTGTCGTGAGAGCAGCGCCCATTTGGTAGCTGCTGTCGCGAGAGCAGCGTCGATTTGGTAGTTGCTGTCGTGAGAGCAGCGCCCATTTGGTAGCTGCTGTCGCGAGAGCAGCGTCGATTTGGTAGTTGCTGTCGTGAGAGCAGCGCCCATTTGGTAGCTGCTGTCGCGAGAGCAGCGTCGATTTTGTAGTTGCTGTCGCGAGAAACTCGCGGAATGTCGACTCAAGAACCGTTGAGAAAACTTTTCCAGAAAATGCCGGCAATATCCCGTGAACTGAACGAACAGTGCATCTTCCTCAACTTCTACGACAACCATGACATTTGGCACCTCTCCTCAGCGTTCGCCATCTTTTTCTCCTTCACCGCCATCAATGTAATCGATGACGAGCTCATGTTCATAAAAAGAAACACGATTCGAGTGTTCTAATAACTTGTAAATACCTCAAAGTGTCCATAATATCCTACTTTTACTCATTTTCACGTTCCCTGGTGTGTCTAGTCGTTATTTCCTATCTCATAGTCATTCCAAATACTCTGTCTTTCTCTTTCTGTGCCATGCTTACAAGGTACCTCCGACTAATGAGGTTCTGGGACATGTATTGTATTTTTGATACCTGGTTAGTTTCGTTTGCACTAAAACTGGTAAAATTTTAGAAATTTGAACTTTGAATCCAAATAAACAAACGCTTTCTGTCAATAAAAGATATGGGTTTATTTACGAAGTTTTTTTGTTCCCGTGGGGAATAAAACTATCTGTTCTTTGAGGAAAAACAAATAAAAAGTTCTAAAACGAAGAAGTCATGTGGAAATGGGACGGATTTGGCTTTAGAGATCGAAACTCAGACATTTTCGGTTTACGAATCATCTTTACTTGTTAATATCAAGGTTAGTGAGCCAGTCGGCGACACGGCAAGACGCCGCTTCCTTCGCGGACGGAGGCGGTTGACTCTTTGAATTCTCCGACGCAAAATTGACCGGTAAAGCCGATGGGGACTGAGATTCGTACTTGGTGCACAAGTCGGTGACTGAAATGAGAGAAGTGAGTTTCTTCTCGGCGCTTCGACTCGTTTTACCTGAAAGACTGCGAGCCGGACGTGAAGCGTTTGTGACTTCTCCCTCGTTTTGTGTCACTTCCGGGAGGGAGAATTGAGAGCACGTTTTGGGGTCGAGCTCCAATCGCTCGTTATTCTGAAAATAAATCCTTGCGACAAAGAAAAAAGAATTGCATCGACCGGGAATCGAACCCGGGCCGCCCGCGTGGCAGGCGAGCATTCTACCACTGAACCACCGATGCTACGAGTCTCTAAACCTTCTACCCCGAAGACAACTGCGCCTCTTGCCGCGTTTCTCGCTGTCTCTATAGTGCGGGCGACTACTTACATAGGAAAACGAGAAAAACGGGAAAATGGGGACTGAGGGTTCTGCTATATCTTTCTATGTATCAGTGCTTATGGGAATACGATTTCTGAAGAATGCGTTCGCTTTTCAAATCCCCACAGTTTACCTGAACTTGAACATTGATGCTCCAGAACGAAGACATGAGGCTTGGCTTTGACGCAGAAGTGCTCTCGATAGTCAAAAGGTCGTTGCGATGAAGGTGCATCATGATCACAAGCTGAAAATGATGATGATGATGATGGCACGAAGTGAAGAGTCACGGACAGAAGGTTGGCTTCCTCGGAAAATGGTGAATGATGCACACAAATGAAAGGAGGGTGTCTGAGCCGAGAAATGAATGAATGAATGAAGGGAATTCGATTAACCGCAACGACGATGAAGGAAAAAGGACCAAAAATGGAGATGAAGGGGGGAGGAGAAGGAGAAGGAGAGGAACCGAATGATGAAAAAGTAAATGAGAATCTTCGATGACTTTTCCGGTTAGGTCGAAGCGTTCTTTTCACGAAGATTTAGGAAAGAGATTAAGGAGAGGAGAAGAAATGAGAGGGGGGAATGAACGGATATGACGTGAATATGATGGTAAAAACAATTGAGAAGCCGGATATCTTTGAAAATTTGTTGTCTATACGATTTGCTCAAATAAAGTGCTTCTCCTTGAATTTACGAAAATGTTTTATGAAATCAGAGTGATTATGTCAATTACAACAAAAGTATGTCCGATTGCTGTCAAATTCGGTTACGTTTGTGATGGAAATGAATTGGGAACCCAATAATATTAGTCTGGGGATGAGCTGGATAAGCAGGAAAACGAGAGTTAGCCAAAATTTCGAAGAGGAAAGGGTACGCAACAGTTCCTGAACCAATTCGGAAATTGGTTTCTGAAAAATTCCACCTGCCGACAATAAAAAGCTCACATCCCAGCTCGAAATAAAATGGGGGGTGAGTAGAAGCAAGTGTCAATTGAAACTAACAGCCCTCTGTGGTTCTGCGCGCGCAAACCGACAATTATCCGTGGTTGTCATGACAAGTGACGAAAAAGTGTGTGAGATGAAGAGACTTCGGATCGCAATCCTCGTCACAGCTCCTTCTTTGCCGCCTGACTGACGCCATGAGCTCATGGATAAATACATGAGATGGGGGGGGGGGGTTGGAAGGAAAAGGAAATGGAGATGGAGATGTTGAGGACGGAATAGGTCATCATTTTGGAGGAAGAGGACGAGGAAGAAGAGATTGATGCCAGTGAGAGACCGGAAATGAGGAATATGTTTATGAGTTTGGGAGATAACGGACTGAGGATTAGGTTTTTTTTTAAGTTTTCACTTTGTTTTCCGGGCTCATCTCGGAATAGATTGTGTTGTATCGTTTTTTCTCTAGCTCAAAATAAGGTTAGGGACAAGGAAGAAATCCGCGAAAAAGGAAAAACACTTCTTCGCGAAAAGAAGGGAGAAGATTGGACAAACAAGTCCGAAATAAAGACAAAAAGCTTCAGCCCAAAACTGAATTCAATGCGAACAGAAACCATGAAAAACATGAGCGAATACTGACGAGAAAAACATATTTTCCGGAAAAGAATTTGAGAGCGTGGCACAGAATTTATAAAACGGATCAAACTTCTGAAAAACTTGTGAGAAACTGGCAATTTGTGATTGTCCGTACTAAACAGTGGATTCGCGGAAAACCTTGATTCAGTGAATGTCTTTTCAACATTTTGTTTTGCATTTCTTCGAAAAATTACAACTTCTTTGGTAAAGAAAGTGATGCCATCTTGTCAACTGGAACATGGTTCTTTTTTCCACTCTTCTTTCTTTTCTTTAGAAAATTTGAGAAGAAACTATAAATCTTTCCATTTCTCCACTCGAAGTTCTCTATAATTACAGCAAAGCGAAAAAAGAAACGAGTGGTGAAGGAAAAGAACTGGACATGTCAAATAGGGACCGGGGAGAAGGGGACTGCGGACAGAGAAAGTTGTTTTTCTTGGTGCTCCCACATCTTTTTTGCTTCTCTCTTCTTGAAGCCGAAATGAGGGAGGACGCAATTTCGAGTGAGATTGGAATGAGGATTTTCTGAAAAACATACATACGAATCACTTCTTCGTGTTGAAAGCGAATTGTGATTTGTCGAAAGAACTCAAATTTCAGTCAGATTGGGTACGTCTGTGTCACAATTGTGTGTGACTTGATGATGTCCGAGACATGTATTATTCAAGGAAAACGTCTAGAATCACGTTGTAAAATGTCAAGAGAAAAGCACAAGATGTTTCGATTTTCGCTAAGTTTTTTTAAAACATTGACACGAATTTGGACCACTTTTTCCGCAGGAACATTCTAAAGAACTGGCCGCAGTCCTTGTGCAGACCAAAAAGTATCGCTCTAATCTCATAAATCCTAATCCTTACCAGAAATCCTAATTACTGTCATGAAAACGTCATCAGTGTCAAAAAGAAGACAAAATCGCAAAAAGTACATTTAAACGTGTCCTTCCATTGAGTAAAGTAGCAAAATGAAATGAGGAGAGACCTAATTTGTGTGTGTGCATGTACGTGTTGTGGGAGAACGAGTGACAAGTCCGTAGTGTGTGTCCCCCTCCCTCCTTCCTTCTCCCGAACCAAATCTATTCACTGCGAAAGAGAGAGGAAGACGTCGGCTTAGGCTTCTGCGCCGTGCGCACACTCTCCCAACGTTCTCACGTTTACGACGAATATCTGATTATGTGTGCTGCCGGGCTGTGCACACGGACTCACCAAGTGTGGACGGCGCAAGGAAACTTTCTTCTTGTTAGTATAAGTGAGACGAGGAAAGAAGGAGAGCAAGGAAGACAGCGAAAATAATGATTTCAGCACGTTTCAGCACGTCATTTGGACAAGAATAACGTGATGTCTCGAAGGAGGTCAGAGGATACACAAGTCGTCATATTGGGCTTCAAGAATCCGAGAATCACACAACAAAATTTTGCAAAATCACAATTCAATTTCGAAACGTAAAGCACCATTTGTGTCATCGTGATGTGATTTATCTCTGTTAATGTGATTTTTCGTTTAAAACTCTGTGTGATCTGGTTTGAGAAGGCCGGCGGCGTTTTTTCCACAACACCGTTCAATCTTCAGTCATCACGCAGTCGTCAATTGGGTTTACGACTAATTTTTTGAAAAACCACAACCAACAAAAGTTTCTCAATCACGAAGAGACTCTTTGATATTGTCAAGTTCATAGACATGAGCACAATTCTGGTTTCATTGAAAAGAATGACATCATTGGGTCATTCCGCAATTTCAGAAGAAAACAGGAAGAATGAAAGCTCGTCCGGATGAAAAACAAGCCTCTTCTTCGTTGACCGACTTCTTCATCTTCTCTTTCTTCTCTTTCAGTTTGATATCCTCACATGACATCGTCCACACTCTTCCTGCAGTGGACGCCTTCATTTCTATGCATACTAAGTGCATCATTCCGGCCTACGTATGCAAATTTTCTGTTAATTTTCATTTCCGTTCCATCAATATATCAATAATTGGAATACATTTTCTCAGCTAAAAAAGACGGAAATCGCTTTGGTAATTGGGGTACCGAAACTGAATGGAATTTGGACGAGCAACAAGAAGGGAATCGAATTAGTGGAACAAGATGTTTGAGCAAAAGTTTCCTAAAAGTCACTCAAAAAATGGGCGAAAATGGGGAATTGGACAAAAAGTTGAACAATTTCAAAGAACTTTGATTCTTTAACATTTTTTGGTGGCAGTCAGAAACTTTGAATTGAGAAAAGAAGTGTTTGGCTTTTTCCATTGATGGGCGATTTTCCAAGATGTGCCTAGCCTCATTTTGTTTGAATCGTCATGCATCTATGAAAGTTGTTCTTATCGGAATTCGATCCGAACTTATAATAATTGACACGTGGCAAAATCATTAAAGACACATTCAACAATGAGATTTGAGAGAGTTAAAGCATAAAAAGGTGCAATAGGCGTGCACAAAATTATTCAAAATAGTTGCATTGAGAACAAAGGTGACCAGCGATTTCTCTTGATGTTATCCTATTCGTCTACCTGCAAAAAAACTCATTTATGAAAAGAATAACAGAATTTAGTGTCAAAAGTTTTGAAGCGAAAAACTAGAATCCAATCAGATAAGTTTCATTGAACTGTTCCAAATCGGAATAAGCGGAAGCGTGCTCTGCGTCGTTTTGGACAAAGCCTGGCCAAAACGCCAAAGATTTGAAGCTACAATGATACAGGGAATGAGAACTGGCGGAGTAAAAGAACTCATTGCTTCAAAAAAGCAGTGAAGGTTTACGTGTGGTTTTGTGAAATGTGAAAACATAGTGAGCTTCAGGGCTGGGCAATTAGCCTGGGCTTTTAAATTACTTGCAATATTCCTATCCGACCCAAAATTTGCGGTCTTCTCGGACTAGGATCAAAGCATATTGGGTCCAAGTCTCAGCCCGATGGGATTACATGGTCTCGACTTGGAACTCCCGAAATATGTATTTGAATAAAAGGCATATTTTGGCCAAAATCGGCCCGTGATCACTATATATACCTATTTTCATGTCAAAAGTGGTTAAATAACTTTTATCGTCTCAAGTTTCTTTCAAATTCAACGCACCATACGCTCCGTCGACCGTTCGGAAGAGTTTTGGATTTGGAGGCATTCACGTTGGGATTCACGACGCCAAACTCCTTCTCTTGAGCGAACATGATCTGATCCAAGATGTTGGATGGTCTGAGAAACGAAATGTTCAGTATTAAAACATGATGTACGGATGTTCCCACGTTGGCTTGGGAGGTGGCGGTGGTGACGGCGCCTCTTTTTTCATATCTTCTTCATCCAGAACTATGACGTCATCGCTGCAAAATAATCACTCGTTTAGAAAAAAACAGTCGTGTCGGATTCAAAACTCTGTTTTCCCAACGTTTGACTAATTTTCAAATAAAATTTTACTTTTGTCGGATATGAAGCTTCTCTTCTTTGACTCGTCCTCGCCTCGCTCTTCCGATCTTCCCGGCTCCCTCTGCTACTGACTTCTTTGTACTTTTCCGTCTTTTTTTTGTCCCTTTCCTCCGTTTTGTTCCTGTCTTGCTTTTCTTTGTCTTCCTCCGGGTTTTCCGGCCCACTGTGCGCCTTTTCACCAATTTCCGCTTACGGGCAAGTATTCTGCAAAACGGAGATGTGCAAGGCGGCCAAATCGATCGGAATTTTACTGTGGCAGCTCGGGAAGAGGTCCAGCTGGAACGTCGTCATTCAGAACGTGTGCATCTTCCTCTTCGAATGCGGGTTCTTCTTTTTTGACAAAATCTCTGAAAAAAAAAACAGATTTAATTGATGCAATATAGGGATGAAACCAACTCACTTCATTGATATGATACTCCTCGACGCAAACAAGTTCTAAAACTCGCAAAACACCGGTAGAAAACAGGGAAATTCGGAAATGAAATCGTTCAGCACACCGCAACGCGGGTCGCGTAGCGTGCGCGCTCTCTTGCCGGCAAGACACAGAGTGTCAGAAACACCCAGGCCGCTCACAAAACACACGCACAGGGGTCAAGACTAGATGTTCGCCCGCCATCCGCCACTGCGGAGGCCGACTGTGGAGACATTGCCTCACCACCAAATGTTCTAGCCGCAGTACGTGTTTTTTTTCAGAAGGCAAGATGGAGATAACTTCTGGACGGCTTGAAGGCTTGAAGAAACAAATGGAAGATCTGAAACACCTGGAGCAGTGCTGAGAAAAAGAAGTACGCTAGTCAAACTGATCATCAACGATTTTTCCTCCGAATTTGTTTTTGCGAAGTTTCTCTCAAAAAAAACGTGTTCCAGTTCCTTTCATTCATTGACTGACTAATTCAAGTCCGAAATGCGATTGATTTCTGTTATCAGCGTGTTACCTCTAACTGATACGCTTTGCTTGATTTGCACAATTCGCTCCTCGCTTTACCTCCAGCAACTATCAATTTAATGATCATTAGAATTCTTCTGCTGCTCTTACTTTCATGTGTTACAAATGGAAAAGTGGTATGGTGAATTGACTCCCCGATCTTTTGAAACTGTCAAACGTTTTGCGACACAACCGGGTCTTCCCAAGTTGCAGAACATCGTATTTCACATTTTTTGAGTTCAAAACACGCGACTTTGAGACAAGAAAGAAAAGTAGTACATTTAGAATGTTCGGCCAGTGGTTTCTGGTGTGCGAATTGAGAGTGAAGCGAACTCTCCCGGATTTTCGGGTTACGGGTAAGAATTTTCAGATTTCTGTTTCATTTTCAAGCAAACTCATCTCAACTTTAGAGATGCGGGGGAACTGTTGGTTGAAGCGAACGCACCTGTTGAAGTGGTCATTTTTGGGCATGGATTGGAAAGTGTAAGTTATGTTTTCCAGTAATAACCACTGTTTCAATTACTGTTTCAGGTCGAAATGGTCGCTTTCACTGATTCAGTCTGTTTGACATCAGAATTCAACATATCTGAAAGCGCTTTTCATATTCACAAAGATATGAAGATTGTCTTCAAATATTCGTTCATTGCGTAAGAACGTTTTCTTTTTGCCATTATGAAAAATATGTTTGAGTTGGGACAAACCATGGAGAATCTGTCTAAAATCCGATATCTACGGCCTTATTCAAATTGACGATGATAGAACGTGGATTCAGACTGTGCAAAGTGTACATGAAACTTTTATGCCTGTCGGAGTTCAGGTATCTTGAATAGTAACGTCTATAGTCAATCGAACTGCTGTCAGGTTGCAATTCTATTGTTACTTTTCTCGATTTCCGCGCTTTGTTCGGGGTTGACACTTGGTTTGATGGCGCTGACTCCACAGGAACTGAAGATTCTTATGAAATCAGGTGAGCTTGTCACCGAATATGGTGAATGCTAGTTTTGAAGGTACGGACACCGAGAAGAAACATGCTACAGCTATTTACCCTATCAGAATGGAAGGAAATCGATTGCTTTGTACAGTTATCATCATGAATGTGGTAAGTGCTTCATATTAAGATTCGACTGAAAGTCCATCACCTCCATGACTTCCGCCTTTTGGAAATCTGTTCAGATTTTTTCATTTTCTTCCAGATTGTCAACACCGGAATCACACTTCTTTTCGACGACCTTGCTGAAGGATTGATCGCCTTCTTGGCATCGACTATTGGAATTGTGATATTTGGAGAAATTCTTCCGCAAAGTATCTGTGTGAAGTAAGCCCTCTCCACATAACCTTCCCTTACCTTTATACATATATGTATGCTCAGATATGGTCTAGCTGTGGGCGCAAACACGATTTACATCACCAAGTTCTTTATGTTCGTCCTGTTTCCTGTTACTTATCCGCTGGCTAAGGTAAGTAAAAACAAACTTTCATAAAGATCTGATAATATACATTAAACTCATCAGATACTCGATAAATACGCCGGAGTTGACATTGATCTTGTGAATCGTTCAAAAATGGTAGAGATGCTAAAGATGAACATGGAGAGTGGGGCATGTGATATTGTAAACTTCATAATGTTTTGATTCTAAATGTGTTCATGATGTTTCAGGACTTGTCAACACTTAAAATTGCAATCGGAGCTATGGAATTGACCAAAAAGTCGGTTAGGGATGTTATGACTGACATTGACGTGTGTTTTCCTACATGTATTGCTCAGCCTAACAAATTTTAGGACGTTTTCATGCTATCTGAGGATCAAATTCTGAACGCAGAAACAATGACAATAATATCAGACTCTGGCTACACTAGAATTCCAGTTTATGAGAAAAACAACAAAAATAAGGTACACCAGCATTGCGCATGGACCTCATTGCAAACATTTTCAGGTCAAAAACCTGTTGTATGTCAGTGATTTGGCGTTGATCGGAAAAGATAACAATATAACTGTGAAAGCAGTGGCTGGGTTCAATAAGAGAAGATTGCGAATCGTGGATGAGAATATGCCGTTGGTCTCACTTATGGATGAGTTCAAAATGGGAGAATATCACTTGGCAATGGTGGCCAAGGCACAGGAAGTCAAAAAATTGCATAATGGAAAGTTTGTGGATATTAAGATGGACAATTTCATAGTGGTAGGCTTCACCAGATTGTCTTCAATTCATGGGTTTTGTATTAAAACCTTTCAGGAGTCGATGCAACTAGTAGAAGCAACAATGCTCCCCCAACACGATTCTGAAGAAAATCCGGTCACTTTAGTTGGGTTGATAACTCTGGAAGACATCACTGAAGAACTGTTACAAGCGGAAATAACGGATGAGACCGATTGTTACGTCACTGACGATGCTCAGAAGAAGCGAAGAACTAATACTTCCAAGAAAAATGCGCCGGATCTGTTTTGCAGTGAAAAAAAGAGTGAACGACTATCTCTTCACATGTTGGAGGTTTGAATTCAGAAAAAAAAAACACATTGCCACCATATTTTAGATGACCGAGAAGTGGCTTCTGGAGAAAACACCATTGTTCAGTGGAATGAATCCGAAAGCTTTCGAGAATTTGATTCAGAGAAACATTAGAGAAGTGCGTCCACCGTGAAACAATCATCAAAAATTGACCATATTTTTTGCAGGTTCTCATCGTTCCCCCGAAAAACAGCACTTCGCCTGGAACTCTGAATTTGTTTGAGTCAGGTATGATGAGCAAACGATTTGTGCTCATTCTAGAAGGAAAAGCGAAAATTCGATTCAATCAGGTTGGTTTTACTGACCGACTTTCAAAAGGTTACTTCACAGAAAGACCTTGTCTTCGAAGTCGGACCGTGGACTTGCTTCGGAGAAGCTATTCTGGACAAAATGGAGGACTGTTTGATGGAGAAAAAAGGTGTTCCAATCAGGTGTTTTGAAATCACAGGCGCTTTTCAGAACCTTCGACTGGATTTTTTTTCATACCGGACTATGATCTAACCGTCAGCGGTACTTGCCGGTTTTTGCAGGTAAGAAAGCCTGATTTATCTTCTTTCAAGTTTTAATTAAGATTTCTACTGGCTCCCTTCTTCATTCTCTCAGAATAACCAAATTTGTCAGGGAAATGAGGTTAGTTGCTTCAGATTTCATGAAATTTCATAAAAGATTCTCCAGATCGCCCAAAATATCAATCACTAGCGACGACGACACAATACCTGGATCGAGAAAGGTAAATTTGCAATATCAGTTCTCGACAATCCACAATCAACTTTTAGGTGTCATTCTTGGAAACTAGTCCAAATGGAGGACGCAAACGGTCGTCGACAAGTGTTATGAGCAGTTTGGCACTTCCACCAGCACGATTGGCTGCAAAAATTGCTTCAGTAGAAGAGTTGAAACCACTCATTGAATGAGATTTGTTTCTTCACTTTCATATCCAAATGAATAAATCACTTGTGCAGATAAAAGTCACGATTTATTTCCAAGACATGTAGTGGGATTGTAGTGGAAAAAACACCAAGTAGGAAAAAAGAGTACTATGTCAAGTATAAATGATTTATTTAATTTATCAAGGAGCTAGTTCAATTGTTTCCCATTGATTGTTTGAGAGCAGTCGTTCACAGTTTTCGATTCTATTCCAATTATCAGCGCATCCACGGATAGCATAAATCGCCGTTTCGGTAGAATACATTTCAAAGTACTTTCGTGCTGTGGACATCCGTGGTTCGTCTCTCCATGTTCTTGTGATGGGATCGTAGCTGCGAACGGATGCGAGAGTGTTACTGGCCGAACTCCATCCTCCAGCCACGTAAATGCAATTATTGAATGAGCAGATTCCAAATCCAGCACGTCCTTCTTCCATCTTCCCGACAATCTCGAAACGGTCAGCGGACGCATCATACTTTTCAATAGCTGCTTCGTAGGTGCTCCCATTGAAGCCACCAATCACTGAAACTTTGCTAGAATAAAGACTGCTCATTATTGTTCAGGTTTATCAAAAACTCACCATAAAGTTTCTCATTCAAAAACACAACTCCACAATCGGCTCTCCTTCTTTGGAGCAAAGGTCCGTTCCTCCATGTCTTCTTCTTGACATCATAGATTTCCACAGAGTTCATGTACGTCCCATTGTATCCACCAATAACAAATAGAGTTCCATTGTGAAGTACGGCTGCAGTTCGAGTGCGTGCTTGCTTCATAGAGGGTAGCTAAAAAAGTTGTCAATATAGGTCAAAATCATTTGAATATTTGCCATTTTTCTGCAAAGTTACTTACTTCCTCTCTCAATCCACGCTCATCATCGTAAACCTCAACGGTGCTCAGCCATATGCCATTGGACATTCCTCCAACAATATAAACATGCTTCTCACCGGATGCAACTCCATAATTTGCTATCTGATTTGGCATTCTCCCAATTAGAGTCCATGTTCTGTTATCTGAGTCGAATTTCCCAATTAGCAATGATTCCTTGGAGTTTTGCTTGCGATCTGTAAGAAATCCAAACGATTTTGAAGAAGTTCAGTAACAAAACTAACCAGCAATAATTCTGCTCTGCACTTCTATTTTCGATTCCGTTTGTAATTGTTTAAAATATCTTAAGACTTCCAGCATGTCAATTGAAATGTGCAATTTCACAAATGATTTTTTCTTCTGACACATTGGGCATTTTGACAGACCTGTTTTGAGTAAACAGGATTCACAAAGAATATGCCCACATGTACCGGAAAACGGCCTCCGATTGTTTTCTTCTGAAAGAACTAATGATAGTAATGAGCAAGAATAATAGAAATACCATATTGCCTCTCACAAATGTAGCACTTGGTACAATGAACAATATTATCTCTCCATTCAATCATTACGTTGAAATTTCTGTGAGGACTGATTTTGTAAGAAAAAAATATATTTATATACACATCTCTTTTATCAAATGATGTCTTACGCTTAGCAAGAATCAGAAAGAATAAGGAAGAAGCAAGAGTGAGCAATGGTGGCGATTTGATCTTTGTTTTTTTTTGATTGTACATAGGAGGAAGAAAACGGCAATAAATAAGAGTGAGCAATCAACGCAATTGGACCTAGCCCGTTTGCATATTCTGATAGAGCTCGGCATGCTGATCACTCTCGTATCATTTCCGGTGTTAGATTCTCAACTGAAAAGGGTTATAAGAAGGTCCTAAAGATTTTACTGTTTTCATAGCGCGGCGGCTAGGAGCAAAGCTCAGCCCTTTTCCATTGTTATTAGACGCTAGTAAGAGAGTAAACATTTATTTTAGAGTTTATATCGGACAATAAAACGGGCAGAATAGATAAGGCACGATGGAAAGCAACACAGTTAAAAACAACATTTTCTAGCAGGTGTGGTCAAAGTCGAAATGTTGGACGCACGAGAAAATGTCAGCCTTAGTTTAAAAGATCAGCATGGCAGTGGTTAATGACTGTAGGTGACATGCGCATACCATCCAACTTCCTGAAAAAAACGATGAGATTATGTACATAAACTGCAGTATGATTCACCTCATCGGCTTCATCAACCAGAATGGTTTTAGTGTTCTTTGAGAAGTTGAAACTGGCGATTTGGTATGCAATGTGATCAGCAACAAGAACTTGAGAATTGGACGAATGAATCTGAAAAGAAGGCAGTGAAAAACGACACATGGGCATGACGAAATTACAGTAATCTTCTGGCCGGGTTGGATATGAGTAGCCACTGGGAAGATGTACAATCCAACAAGACCACCGTTCACATAATGCTGGATCTTCCAGTTGGAGAGATCGTGTGAACGGTATCCATTCGAGTTTTCGATGGTAACTGACTCGTCGTTGTGATCCTAGAAACATATGGTGGCAATTTAGACACCCCGGGACGGTTGCTCACAATAAATTTGATATCTCCTTTGCTGGAACTTCTGAATTGATTATGGTTGATGATGGACAGATCGATGTTGTCAAAGCGAACAGTTCTATCATCTGAAAATCAATAAGAAGTTAGGAGACTATAAGGGATGCGCAAGTGAAACGTACCCCATGAACAAGTTTTTTCTTCTTTTTGATTTTGATCTCCTTCAGGTACAATTCTGTATAAAAAAACTAAAAGCGCTAACTGAACTAAAAAGAAGAAAAAAGAATTGAACATGCAGTACGGAGCGGTGTTATTCATTAACATTTTTTGAAGGAAAAAAAAACTAGCGGGAGTATTTGATTGATAAATAAAATGTATCAATAAGAAAAATCAACTTGAGTCTTTGGCGTTCAAAGTGTAAGCTGTGCCATAGGAGTGATAAGACGTTGTGCGCAAGGTCGGTGCGGGAGTGTCAATGACAAAATTGCTTTGGAATGTTGTTCGCAGATTCTCCGCATTATCCAGCAGTTTTCGGTAATGAGTGATTTCATTATGGAGATTCTGAAAGGATAAAGGATCAGAGGAAGCTTATGGAAAATTGAGTTTTTCTTTTAGAAGCTTACCAGGAACCTTTCTAAACTATTTATATGAGAGTTTTCTACAAACGTTTTTTAGAATCATTCTAAGGTTTGTTTGATAAACTACTCACAACTTGGTTCTCGCACAATCTGTCCAATTCTACAGACATTTTGGTGCACTCTTCTCTCATCTTGATCACGGCATTTTCCTTCTCAGTCAGCGCTAACTCGAACGTGCGGAGATCTTCTTCTTCACGGAAACGCATATCCTCCATTCTTTTGATGTGTTGTTGGTTCTGAAAGTAGCCCATTTTCATGTCACCAAGCCCGAATGTCATTTACCGTAGTCTCAGCATCAGAAATCTTGTTGCGAAGCTCGTTGAGGAATGAACGGATGCGATGGATTTCTTCCTGAACGTTTGAATAAGATCTTTGGAGAAACAATTTTTTAATGGCATTAATATTACTCTCGCTTGATTCTGATTCAAACTGAATCGTTCTGATCCCTTCTTGATCTCCGAGATCTTCGACTTGTACCACTCGTCCCACGTCTTTCTAGCCTTTCGGGACTCCTTCTCAAACTGATCACGAATTTCCTTCATGGCCGATTGAAGTTCCTTGTGGAAGTAGTCACGGTTCTTGTCAGTGGTGTCCCTTCTGGCCTTGCTGATCTCATCACGAATGGCGATCTCATGCTGCGTTATGTTTCCATTCAAACGCTTCAGAAGTTCTTGAGCGGTAGCTTGCGCACGAGAGTAATTTCCGCGTTCCTTATCACGGAGAGCCAGATTGCGTTTGATTTCGGAGCGGAGACGAGAAATTTCCGCGTTGATGTGACTTTTCTCTTCTTCAGAGTCGTTGATCAAACGCTTGATGTACGCGTTCTGAAAGTGACCTTTTGAGATTTTACTGGATCGGTAACCTGCGACTAAAACGCTGCTATACCTCGGCCTCAATTTCGGACAATTTTTTCAGCTGCACTTTCTTATCAGCTCGCGCTCTTTTACGCTGCTCAATTGAACTTTCCAAGCTGAAAAGTCATCATGAATCATCATTATCCCAGCGAAACACACCTTGCTCTCGCAGTTTTCACTTCCGGCTCTAACTTTCGAATGTTCTGCTCGGCGGATGAAACTTTGGCTTCATTTTCACGAATCAAAGTGAAAAGAGACTGAAAATCAAAACAATCAAAATTTCTGAAGATTCTGGGAGTTCGTACCGTCTTCTCGGCTTCATAGTAAACTGCAATTTTCTGTGAGTGAAGGTGAGCCGCTTGACGGAACAATCCAATATCATTTTCCAGAACACGGTTTTGTGCTTCCAGGAATCGCACCTAAAAATGCTCTTGTAAATATCGAGAATGAAGGTCGAGGAATTCAAATGCATCAATGTTCAGTCCTATAACACTATCTACGCTGAGCAAAAAGAGTGTAAACATGCATAAAACAAGATCAAACGGTTAATGATAAACAACTAAACATTCTGGACAATCACGCGGTTAACTTGAACCGTACAACTAGCATAATGTTTCAAAAACAAGAACGTAAGAGTTGTTCGAAGAAATTTGTGCTTGAACACCGTGAATTTGCTGATAATCTCATACTTTTTCAAACACCCCTACATATAAGCAAAAATAGAATACCTTCTCGACGTAACGAGCCAATCGGTCGTTCAGATCCGCAATCTCCCGCTTCTCGCGATCCCGATTGTCACGGATCATAGCGGCCGCATTCTGAGCATAACCTGACAGAGCTCCGGTGGTCGAAATTCCAGTTGGCAACGCCGTTCTCCCACTTTCGATGATTCTTGCCAGCGCCGGATGATGAGCGAAACGAGATGGATTGAGTGGATCGGAACTCATCTTTCAACTGAAAACTTCTGTTAAAATTGATGAGTATTAGTCATAGATAAATGTTAAACGTAAAGTTGCAAAATGAGAAGAAGGAGAGGCGTGCCAGCGCTTATCATTGTGCATGTTTCTGTTATCAACTTTATGTTGAGCTCGCTGGCAAAGGAATTTTACTATCATCAGTGCCACGGTACGCATACACAAATGTATACGGAGGAGGAAGAGGAGAGAGTGATACATTTGTTTCAGAGCACGTCACTATTTATGAGGAAGTCAGGGGGGCGAAAATTCTTGAAATGATTCATTGATGATTTGTTTAAAATGTCAAGAATTTTGAGGCGGTGATCGAAGTCTTTCAGAATCGTCGTTCCGACCTTATCAATCCGAGAGCTCAATACAGGTATGGGGAACTGAACCCCAGTCCTCACCCATGCTGTGGGAGAGCTCTACCACTGACCTGATATACATATTCATTCATTCATTCGAGTCCAGATTCAAAGAAGTGTAACGTAGGAACAGTTCACTAGTTCACTTGTCTTGCTGGGTTTGTGGGGGAAGTTGTCCGGTCGCCAAGTGCCATTTTTCCGACGTTCATTCAACTTGTCTGCCACGTGGAAGTTGTTGTTGGTCGATTCCATCCTTCTGTCCTCTGACCTCCGTTGATCGATGAAATCGTTTCGAAATCGTACGGTGCTCCGGACGCGGATCACCAACGATGGCTACGTTCCCTCCAGGCCATGGTTGCTGGGAACGGACTCAGTTTTATCTTCAGAGTTTTGCGAATTGAACGGGAATGATATACTACCTGAAACAAATTTTCTATTTTGAAATTGAATGAATAACGAGAAGCGACGTAAACAGAGAAGTTGAAAACGTGTTTTCTACGTGAAGAATGCTAAAAAGATGGGAGAAATCGCATGACACTGGAAAAACTGTTAGCAGAAATCTATTTTATTGAACAAAAAGGAGAAAAACCATAAAATACAAATTTAGAATAAGGCAAGCGGTAACTAAAAAAAATCGTAGCTACACAATTTGTGGCACTGTTCCAGTAGAGAAGAATGCGCTCGTTGTAGTCCATCGGGCAGACACAGTACTCCTATCTCACTCCAATATCGTCGGTTTTCGGACAGCTGTAGGTGCTCAGCAAGAATCCGAGCATATCGAACACTGGAAATTTATCAGAATAAACCACGTGTGTACACGTGTTCGCTTACCGATGCTCTCGTGTTCTTGCCAGCTTATCGACTCGAGCTCTGGGACCGTGTCTTGCCTGGAATCAATAGGGTGAATAAAGAACATTTTATGAAAAGTTTTGCTTTGAACAATGAAAAGACTACCCTCCACATCGAGTACAGTACTTTGGAATCCTTCTATCTCTATCCAGCTTTTTAAAAGATCATTTTTGAAATTCAAGTTAATTTGATGTTTGATCAATGCGTAGTATGCCAAAGTTGCAAAAAATAACCTCAACGCTCACAAAAGATCCATGTTGACATTCATCACGAAAAAATCAATAAAGACAAAAAAACGCACCTGTTTTGGTCACACTTAATTTTCTTCATTTCCAAATTGAGATGACGAATTCTCTTGTGCCATTTCCTTTTTAATAAATTCGGTATTGAATGGTATAAGTTCTGAAAACAAATTTCGAATTCTGAGTCGAATGAGAACACGCTTACTTGTAAAAATAAATTAAAGAAAATCCGGGAAAAAAGTGTATCCGGGTGGATAACCAGGTTTCAGGTGAAATTATCCAAGTCTCGCCATGATGTAGTGCTGGAAAACATTTTTTCAGTTTAAGAAGTCAAAAAGTTAACGAAATGGTAAGGAACATCTTACGAAAACTGAAAATGAATCGTCGAAGTTGAGTTTAAACCAACAATACTGCAAACACGGAGAAGCATTGCGTCCGCGACACTTTAGTTCACGCACAATCACACTTGAGAGATAAGGAAATGAGAGATGCGAAGAAAAGGATAGAGCTTCTTTCTCTACAAAAAGAATCATTAATTTGATTTAGTCTTTATTTTTGACTCAAGGCGTCTCTATTAGAGACTCTCCAACATATTTCAAAGGCGCCAATTGAACCATCGTCACAGTCGAACTGGAGTACGCGCATAGAGTCTGAAGGGGCAGTTTTAGTGAGCGTTCAGTGAAAGTATGGTGGCCTTCTAATAGCACCCTGATTTTCAAAAAAGAAGACAGGGAAAATTTAGAGAACTATCGACCGATATGTCTACTCCCCGTTCTTTACAAAGCATTCACCAAGTGGGTGTTTCAACCAGTCGAGCAAACTGGATTTCGCCGATCTTTCTCAACGATCGACCACATCCACTAAATCCAGCGACGAAGAAAATAACCCAAGTGATCGCCTCTTGGATCATTGCCAAAAATCGCAAGGCATGATGTGCTGTGATCCGCGCCCATACCACATGAGCGAAGAACGGATCGACTAAGTAAGTAAGTAAGTAAAGATTAACGAAATGGTGCGAAAAATTAAACGAAAACTGAAAATGATTCATCAAAATTGATTTCAAGCCAAGAATTCTGCAAACACGGAAGGAGAAACATTGCGTCCTTGACACTCTGGTTCACGCGCAATCACATTTGAAAGAAGAGGAAATGAGAGATGCAAAAAAAAGAATAGAAGCTTTCGTTTCAGCTTGTTTCTCTGTTATTTTTTTGTCACCTAACTCAGTGTAATTCCACTCTAACGGCCCCTTTTGAGCCTATAAGCTTATTCCAGTTCGGCTTTGACGATTTCGGAAAACCGACAGTGAGAGCAAACTTGTTACAGTCGGGAGAAAGTCAGAAATGTACAGATTACGGCACCCTGCATTCTGGACATTAGTGATTTTGATACTCGTGCCGGGTAATCCAGAAGGTCAAATTGAATCAAAACTAAGCAATTGTGACCAGAAGAAGTATCATAATCACAAGGAAAAATCTCTCTTTTCCGTCGGAATACGAAACGTTTTTGCGAGCGAATCCAACATGCGTACACCGTTGTATTGAAGAGAGATGATACTGTTTCCACTCATTGTTACTTGTAAAGATGATTTGGTGCTGTGCAGAGAGCCTTCGAGGAAAAACTGGCCATCATATCTGGAAAAAGTCACTAGTTTTGAATTAATGTCACTTTTTACTAACCTTCCAGCATTGTAAGCAACAACACGGCGGTCCAACATAATAGAACCGGGCAGAATAAAACCGCGACACAATAGAACTACGCATAATAGAACCTCGACACGAGAACCGGCTACAATAAAACTGTTTGGAGCGCCTTTTAATGTAAAATTGCTTCGTAGAAAAAGATAATTTTTGAATCTGGTGATCGATTTATTGCATTCATTAATTTCACTTCCGTCGTGATCCCTCTTCTCTACGGCAACGAAAACCCACAGAAAATAATTTTATTGTACTATCAAAAACGAAAGGAAACCAATTTTCCTGGTATAAACTGTTGTCTTCTGATTAATTGTTCGAGAGACGAAGAGTTTTGCGAAATCTAATTGAAAGGAACGGACAAGGCTCATATAAATATACAAAAACAGTTCTATTATGTCGCGATTCTATTGTGTCGCGGTTCTTTTCTGCACAGTTCTATTCTGCCCAGTTCTATTACGTCGCGGTTCTATTATGTTTGACCGCCGTTTCCGATTGTTGTACAAATGCATGAAATGCGTGATACATGTTCAATGAATGTACTGTAATACCATAGTACGTCTGCCTTATTTGAAATTTTTGCGGTCCCGCCTCCTCCATCTTTGTGATCGTCACCAAAAGGGGCGTGGTGACGGTGAAGCACGGCTGAGGGCGTGGTCGAGGGGGCGTGATTTCACTATCACTATATAAACCGAGTACAACGTTAATTATGTCTATCTCGAAACTTTTTTCGCTTGAGTGTCTCTCTCTTTCTCTCTCCGACATTACTGCTATGCAAGAAGTCGAACCATCTCTCTTCCTCTCTCCGACGTTATTGCAAAAACAGTTCTATTATGTCCCTGTTCTATTCTGCGCAGTTCTATTATGTCCCGGTTCTATTCTGCGCAGTTCTATTCTGCGCAGTTCTATTATGTCCCGGTTCTATTCTGCGCAGTTCTATTATGTCCCGGTTCTATGTATTATGTCCCGGTTCTATTATGTCCCGGTTCTATTCTGCGCAGTTCTATTGTGTCCCGGTTCTATTATGTCCCAGTTCTATTCTGCGCAGTTCTATCATGTCCCGGTTCTATTATGTCCCGGTTCTATTCTGCGCAGTTCTACTCTGCGCAGTTCTATTCTGCGCAGTTCTATTCTGCGCAGTTCTATTATGTCCCGGTTCTATTCTGCGCAGTTCTATTCTGCGCAGTTCTATTCTGCGCAGTTCTATTATGTCCCGGTTCTATTCTTAGCAGTTCTATTCTGCGCAGTTCTATTATGTCCCGGTTCTATTCTGCGCAGCTCTATTCTGCGCAGCTCTATTCTGCGCAGCTCTATTCTGCGCAGCTCTATTCTGCGCAGCTCTATTCTGCGCAGTTCTATTCTGCGCAGTTCTATTCTGCGCAGCTCTATTCTGCGCAGTTCTATTCTGCGCAGTTCTATTGGACCGCCGTTTCCGATTGTTGTACAAATCCACGTTATTGCTATGCAAGAAGTCGAACTCTCTCTCTTCCTCTCTCCGACATTATTGCTATGCAAGAAGTCGGGCTTTCTCTCTTCCTCTCTCCGACATTATTGCAAAAAAAAAAGGTTCTATTATGTCCCGGTTCTATTCTGTGCAGTTCTGTTCTGCGCAGTTCTATTATGTTGGACCGCCAACAACACGCATATTTTCTTTGGTTTTTGAGTTTATTTTCAGAATTTTTCAAATTTCGTCTGGGTGAAGGCTTTCATTGTAAAGACATCAGCGTGATATGTCCCATCTAGAACAAAAACTGGGAACAACAGCAAGCTGCGTCTCCCCCACGGTCAATCGTGACCCGGTTTGTATATTTTTTTACAGGACGTCTATGTTTTCTTCAAAAAATGTTCCTCCTTTGAGATGTTGCCTGTCCAGACAACAACATCACTTTCCCATGATGCCATCAACAATACATTCAAATCTCACTTTTATAATCATTCGACCTGTGCAGAGTTCCTTTTCTTTTTCCGTATTTTCTTGGAGTCTTTTTAACACGCAGATGCATCTGATGTGCAAGTGATGAAGCTAAGCGGGATAAAGGATTTGGTAGAGACAAAACGATTGTCGTTTGAAAGTATTCCGACAGAAATTTTGATGGATAAAATTTGCACTCGCACTGCGTTCTCGCATTGCAAATCATTTGCATCGCCGTGAGTGTCTGAGCTTGAGCACCGCATAGTGAGCCTTTAAAAGTGTTTCTTCTTATAAACGTTTTGAAACAAGACATTGATACAGTAATCATACGATAAATCTATCTTCGAACATTATAAAAACTTCTAAAAAATAGCGTCAAACGTGTAATAATTAGTACTGTAATTTGAAATTCATGTTGAACGGGATTCAAGGCATCTGGTTGTTGTGGTGAGCCGACTGCTGATATTGAGCCATCTGAAATTGACTTTTACGTTAATTTGTCGTATAGATGAAAAATGTGACGCTAGAGAAAAAGTAGAGAGAACTAGAGAGAACTAAAGAGAGCTAGAGAGAGAGAGAGAGGAAGATCTTTTCAGTTTTTCCATCATCGTTATACGTGCGTTATGATTCATTTTTTCAATAACTCACCATGTTCGGATAGTTGGCAGGAAAATTGAAGCCAGCCATGTTCGGCATCATCATTTGGTACGGGTTCATCATTCCGGCGAGAGTGTTGGGCATAAATCCATATGGATTGGAGCTCATAGCGACAGCAGTCCGACGAGTATCCTCTTCCTTTATTTTGTTCGTTTTCTTGTAACGAATTCGTTTGTTGCCGAACCAGTTGGACACCTGAACAACAAGACATTTCCAAAATTCTTCAAAAACTAGATGATCGAGGACAGTGAAAGCATGTGAGAACTGTGAATTGTTTTCGAGCAAATAATACGGTCACTGTTTTCAGTTTGGAATTCAGGAAAGGAATTTCGACAAAAATTCAGAGCGAAATCAAACGTTTTTAGAATGTCGGAATGAAAATAAAATTCGTAATGCCGGAATTGCCTATTTCTGTGTCATATTCAAAGGCATCCTGTAAAAAATGCTCACCTGTGCCACACTGATATTGCATTGCAACGCAAGTGATTGTTTCACTTCTTCCGATGGGTATGGATAGTCGATGTTGGCTTGGAAATACTCGTTCAAAATGTCCGTCGACGATTTCGAGAAGTTTCTGCGCTTCCGACGAGCATCAAAGTACCTCTTGCGAAGATGAATGACTGCTTCGCATGCGGATTGTTTCAGATCGTGCCTGAACTGATCAATTCGCCGACCGCGTGTTTGCAAGAGTTTTGCGATTTCCTGAATTGTATCTATTAGCTTTTTTCGTCTCTTGGTTACAAGAAATTGAACACTTTCTGTCAAAATTTTGCAATAGTACCTCTTGAGAAATCGGCCGGAACTCGGTTTGAGCGTGGAGTATCGATCCGACGGCCTCGAGCATATCCTTTTTGCTTTTATCGATGAAGTTGACTCTCGACTCGTATGAATGACGCACTTCTGATAGCTTCTTCAGGTAATCATCTCGATCGCTTCCAACGACGTCATCCGCCAATTCGTTAGTCTTGTCTGGTCCGATAATTCCCTCGTTTTTCAGCATCGTATCCAGTCGCTCCTCATTCTCTCTTGCAGCGTTCTCCGTTCGAATCATGCGATTAGAAGTTGTTCCTTTTTTGCTTTTTATGTCACAAAAAATTGAGCGGAGTGCCGGGCGGAATGGATTCATCCTCATATTATGTTTTCTGAAAAAAGTTTGAGATCCGATGAAAATGGTGTGCTTTCAGACGACCATCATTCTCAACTATGCACAACAGAAAAGAGAGTAGCGAGCGGCTGCGGAGACCCAGAGAACAAGGGGAGTCAGAGAAGGGAAATACAATGGGGATGCAGAGACTGTTTTTCTCCAGGCTCAGACAGTCTCTTTTCCTCTCTCGCCAACTCTTTCGGTTTTGTGTCGGCCAACCCATCTGTGGCCGCATCAGGACACCACTGTGCACAGGGGGCCTCCGGCCGGCAGGGCCCTCGGCAGAAACAGTGTGCAAATAGGGAGATACAGACTGAGCACAGAGCGAGGGGGCTCACCCACCAAAAACTAACTTTCTAACAACTAACACCCCTAGATTTTTGGCAGTGCGCCAAACAGTTCTTTCCGCGCGCTTTCCATATAATTTCGAATGATATGCCCATTTCATAGCACTATAAATTAATGTCGTCTTCTTTCAAAGAATCTGAAAATGAACTTACAAATCCGAAAAGACGTTCTCATCCAGTGGTGTATCGCTGATTTTCCAAAGCTCTGAGATCAAATCTGTCACTGGTTTTTGAATCGGTGCCGGAGGCTCCATGTCCTGAAAAGGAAAAGTAGGAAACGGGGAGTGAGAAGGTGCAATATAATGAATGGATGTTAGCACATCAAAAAATGACGTGAAAGAAGAATGAGTGTCGAGTGAGACTAATGACGAATGATGGACGGACTGTCGGACTAATGTGCGCGCGCACTATCTTTGCTTCTGATCGATAAATGGATAGACCGCGGGATGCGGAGGGGAGGATATAAATGAGCAAGGAGGGAGAGAAGGGGTCAGTCCTCAGCAGACAGTACCCCGGCGGAGTCCCAGGTCAGACGGGCCTTCCTCCCTTCTCCATACGTCCTCCTCCTTCTGTAGGTTACACCGTTCTATGTGCGCAGTCCTCATTTCCTAATCTCCATTCATTCCTGAGCGGGCTCGGTTATTGGACCTCTTAGTTGTTCATTTATATTATTGGGTTAGTTGTTCTTATTATTGTCCACTATTTCCTAGGATCAGGATGTATAATCGTAGTGATAAGATAGATTACAACATATGATACCGTATCTATTTTGGGAGAGAGTTTAGTGATAGTACATACATTATCTGTGATAACACTTCTCACTTTGAAACTTTGTTTCTCACTTCACAATCAGTTACTAGGATTTCTCAATGTTAGTATCACTTTCTTCGCTTTTGCCTTCACATAACAGTCCCACACTTCTCCCGAACAGAACGCAGCGTCGCTTATGTGCATCCCACCGATCACATTGCATTGGGAAGAACACAAAGAGTTACACGGGAGGTCCATTGTCGGAGACTGGTCCATCATAGTCGTTCATTTTTCCTTCTCTCAATGTAGCCCTCTTCTGGTATCCATTTTTCAAAAATGTCCTTGCAAATTGTTCAGAATAGTTTTATCTGGAAGATATTCCTTCATAGAACGAGCAAAATGTCCGGAGTTTTCAATGGTCAAATCTCATTCCACGTAAATTTTTATCTGAGAACTTTTTGTAGACGTTTCTGGGCTAATTATACCCAAAACGCAGTAGTGACATTGCGATAATGTTAAATGAGAAGGGGTGTTGAACACCTCGCAAATGTATCCCCAACTATCCTACACATTGCTCTCAAAATTGTTTCGCGGGGGTTATTTGTGATGCTGATTTCGATTTTTAAGGTCCTGTCTTCGTATTTTGATCGGGAGAGACGATATATTCAATTTTAGGGGTGGCCCTTTACTTATGAAACGGACAGTACAGTCTACTGTTTGCTTTTTTCTTATTTGTCCTCATGTATTCTTCTTGTCACCTTTCTATCTCATTTTTCTTATCTTTTCCTCATCATAATTGCATTTCAGCGAATCGAATTACAATGCAAGCCTTCAATGAGATTCAGTGTAGCCAAGCGGGGATCTACCGCATGAGTATGGAAGACATGCTCTACAACAAACCGAGGAAAGTGGAGAAGAAGGTGTTCTCGGATGCCGCGCTCATGAGAGCAAAGAAAGTGAGCAAGCTAGTGGAGAAGTTCGAGTCGGGAGTTCTTGACAAGACTCTCGACACACCGGAGAAAAAGGAGAAGGACGAAGTGATTGTGCCGTCGGTTGTCGTCGAGTCGCCACGATCAGTGCTTGCTCGGCGACTTCAAACCGTTGAACTCAGCCCAGTTCTCGGCGAACAGCGTCCACCTGTCCCAAAGCAGAGAACATTCTCATTGAAATCGAGGTATGACGATTTTCCTTCCTTCAATTAACGCAAAAAATAAAAAACTCTAATTTCAGCAGGGAAGCTCGTTCGAAAACGCCAGAGAGCCGGGTTTGCAACGAAAACTTTGTGCCCGAATTGGTGGAAACTCCCATCCTGAGAACTCTCGCAAAACCGTTCTCGGGAAGCAACATCTTTGCATCGGAGCGCATCGCCAGCAGGAACAAGTACTTCGGAAAGAAGACGGATTCGATTGTCACGCCAAGCAGCAGTGCGACCCCGAGTACCGACAACGGCAGCAGGAAGAATTCGCCCGATTACTGCCATGAGTTCACCGGATCCTCCTCGACTTCTTCCAATGAGGAAAAATCGAATCTTCAATATCAGCAAGCACGCGAAGAGATGCACCAGAAACTGAAGGAATGCTCCGAGTGGCAACCAGATAGTGAGTTTTACTAATAACCAGTGCTCGGGCAAAAGACCGGCACAAGCTGTTCAAAAGTGTGTCGAGGCCCGGTCTTTTCCAAACTTTCCCAGGCTTATTTAGTCATTTTCAGCTCTCCGAACAGTTGCAGTGGCTGTGGCTAAGATGAGAAACGATGTTCTCAGCGGAATTCCGCAGAACGAGTACACGACCGTTCTATTGAAGCTCTACCAAACGTGCATCAACTCGAAGAATCTTCACATCGAAACGATCTGCTGCTCGCTCATCTCACTCATGGACAATGTGCGCAAAAAGGAAATGTCGAGTCACGAAAAGTACATCGCCGAGAAGTACTTCAAGCGAAAGACGCGACTGGATCTCTGGGATCGTTGTTGAAGATCCCTAAAAATCAGGCAAGTGAATTTTTTCTCAATTTCATCCATATTGACAACATTGATTTTTATAAGTTTTTTTTTCAATTTTTCTATCCCCTTCAAGTATTGTGATTTTACCACCTCGGTTCAATCTGCCCCGATTCCCCTCACATCAATTACTTTTTCTTGCTTTTCGCTCATGCAATCCGAACTTTCTGCTATCAATCAACATTTTTGTAATAAATATATTCCAATCTTTACTTGTTTTCTGTGAGAATAATTGTTGTAAACCAGTTTTCATACCTTGCTATATACTTGCCTATATCATTTCCTACATTCATTTCAGGTTCTTTCTTCTTACAATGTTCATCGGCAAGGTCCGGCCCACACTTTGACGCGAAAAACATATTATTTGAACTTGCGCGGACGTTGGCTCCAAGTGCGCTCTATTCTCAATATCGACGCTCCGAGACTGCTCTTCGACGGTTGCCTCTCGCGTCTTCTCTCTTCAACTCTCTGTCTTACTTTTCTCCGGTCTCTCTTTCCTATTCTGGCGTTTCGCTCGCCCTCTCAGTGGTCACTGCCCGTCTGTTACTTCACCTTTCCTTCGCTCTTGCTCTTCTTTTCTATCCCTCGCTTCTCCCTTCCTCAACCATCAGTCTTTTTTTTTACAGAAACACCTTCGCCGGCTACATTTTCTTCCAAACCTCAATTCTTCGAAATAATGCTAACGGAACCTCTTTCCAAAGATTGGCAGTGAGTCTATATCAAAAATCGATTCCCACAATGAATATTGAACGGGATGAAAGGTGCCCATGTCATTGCGCTGAAACTACATAGTGCGGGTCGGTGGGACTGAGAAAAGAATAAAAAGCCGTCGAAAGACACTAGGAAAAATTGTCTACTTTCCAAGATTTCATCCAATCGATAAGTGGCCAGCTGAAGAGTTGTGGCTAATATTGTGAATTCAAAGAAAAGTTACATGTTCTTATTCTATTAAAAAAAATGCGCACATTCGTCACTTCATTAGAACATATTTTACAGAGATTACTGCAAGACAGAGCGAGAAGAAAATCAATTCAAATGCATCTACTCGAAGCATTTCCCAAAAACTGACTGCAAATACACTGGCTCGCTCATGAAAGTTATTTGCCACGTGGAGACAGTGCACTTGTAGGCTTACTGAACGAGTGTAGAACAAAAATACTTGTGGTGTTTTTCAGCAATCTATACAGATTTAAGTGCGCTTCTTGCAATGCGATGGCAACGCATAAGTTTCAGCTGCTCGAGCATCAAAAACGTGGACAGTGTCCAACAGTAAAAATAAATAGCAGAAACTTATATGTGTCAAATTGTCTTCAGAACGCAAAGGGCAACGTTGTTATCGAGATCAACCAAACTGCAGAGGAGAACGTCTACAAAATGATCAATATCTGCGTTGCTCCCCTGGAAAGAGGAAGGGTAAGCCACTGCATTTACTGAAGGTTTTGTTGGGTCGGCTTGACATTCCAGTTTCAACCTGATCCGTTGCAAGACGGTCTTGGTTCAGTATTTTGTTGGCTGCGTTTATATTTTTCATCCCAGCATAGGAATGCCCCTTCTCAGGACTGTTAATTAAAAATAAGAAAAATACTGATTGTTTTACTACGTCTTTTTCAGAACGGCGGCTCTTTGGCTTCAACGTCGTCGCGCACGTCCCGAAGAGAACATGAGAGTGAGGGGCAAGAGGACGAGGTGAGCAAAGTTTTAGAGAGATCTCTTATTTTCTTGCTATGCACGTTATCTATTATTTATTATGAATTTAAGTCCGACGAACCAACTACTCCAACGTACCAAGTGAGCAACGTTATTCATTGATTTTCACTCATATCCATTTCAGACGGCGGAAGGTACGGAAAGAGGTAGATTGCTGATAGAAGCGGAAATGAGGGTGAGTAGATAACTTATTCATAGTTATTCAATCATGCCTGGCAACGGGTATTGATACGCAAAGTAGGCCTGATGTATCTTGTAATCATACACACCTGGACATATGTAATTATAAAGCCACTCTACATTTTTGGGCCATGTCGGTATCACTTTTGGTTTCTGGAGAAAAACGCAAAAATAGAGTGGCTTTATAATTATATCCAGGTGTGTGAGAGCATGGTTCCAGTGGGTAAAGGCAAAGAACCTGTAGATCCTAGTGTGCCCCAAATACTAATAAGATGCTCAAAAGCACAACTAACGTTAGGATATAAACTGATTTTGACCCTTTCTAAAACCGTCATCAGAAAACATGGTGCTCTAATGCGGTCATGTGTGCCTTTCGTTTCACGTAATCATATTCAATTTGTCCTCACTTGACGGTTTCAGGATGGCGTCGACGAAGAAGACGAAGGGAATAGCAGCCCACCCTTGCCTCCCCCTAGTGAAACCAGAGTATGGGTTAGTATTTTGTTCGCTGGATTTATATTTTTCATCGCGGAACAAAAATATATTTATGTTTTTCAGATCAACCAGGGATCTCCTACGTACCAGGTAAGCAACTTCATTTATTGCATTTGATGAACAAAATTTCAAAGATAGACAATGAAAATAATATTACCACTTGCGGTTTCAGAAAGAAGACGACAACGAAGATGATCGCAGCCCCTACACTTCTCACACGAGAAGAACCGATGCATGGGTTCGTATTTACATAGTTGGCAGACCTAACTCTTTTCATCGCGGTATACAAATGCCCTTCATAGTTGTCAATTTGTCTGTTTCTTGTAACTAATGTGAGACGGTCCCTGAGAACGAGTCATGTAGACAAATCCTCCGTCTCCATTCTTTGCAGCGAACAGACTCAGGCAAGAAAAACCAATTTGCCGGGGCCGAGAAGTTCAAGTTTTGTTCCAATCCGTTGCAAAAGGGCTAAAAAACATTTTTTGACATTTGTCCACCTTATATTTTTATGTTTTTCAGATCAACCAGGGATCTCCTACGTACCAGGTAAGCAACTTCATTCATTGCATTTGATGAACAAAATTTCAAAGATAGACAATGAAAATAATATTACCACTTGCGGTTTCAGAAAGAAGACGACAACGAAGATGATCGCAGCCCCTACACTTCTCACACGAGAAGAACTGATGCATGGGTTCGTATTTACATAGTTGGCAGACCTAACTCTTTTCATCGCGGTATACAAATGCCCTTCATAGTTGTCAATTTGTCTGTTTCCTGTAACTAATGTGAGACGGTCCCTGAGAACGAGTCATGTAGACAAATCCTCCGTCTCCATTCTTTGCAGCGAACAGGCTCAGGCAAGAAAAACCAGTTTGCCGGAGCAGAGAAGTTCATGTTTTGTCCCAATCCGTTGCAAAAGGGCTAAAAAACATTTTTTGACATTTGTCCACCTTATATTTTTATGTTTTTCAGATCAACCAGGGATCTCCTACGTACCAGGTAAGCAACTACTTTTATTGCATTTGATGAACAAAATTTCAAAGATAGACAATGAAAATAATATGTATTACCTCTTGCGGTTTCAGAAAGAAGACGACAACGAAGATGATCGCAGCCCCTACACTTCTCACACGAGAAGAACCGATGCATGGGTTCGTATTTACATAGTTGGCAGACCTAACTCTTTTCATCGCGGTATACAAATGCCCTTCATAGTTGTCAATTTGTCTGTTTCTTGTAACTAATGTGAGACTGTCCCTGAGAACGAGTCATGTAGACAAATCCTCCGTCTCCATTCTTTGCAGCGAACAGGCTCAGGCAAGAAAAACCAATTTGCCGGGGCAGAGAAGTTCAGGTTTTGTCCCAATCCGTTGCGAAAAAGCTAAAAAATAATTGTTGACAATTGTCCACTTTATATTTTTATGTTTTTCAGATCAACCAGGGATCTCCTACGTACCAGGTAAGCAACTACTTTTATTGCATTTGATGAACAAAATTTCAAAGATAGACAATGAAAATGATATTACCACTTGCGGTTTCAGAAAGAAGACGACGACGAAGATGATCGCAGCCCCTACACTTCTCACACGAGAAGAACCGATGCATGGGTTCGTATTTACATAGTTGGCAGACCTAACTCTTTTCATCGCGGTATACAAATGCCCTTCATAGTTGTCAATTTGTCTGTTTCTTGTAACTAATGTGAGACTGTAACTGAGAACGAGTCATGTAGACAAATCCTCCGTCTCCATTCTTTGCAGCGAACAGGCTCAGGCGAGAAAAACCAGTTTGCCGGAGCAGAGAAGTTCATGTTTTGTCCCAATCCGTTGCAAAAGGGCTAAAAAACATTTTTTGACATTTGTCCACCTTATATTTTTATGTTTTTCAGATCAACCAGGGATCTCCTACGTACCAGGTAACCATTTATTGCATTTGATGAACTTCCCTTTAGTCAGAGAACATGGGAAGAGTTCCTGATTGGACTTTTGACGTTATGGCAGGTTTCATGTCTGTTGTACCGTTGGTAGCGTTGTCTGAAAACATTTCATGGCAGTTTTCGAATCCGTATTGACAAAATTTCAAAGATAGACAGTGAACATGATATTACCACTTGCGGTTTCAGAAAGAAGACGACGACGAAGAGGACACAGAGGATCTCAGCCCACCCTTGTCTCCCGCGAGTGGAACCAGAGTATCGGTTAGTATTTTGTTGGCTGGATTCATATTTTTCATCGTGGTATACAAATGCTCTCCAAAAGAGAAATTTGCCTTTAGTTTGTTCCTTTAAACGAAAACATCGCATTTTTGTTGTGGTGCGCGTCTCCAGTCGGATACCGGAATGCATCAAAACACTCCTATTCGCCTGACTACATCGGCTCAGAATTGTTAATTAGAAATATGAAAACAACTGATTGTTCCAACTGATCTTCTCCAGAACAGCGGCCCTTCTTCGTCCACGTCATCGCGCACGTCCCGAAGAGGACATGAGAGTGCGAGGCAAGAGGGCGAGGTGAGAATTTGGATCAGCAGAGAAATTCCCATTCCTATTCTCATCCTTATCGAATTGTTTGCGATTCCCCAATATTCTTATCTCACTCGTCTTCTTTTTTTCATCGAACACATATCGAACACGTGTTTGTGGGCACAGTTTTCTCTTGTGGGGCTCTCGTTCATCTTTAGTTTCTTTAAAAAATACATATTTTTTACAGAAAAATTGTGGGACAACGGAATGGTCTCGCGAGACAATAATGAACAATTTTTGGAGAGAAGCTCAGTTAGTCGTTTACTTTTATTTTGGAAAAGTTTGATTCATGCAGACATTTTGGCTTTATCTGAATTTACAGGTTCCGAGTGCAGGTTCAGTTTGATTTTTTTCAGAAGAGGCACGTGAATAATCAGGTCTCAAAGAAATATGGAAAAGAAAATGTATAATCCTAATATTTGGGACCTGTTCATTCACAAAACCAATCGATAAATGTGGAACCTGTATGTTGATCTTGAAACCTGGAACTTGTAAATTCAGATAATGTTTTCTAAGCGTTCAAATTTGAAATATTTCAAAAAAATGTTCAAAATGTGTATTCAGGTCCAGTGAGCAACAAGGAAAAACGAAACTCTACAAATGCGTTCTTGAAGTGGACGAGGAGACTGTCTGTGGACAAATTGGAAGCTTCAACTCCATTCACAATCACTTGGCCGCTCACCTGTCAGTTTTACATGCATTTAACCCAATCATCGTCTCCTTGGGCTATTTCAAAACGAATTATTCGAAAAATTGAGACATCCTGCTTTACAAGTTTCATTTCAGCAAATTAGAAAGATTCGAATGTCAAAAGTGCGGCAGACGTGTTCTGGAGAAAATAGACCTGGCTACGCACGCTCCAAAAAATTATGACGCTGCGGATCCGAACGCAAAGAGCGTATGCGATAACGTGAGTCCACCTACATGTGTGTATTGCAAACCTGAAAAAGGAATTACAGAATCCGGATGACATACTGGATTTGGTAATCGAGGCGGAGAAAGAAATAGATTTCTATAAACTAAGGGACTACGTCATTGTTCCTGCGAGCGACGATGAAACTGAGCGAAAGTGTGGAGTGTCAAGTTTGGTTGAAACTGTGAGTATTTGAACATGCGCTGGTTGGTTGTCTCCTTGTTTTTTTTAAGCTTTTTGTTCGTTCTGTAAATGTTTTATATACTAAATTTATTTTTACAGTCAGATGGGAAAATGTGGTCGAGCGAGAAGATAATGGCAAAATATCGGACCAAATTCGAGTAAGTTTTGAAAAAATTGAAAAAAAAACGCTTTTTTCAAATGTTTCGTTCTCTGAAAAATCGTGCATGTTGAGGGAGTTTGATGTATTCGTTTCAGGTCCGATGCGCATGTGAGAAGAGCCGATCACATGCTCTTCACATGTAGTCTTCGAGTCAGAGACGAGCCGCCACCGATAAATTTCCACTCACGTAAGTTCGGCGCAAACCCGTGAACCGTCGGCTGTTTGGATGCGGCGCCGCCTCTGTGCACTTCACAGCTGAAATACTTGTTCATTTTTTGATTCAAAGACTCGAGATTTGTTTTGCAAGCACTGCCTTTGATAAAAACATCCAAATCAAACGTATTCTTCGGGTAGCGTCGCAAAATTTCAGAAGTGGCGCCCCGCCCAAACAGTTCATGGGTTGATGCTGTAAAGAGAGACGTGCTGACGCGAACACGTGTTTAAAAATTGTTGTTCAGGGAACAATTCTTCATTATACACGTACGAATTAGAAAAAAACGAGTTCTGTCGGTATGTCGGAAACCTCAACTCGGTTCACAGACACCTGGCCATGCATCTGTGAGTTTTTCATGATATAGAACCCATTCTTTTTGAGACCATAGTCACATGAAGAGTTGAAAAATGTTCTGGACTCGTATGCTGCTTGATTGCGGTTTTGGTATATGAATTTCAAATAATTGAATATTCATTAATCAACTGAATGTGATAATGGTCGAATTTCAGAAACTTGATACGATACAAGTGTCGAAAGTGTTCTCTGGAAAAAGTTAACTTAGAGGCTCACGTGCCACGTAATACGGAAGACGACGTGTGCGATTGCGTAAGTTCACTTATTTGAAGTGTAAGCTCAATGAGTATGTATTTCCAGCCAGGCGATCCCATTATTCAGACGGAGTTTGACTGGAATAAAGAGCAAGTTTTCCAAAAACTCCGGGATCATGTCATCCTCCCTGCAAGCACCTATGAGAGCGCCTTCACAAAAAAGATATGGCTTTTAGAAGAACAGCATGAAGCCAGGAGATACAGAGAATCGAGCTATAAGACGTTTGTCCCACCTCCGCTGAGCCCAGAAGCGTATTTGAACACAAAAAGGGAACGGAGTCCATCGTACCGGAGGCTGAAGAGGAAAGCAGAACTAGGAGAGTAGGGCACAAAAATCAGAATGACTTAGTATTCACGGTTACTTTCAGTTGGTTGGCAGAACACGGAAATGTTGGCAGCTCAAATCATCCGCCAAAAAGGTAAACAACTTATCATAGAAATCGGACCTGATCAAGTTTTCAATTCAGCTTAAGACAAGATATCCCACAAACTCAACATGTCCACTACTAAGTGTGTGCACAGAACATTCCGATTGATCCGATTTTTTCCATATTATGACCGTTAGTCACCCCCATGATACTGATACTCAAAAAGGATATTAGGTCCGGCTCCGTGGTTCCTATATTCCCAAGAATCCCAAGATTCCCAAGAAGATTAGGGCACGCATATTTGAACACGTTGAAATGAAATACTATCCCCAAAATAATTTAGTTCATGCAATCGACCGTGCTGAATCCAATGAAAAACTTAGTTTCCCTGGAAAATGCGCATTTAACGATTTATGACGACAATAAAAACAATTTTCAGAGCTTCGAAGACGGCAAGAAAGCAATAAACGTTTCTAGCAGTCCGTATACTTTATTCTCACATTTCGATGTCGATCTTTTCCTATTTTGATGCCATCGCCCATTGTCGATCGTTTATTTCTGGACAATATTCTTATTTTTCCGATAACACCTCTTTACACCCCCTCCCCCCTCCCTCACATGTTGCGTTAGCTAATATTCGATCTCCTCTCTTATTAGATTTTTGGTAATTAATCGCAAATTGTGTATTGAACTGCTGGAATGATATCCCCTTCTTTTTTCCCTGTAGAACCTTCTATTGTATCCTCTAAGTCTATCATTACCGTTCTGAACTTAATAATAACTCATTTATTCGCTTCGACCACCAGAAAAATTTACAGAAACTTCTCAAATTTTCTCCGTCTCATTCGTCATAACTTTAAAATTAAGTATTCAGATGCCAAATGCGGAATGCGGAATGCGGAATGAGAAATCATTTGTTATGGGCTCGAAAATCCATTTTGACGCGGCGTCTCGCATTTGTCTCTTTTCAATTAAGATTGCCGTCAACAAATTGGACATTTTGGAGCGAAATTCACAATTCTCTCTCACAAAACTTCCCTCAAAATTGTGCTCCAATATGTAGAACAATTGAAAAGCTCAAGCGAATTTCAGCGACGTCTGAACACAGTAGTATTCCGAGTAAATGACGCTTGCAATACACAAACTAAACTAATCAAAATCTACTAAAAAGGCTATGATCTTTTGAAATAATCACACGCCTTATGGCGAAATTGAATTTAGCGGGAATCATATTTTAAAAAAATCCACTACTTTATCAGAAACTTGCTCGAGTTAATCTCTAATCTTCAAATCTAAATCCACAATACTCAAGAGTGATTTCTGTACAAAAAAGGGAGAAAAAGGAACTGAAAATGTGGTAATCAGAAATTGAAAGCCCAAACAACACCTGTTTGTGTTGTGAGATCATATTGTCAACTCATTACTTCATCCCTCACGTTTCTTGTATTCATTCAGTGGATTCAGATCACAATCTCTGAAGGCTACTGGGAAACTATCAACCGTATAATTAAGAATCCGTGCCGCTTCTGGTGCTATTGTTTATTGGTCAGTTGAACTTGGTCGGCACGTCTGTGACTTCCCGATAAACATCTGCATTTTGTGAAAACCTCGCCCGCTAACTCAATTTTCCGTCTGAACTCCCACCTTTTCCTGTTGCGTGTGGGGCTTATTTAATAATTGGTTTTCAAAAGTCTTAACCGGATTCGATAAGACTACGTACAATTTGCGAGCTGAGCTGAGTATGGCCAGCGACATGTACAGAGACTTTCTTTTGGTTTTTTATCCAATATTCTTCACCTTGACAATATTCGGACAGTCTATTCTGATATACGTGATATTCTGGCACTCACCAAAGCATCTTCAAACACTGAAAAAGGTTTTGGGGAACACGTGTCTCTTCCAAATTGTTTTGGTGGCTGTCTGCTGTTTTTCTCAATTCCGAATGATTTCTACGTCAGTTCCTATTGAGTTAAGGAGTTATGGTCCATGTCGTTATTTGGATGCATGGGTCGGGTACACTTTGTATCAGATGTTACAGGTACCAGTAAATGTGTTTTCCAATCTGTCAATATCATTTCTAGACATCGGGCTTCATGAGCGGAATGTCAATCATCATAACGTTTTATTTGAAGTATGACGCCGTCTTCAGTTTTGACAACTCCAACTTCCGAACTTACTGTGTTGTTCTCCTTTTCCATCTCCCAATTCTTGTTTCAGTGGTAAGCTAGGAAGGAATTCGTATTCAAGTTAAAGTCCATGTTATTCTAGGCAATGGAAGTGACGATGATAATAACACAAAGTCTACCGACAGAAGTCAGACATAATTATATGTTGCTCAATGCAAATGTCGCTGACTCAAATTACGCCGTTATTGGAGAATTGAGTTTGAAAACGATTCCAAGCCTTATTAACTTTTCTCTTATTTCTGGATCTGTTGTTCTCGCACCATTTGTTGGTTTTGTGTTCCGCAAGTGAGTTCAACTGGAAGACAATGTTGATTCACTTTTTTTCAGCAAAATATTATCGCGGATCAACTCTCATCTAGACAAATCGTCACAGGTGAAAAAGAACCAAAGTCGTGTTTTTGTGAAGGTACCGTTTTTCGGTTCACATTTTGGTTCTGATAATACTGGTTTTCATTCCAGGGACTCACAATTCAAGCTATTCTTCCTCTTATTTTCTACGTTCCAGTATTTGGCCTGTACTTTTATTGCATTCTCACACGTAAGAATGATCACAATTTGTACCATGATGATTGGTTTTCGCTTTTTTTCAGATCACGAGATTCTTTTCCAACAGTACTTTATGACAGTAGTACCTGCTCTTCCCGCACTCTTCGATCCACTGCTCACTTTGTATTTTGTGACCCCATACAGAAGACAAGTGAAAATATGGATGCGGCTCGAAAAAACGTCAAAATTGATGCCAGTTATGACATCACAAATCAACTAAAATGTTGGTTTTGTTTTTAGAAGAAAAAAGGTTTTAGACAAGCTTGAGTTAGGACTGGTGTAGACACGCTATAATTATTCGGATTCCTCTTGACAACCCAATCATTTCTTATTCTATGCGGATTTTTTCTGGTTTTTGTGTTATAAACTATGCATTTACGTGTTTTCCCTTTCATTTCAAAATACTTAATTTACTCTGTTCTGTTGCAACATAAATTCCCATGAAGCTCGATTAAACTTTGACTGAATAATGTGTTGCACAACTTTTATATGAGTGGTTTTGAGAGACTATAGCATTTTTAGAAAGCGAAAATCGTTTTTTGAAGTCTTGAGGGGTCTGACAAAAAAGTCCCGAACTCTTTTCTCATGGTGGCTCATATTTGATGATTTCTCTGCCTGCTTGAAGATATACGTAAACTTCAGAGAAGTATTAGAATATATAATTATCATTCGACTCTTGATGGTTTAGTTTTTCAAAGTTTTCTTCACTTTGGGATGTAGTAAGTTCTTTCTGTTTTTACAAGTCAAGTTAGTTTCAGGTTCAAGATGCCTTTCAACGAAGAATATCGCTCTTTCCTCTCAGTTTTCTACCCGCTATTTTTGATTCTATCACTGATAAGTCAGAGTTTCGTGGTTTACATCATCTTCCATCACACTCCAAAAAACTTGCAAACCTTGAAGTTGATCCTATTCAACACATGTTTCTTCCAAGTTTTGCACGTCTCTATTTGTTTTCTGTTGCAATTGAGACAAGTATCGAATTTGGTTCCAATCGAGTTGTGGAGCTACGGACTAGTGCGACATTTCGAAGCATTTATTGGTTATTCTCTCTACCACGTGTTGCAGGTGATATTAGGCACACTTTAAAAAATCGAGGGAGAATAAATGACAGACTGCGACATTTGTGAGCGGAATGTCAGTGGTTATGACTCTCTTCTTGAAGTATGAAGCGGCGAGACTGGTTCGATTGGAGAGAAGGAAAAAGATTACAATTATATCGGCGTTGCTTTTTCCTTTGATGTTATCAATGGTTAGTCGTTAAAGATCCCCAATAACTCGCCTCGAAATTAAATGTGGTGTTGAATCCTGAATTCAGAGCATGGAAGTGATTCTCATCTTCACAACCGCTATTCCACCGGAAATCCGTGCTCACTACCAAATAATCAATCAAAACGTGGAAGATCATTCTGTCATTGGTGTACTCAACCTGAAAACTCTAGCAAGTCAAGTGAATGTCGTCGTCATGTCGTCATCAGTCGTTTTTTTCCCAATTGTAGGGCTCACTTCTCGTAGGCACGTTATTTTTGAGGAAAACCGTATCGAAAGTACATTAGTGTTACAGAAAAATACTTCAACATATTAATAACTCGGCCGATAAGTTTTCACCGGCTAAAAATGCACAGAACAAGATTTTTTTGAAGGTAAGCGCTGTCCGAAGAAAAATTCCTTTATCTTAATGTTTGATTTTAGGGTTTGACTCTACAAACGTTTCTCCCTCTGTTCTTTTATGTACCGATATCATCGGCCTATTTCTACTGTATCGCAACACGTAAGTGGCAGTTTTAAAAATGGAAAACCTCAAATATCACAATGTTTTTCAGAGACGGAGAGCCTCTTCCAGCAGTATTTTATGTTTCTGATTCCTGCATTTCCGGCCTTCTTTGATCCTTATATCACGTTATACTTTGTGACTCCTTACAGAAATCAACTGAAGACTTGGTTCAAAAAACGTAAGGGATCCAAGCCATTAACAGTCGTCAGTTCACAAATTAACAATTTATTTTGAATCGAATAGTTCCAATCCCTAGTTTTTTCTTGGATTTGACCTGTTTGTCTAAATGTAAGTCATAAATCTTCGTTATTTTTGTACTGATGTTATGTTTGTATGTTAGTATTGACGATGAAAAAGATACACACAGACAGACTTCGGTATGGAATGTCAGAGGAAAAAGACGACGCGGAGCCAGAAGTTGTAAAGGTTTGCTGGAATTGGTAGCCAAATTGATTGTTTAATTTCTCGCGAGCTTCCTCTCTATCAGAAGCTACACAAATACATATGTACAAGCAAATAAAAGTGAATGTTCAAGAGAGCAAAAGAATTCTCCCCGGCCGGGAATTGAACCCGGGTCTCGCATGTGACAGACGCGGATACTCACCACTATACTACCGAGGACACGAAAGAGAGGCGGGCGGCGGGGAGAGATAAGAGCGCGGTCGGAGAACGAAACGGCCGCGCTGTGGGCATGAAAAGAAGCGAGAAATGTGTAAGCACTATTAGAAAATTTAAAGAGAAAACTGGAGTTAGAAAAGAGGTGAACTAATTTTTTTCAGGGTAAAATCAACGACACTTTTCAACTACAAAATGTTGATTTCTAATCAGGGTTTCTCAAAATTTTACTGGAAAATGAATTTGTTTCCCCAGTTCTACGTAAGTTCGCTGTCAAATAACGTGCAGCGACTAATTACGGGTTTCCTCTGAGAGTTCGCGTCAATACCCAGACCGACGTAAGCACTGAATATTGAAACGGAAGGGTGTAATTAGCACATAAACTTTGGTCTGGAATTTACCAGGCTGTACTTCAAATCGGAGACATTCAACTTCTGATTCATAAAGCATTTAGCTCTCACCTTTTCATCGTCTAGCTCCAATTCATAACATTCTTTGTTCATTTGACTAGCTGAACTTGAGAGCCAGTTCCAAAAACAATGTATCGTGTGATACTGTTCTACTTTTACCCAATATTTTTTGTATTGGTGATCTTCAGCCAATTGTTACTGGTTTATACTATTCTACGATATTCTCCCAAGAACTTGCAAACGATGAAGTTGGTCTTTCTGAATACGAGTTTATTTCAAGTTGTTCACGTCACCACAGGTTTTATGTGTCAAATGAGGCAAGTTTCAAGCTTGACTCCTATTGAAGTTTGGAGTTATGGACCATTTCGACATATGGAGACTTATATTCAGTACTCTGTTTATCACCTTCTTCAGGTAAGGGTTGTTGTGGCGTTTTGTTTGTTTGGAGGAAGAGTGCACCCCAGACTGCACTTTTGACCTACCTGAAAATAAAAAAACTGTCTAATTTCGGACAATTATAGACCTATTTTGAATGATTGTTTTACACCTATTGTATTCTCTTTTTTTTTGAGATATGCCACATAGAGAATATTTTATGCTAAGCCTAGTTGGGCCTGATTGAATGAATGCAAGTTCATAGGCATCTTGTTAACTCCAGAAAGTTCCATAGTGCTACTAGAACGTTCCTGAAGATTATATTCCAGAGTTCAGCATTCATAGGTAGTGCTTCAGTATTCTTCACTATCGTTTTAAAGTATGAAGCTGCAAGAAGTTTGAATCCACAGAAAAGCAGAATGATCAGACTGGTCTTTCTGATTTGCACTCCCATTATCATATCCCTGGTGAGTAATTTATGTACCTTACAATTAGACAATGGATAGCAGACTTTCTGTCTTTCCAGTTCACTCGGTTCAGTTCACAAGTGATCATTGGGTTATTCATTGCAGAGCATGGAACTGACCTTGATTATAACTCAAGCACTGCCATCTGAAATGCGCGAACACTACAAAATGCTTAACGTGAACACCTCGGATCACGCAGTTATTGGTCTTGTGGACTTAGCCAACATACCAAGTAAAATAAACTTCTTCGTCTTATCAGCTTCTGCATTTGCTTTACCGGTATTTGGCATTTACCTCAGAAGGTCAGTGGAAACAGTATACGCAATAATTCCTCAGTATATTTCAGGAAAATCCTTTTGCTTGTTGCTTCCAGCATAGATAGGTCTTCTCAGCTCAAAAAATCTCAGAACAGAAACTTTATCAATGTAAGTTGACGCTATTTGTTTTCTGAAAATGAAAAGTTTCGTTCAGGGTCTCACACTTCAAATAATTCTTCCGTTTCTCTTCAATGTGCCAATTTTTATTTGCATGTTTTACGTTATACTCACGAGTCAGTCCACTTTTTTCCGCTGTAGAAGTCGTTGAATGATTACACTTACAGAAGCGGAACTATTGTTTCAACAGTACATGATGTTTGTGCTACCTTGTTTGCCAACCTTGTGCGATCCATTCATCACATTGCATTTCGTAACACCTTATCGTAAACAGATCAAGATATGGTTGAGAATAGAGCAAAAACCTATGACAGTAGTTGTTTCACAGGTGTTTTGAGTTTCACTTTGTGTTTATTTCTTCCTAAACGAAGAAAGTTGAAGACAAATAAAGTTATTTTAATTCAAACGTCTGAATAGCCCATAATGTTAATTTTTGAGTTGAATACAATACATAGAAGAATTTTAAGACCCGCATTTTCCATACAATTCTAGTTGTAACACAGAATCCTGCGGATATATCCTTCTGCGACAAAGCATTCACTCGTCTCGTAGCTGAATTGATTAAAAACCTCACGTGGGACCATCTGCATATTTTTGGCGATTTTTAACTGCTTGACAAACATGTACTGAAAAATCGAAAATCTTTAAAGATATCAGTTTTTGTAAAGTCTATTTACCACTACATAGTTTCATCAATTTTTCTTTGTCGGCCAATAAAACGATAATACAGACAATATTTTTGAAGTATGTAGACGTCTTAGCGAGTTGCTGGAAACAATTTACTTATTTTGAAGAGTTTGCGTATCTCACTTACTAGTTTGCCTGTGTAGTACTTCTGACCATACAGATTGATGATCACATCATTCAAACTTGGTCTTGAATAATTATAGCGATGGGGTCAGTCTCACCTGTCTTTAGTTCTCATATACACATAGAATTCGATGTAGACTCCGCTATCCTCACGCTGTCTCGAAACAATTTTGTTCCAAAGAGACCGAGACGCGAAAGTGAGGTCACGTAGAATGACAACGGCTGTGCGCTTACACACTGCATCTCTTTTGCCATCGATCTTTCTCACTTGATTCTTCTCCCTGTTTCTTTACAAAAAAACACTCATTGAAACTTTTCCGTAGTTGATGACGTGAACTTGACATCATGTTTTGCTAGGTTTTGTAATATAAATTTTCCTTGGTCCCATCCGTTTCTCCTGGTTAATGTCTAATCTATATCTTATAATCGCCCAGTGTACAAGGTATTTGCCAGTCGAGATCCAGGATTAAGGACTAATTAGAAGAGAATGGACCGAAAGAAGGTCACCTGCTGTCAGATGAGAGGTTGCGTTACCAACCTTTTCTCTTCCGCCTTGTGCCTAATTGTTTCTGGCTAATTAAACAGTGTTCTAAAGATTTGCGGGTTCTTTCTTCTACTAATGGACCCAACACACGGCTAAATTACGCTCTCGTCAAAATACCCGTCTGAATCGGGTAATTCAGTTTGTGATCAAGAAGTGTCATCTTTATGGACCACAAGATAGTATAGGGAAATTCCGGTATTTGATTACAATCAATAACCAATAACACGACTCACAAAAAACCAAAATTGTTGGAACAATCCAAATATTCAATATGATTTCCCGTACGTTTCGAAAAACAAATCTTCAGCTTATTCTTTTGAACCCACTCGCATTTCCTTCTCTCCTCATTAGTCTCATTAGTCTCGGAGAGTCCCGCACCGGCCGGCCAAGAATGCGTCCCTTGTTGTCAACGAGAGCAGGAGCTGTGAAGGGAAACGGGACCGTAGTGCACAACGATTGCCAAATCTCGACCCGGCTAACGCTTCGGCCGGCCGTCCCGTCTCGCCGCGAATCCACTCACACACACTCGTTGTCTGTAGTATCTCCGTTCCTAGTGTTTTATCTCTCTCTCTCTCTGACTAAACGTTTTCTTCATTGACCGGAGTTCTGCTCGCTTGTACCGTCCTTGCCGAATACCTCTCTCACTCTCACTCTCCTTTCTCTGAACAGCGTCCCGTTTGGTCAGCCAATCGGGCAGCCCACCGGACAGACGTTCGTCCTTTGTCCTATGGTCGTTCTATATTGACTTTGATGGTTCTTCTATATTGACTTTGATGTTGTATATACCAAAAAAGTGATTTTTTCAGATTTCAATAAATTCTACATAGCCACCTCACAATCATGAGTGATATTGAACCTCTCACCGACGAGAAAAAGGAAAAGGTGGAGCAATACATGGTAATTAACACATTTTAAACTAATATTTGAGATCTCTTGTTTGCAGGGTATGGCTGCCATTACCGACCAGGAAACAGCCGTTTCCATTCTCCAATCCGTCGATTGGAATCTTCAGAGAGCCGTATCGACTCTTTTCGACGGAGACGAGCAGATTGTGGAAGACTATCCGGGATACGCATCGAGTAATGCTCACGACGAGCTCGAAACGAATTTCGAGAGATGCTGGACGTCGATGATGGAACGGACGAGGCCAAACGCACCTGACGTCTCAAACTTGGTCAGTTTTACGTTTTGGGCCGGGTGGCAAAGTAATTGCGCGCTCAGATTGCGAAACTGTAGAACTGTTACATAACTATCGCGCCTTGCCTTAACGCCCAGCAAGAACGAGAATAAATAGACATAAGTGTTATTTTTCAGGTTCCGCTCATTCCTAAGGGGTTTGACTCCGTCCCGGAAGCCTTGGAAAAGTTTGGCCAGGTCTTCTCTGCGAGATACGGAGACGATCAGGGAAACGTGCCGACATTTTCCACGGTGGCTCTTCCGGTTGCGATCCGCACGGCGTTCGAGGAGGAGACGACAAAACCGTTGTTCTTCTACGTGCACAATGACCGAAGCAACAAAGCAGACGAGTTTGCGTCGGAAATCCTGTGCCATAAGGACGTGATCACCGTTCTTAATGAGAAGTTCATTGTCTTCCCTTGGGATGCCACGGACAAGGAGAACTTCAAGCACTTAATGCAGTCCTTGTACGAATATGACATCAAAGTATTTGCGGATGTTGTCATGAAAGCAGCAAGAACGAGCCCGAACAACTTTCCAGTGTTCGGAGCAATCACGAAGTACAAAAAGAAGTCGAACTTGTTGGGAGTCTTTCAAAGCGGTATCAACTTGGAGCGCACTATGGAGAAACTAAACGCTCTTGTCGAACAATTCAACAGATTGAAATGCATGGACACAATTGAGAAGCAGGAGTCGGTTCAGAGGCAGAACCTGCGTGCAGAGCAGGAAGCCGAATATCAAGCTTCCTTGGCTGCTGACATGGCCAAGATTGAGAAGAAGAAGCAAGAGGAGGAAACGGAAAGGTTGAAGAAACTGGCGGAAGAAGAAGAAGCAGAAAAGCAGAGAATAGCTGAGGAAAAAGAAATGATGAGAAGAGAGAAGGTGTTGGAAAACCTTCCGGACGAGCCGTCAGCCAGTGAAACCGGCATCATCCTTATCAAATTCAGACTTCCAAAAGGAAAACAAGTAAGTAACCGATACTGAGTAGATTTAAATGTTTCTTAGCTATATCTACAATCATTTTTGTTTCAGGAAATAAGACGCTTTCGCCAGTCCGAGACGCTCGAAACGATGTTCGATTTTCTGTCCGGAAAAGGATTTCCGCTGTCCGAGTACAAGGTGCTCAATTCGGATTTTCCGAGAAAGAACATCAGCGACGTGTTAGATGCCAGAAATACGTTTGCCGAGCTGAATTGGCACTCTCGTGAACAAGTCTTTGTTGAAGAACTCTAAATCACATTTTTGTCTGTCTCTCTGAATCTGGGTTCGCTATCAGGTGTTCATTTTCCTGCGTTTTGTCATTCTCTTCGTTTTGTTTCCATTTGCTTCGATTTTTCACTTTCGTTTAGTCGCAACTTCTAGAGACGTCAATACTCCGTTTTAGGTCGACGGAGGACCATTAGAAGAAAAGTTTCACCAAAATCTTGTGTACATGTGTATTAAAATTATCAATCCAAATTTAATTCCAAACTTGTCTTTCTTCTTTCTGTCAAAGGTAACTTTGAGAAAGTATTGATTTTTTGTTTTCCCATTTGATAAAAATCTGCTTTTTGTGATTCGAGAATACATATAGTCTATTACTGGTAAAAGTTTATCGTTGGTCCCTTCTGAATCAAGCCAAGCAGAAGACCTTTCCCTTTTCTTCAAAGATAGATGGACAGAGGGGCAAAGAATAGAGTTTGTAAACAAACAAAACCGAATCAACATGAAAAAGAGATTAGCAGGATGCACAACCAATTTTGATTTTGTAAAGCAATTTAAAAATACATCAGAGCAAATTGGAAACACATCCTAATCTAATTTCCCGAATTTTACACTGATTCATGTTTGCGAAAAAGTGTAGTTTGTTTGATCCCATGTGGACACATATTGTAGCAGTTACTACAAATGTATATTATTGAAAAAGATTAGACGTTTCCAAACTATGAATATCTGCATTCCATTCCCATTCCGACTTTACCAGTTGACCGAAAGTACCAAGAGAAGTCCATTCGTCGCTTTGTTGCCCTGAACTCTTCGAAACAGCTACCGTAATCCCGAGGAGGCGGAGTCGAGGTCGAGATTTGCCAGATGGGCCCAGTTTCTGTGTTCTGAGGGAAGAGTCTTCTAGAGAATCATGGGCGGAGTTTAGCAAACGATAAACACAACTAGCTTCGTCCAGACCTCGGTGAAATCTTTTACTTTCCTTATTCAAACCAAACCATGAATTCTCGTGGCCAAGCTCTATTTCTCACTCTCATCTTTATCGTGGGATCGGAGGCTATCCGATGCTACATCGGAAATGACGTGGCAAACGAACTATACGCTGGATACACTTACTGTGTATCGGAGTACAATAAACGCGGATTTCAAGCGAATGTTTTCGGGAAAATCGACGAGACGGTCGATACACTAAAAATGGTTAAGGAGCCAGACTGCGAGACAACTGTAAGATATCTATTTGCGATTTGCCCGATGCGTTAACAGCATATTTTCAGATCAACGGAGGTTTCGAGAAAACGCGTTGCAACTGCTACAAGGATTCGTGCAACACGCCACAGTCTTACAAGGACTTCATGAAATCGCGCTCTGAGAAGAAGGAAGGCACTTTCTAACGGCGTCGTGTCAGTTGATGCCGTGTTCATCCCGAACTGTTAAGTAATTATGATAAATGTTGCTTTTTCCCATTTTGTGCTTTTTGAACCAATAAATGTTGATGTCTGAAGCAGCGCCTTTTATCGAATAACACCAGAACTTAAGAGTTGGGAAATGATTCATTTCGTGATATCACATCAAAGGTACAGGATAACTGTGTGCTTTTCACAAAAATCGGCTCGACATCGATGGAGTACTCCTTTCTTACTCTGCTTTCTGTTTACTCTACCAACACGTAATCCCGTCTTACCCCGTCTATTTTCTGACTAATTTCATCATGCCTCCCCATTCAGCCTCTCACCGCTCTGGTCAAAACATATACATATACCCTCCAATCCTCGTTATTGTTGTTGTGCAACGATGTCCGAGTGGTTAAGGAGATGGACTTGAAATCCATTGGGCTTTGCCCGCGTAGGTTCGATTCCTGCTCGTTGCGTTACCCTTTTTGCTTTTCTAGATTTCATTATTCAAGTTTTGAAGTCAAGAGCAGCATTCTCGAATAGTCTGAAAAAGATGTTTGAAACATCAACTCAAAAAGTCTTGTTCTCTAATGCTTCGATAACCTTCATAACCGTTACATTACTTTTTTAATAACTCATTTATTCGATTCGACCACTTGATTGAAATCGAAATCATGCAAGCTCTTGATGATCATGTCTAGATACGGATAATCAATTTCGGGAATGATCGGGTTTTGATAAACACTCGAAATTGATAAACGGAAATCACGTTCTACACAATGCAGCCTCGATTCTTCCTTTTTTTCGTTGTCTTCCCTCCGATCGCCTGCCAGCTCGCCTGTCTCATTGTCTGCGACTAAGTCTCAACAATCTCTCGTCGCTTGCGCGTACCTCGTTTTTGTCGGGACATGGGAAAGGGTAAGAGCCGAGGCTGCGCTGTCATCGTCGGTTTAAACCCAGATACTCAAGGTACGCTGGAGTTCCGACCTTTCGAAAGAGAGTGTCGAACAACTTTAACTTTTGGAAAGCCTTCCCGGGGACATCCGGTTAGGCAAAAGAATTGGAAAGAATGGGCTCTAATAAATAAAAAGTGATGAAATATAACCTGTAGGAGATATTAGCATCAATCCGAGGCCTTCGGAGCTCCTGCAGTCCTCAGAAATCAAGTTTACCTGACAGAAGGCCACTCTTCTGTGCTTTTTGTCAGGTCTCTTGATATGGCGGTCGACGTAGGTATTCCGACAAGCTCAAATAGATGAAAAGTAAGGAGATACAGTGCGTTGCAAGTTTGAAAGGGCACCCCCGTTAGGCACGATAGAAATATACCGGGCCAACGTGGAACTGCTTTTGTGGCAGGGAAGTTGAACTTTTTGTCGCAAATATTCAGTTTACAAGTCGATCAGGTTTTTCTAAAAAGCTCATTTGGGTTGGGACTAGTTTTAGCTGTCATAATGCGGAAATAGTAATTTACTAACTATTCATACACACAACAAATAAAGCACTTTTCAATGTCTTTATTATACTGAATTCTCTCTTTCGCCTAACCGGATGACCCCGGGAAGGCTTTCCAAAAGTTATAGTTGTTCGACACTCTCTTTCGAAAGGTCGGAACTCCAGCGTACCTTGAGTATCTGGGTTATAACCGAAGAGAACGGCGCGGCCTCCGCTTTTACCCTTTCCCATGTCCCGACAAAAACGAGGCACGCGCAAACGACGAGAGATTCACGCAGACGATGAGACATGCGCTGTCGAATGGAGTACCGTGCTGGCGGGTGGAAAGGAGGAGAGGCGAGAGAAGAGCGGCATGTTCGAGGCCGCCGCAGTGGAAAATTTTGGCTTGCAAGGGAGATTTGACTACATATTCTGATAGATCTCATCGAGCTGAGTTCGATTTCGGGAGCAGCGCCACGTAATACCGAAAAACTCAATTTTTGGCCATTTTTACGACTGCCAGTGGAGTGGTCGTCTCATCGACCTCATCGACGAGCACTCTGGCTCCTTGCCAAAAAAGTTAAGCTGTCGCTAACGAAAGTTACATGGTTGGATAGAGCTCGGCGAGCAGAGAAAATGTCATTTTCGAAAGTTTTCTTGATGATATGAGATATGGGCGTCGAAAGTTGAATGGCCCAATCTTCCCAGAATCGCTGTCAAGAAAGAAGTGAATCCTACATATTCTGATAGATCTCTCCGAGAGATGGTTAAGAGTTCGACTTCTTGCATAGCAATAATGCCAGAGAGAGAAAGAGAGAGAGAGTGTGTGACTTCTTGCATAGCAATAATGTCGGAGAGAGGAAGAGAGAGGCACTCAAGCGAAAAAAAGTTACGAGATAGACATAATTAACGTTGTACTTGGTTTATATAGTTACAGTTAAATCCCGCCCACTCGGCCACTCCTCAACCGTGCTTCACCGCCACCACGCCCCTTTAAATGACGATCACAAAGGTGGTGGAGGCGGGACCGCAAAAATTTCAAGTAGGGCAGATGTACTATGGTACTACCGGAATTAAATTTGTAACATTAATGAAGACTTTATCGTATTTTGTTGTTCTCATTTGGTCCACATATTTCGGATTTGCACTGAAATCGAAAACAATTGATAAAAATCTTGTCGGGAAGTTAATTTTCGAGTTTGATAATGATAGGATCGATTCAGATGTAACTAATTTACAGCATTTTCGTATTGCAATGCGTCGTTTCCACTGTACCGGCCTCAAGCCCTCTTCTCCTTGCCTCGTCTTCCCTCCGCTTGCCGGCCAGCCCGCTAGCGTCTCATTGTCTGTGTCTACGTCTCAACAATCTCTCGTGGTTTGCGCGTGCCTCGTTTTTGTCGGGACATGGGAAAGGGTAAGAGCGGAGGCCGCGCCGTCCTCGTCGGTTTTAACCCAGATACTCAAGGTACGCTGGAGTTCCGACCTTTCGAAAGAAAGTGTCGAACAACTATAACTTTTGGAAAGCCTTCCCGGGGTCATCCGGTTAGGCGAAAGAATGGGCTCAAATGAATAAAAAATGTTCAAATACAACCTGTAGGGAGATATTAGCATCAATCCGAGGAGTTGGGAACTCCTGCAGTCCTCAAAAATCAAGTTTACCTGACAGAAGGCCGGGCTCCTCTGTGCTTTTTGTAAATTTGTAACGTAACTAATTTACATCATTTTCGTGTTGCAATGCGTCGTTTCCACTGAGCCGGTCTCAAACTCCGAGTGACCCACGCTTCATTGAAAAGGAGTCTCGCCGGAATGTCGTTCTCCCAGAAAACATAGAGAAATCTTCGTCGAGAAGACAGCCGACGCCTAACCAAAGTCCGCCATCCCCTACTCCACATCAAGAAGAGACAGTTAGCATGGGCTGAACACATGCGCAGAACGGAAAAACAAAACTGTTCACTGCTATGTGTAAAACTTACTTCCAAAGTTGAGAGTAGAATTGAAGAAGACATCATGCGAAGACGCTAAAATAAACTGAATAAAGTTGACTGACAAGAACAATAAAAACCTAAAAAAGGTAACGCAACGAGCAGGAATCGAACCTACGCGGGCAAAGCCCAATGGATTTCAAGTCCATCTCCTTAACCACTCGGACATCGTTGCACAACAACAACGAGTATTGGATAGGGTATATGTGTTCGGAACAGACGGACAGAGACCGAAAAGGGGGCGCAGCTGGTTGCAGAGAAGGCGAGAGAGAGAGCGAAAGACAGAGAAGAAGGAAGGCCTGCTTCTCACTTGAGTGAGAACGGAAAAGAAACTATGAAAATTGAAAAAGAAAAAGATTTTGTGATTCACATTTTGCCAGAATCTGGCACAATAGTTAGTTAGAAAACTAAAACGCGACCCGGCCCACGCTAAGGGTGATTTCAAATGGCTTCCAATTGAAAAAATTGAATCATAATCAATACGTTTCTTGCTGCAAAAGTAGAAAAATGTAAAATGCCAAGTTCTTTTTGAAATAGATGAATGCAAATGATATCAATTTATATTCTGATACACAAATGATATCATACCACTCTTCTATTTACACTTTGAAACAGAAATACTGCTCCAACCAGTTATTAGCACCAAAACTCAAAAAAAATTCGTCATGTCTCACATCATTTGTTTCGTCAACAATAAGGTAATGCGTAGGGAATCAGAAATGATGGTCAGGTCGCTGAGAAGTATATAAACTCGACCAGCCGCTTTTTTTCATCTAAGAATTTCTGATCTTCACAATGAATTGCTCATTCATTGCCTTCATTGCCGTCTTTCTGTTATCCGGCACTGCTTCTCTTTCCTGCTATACTGGAGATGAAAACGGAACGAACATTCGAAGGGGATACGGGTATTGCATGTCTTCATTCTACATCAACGAGAAGTCGGCGGCCTTTTCTGGAAGACATGGTCATCAGAAGAAAGCTGGAAAGCATGAGGATAAATTGGAGTGCACTATCGAGGTACGATAAAAAAGATGGCGATGAAACACAGTCGAATGAGCTAGAACTTGACAATTGTAGTTAATAATGTGACTCAAAGTTAGTATCGATATCCATATTCACGAGTGATTGAGAACAAACTGTACAAATCGTTGGAGAAAACTTTGAAAACGTGACTTGTTTCCAGGTGGACTCGGACTCAAACTACACTTTCAATTGCCCGTGCTTTCATCACAAATGCAACAAGCCAATGTCATACGAGGAGTTTGGTCAGTCCGAATTCGAAGTGATTTCCGGCCCCGCTCCCTCCCCATGACCCATTTCTTCACATTGAACCGTCTTACCCCAGACCGTCAATTCTCAACCCTTCACCAATCTCAACAATAAATTCTCTTTATTCATACATTTGAAACAAGTTTATTTTTGGGATTATTTGACAAAAACTTAATAACAAGGCCAAAATAAAGGGGGATGTATGTAGAAGTTGTTGTTCTTATGAGAGTGAAATAAGAAAAAGAAAACAAGTATTACTGAGGCGACTGTTGTTTGAATTTATGGAGCAATCTCTGTACAATCTCCAAAGTATTTTGCGGTTTTCTGGCATCGAAAAACGGGCTAGTCATGTTGAGAAGAAGATCTCGAACCAATTGAATTTGATCTGGCGCTAGTTCATTGATTCTTCTGATTTGCATCTCTAAGAAGAAGAGCTCTCCTGCCAAAGGGAATTCCTTGTTCTCAACAGCCTGAAATTTCAATTGTTTGATTTGATTTCAAATTTTTTCACTCACCAATTTATTTGTCAAATCTGAATTTCTCACTGACAAAGTGTTAGGAGACGAGTCGACAGAGTGGCATTCACTGTTTGCCAGCGGACTTTGGATGCTAATAAGGTCCATGTTACTTTTTTCATCGTTTTGTACCGCAACGTTTCGCTTCTCGTTAGTTGTATTCGGGGATTTGATGCGTGGCGGTGAAGAGCCGGCAATCGAGTCATCCAATTTTTTGTGCGTGCTGAAAAATACAAAAGATTGCTACATATTTTTCCTATATTATCTAACAACTTACAAAAGTGGTTTGCTAAACTCAACCTGCTCAGGCGTCTCACGCTTAACGTTAGATATCACACGTAGATCACTTTGAACAATCAATTCATCCAGATGACTTTGTATATCCTGTGGTATCTCGTCCGGTTCATCTTTAAAAATTTGTTGATAATCCGAATTTTCGCTCGATTCGGATCTGCTCTCATCATCGCTGTTCTCATCGCTGGACAGTTGGATTCCCGCCGCCTGACGCCTCCACTTGGCCTCCGAATCGGCCATTTTTATACGGTACTGTCTGTAGTAACCGTACCGATTCCAAGTCCACAATTCTTCTTCGGTGTCCATTTCGTCGAGCTGAAAGTTGAACTTGTTTGTTGTGCCCAATCTAGTTGCTCGTAATATCGCAGACACATAAACAGTAATTCGAATTATGTTTTCATGGATGCCCAAGAGTTAAAAGTCCTCTACAAACACTAATGAATCTAGCTAATCGATTCCTAAAAGCATGATGGACACTCTTGATCAGTTTGAAAAAAAAATCATTCCCCAAACTCACTTTTTTATCCAGAATCGCAGCCTTCAATTTTCGTCGCAAATCATCTCGATAGGATCTCAGTGTCTGTTTTATATCTTCCTCTGTAAATGTTTCAAATAACAACACAAGTTTATATGATTTGAAAAACTAACCATGAAATCTGAGGCTGGTTCGAAGGTAAACTTGATGAGAAACCATTTGATGATACGCTGTCTGCGACAATTTAACCTTTTCTTTGGTCTTGAAAAGTTTGTCCGCCTCCTCGAGAATGAATTTTCGTGCCTGATGTCCTTTTGGCTTATCCCAAACACAGCCCATCAGCTGATAACTAGTTTGGTCTATTTTTTCTGGCCGATTCTCGTTGAGTGGTTTCCATTCAATGTAGCGCGGAAGTTCGTAAAGTGGCATTTCGTTCCCTCGGTCTCTGTGCATAGCCACAAACTCTCGAAAGCTCATACCAGGTTCATTTTTCTTGGAATCTGGTGAATTGGACCGAGATGATTCCCTCGAAGTGAATGCGTATTCAGTGGATTGCTTTCTCGATTTTAATGACAGTCGAGAACGATCACGTTCCGTACCGATATTCAGTACTGGCGCCATATTTGTGAGCTGTAAAGCAGTGAAATAAAATTGAAAATGAAGAAATAGCAATTGGAATGCGATTAACGGAAAATGAACAATTATAAGAATAATGTTTGATAAGAAAGAGCGAAAGTTCAGATTACATGATGACAATGAAAGGGGAAAAACATGCATGAACTAGACATGAAAAAAGACAAACAGCTGGAAGAGAACACCCTCAAAAGGTACTGCTCTGGGAGTACGCACGCCTACGCACTGCGACTTATCGATTCTCGCCGTGCGCACAGAACTGGCAGTCCTTCGTTTGAGTGTACAGTAAGAGGTGTCCCCTTATGAGATAGAATGGGGAGAAGAGATGAATGACGAAGGCGGCAGGCAAAGATAGTTTTCTCTACAAACAAGATGCACATTTACGTCATTTTTAGGGTGACACTATTTGAGATGAGGGGGACATGTCACTTTGAGTTTTTGATTTGCTTGGGATACAAAATACAAGAACCCGTATATTTTGGGGGCAAGTTTATGGAAGCAATAACTAGAAAATGTACAAGAAGAAGAAGAACGAGACCTTTTTTGTAGAGCAGGAAATTATGTAAGTCAACAATTCAAAGTTAGCTGCTTTTTGAAACTGTCAAACTGAATTTCCAGAAGTTATCATTAATTTCAGGGTTTTTGAACAAAATATATTGCCCTCTCAAACTAGATACATTCCGCATCACAATTGACCACGTCTGTAAGTCACCGATGACTGCAACTTGACGAAAATCGCCATAGGTTTGTTCTGAAACTCGTTATTTTTCCAGAAAGTCTAAATTTTTTGCAGGCCAGCGAGCGGACCGCGTGCCAAAGAACAACCGCAAGGCACGGACTATCGATTTAGAGTCGACACCCTTTGTCTCTAAATCGTTTGCTTTGGTTGGTTTTGCTTTTTCAAATATGAAACGCTTCCTCAACCGAGATTCTTGCCCGTTTCTATTGTGGTTTTTCTCTTTCCGTTCTAAAATCGTGCGCAAACCAAAAAAAACTTCACAGAACTGTAGTCAAGCACACGCGAGCAACCTGCCCAGATAAAAGTCCCTCAGCACATCATTCAATATGCAAATCTGTTGGATCTTCATCCGATGATTGACACAATTGGAGTTTTTGTCGAATGTGTTCCTCTGATGGCTTCTCACTCTGGACTTCGAAGTGTGTGTGTTTCCTTTTTCAAAAAAGAGCGATTTGCCGGAGAAATTGTGTTGAATGCAAAGTACCCTTTTCTTGTTCTCATACCCGTAATCTTTCCCCCGGGCAACGCTACCTGCTCATTTGGAAACGGAAATAAGAGAAAAGTGAAATGCGAACCCAGAACCGCTGATTAGTCTTCTTACCACTTCATTAGCACTCTGTCCATTCTCCTAGAACCAAAAGGCTCAACAATTTTGTTTATGCTTTACCAACTCGAGAGTCTGAATCATGTGACTATGCTCCACTGACACATTTATTTGTTTAAACCAATGTGAGACTCATTTCCACTCGCATATAGGTGCAAATGGTTTCTAAAAGTCATTCTAGTGTGAATTATGATGGCGGTTTGATTTCGGACCCTGGCTTGTCTTCAATTGAATCACATGAAACTACAATTTGATTTTCGAATATTTAGTTTATTATCGCAACTTGTTCTAAATATAAAAACGTGCAATGCATAATTTTAATGAAGGGAATGACTGAATCCTGATGGAGAATTGAAAGAGGGTCTCTTAAAACTGGAAATCTGACGCCTTATAGGATGTTTCGGGTCGGAAGCTCAGATTTTCAAAAATCGGATGATCGCAGTTTAGTTTGGACTCTAAAGATGGAACTGCCAGAATAAGGAGACCTGGGAATGAGTGAATCCAATTGAGTAAGATAACGTGGGAATGACAAAATAACGTGAGGTAAAAATAATGGTAATTGGTCGGTGTTGGGGGTACTAGTATCAGAATAATGATTCACCAAGGGCAGGGCTATGCGACAGCCGATATTAGCAACATAACTATCATCAGCATTTTGCTAATGAGTGTATTGTTTCCAGAAAAAATTATTCTCATTGTTGACGGGAATCGCAGATATTTTCGCGGCAATTGTGATGATTTTGCGGCGGCGCATAACCGCGAATGATTAAATTATAGGGGATACAAATTTTGATGGGATTCTCGCCACAAATGAAGAATTTAGTGAATGTGGCTGAAGACGTTTCGAGCGCGTGTGGGTCCAACGCGAATCTTTTCCGGAAAACATTTTCGGTAACAATTCCGATAAAACCAAGTTTCTTTGCAGCAGATCTTCACTTTTCGATCGCGATAGATTAGAACGTGGGGAACCGCGAGAGTCATCTAAATTAGGTGTTTTGAAGTCAACATCTAGATTGTCAACAGTTTACCAGGTCGGAGACAGTGGTCAGGAAGAGGTTGTTGTGTTGCAGGATCCAAACGGGAAGGAACGGATGGTAGAGTTGAATGAGGTTCAGAATGCTCCATAAAACGATGCCGGTGTACACGGAACAATAGACGTATATCAGGGGCCCGAGGATGAATCTCAACACCTTTTCCCTTTCCCGAAGTGTTATACTCAACCTGTCTGAAAAAGAAATTGTAAGCACTTGTTTTTCTGAAATATTATACCTGTAGCTTCGTCCAGTTTGAAACGTGTAGGAGCCAGTCCGAGGGCGAGGAACAGGAACATATAAACACCGGAAGATATGCAGGTGAACCACAGTGATTTCTTTGAATCTTCCATATCAGTCACTTTTGTGAGTGTTTCATTGTTCAGATAAACTTGGACCGTTTCTCCGTAGTACGAGAATGAGAGAAGACCACTGTAGGCGCAAGAGCAAAGAAAGTAGAGGATAAAGTAGAGCTTTCGGTAGTATGCGAAGTGAAGTGGACACGCAAGTCGTCCGAAACGGTATACGAACATGGAAAGGGCAGAGCAGACTTGGAGGTGGAAGAAGAAAGTGTTGAGGTTTTTGAAGAAGGTCAGAGAACCCGGACGTAATGCTTCGATGAATTTCAGCGAAGGAATCAGGAACGGGATACTTTCCATTCGGGTAGAGAACCAGGTGTTCCACCAGCAGAGAATGTTCTGAGACGTTTGGTGAATGATGTCATAAAAGTTACACCTACCACAGACAAGTCTGCAACCGCAAGACCGTAGAAAAAGGAGTTGAGAACGATCGATTTGTAGCCAAAACTGACAGTGATGTAAATGAGCGTGGTAATACTAAATTGGATTCCATAGAGGAATTGGAAGCAGGTCCAAATCAGTATGAACGTGTCAAGCTCTGCTCTTCCATCGAGCAGAACGACGGAAGTTTCATTTCCAGCCATTTCGAGCTTGAAAAGAAAAAGAAAACCAGTCAGGTGGATGTCGAAAGAGAAGAAATGAGTAGGCTTCGGCAGTCAGTCTTCGGCACTCAGTCACCCGTATTTCGAGCTCGTTAGATTACCCTTGAGACCATCCGGCCACAGATTTCCCACGAATCATAGGTTCTTGCAAAATCATTCTCATCAAGTTTGAATGTCAAATTATTCACCAGTACTGCTAATGAACCCGTTGAAAGGGCGTCCAGAGTAATAAGGGGGAAAAGTGCACTTTGAGGACCAAAAATGTCTCTCTAACTGATAAGGAATTAGTCAAATTCAGTTTCTTTGTGAAGTCCGAACCGACGAAACAAGAAATTGAACCTCTCCCGAGACTGGTCTCAATACAAAGTGCAGATTCAGTCGATCACAGATATGGGTAGCCTCGACAAGTACGAGGCCCTTGTGGACACAATCACCAAGGCGACACGCAACGCTCCGCTCACCAAGACCGAAAATTCAGCAAAAACACAAGTAAACTCGAGGAAACCCGCTGGAACGCTCTCCACCGAACCAACATCAACGTCGACCTGATCAAAAGGCTCTAAAACCGACCTCGACGCCAAGAAAACGACACTGCTAGAAGGTTGCGCCAAACTACGATCCACCAAAAAGCTTAAGAGAGACGGTCCCGCGAGAAGTCGCCCTGAATATCCTCGAAAAGTCCGATGGGACCCGAACGACCAATCGAGCAGAGACTTGGGAGATTGTCGGCCGTCACTTCCAGAATATCTACAAACGTCATCCCAGCCATCTTCCGTCGATCCTGTAAAAGCGCTTACTTAGTTAGTCTGGTTCTCAGACTCTCGAATCTTTTTCTACTCCTCGAAAACAACAACACGTTCAGATCTCACATTAGCCCACGCACAGCACACTGTAGCGGACCGTCCAGATCGACCATTGCTTTGCTTTTAATTTTTTTGTTTCCGAGAACCAAGCCGAACAATCCTTTATTGAACGGCGCAATCAGAATCAGACTTTTTCACACGAGCGTTTGTTTTATCAGCCGAGCAATGGCTCGGTGAGTGCTAGTGCGTAATTACGGCTTTGGGCAAACTGGCTTTGGGCAGAAATTGGGCAAAACATGTTTTTATCAGCCTTATCCATCATTATCCCGTTTAAATTTTGTATTTTAGTAAACTACGAGAAAACAGCGAGCCGCAAATTCAACAGGAGGAGCGCATGGCTTCAGCACGTGATAATGCCCGTTGTTCAGGTGGAAACAGAGAGTGATTCCCATTTAATTTCTCTTCTGCCGCACATCCACATAAACACACGAGAAGCGACCTCATGGCGGTCTGGCCCGCACACACACACACACACACACAAACAAAACAAACGCGACGACTCCCCTTTCTCATTCTCTCTCGCCCGTATTGATCATTGCCAGTGACCGACGCCGGGCCTTTTCCTCCTGCCAGCCTCGTCGCATTTTCGCACACTCTGCGTTTCACGTGCTACTCGTGTTCTTTCTTTTTCGCTTGGCCGACGCACTCCCCATATGCATACACTGATTACGTGTCCTTTTCTTGCGCGTCAACAAAGAATGAGAGGAGGTAGGGGGATGAACGTTGAAGTTATCATTCTGCTTGACTCTGTGAACTTGATGGAAAAATAAACGATAAAGGATGAATTTTGTGTTATCATTTCAATCTATTGCTGATAAGTCTTGCCAATAACTGTGATTTTATCATTCCCTCGCCTCTGATCGATTCTGCCAAACAAATTGATATCGTATTTTATTGAAAGTAACATTCCGCTGCACGCTAGATCTTCCAAGTTCATATTGACCGAACGAAACGCAAAAAAACAGCGTGTCACTTTCGCTCTCTCTCTCTCGCCAAGCGCATGTCACAAGATTCTGCGGAGAATGATGACGATCGTCTGTTCCCTTATCCGTTTCCATCTTTTTCTCCTGTCCTCATACCGTTCTTATCGCGAAACAAAACAGAGACGCGCCGTTTTTCGACTTAATAGCGCCATTTTCTAATTGTCTGCTAGAAAACGTTGAAAACCAATATCAAGTGTTTTTATAACTTTATAAATATAGAAGAGGTACACATTTCTTTAAACAAAATGAGGGTATGAGGGTGACATTTACGGTTTTCGATGTGTAATTCATTCGGGTGATTTGAGCGTATCGTAAAGACTGTCATTCACAACCTTTTCACTTCGTCTCTACCAAGTACTGGCATTTTTGTTGTTTTCCATTTTGGTCCAAGTATTTTTCTATTCTCTGGTAGCAATCAGTAGGCAAACAGTATTTTTCCTTGCCTATTTCAATCGGAGAGAGTTTCTGACAGGAATACAATCAAAAAGTGTGATGGATTCCATCGCACCTTTTCTTACAAGAATAGGATAAAAATTTGAGTCTTTTTTTTTCGCAATTTCCAATTATTTATCAAAAAGCGCGATAACGTGAATTAGTAATAATTCTGAAAAGGGAAAAAATAGTTCGTAACGTTTCACAACGATATTTAGAATCCAGTCTCTGACAGGTGAATAGGTCACGCATAATTTCAACATACTTGTTTTCAAAATGTTTGCATCACGGTTAAGAATGGGAGCTCTCGAGACGTCATAAAGTAAAAAAAAAACTCAGTTCGTGAAACATACATTGATTTGGATCTGCGAACTTCTTTCGTTGTTGAACCATGCCTTTTTCTCCGTTTGATTTGCTTGAATGCATGAGTGCCCCTGTGTTTTTGTGCGTATTTCTGCGTGAAAGGCATAGACAGATAACAACCGACAGCACAAATTGGTGTTTTTCTTTTCCTTTCTCGCTGTCTCAACTCAGCTGACACTCGTGGTGGCTATATTGTACTCTGATGCATTGTTCCTGTCTTTGGGCAAGTTTACAACTTTTCCAAGTTCTCTGTTTTTAAGAAATTTGCATGTAATGACAGGTTTTGAGGCACATACGTCAAATTTCAGTATTCATCCGTGTCTGTGTCGGCCCACAGTGTCAAGCGAACTATCTCTTGTTTTTCTTTATTTCATCCCTCACTTTTCTGTTTTTCTCTTTGTAGTAGGCGAGAATACAGCTATAGCGCATTGGTTAATTTGTTATTTTCTTTGTGACTCCATTCCGATTCGTATAGCGCCAAAGTTATGCCTTCTAGAACAACATCTATTTTCCGTTAACACAAGTATGATTTCAGGTGCAGGACAACTACAGCAAACCCGTGAGCCGGGATTAAAACAATCATCAAAAAAAGACAGCAACGTGATAAGAGTGTGAGTTATTTTTTAAGAAAATTGTTTTTTTTTCCATCTTGACCCGTTATTTGTCTAGTATTTAGTCGATTAGCAGTGAAGAAAGATGAACATTTTTGAAAATTTGCTTAGTTTTGTAACTTGATGCTCGTCATGAACTATAACCAATGTCTGTCCTTACCACAAAACGCTTTACTCTGTGTTGCTTACCTAACTGCTTTTTCTAAAGATGTCAAAACGGCTGGCGCCGCACAAAGGACGGATCACCGTCAACAGCCGCTGCGCCAATCTTTCAAAACACATAACCGATCTTCCAACACTTTGTGACGAAAAACCGGTAACCAGAAGAGGACTTTTGAGCGACACGGATTCAGATAATGATGCCGTAAGTGCCTTTTGCAGCTGACTTTCTTGTCCGTCTATAGTTCGAGTGTCATGTGCGCTTTCACAGCTACATAAAACAAGTATGTGTATACTCTAAAGTTGTCAAAAATTTCAAAGAAATTAGTTTTGGACAAATTGGCGAATGATTCACTTGTCTATTGAAACTCTAAATTTGTACAATTTCTGCACTGTACGGAATCGGTTCTTATGAAAAGTAGTGCTCAACGGTTTGAATAAATGTTTTAGATGCCACCAAACAGCGAAGAGCTCGGAGCACGCCCAAAAACTCCAATGGCTCGCTTTTCACCGCAACAAGGGCCGCGAAGGGGAAGATCGGCAATGTCTTCAGATGGCTCGTCGAACATGTTTCTAAACGCGGACGGCAGCGCACCAGGACCCAGCAGCGCGCCTGAACTGATGGTAAGCTCTTTTTTATGTACTCACAATAATTCTAAAAGTTTTCAGGAAACGCCAGAATCCGCATCCCATCAGACAGAAAGAAAAAACACAGCACAAGATGGTGTTCCAAAAAGGATACGCAGAAGGAAGAAAAGGTCTCGGTCCTCAACGGCTACTCTGCAAATCCAACACTGGAAAAGATATGGTCTGGATTCTGATGATGATGACTGGAAAGATATTGAAAGTGTGCAAGTAATCATTAATGACGATCAGTTCAGGGTGAGTTAAGAACTTTTTACGAACCTTCTAAACAAACAATTTCAGATAGACGCCGAGCAAATTGAGAACTTCCGAAGACTGGTGAAAACTATTCAGGATAGACATGAATTGGATGCAGCAGATCTAGAAGCAGCCGTTAAAGAATCTCCAGAACCAGTACTCCCCAGACGAATACATCTGGGAAAGTACATCATTGACTCTTGGTACGGCTCACCGTTTCCGGAGGAGTTTTGCCGAGCAAAACTTCTCTACATCTGCGAATTCTGCCTAAGAGCGTTCATCTCGGAGTTTTGCATGAAACGACATGTGGAAAAGTGCAACACCCGAAGTCCGCCAGGAGAGGAGATCTATAGACATGACAAAATCTCAGTTTTCGAGGTGGATGGACATGATCAGAAGTAAGTTGTTCTTTTTTGCTTCGCACAAGCGAACAATTTTTCAGAGAGTATTGTGAACGCCTGTGTCTGCTTGCGCGTTTGTTTCTCGACAGCAAAACCGTTTTCTACGACACTGATCCATTCCGGTTTTACATCGTAACGGTCAACAGCGAAATTGGATGGTCATTCGCTGGATACTTTAGCAAAGAAAAATACGAGCCGGATGTGAACAACCTCAGTTGTTTCATGATTTTACCCCCCTACCAACAACGTGGACTCGGAAACCTTCTAATATCCCTCAGCTACGAACTTTCAAAAAGAGAGGGCTGGATTGGCGGACCGGAAAAACCGTTGTCTGACCTGGGCAAAGCGGCTTATGGTACCTATTGGATCAAAACGATCCAACGCGCAATGGCACGACCTGATGTGTTTCATCTCATAGAAGAAGTCAAGAAATTTGGGGTGGAAGGTAAATTTTAGTCTTCCAAAATATGTATAATATCCTAAACGTTTCACAGACTTGGAAAAAATCGTGCGGATAGACGGTGAAGACCTGTTAGAATGTCTCCTTCTTTTGGGATATTTGGAGCCAAAGGGCAAATCCGTAAACGGCGTTCAGTAAGCGAAACCTATTTGATAAGGTCAAAATTCTTGTTTCAGGAGCATGTGCTGGAATGTCGATTGGGATGGTTGTGTGGAGGCAGCCAATAAACCGCCGAAACCTGGAAAACACGTTTTCCGTCCGGATATGATTTACGTCTGTTTTCTTAAATCACTCTCAACACAAAAACATCGATAATTTTGCAGTGGGAGCCAAAAACCCGCAGTCCTAAAGATGATGGGTTTGTCGAATTGACAACGAAACAAGTGGAAGAGGACAATGAGAAGAAAAAACAAGTCCCAAAGACACCGGTCATCAATTCGGCGACTCTGGAGCAGTCCACTCCTGCTACTTCGTCCAGTCGTCCTGTCGGATCTGTGAAAAAGGTTAGCGCTGACCAAAACGAATGTCAAAAACAATTGTATTCGTTTTCAGGAAGTAAGAAGCCGGACTTTGAGTCGTCATGCCAATAGAAATCTGAAAAAAGACGTGGCAAAAGCCGTGACTGTTCCCGATGTAACTTCTGATATCACCGATGTCGATGAGAAAAAGGAGGTCAAGAAAAGGATCAGATCCAGAAAAGGCAAAAGGAGGGGAAGATGCGCAGGTGAGATGATAGAGAGAATTTTTGTATAAAGCACACATTACTGTGAACCGTTTTATGTTGTCGTAGGAAAAATGTGTATACCTTTGGACACTTATGTAGAAACTAAAGAAATCTGTAAAATACTGAGGTTCACTGTAATGTGTGATTGCTCACAAGAAATATTTGATAAACTCAATTTTCTATGAATAATTACAGATACAGCTTTGAAAACGAACGAGCGACGAGACGAAACCCCTGAAAACGATGGTCCTGGTCCATCTTCAAAGCCCACTGGTCGCGGTCGGAGACCGGCGGAAACTTCCAAGAAACCAGCCCCATCCAAAAAGCAGGAGCCAAACACTTCATCCAAAAAAGGGAGAGGCCGAAAACGTCGAAATGGTGGAGAGCAAGTTGAAGAGAAAAAGGACGCGCTGCAGGAGAGTGACTCTGACTCTTCCGATGACGACGACCTTCCGTACGGATCGCAAAGACGGAAGACCAAGAAAGGAAAGCTTGGAAAGCACGGGAAGTTGCGGAAAATAAGGCAGAGAATGCAAAGAAGACGCGTTCATAAGTTTGTGGCCGGAAAGAAGTACCCGCCGGATAACGGGAAAAAGGAAAAGTCAACCAGTCCTTCAAGAGAAATAGAGAAAAAGGAAAGGAGCGAGTCCGAAAGCTCCGATTTAGATTCGGAGCGTAAACCAGGATCATCAAAAGCGTGCATTGATGTTGAGCGCATGGAAACTGACCAAAAAGGCACTCCTGTTGAGGTACAGAGTACGGAAGTTGAGAAAGAACTGGAGAAAGAGGACAGCGATGAGGGTGGCGATGATCTGACAATGGAAATGGCGAACGATGTGGAGGAAGAGCTTGGAAGAGTGAGTTTTTTGTCGTACATGAATTTAAACTTTCAGTCAGTTTCAAAAATTTATTTTTCAGGACTACATTATCGGAACTCCTGAATCATATCACTCTGAAGCTGAAGACGCCCTCTCACCGCCGCCAGCCCAACAATTTGACAGTGTTCGAGAGCACGTTGAAGAACACGTCGAAGAGAACGACGGAGCGCCTCCTCTGCTCATCTCCGAAGTGGCTAACCTGACAGTTTCACAGAAAGATGAACCGAGGATTAAGGAGTCCAACCAAGTTCCACCGCCACTTGTTCAGAATAACATGGAGAATGTTGGATACGAGACGGAAGATGATGATGCTCCGCCGAGACTGTCCCCGCAGTACGGAAAGCAAGAAGACCATGTTGAAGAAATTGAGAAAGACAAAGATTCAATGCTGATAAATGAAACGATGGTTGATGGGCACAATGGAATTCATCAGGAACCATCGCATTTCCATGGACCCACAAGTGTCATGCACATGACTCCAATGCAAGTCACTCCGATTTTGATGAGTCCACAAACTACACATCCGTTCTCGCATCATGGTCCAAACTCGCTTCAACAGCAGACTACTCCAGGATCTGGAGGAATTCCTTCTTGTGGAAATCCCGTGTTTTCGCACAATACACCGGATCAACAGCAGTTCATGAGCTCGATGGCTGGAATTCCAGCGTCCGTCTCATCAGTTCATTCTGTCTGCAAGTCAATGGAAATGGTGGGAGGTCCGGCTTCGCTCCAACACACTCCACAACAATATGAATTGGGTGCGCATACAAGGGTGAGTGCTGAACACTTTTAGAATATTTTTCAATTGACAATGTTTTCAGATGTCCCAAGACAGCGTCGTAGCTGTCTCCACAGCTCACATCGAACAGCAAAATCATCTGATAATGCATCAACATGGCTTCAGCAGCCCAGCTGCTCAGCCCACTCTCCAACAACCGGCTCCCTCTGCTCAAGTGATCCCTGCGCCTGTCCCCTCAAACGGACGTCGACGATCTGCTGGACCTCGGAAGAGGGCTCCGAATCCGAGAAGCCGGGCACAACAGGCTCCTGCAGCGGTGCCAATGCAACAGCCGCCGATGCCCATGCCACAGATGCCAAATTTCCAGTACTATCCACCCTATGGACCTGCCTATCCGTCAATGTGGGACGGTTTCTACTATTACAACCAGTACAATCAGACTGGAATGCCAATGCAGCAACCGATGGACGCGGCTACTTATCATCGACAGTTGATGGCCTACCAGCAGTACCAGCAACAGACGGGACAAATTGGTGCCGATGGAACCGCAGTCAACCAGTTTCCCACTCCAGCAGTTGCTTATCATCAACAATGGTTCAATCATCAGAATAACATGCGTTGAACCAAATTTGATTATTGTGAACATCTTGTTTTTGATGAAATTTAAATCAATCCCACGTCGTGTTAGTCCCTAATATTCGTCAATTTCGTCCCCAGTAACCTGTTTTGTTTTTTTCGTCTTTTCATTCAGTTATCATTGTTTTTGTCCACACTTGGCTGTTGAATCACTCTTTCTGCTCAGGGGATTGCATATTATTCTTCTCACCATTTCCGTTCCGTTCTTTTTTCTAGTCATTTTATCCTAGTCATGTCATTTCTCTTTTATCGCTCTCTCTCTCTCTCTCTCTGGTCATTTCTTTCCCTGTTAATCAAAACATTATTCCTGGTCATCAATAGTCTCCCAGTGTTTGCAAGGAAGAGTAGTAATTTAATCAAAAAAGTTGTCCCTGCAGCTTGTACGTATACTTGAAACTAAAAATAAAGACACAAATGTTTGCGTTGGTCTTCTTTTTTCTCTTTCTGGCGGATTTGTCGTTTTTCTAGGGAAAAATTATTTTATGATAATGCATTTTAGAGCAATTCAGTTGTGCCGATGTCACACCAACAATTGAAACCGGGTAATTTGACCAGAAAAGCAAAAAATACCACAGTTTCAATAGATGATGACTCTCTGGACGGATACGGACTGAATCATAGTTGTTGCTGCTTTCTTATCCTTGGCAATCATCGGTTCGTCGAATAATCAGGAATTTAGTCGAAATCTCACCAAATTGTCAAAAAACAAGCAAGATGACCAAAGTTTTCACTACGAAAATCGCTTTCCGTCCAAAATCGATAATTTCCCTTCTGAAAGTCCTGGAAAAAAGAAGATTAATAGAAAATGATTTGCTAACTATCATGTTTCGTTTTCCTGAGAAAAATAATTAAAACTAGAGCTGTTTTGATCATGTTTGGTGAATAAATGCCAAAAAAGAATAAAGGCGCAGGCAATTATACGCGCGGGTCTCACCACGAAGAGGCCACTTTTCTTTCGTGTCTGGCTGTCTCTCTCCCCTCCCCGTACTATTTCGCTGCGCGAATTCCTTGATTTCAACGGAAATGCGATTAGAAAGTGGGTTTTTTCTTAGAGTTTTGTACATCTGAAAATTATTCAATGAAATACGACGACAAGGATGGTTATGAAGACATGGTCCAAATTATGACAGTCACAGCAACCAGAAGATGAATCTTTCAGCACTTTATTTGACGGGAGTAAAGTGACCACTAGGAATAACAGATTGTGAAAAACTGGTCATGGCGTTAGTCCTGCAGAACAGAATTTCTCCAATTCGCGATGTAACGGACCGGAGGAAGGTTGTGGGCCTCCCAGACCGCTGCTTGACCATGTTCTCTCGTTTTTTCAGCAAATGTGTTTACTTGATGATAAACTACAAAAAAAAGATATCAGAAAAAATAGAGAACAGTGGTAATTAGACAACGACGAGTGCATTTTGACATTCTCGGGCAAAGTGTCCTCCGTAGTTCTTTGTCTGAGCAATAATTTGTGCAGCAGCGCGTAAAGACCGTGAAGACCGAACGAATGTATGAAAATTTCTGAAAGGCTTTCATAGGAATTCAGTACTTTGTCTGTTTTCAGTTTCTTATTTATTGTGAACTGATTCATTGTTCATTTTGCTTTCGAAACAATACACATACATATCATAAACAGATTTATTGACTTTTGCTAAACAACAACAAAATAGTAAAAAGAAAACAACGGTCGGTAATTATTAAGTACTAGCTAAACTGGAGTTTCGTTGAGCTTCCTCGGGCAAAGTCTCTTCGCTATGAATTGATCCATGACATTCCCGGGCAAAGTATCTTCCGTAGGTGGTTGTCTGAGCAAGCGTTTGTGCAGCAGTTCGTAAAAACCGGGTAGCCCGAGTCGACTGAAAACATTTATTGTTACGGTGTTGAATTTGGAGAGACTCACAGTATGGCAATCCGTTGCATACGCTTATGATACGCTGTAATAGCCTTGCTCCGCAACTTCTAATTTCTTTGCCTTGTTCTTGCCAGCAATTCGTCTCGTGCACTTTTGCTGAGAGGAGGATTGCCAGAACCAGGATAGCGACAATGGAAGACATGGTAAAGGCGTTGAAAAATGGAATGAATTTTCAGTGCAACTTCCACCTTTTTATACTGTAGGGGGCGGAGCCTAGCTAGGCTTTTGGTCACAAGTTCCTCCCATCGAGGGACGAGAAAGCGGATGATAAACGAAGACGGAGAAAAAATTAGGGGTACGGCTGGAATGGGGTGGAGAAATTTAAGCTGCACACAAAGAGCACCGAGAGAAACTTCAAACACCAGATTTTCTTCAATTTGTTGCTATAGCAACGAATCAGAACTATTCACTCCTTTTTCCAGTCTCAAACGATACAAAACAGATTGTTCTTATCTTGGAGTCAAAAATATTGAAACAAGGGTTAAGAATAACGAAAACTCACGTATACATGAATTTTCAGACCATACGACCACCATACGAAAGGGCCGAACACTAAAACCTCCAGTAGTGACGTCAAACTTTAGAGAAACTGAAGCTTAGTACCAATGGGAATCCTCGAAAGCTTGATAATTTTTCTTGGATTGTGAAAAAGTTTTTTCAGACAATTTCATATGGACACTACACCCTCTTGACGTAGGCAGCGGTACATACATTTGTTAATGCAGCAATACGTGGCAATATCCATCCCGGATCCTGAAAAGGACTCTTCTTTCATTTCTATAGTTTCTAGAGTTTTTTCAAATAAGTTCCAGGAATCGAGCATAATCTGGACTCAAGTGTGGATAACATCAGTTTGTCTCCGGGTGTCAGTCAGTGCCCGGCCTCAGGACGTGTTTGGAGATCCGCTTCCGTTTTCTGAACCCAAAACCTCTTTCTCTTATATTCTTGAGTTTTTTTTCAGATTGAGACGTGCAGCATGATGCAGGATTATCTGGAAAAGGATTAGGTACTTTTATCGGACTGCCATTTTTCATTAATCCTCAAGATCTTCATCGCCTACTAATCTATCGTAACTTCCCTCTTTGATTGGTTTTCTGTTTCTGACAAAAAGTTTTGATTAGAATAATTTTCAGAAATATGAATACAAACAAATGGTCACTTTAGTACGGAACTTTGCGGTTAGAAAGGAACATCACAGATCGTGTCTGAGAAGTTCAAAAACTGCAGGTCACTAAAAATTCAGAATGCTTCAATTTGTCTCATATTATACTCAATGGGTACTTACATAACAGTGATACATCAGACAAGTTTTGGTCCGGCTCCGTGGTCCCTAGTCCGACCACGGTCCCAAAATAGGTAAAAACTGTAAATAATTTCAAAAAAATGCTAGCGTCTCAGACTCAACGCCATTCGATTTCTCGCATCTTTTTGAGTATATTTCACGTTGGGACCAAAAATTTAGCACCCCTCCTTCATGGAGAAAAAAATTGGTTTGTGACATTTTTCAGAAAATTTATCAGTTTTCTGCTCGTCCTGAAAAATTTTATCACTACATAGCCATGATTTTATTGCTGATTTTTAATCTAGACGTCATTGTGCTTCGGCAAAAAAAAAGTTCACCCCGATCCCGATTGACATCAAAGGATTTTTAGGCCGAAATTCACAAAATTCGGAGTAGTTTTACATGGAAAAATGTTCGCGAACTTGAGAAAAGTGCGTTTTCTTAATTTTCCAAGGGGTCTGATCGCGATTTTTGTTGTTTTCGTTTACTTTTAGGCTTTCTCGATTTTTTGGAAGCATTTCGAGAATTAAAAAAACTAGAAGTCGTCGACCCGGGGGTCATGACAAAATTTTCGAGAAAAAATTAATTTTCGAAATGCTTCAAAAAAATCGGCAATGTCTAAAAGTATACGAAAACAACAAATATCGCGATCAGAACCCTTGAAAAATTGAGAAAACGCACTTTTCTCAAGTTCGCGAACATTTTTCCATGCAAAGTACTCCGAATTTTGTGAATTTCGGCCTAAAAACCCCTTGATGTCAATCGGGATCGGGTGAACTTTTTTTTGCCGAAGCACAATAACGTCTAGATTCAGAATCAGCAATAAAATCATGGCTATGTAGTGCTAAAATTTTTCAAGACGAGCTTTTCTGAACAATGTCACAAAACAAATATTATCTCCATGAAGGATGGGTGCTAAATTTTTGGTGCCAACATGAAAAATGCTTAAAAAGATGCGAGAAATCAAATGGCGTTGAGTCTGAGACGCTAGCATTTTTTTGAAATTAGTTACAGGTTTGACCGATTTTGGTACTGTGATCGGACTAGCGACCACGGAGCCGGACCAAAACTTGTCTGATGTATCACTGTTATGTAAGTACCCAATAGGTATAATATGGGACAAATTGAAGCATTCTGAATTTTTAGTGACCTGGTGTAATTAGCGAATTTCGAGGTTCTCAGCTTTTAGAAGTGATAGAAGTGGCATTGCTTCAAAAACATGTTTTGCGATCCATACGCTTCCGCATTTCCGACTTTTCTTGGCGGTCGTACGAAAACTACGAAAGTCATGGGAACGCCAACACCTTTGCTCACTTCCTCCGTTGTTCTGCCAATCAACATATCTATCCTTATTTCCCAAATTTTTAGAGGACTAATATCTGACTAAACGTTGGTTCTCGGAATTAAGATGACTTCCGACAAAGAAGATGCGAACTCATATAGTGTCCAGAACAAGGGAACTATTTTGTTTCTGATCAGTGAAGACATCCGAGTCCGTGATGACGTGGGCGCCCATGTTTGATTTGCAGTACCTCACGTCGGCTTCTAATGTGATATGCTCACTTATGTTTCTATTCACGGCTCGTTTCTTTCCTGCATAACTCTTCTGCCTGGGTTAGTCGGATTATTAGATTACGGTGGCGCTACGTGGGTACAGCAACTGGAAATGATCATTCTCCGAATGATGACAGACTTTTAGAGACGTCACCTTTTTCTGTTAATAAACATTCTCTAACACACATTGTGTCCGTCCGGTTACGGTGGGCCAGAAATAGAAAACGACCTTTATTCTGATCACAGATGTCACTCGTCCCACTAAAATTTCTGAGTCTGCGCTCACATCCACAGTATCTCACGACGGCTTCTCCTTCTCCGACGATATGCTCACATTTGTTTCACGGCTTGTGAAGAATGTATTTTAAGAGTTCGTCGTTTTCGCGAAGGGTGCCATGCGGAAAAGGTACTGGAAATTTGCCGTTATCTCTGTTTGATCAAGGATTCCTGGGTACGGTCGTTAAGCGGAAATTTGTTTCAAATTGGAAGTTGCTCATTTCAACATGATGAGCAGACACAATGAAATCCGTTTTTCGTATGCTCCTCACCATAAGATTTGCGAGGATTTATCGTTTTGACGTCTCCCTCATCATAGGTGCGGATAAAAAAAACCAGATGAGAAAGCTCGAGAGGTTCCAGGCCGTTTTCCATGGTTTCTCATTCTCTTTCCCCTAGGGTCTTTGTTTCACACTCCTAATTATTGTAAGGGATCAGGAGGTCCAAAAACCATTGGAAATGCGACTGCAATAACATTTCAAATCGGGTGATGTTTTGCAACGCTGGGACAGGACGAGGAGGAGGTGAACCGAATAGTTGATTAGAAGGGCATAATTGAATTTGGTAGATTCTATCAAACGTGTTAACCGGGTATTGACGTGTGGGCATAAACCACGAAACAAACATGTACTCCCAATTTCAGAAGGTTGAGACGCGGGAAGAGAGATCACGTAGTGGTGGGTCGTACACGGCGATTTTCATTCAGGAAAATGGAATAAAGGGACCATGCTCCGGCTCACTATACTCCAAAATCTTGAAACAGAAATTAGGCTCCTTACATTCTTAATCTACTCGGTTTACAAAAAGTTTCGTTGACAAACTTGACACGACGAACAAAGAAAGGATTGAAAAAAATTATTATGACGTGGCGCACTACAGGGTGGTCCACCGTTACCCGTACAAAATAAAAGTTGTGTAATTCCAAAACTAGAAGTCAGAAAGACATGAGACTTAACAAAATGTTCATTAAGGTGTTTAACAATATTTATAAGCTAACAGTGTTGCACCCGACCTCCTTTCCTAACAATGACAGCCCGAAGACTTCTGAAGTAACCGTTTGACGCGGCACGCGGGAAGTCCGTGAACAAATTGACCCCCTACCTGGCAAGGAATTTTTTTATCACTCCCCCACTTGTCTGGGCTTTAGCCTTCATATTGGCCTGTAAAACCCCAACAACGAATAGTCCAACAAAAAATAGTCCGGCGAGAAATCGGACCATTCTTCCTTCTTGATGAACGCTGCCAAATTGGCCTGGAACCACTGCTAAATGATCTTGGCCGTGTGAGCAGGCGTATTATCTTAATCTAACACCCAATGTTGTTCTCTAAAGTATTTGTGAAACCGAAGAAAACGTTTCTTTGTTGACGTCTCATCTACATAACGTACTTTTCTGATTTTGTCACCATGATCGATGAAAACGCGTTGAGATTGGCATGTTCAGCTGATGGGACAAGAAATCATGGCACGGACTCAGCTTGCATTTTAGAGTGATTTACACGGATATTGGACTCATTTCCACATCACATTTCATGATGGTTTGTCTGCTCACCCCTCAGTGAAAAAGCGTACTATGGGAACGGGGTGCAGACTAATCGGTGCTATTCGGCTGAAACAAATCCGTTTGGTCTGAGACTTGGCCAAATAGTTAAAAACATGATAATATACGAAATTTTGAATTAGGGCCACACCAGAATTGCGTCAGTACCTACGCGCGCCGCGTAAAACTTTTGTACGGGTAACGGTGGACCACCCTGTATACAGCAGGTTTGCCAACGATCTTGCAAGTGCCAATGCCAATGTCCTATGTATTTGGCGGATGTGAGTCATGAATCCCCCATAAGTCAGGGTGCTGGCCATTTCTGACTTTACCACGACTGTAGCAGGTTGTCAGGTTCTTCCAACTATCGGAATTACTTCTTAAGGTCATACTCATTTGGTTTCCACTCAATTGGGCCCACTAAAATACCTGGTACAAACATTAGAGTCACTAATGTCGAGATATTGTCTTTGCAAAGTTGATTGAAAATAAATACAAACTAATGCAAAACGTGTGCATATCCAGAAAGACATTAAGGTCGGTTTAATGGACGTTAAGGCAAGCACGCACGCTTCAATCGAGACATTTCACTTCTGAAAATGAAAACCGACACGGAGTACCTTTCCTTCCTTTCCGGTTTCTATCCTTTTTTCTTTGGAACCACTATTTCTATCCAAAGTCTGACCCTCTTCATGATCCTTCGACACACTCCCCGCAACATGCAAATCTTGAGATACATACTGGCGAACACCAGCATCTGTCAACTGATCCTGCATCTTCTTTGCGTTGGATGTCAATTCAGAATGATCTCATCTGCCATTCCAGTTGAATTGCGCAGCTATGGGATTGCCCGTTATCTGTCTGCGTGGATTGTTTACTCGTTGCACCAGGCGTTCCAGTTCTTTCTGTACATGAGTGGGATGTCAATTATTGTCACTTTCTACTTCAAATATTCAACTGTGAAAGGAACAGAAATGAGTAAACTGGAAATGTTGAGAAGCTTCTTGATATTTCACATTCCTGTTTTCATTTCTGCGGTGAGTTATACATTTTTCGTACGGTTTTTGATGCTTTAACCTTTCGTTAACCAGTAATTTCTCAAAATCAGCTACCGAGAACGGCATATAAACGGGTCCTTATAAAAAATTAGCCTTCATTATTTTTCGGTTTTACAAACTAATTTTTGACGTGAGAAACGGGTACAGGACATTTTTTCCAGTTGTGAAAATTGATCAGGAAAATGGGAGAAATCGATTACTCTCATAACATGCCTTTTTCTTTTCAACAAACGTTTTAAATGACTTGTAGGTTGAAGACATAAATTCAGTGTTTTGGTCTTTCAAAATAGCTTGGTCGCGTGTGCAAAGTTTTGCAGAGATCTATTGCGTGACTGTTTCTCAATAACCACATGCAAAAGCAAAGTATGCACTCATTTTAGATTGTGCCGAAATAATTTGGTAAAAAATAAGACTTGCAGGAATGTGTCACAAATTATAGAATATTTACAAAATCAGCAATTCAGGTAATGGAAATTTACATTATTGTCGACCAAGCACTTCCATCCGACGTTCGAGAGGTCTACAATAATTTAAATCAAAACGTGACAGTCTACTCAACTATTGGAGCTCTCAGTCTTCAAACCATTCCGAGTCGGATCAACTTTGTTCTGATGTGTGGATCTGTGTTCATCTGGCCATTTATCAGTTTTTACTTCAGAAGGTAAAAACAGACTTGGCTACATGATTATTGCCTAGCAATCGAAAAATTAATTGAAAAGCAGAGTATTCACAAATTTTTTCAGCCAAATTCTCCAAATTGTCAACGATCATATGGAGCAGTCGTCAATTGCAAAAAAATCGCAAAATCGTTCCTTCATCACTGTAAGTTCATCTTCCAGACCGGTTTTTTCATCACCACTATGGTTTGTACTTTAGGGACTCACCATCCAAGCCCTACTTCCACTCTGCTCCTACTTCCCCGTCTTCGCTCTGTATGTCTATTGCATATTCACTCGTAAGTCTCAACTGCAAATCTCCGAAATTCTACTGATTTTCACATTTCAGATCAGGAAATTCTGTTTCAACAGTTCTTCATGTACATCTTCTCATCGCTTCCAGCTCTTCTTGATCCCATGATTACACTGTATTTTGTGGTCCCTTATCGTAGGACTTTGATGAGATGGTGCAGTGTTATGAACTCGCCCCCAGTAGTTCCCACCACAGTATCGGTTGTGCTCTAGTGAAAACGTGGTTTTGACTTGAAAAAACGCAACAAAATATGTTTTTCAAATAATATAATCCAGATTCAAACACCTGCCATTAAAGTGAGATAATGTTTTATCAAAAGTTTTGAGTTACTGACTCAGAAGCTAGAAAAGTAGTACACATCACATCACTATTTGCCGGAAAATTCAAATAATAACTGTGTACTAATTTTGTACAAAACACTAAAATAGCTTATTCGTTATCCTGTAGATATGGCCAGTAAAACTGAATAACTCTTTGTTCTCTTTTAAAAAAAGTGATTTTTCTATTCTTTCATTCAAGTTACTCTATAATTTTGTCAAATATCATCTACCATGTTTTTATGTATGCCACCGCCGTTCTCCTTTTCTCATTAGCCACCCTTTCCCCTCCCTATTTAGTTGTCAATTCTCCTGTTTCACCAGTCACTTTGTCCATAAAAACCAATTTTGCTGAATGTATACTGTTCCATGACAAAGCGCAAAACTGTCTTGTGATTCTGTGACATAAAAGTATGATTTTCACTTCTGCTTCACTGATTAGTTCATAATCTTTGATGAAGAGTCATGCATCACTAACATCCAACCTACTATCAAATCTAGTAGTAAAGAATTTTCAGTTGAATTTTCATCATGTCTGTCGAAGGCTATAGGATTTTTCTATCAATCTTTTATCCAATATTCTTTCTACTATCTCTCTTTGTCCAGTCATTGTTACTATTTTTAATAGTAAAACACTCGCCAAAAAGTATTCATCTGCTAAGAATAGTGCTCTCGCTAACCTGTGTTTTCCAAACAATATTAGTCTTTACTTGTTTTCACAATCAACTTCGGCTCGTAACCACCAAATCTCCAATCGAAATATGGGCTTATGGGCCTTGTCGATACCAGGAGCCGTGGTTTTGTTATGTTTTGTTACAGATGGAACAGGTGAGTTAAGGGTTCCGTTTTGCTGCTGGTTTTGATGAATTGCTTTCAGTTGACTGCCATAGCGAGTACTGTAACAATTTATGGAACACTATTTTTAAAGTACAAACTAGTCGCTGGAATACAAATGTCTAAATTTGAAATTTTGAAAATCTACTCCAAATTTTACTCTCCTTTAGTCATTTCAACGGTAAGACGTTTCGCATCTATGAACTTCAAGTTTTCTGAACTGAACACAAATTTCAGATGTTTGTAATATACATAGTGCGAACCCAGACACTATCATGGGAAAATGAAGAGCAATTGCGTCTTGTGAACACTTTTCTGAACCCCAGTGACGATTTCAAAACTATTGCCTATTTGAGCTTTCAAAAATTACCAAATTTGTTGAATTTCTTACTGATCAGTGGATGCATAACTGTGATACCTGGCATAAGTTTGTATTGCAGAAAGTGAGTTTTTTTGGGAAAAGTACTTAAATACATGCTGTCTTTCAGAAAAATATTGCGACAAATAAACCACCGAATCGAGAATATGTCACTTTCCAGACAAATGCTATATCGCAACTTTCTCACGGTACACAAACTTTCAGGAAAATGTTTGCTTTAAAATGTTCATTTTTCCAGGGTCTCACTTTCCAGTGTCTGCTCCCGCTTCTATGCTACATTCCAATTTATACCCTTTACTACTACTGTCTAATCACTGGAACGGAAGTGTTATTTCTGGAATTCTTCATGGCATTGATACCCGCACTTCCTTCTATTGCCGATCCTATTATATCTCTGTACTTTGTGACCCCATATCGTCGGAAGTTGATGCTTTGGGTTAAACGTGAGAGGGAAGAAACCTGAATCACGAATTTTTGTAGTTGAAACAGTATTCGCATAAAAACCTCCACCCCTTGACCCATTCATTCGTTCATTCATCAATAAATCTGTCTTCCCTCTTCTCAAACTCCCTCTACATGTTTCAAGCTATATTAATGTGAGAGATCTGTAAGTTTGCTATAAAAACGTATTTCTAGAACGTTTTGAAAGTATTTTTCAGGGTAACTTTAACATTTTGCTCAAAACTATGAACAAACACAAGCGTTGGAGACGTCTGTCATTACTATCGAAAATACGTTTGTATTTGTCGTGGGGTTTTTGGGGTACTCGTTTCTTCAAACTCACTGACGTTGTTGAATATTACTCAACCCGATTGTTCAGTTTAGTTCAAGAAACTTTTGCCCGAAAAAGCAATAAATATTTTTTTTTACAGAAACAGAACCCTTCAATCGGAATCTACCGAACCCGTCAACATGCTTGCACTACGTAGTAGTTCCGCTTCAACAGGCATGCTTCGAAAATGTAGATTTTCCCATGACGGGCAAACTAATTAGCTATATATTCTATTTCAGAGTTCACCAAACCAACCTCCGCCAGTCATGCCGTCTGACGTGTACCGATCCGTTCTCTCTATTTTCTATCCGATTTTTCTATTTTTCTCGCTAGGTCTTCAACTATTACTCTTATTTCTAATCACTTTTCATTCGCCTAGAAGCATACATAATTTGCGCATAATATTAACGTTCACATGCGTTTTTCAAATTTTACTGGCATTTTCGTGTTCTTTCACTCAATTGCGATTGGTACCAACGGATGGAGGACCTACGGAAATGAGAAGTTACGGGCCTTGTCGTCATTTCGACGCCTGGCTGTGCTATGTGTTCTATCAAGTGGAACAGGTCAGTTTCTTGACGGCTTGCAGTTGTGTGCAAAGTTTTTATGGCTATACCATGTGCTATTCTAGGAGAGCGGTCTGGCAAGTGGTTTGACAATATATGCAACTTTCTTTCTGAAATACAAAATGGTTAGCAGCGTTCATTTGAGCAAATTTGGAGTCTTCAACACTTACTTCATATTCTACTTACCACTTCTAGTGTCACTGGTATATAAGTTCAAATGAAACGCATTGTATAAATCACAATTTCAGACAACCGTCTTTATAATCTTTATCACTCAAACGTTTCCATTTGAAGTCCGCGAACAGTTCCGATTGCTTAATTTGAACTCCAACATCACAGATTACTCGGTCATTGCCTTCTTGAGTCTCGCGAAAATTCCGAACTTTTTGAATTTGGTGATTCTCACGGGTTGTATCATAATTATTCCGATCATGAGCCTTTACTTCAGAAAGTATGAGAGAATTGTTGAAAAAAATAATGTAAATGTTGATTTCTTGCAGGAAAATCTTGACAACTATCGACGGCAGAATAAAAAACATGTCAGTGCCACGTCAGGTTTTGTACCGGAACTTTTTGAGGGTTAGTTCTCATCTTCTTCCGCGTTGAGCTCATTTGGGAAATAAAAAATGTTTCCTGATAATCAGCACTTAAGATGAGTTTATTTCCTTATCCTAGTAGAAAACTCGCGAGCAAACGTTTAATTGAAAATACGAAAAACTAACAGACGTACTCAAAAAGGATACATACTTACAGGGTCTTACCGTTCAATCCATTCTCCCTTACGTCATCTATTTTCCAATATACGGTCTAGACTACTACTGTGCCTTCACGAATCTGACAAGCCTTCTGGACGAGTACCTTATCACTCTGGTACCCGCGTTCCCATCATTTGTCGACCCGCTGATTTCGTTATACTTTGTGACTCCTTATCGCCGAAAAATACTTCATTGGACGAAAAGAGAGCGAGACGCAGAAACACATACAACAATCGTTGTTACCAACTGATTTTTTTACTTTGAATACCTATTCTTCTCATTTTTCAAACAGTTTCAGTGTTGTTTTCAGTGCAAACCTATTTATTCATAAATATGAAGTTACATGCATTGAGATTAATTCTTGCATAAACTAGATGAATTAGCATGTCGGTAAAGGGACTTATGGAACTAATGTTGAAGCTGAAAGGTACTGGTAAAGATTTGTAAGACCACATGTGGTTTTGCTTTTTGAAATTGCTTTTTGAAACCACATGTGGTCTTATGTGGTTATGAAGACGGTTCAGATGGTTTTTCTATTTGAAGATAACTATAGGTCAAGCGATCACAGACGTTTCTCGTATACGCGAGAAGACTTTAAGACCTAGACCTCGCTAACGAGAAGAAGATTTTCCGTTGAATGCAACGTCCGGATTCTATTTTCCGTCGGTTGTTGTGTCTGTCTGCAATTTTGCATGACCCGCACTCTGCGGTCCGCCAACGTGTCCCCTCGACACGCGCAGTCCACAAGAATCGTTTGATCAAACATTGTTCTTTGTCTGAAACCACTTGTTTTCAACTCTTTTTTGCCAAATAGCTTGCCGCCACTCTCTTCGTTTTAATCGGCTTCCAGTCGCGTCGTCGAACGTTCTCACGTGGTAAGTTCGGTTCACATTCTTTCAAGTCATCAATCAATATTCCAGGAGAATCCGTTGCACTCGATAAGCAGATGCAAGTTTATGGATCTCTCTATGAGTTTTGGGCGGCCAACGAAAAATGGCACCTCCTGACTCATGCACTGCTTCGACTGGAACGTTGTCCGACAAGAAGGTACCACTCGTTACTAAAATTTTGAATCCTTAAACATTTTTTTGACTTCCAGGTAAACATTTTGTTAAAATGAAAACAAGATATTCTCATGTGACCCGTTTCAGAGAGACTATTTCGGAGAGTATTTAACCGTCCGTCCTTTCGCAAAGGACGATTATGACGACAGCGACGAATCGTTCTGCGGCGGACCACTTCAGATGTGCTCGACGACTCCGCGGTTGACCCAGTGATCTGGTGACCCGACCGATGAGCTCTTCGACTACCGTAATAACCAACGGTTTTGCTTTTCCAAACCTTTGTTGCTTTCAGATCCATTCGGTCACTGAGGCTGACATTGGCCCAAGTACTACTGCCATCATCAACGCAAGCCAGACGGAATTTCTCGAGAATGCGATAAGTCAGCTTTTCGGACGCATGGTGACCATCAAAATGATACAGAAATTGATGCTCGCCGTGGACCCGAATGCTCTGACTGCCCGCCTCGAGGAACCGCAGAAGGAACAGTGGGCCGGATCCTCATCGCCAGCTCCGATGCTCGTGAAATCAGCGCTCCGATCGGTGCATGCGCCTTGGAATGAGTAAAGCCCGCCCGAGCGTTCCAGCATCATGTTCTACTCCTTCTGAGATCTCATTCAACGTGAGCTTTGAGATGTTCACTCAATCAAACCCTATAATGTTTTTCCAGATCTGCATCCGTCCGTATGCTATCCAGCCGATGAGCAATTTCAAACGGAAGCCCAGCGCCTTCTTCCCGGAGAAAAAATAGCGCGCGCACTACTTGCGCGAGGAGGAGTTGGTCGAGGAAGTGGTCTCTGCCGGTGGCTCTGAATTCTGGAATGAGAACACAATCGAATTGCCCCAGTACAAGTACCCCGGATGAGCATTCATTAATGTTTTGTAAAGTGTATTTATCTGAAAACCATTCTGTTTTTGTACTTTACCAATCCACCCACCCATAATTACAGTTTTATATATTTTTTATTCTAATTAGTTGTTTTTCAACTTTTGTCTGATTTCTCCCTTACCTCCGTGTTGATTTTAACACTGTTTTTTTTGCTATGTGCCGTTATTCTTCCGGTACTCTGTTTGAAATTATCCCAATGCCTTCGTTCTTGTTAAACTATTGTATCCCCTAGTCTCCCAATTTATTTGTAAGGAGAAGTACCTCACACTGATTATCTCTCACAATTACTATTATTATCTTAGAGACCCTTATAAACCTCATAGAAAATGTGGTGGCTATCCACGGAGCGCTTGAAATAGTGCTGTCAGACCAAAGAAGAAACTTCACCGCAAGTCTCTTTGAAGAGATGAGCAAACTGTTGGAGTTGAAACACTTGAAGGCCCCAGCGTACCACCACGCCGCAAACGGAGCAGTCGAAAGGGTGAATTGGACTCACGAAGAGATGCTCTCAACCTGCTCACTTTTTGTCATGGGGCCTGCCTTCTGTGTGTTAGACAGATGTGAGAAAATTAGAACTACTTTATGCATTTTAAGAAGGAAAAATCGATTTATTTATCACTTGTTTAATTTGGATTTTGAAGTCGTCGAGTCGGAGTCGAAGATATTCTCGAGCGCCACGTGCCAGTCGAAATCGGGGGTGGCCGTATAATTTTGCAACGCACTGTAGCCCGTCGCGTTCCACTCGTCAATAAGTTTTTGAATACGTGGAATGATGTACTCGCCTCTCTCATAGTCGTACACCATTTCATTGCCGTCCGTTTGCTCTGCCTTCTTTGTTGACTCCTCTTCTCTGGAAAACAAATTGGTTGAAGCATAATTTCTTGATTCACAATAATCTTGCTTAACCAGCAATGTTAAGTGTAAGAAAAACCTTTTTTGTGAACCGCCAATGTATAGACTTTCCATAAAAAAGGCTCTTCGTACACTCAACATTGATGACTTTGATTTCTTTTTCATTTTTGATCAAATTATTCAGAAAGAAATTTAAAATGTTTTCCTGTTTCAAATAGGTTCACTCACTCTTTTTCAGAATTCTCCACGTTTCCGCTTTCCGCAGTGAGCTGAAAGCCGTCATCCGTAAATGACCATTCATCCAACGGTGGCACCAGATTGTATTGATGCTCATTTGACTGCCGATGTTCCCCATTCCCAGTCTCGACTCCGTGAGTATGGTTTCCATCAAACATCGTCTCCCAAGGAATGCCTGCCTGTTCAACCTGCTTATTCAGAAGAGTTCGATAGTCATTTGGCTGCGGATGATTGATGTTTCCACTCTCGATGCCAGGCGAATAACTTGGAATTGTCTCCCAATGAAAGTGTCCATGATTGACCTGCCAATTCATTTGTGAGACTGGTTTGCATCGTTGATTGTCCAGACCAGGGGGTGTGTTAAATTGGGTTTCGGAAAATTTTGTGCCCCCCCCCCCCTTAGTCAGACCTTGATTTTCGATACTTACCATGTTAGTTTGATGAATATTGTTTGCACAAACCATTGTTCCAAACCAATTAAGGTCATGTTCGAGCTGCGGATACCCATTTGCGTGCAGATGCGCAATCTTCTCATTCTGGTTGACGGCAATCACAATCTCATTTTGATTAGCCATGTTCTTAGTTCCGTATTCTGCTTGCAGGTTGGACTCTTCAGCTTCATCCGAGTCGATTTGATTTACCAAGTTGTTTTTCGTATTTCTTTCCTTTTCCAAAAGGAATTTGTCTAACCAGACCATGTCATCATAAAGTTCCCAAAGCGACTTGACGCCCTGAAATAAATTATCTCGCTCGCCTGTTTCAATAAAGCTCACCTCTGATTCAACCTTCTTTTTCTCTCTCACATATTTGTCACGGATGGTCTTCCATTGCGAAATGAGAAAATCAGTATTTCTGCTGCTCTTCATCCGTTTTCTGATTGAACGCCATGCCTCATCTCTCGTAACTTGAAGTGTTCCTCTACTACAAAGGCAAGGATTCATTCGAACTTCCGCGATGAGTTTCCGTCGAAAATTCAATTTTTCAGAATCAGCGGCCAAAAACGGATCGAGGAATTGAAATTCCTTGAAGTTCGATTTCTGTAGCTCCGAAAAATTACCCCAACGTTTGAGCTTTGTGTATCTATGGCGCATGCCCTGCCAGCGGACTTTCAGTGAGAATCCACCTTCTTTGTGGTCAATCGTCTCCGCAAAATGCTTCCACAGCTCTTCTTTCTTCTTTTTGTCTGCGAATTGCTCGTTCTTGTAGTCGAACAGACACGCATGTTCTTTGACAAGACGCGGAAGATCCACAGAGTACTTTTTGTTTCTTGCCATAGTTCCACTGAAAAATATTGTATAATAGTCATTTTTGCAGACAAATTATGCACAAAAACTATTAAAAACACTACAATTTTGTCACTGCAATGACGACGTTCCTATTGTAAAATGTGGAATTTTGAAATCAATGATAAATATGCCGAAAGGTGTCTTGGAAAGAAGTTATCGATTCGTCAAAGAAATAAAAGAAAAAGAGAAAGGAAGGGGTTGAGGGAAGCGATAAGTGACGAAATCAGGGAGAGGGCTCGACTGGATGAATCACTGGTGAAGACCGTCCTCCCTTGGGTGATGCAATCAGGTAGGATGGTAAGGGACGAATACTCGAGAAAACCATTGGTGCTATGGATGGCTAGAAACAGAGCAAGCAACGCTTATTAATTTCAAAAGATTTTTTCGAAGCTGTCATTGAAATCAAGATTTTTGGATTTCCCGATTACTTTCAACACACTCTTCTACTGAAAAAACAAGAACAGCATCTTGGCGGAAGTGCTTCCGTATTGTAAGATGTGTAAGTCACAAAGAAACTGATAAATATGCTCAGAACACAGTAGGAGCTGGTAAAAAGCACAGTGAGAGAGGCGAAAAGAAAGATATCGACTTGCGAATGAATCAGAACTTGCGAAAGAAAAGGGTGCAGGGAAGCGATATGTTTTGGAATACAGAGGGCGGGGAGAGCGAGATTGAGACTATTGGATGATTCATCGACAGCGACTACCCCTCGCACAATGTTAGCGGTAAAGTACACGCGAGCTTTTTAGAAAGTGAGGGGACTCCAACGTTTCGCAACTCGACATTTTGAAACCACGCCGTTTCGCAACTAACGTGAACTTCTTAGCGATAATTGGCACTGTTGAAGTTAACGTGGATCGAGACGTCGCGGTTTCCAAAAGTCAAGTTGTCCTCCGACTGAAACTGTTGCGATACATATGTTTGAAGCTCTCCTCTTACGAAAATCCGCTCTGATGAGTCGAAATTTGTCTGAAATTGGTCTTTGTTGAGCCTTTCTCACACACCACCACCGTTTCTCCTCGAAGAAGTCCGTGCTGCTATCTACTCATTTCCGAGCGTGAAAGCAGCGGGTGATGACAAAATCACGGCAGACCTTCTCAAAAGCTGCCACGATAATGTTATCTCCCTCATAACGGTCAGATTCTCAGAATACCTCAGAAGCGGAAGAGTCCCAAAACAATGGAAAACGTCTAACACCACCCTGATCTTCAAAAAAGGAGACAGGGAAAATTTGGAGAACTACAGGCCGATCTGCCTCCTCCCCGTCCTATATAAAGTATTCTCTAAATGTGTGCTCAATAGGATTCGGAGAACACTAGAAGAAGCCCAACCAGTCGAGCAAGCTGGATTTCGTCAGTCCTTCTTTACGATCGACCACATCCACTCAGTCCAGCGACTACTCGAGGTTGGTCGCGAGTACCAGATCCCACTCACACTTGTCTTCATAGACTTCCACAAGGCATTCGACAGTGTTGAGCCAGGAGCTATCTGGAAAAGTCTCCGAAGGCAAGGGATAGATCCGGCCTACATCAACCTACTCAAAGAGTGCTATACCAACTGCAGCACAACATTCACACCCTTCCACCGACCTGTGACGGTCCTAATCACGAGAGGAGTGCGGCAAGGCGATCCTATCTCGCCAAACTTGTTCTCGGCCTGTCTAGAACTAGTCTTCAGCCAAATGTCCTGGAACCATCTGAAAGGACACGACGAGGACCACGCGACAAACCCTGGAATCAGAATCAACGGCAGAAATCTAACGCATCTAAGATTTGCAGATGATATTGTCCTAGCGGCAAATCATCCAAATACTGCCAGCGAGATGGTCCAGGAACTAGTGGAAAGGTGTGCAAAAGTAGGTCTCCAATTCAATACTAACAAAACCAAAGTGTTGCGAAACACATTTGCCACCGACCATCCGGCGCAACCACCACCACCGCCATCGAAGATGTCAACGAGTACATCTACTCAGGTAGACTACTCAACGGACGAAACGAATTTCAGCCGGAGCTCCATAGAAGGCGACGAGCAGCGTGGGCAGCATTCAACGGAATCAAGAACACCACGGATGCCATCACCTGCCCCAAAAACCGTGCCAGACTCTTCGACTCAATCGTCCTCCCGGCGCTCGCTTACGGCTCAGAAACCTGAACCTTTACGAAGGCACTGGCTGAAAGAGTGCGAGTAACCCACGCGTCATTGGAAAGGCTCGCTCTCCCAGCAAAGAGAGAGAAATCTCCATCGAGAAGACATCCGACGCCTATCCGGCGTCCGCGACCCTCTACTCCACATCAAAAAGAGGAAGTTAGGCTGGGCCGGACACGTGGCACGAAGGACAGACAACCGGTGGACCACTCTGACGCAAGAATGGATCCCAAGAGACACAAAGCGACCGGTCGGCAGACCGCCGATGAGATGGATCGACGCCCTCAACAAAGAAGTCACCATCCGACAAGGAAACCGAGTGGTACCATGGAGCACCATTGCTAAAGATCGGAAGGCGTGGTGTGCTGTGATCCGCGCCCACACAACGTGAGCGAGGAACGGATCGACTAAGTAACTAAGTAACTAAGTAACACTGTTCTACTGAAAACACAAGAATAGCATCTTGGCGGAAGTGTTTCCGTATTGTAAGATGTGTAAGTCACAAAGAAACTGATAAATATGCTCAGAACACAGTAGGAGCTGGTAAAAAGCACAGTGAGAGAGGCGAAAAGAAAGATATCGACTTGCGAATGAATCAGAACTTGCGAAAGAAAAGGGTGCAGGGAAGCGATATGTTTTGGAATACAGAGGGCGGGGAGAGCGAGATTGAGACTATTGGATGATTCATCGACAGCGACTACCCCTCGCACAATGTTAGCGGTAAAGTACACGCGAGCTTTTTAGAAAGTGAGGGGACTCCAACGTTTTGCAACCCGACATTTTGAAACCACGCCGTTTCGCAACTAACGTGAACTTCTTAGCGATAATTGGCACTATTGAAGTTAACGTGGATATCGAGACGTCGCGGTTTCCAAAAGTCAAGCTGTCCTCCGACTGAAACTTTTGCGATATGTTTGAAGCTCTCCTCTTACGAAAATCCTCTCTGATGAGTCGAAATTTGTCTGAAATTGGTCTTTGTTGAGCCTTTCTCACACACCACCACCGTTTCTCCTCGAAGAAGTCCGTGCTGCTATCCACTCATTTCCGAGCGTGAAAGCAGCGGGTGATGACAAAATCACGGCAGACCTTCTCAAAAGCTGCCACGATAATGTTATCTCCCTCATAACGGTCAGATTCTCAGAATACCTCAGAAGCGGAAGAGTCCCAAAACAATGGAAAACGTCTAACACCACCCTGATCTTCAAAAAAGGAGACAGGGAAAATTTGGAGAACTACAGGCCGATCTGCCTCCTCCCCGTCCTATATATAAAGAATTCTCTAAATGTGGCGCTCGCTTACGGCTCAGAAACCTGGACCTTTACGAAGGCACTGGCTGAAAGAGTGCGAGTAACCCACGCGTCATTGGAAAGGAGACTCGTCGGACTGTCGCTCTCCCAGCAAAGAGAGAGAAATCTCCATCGAGAAGACATCCGACGCTTATCCGGCGTCCGCGACCCTTTACTCCACGTCAAAAAGAGGAAGTAAGGCTGGGCCGGACACGTGACACGAAGGACAGACAACCGGTGGACCACTCTGACTCAAGAATGGATCCCAAGAGACACAAAGCGACCGGTCGGCAGACCGCCGACCGATGAGATGGATCAACGAACTCAACAAAGAAGTCACCATCCGACAAGGAAACCGAGTGGTACCATGGAGCACCATTGCCAAAGATCGGAAGGCGTGGTGTGCTGTGATCCGCACCCACACAACGTGAGCGAGGAACGGATCGACTAAGTAACTAAGTAACTATGTAAGTAACACTGTTCTACTGAAAACACAAGAACAGCATCTTGGCGGAAGTGTTTCCGTATTGTAAGATGTGTAAGTCACAAAGAAACTGATAAATATGCTCAGAACACAGTAGGAGCTGGTAAAAAGCACAGTGAGAGAGGCGAAAAGAAAGATATCGACTTGCGAATGAATCAGAACTTGCGAAAGAAAAGGGTGCAGGGAAGCGATATGTTTTGGAATACAGAGGGCGGGGAGAGCGAGATTGAGACTATTGGATGATTCATCGACATCGACTACCCCTCGCACAATGTTAGCGGTAAAGTACATGCGACATTCTTAGAAAGTGAGGGGACTCCAACGTTTTGCAACCCGACATTTTGAAACCACGCCGTTTCGCAACTAACGTGAACTTCTTAGCGATAATTGGCACTGTTGAAGTTAACGTGGATATCGAGACGTCGCGGTTTCCAAAAGTCAAGTTGTCCTCCGACTGAAACTGTTGCGATACATATGTTTGAAGCTCTCCTCTCACGAAAATCCACTCTGATGAGTCGAAATTTGTCTGAAATTGGTCGTTGTTGAGCCTTTCTCTCTGTTTGTTCTTATCTCCCACAAATTTCAGCGATATCAGTCAAAAAAAGAGAAACGGATTGAGAACGTCTTTTTGCATCTCCTCTTTCGAAAATCCGCTGTGATGAGTTTAAACGTGTCTGAAATTAGTGCTTTTTATCATTTCTCTTTGATTTCTCTTATCTCCTACAAATTTCAGCGATATCAGCCTCAAAGAAAAGATAATTGGATTGCTCTTTTTCTTTTTTTCTTCAACGGAAATTATACTATACAGTCCCCTTTTACTTTTTTGCTGGCTTCGCCTCTCTTTCTTCCCGACACAACCTTGCGACCATTGCGTACGGTCCGGCGTTTGCGGACTTTCGAAACGTTTTCGAAACGTTGCTCCGCAGCGATAAAGCGGCCTGCACTCTGTTTGAGGGAATTTAACATTTTTCAGTCTTCAAATGTTCGAAGTCAACTATTTAGTTGGAACTCTTTGTTACCTATCTTTTTCGTTCTCCGTCGCAATCTCAGAAGAAACATGCGAGCAGTTGCCCTAGCGGAAAACTTTTTTTCTACTCTATCCGTTCAAAAAGGATAGGTGAGAGCGGTTCTCACCTCCCATTCTTATTCTCTTTTCGAGAACAGCGATTTTTTTCTGAATACACAAAGAGCGGACGATTTTCTCTTCTATCTCTTTCTTCCATATTCATGTATTTCTTCCAGCACAGCTCTTCCTCGTAAGCACCTTTCAATTTAATTTTTCCAGATTTGCAAGATCCTTCAACCATGTGGTATTGTCTATTCTCTACTAAAGATATGCATTACTCGTTTTTTTTCTGTTGAATGGATGGGTATCAAATTCACTCTACTCAATTTTGAGTTCATTTGGGTCATCATGATTTTCGTACAACGTCCCAAAGAGGAAGACAACAAATGGAGAAGAATAGAAACGATGAAATAAAACGTTGCGAGGGCATAACCGAGGAATATATTGCCCCGAACGCTCACTGACAAAAACTCGATGACAGTTTCGAAAAGGGAGCGGAAAATATATGCTTCTAATTCTGAAACTAGATCAGATAAAATGTAGTTACAGTAAGTCTTCTTAAATTTTCCTAACTTCCCACACGAAGACAGGTACTTCCCACCAGAGAAAATCTCAATTCTACTCTGTTGGGCTCATCCAAAACTTTTTAAAACTGCTCAAAAAGTAGTGTTGAAGGTTGAAGGATCTTGCAAATCTGGAAAAATTAAATTGAAAGGTGCTTACGAGGAAGAGCTGTGCTGGAAGAAATACATGAATATGGAAGAAAGAGATAGAAGAGAAAATCGTCCGCTCTTTGTGTATTCAGAAAAAAATCGCTGTTCTCGAAAAGAGAATAAGAATGGGAGGTGAGAACCGCTCTCACCTATCCTTTTTGAACGGATAGAGTAGAAAAAAAGTTTTCCGCTAGGGCAACTGCTCGCATGTTTCTTCTGAGATTGCGACGGAGAACGAAAAAGATAGGTAACAAAGAGTTCCAACTAAATAGTTGACTTCGAACATTTGAAGACTGAAAAATGTTAAATTCCCTCAAACAGAGTGCAGGCCGCTTTATCGCTGCGGAGCAACGTTTCGAAAACGTTTCGAAAGTCCGCAAACGCCGGACCGTACGCAATGGTCGCAAGGTTGTGTCGGGAAGAAAGAGAGGCGAAGCCAGCAAAAAAGTAAAAGGGGACTGTATAGTATAATTTCCGTTGAAGAAAAAAAGAAAAAGAGCAATCCAATTATCTTTTCTTTGAGGCTGATATCGCTGAAATTTGTAGGAGATAAGAGAAATCAAAGAGAAATGATAAAAAGCACTAATTTCAGACACGTTTAAACTCATCACAGCGGATTTTCGAAAGAGGAGATGCAAAAAGACGTTCTCAATCCGTTTCTCCTTTTTTTCTGACTGATATCGCTGAAATTTGTGGGAGATAAGAACAAACAGAGAGAAAGGCTCAACAAAGACCAAATTCAGACAAATTTCGACTCATCAGAGAGGATTTTCGTAAGAGGAGAGCTTCAAACATATCGAAACAGTTTCAGTCGGAGGACAACTTGACTTTTGGACACCGCGACGTCTCGATATCCACGTTAACTTCGCGAGAGCATCGGCATCGAATTCACATGACCGTCTTGAGGAACCGCAAATTCAGATATATCCGAACCGTCCGTTGTCTTGAGACTATTGAGTTTAGCATAAATGTCGTTAACGCTCACTCCGTCATCGGAAATCTGGAAAAGGTCATAATTAATTAGCTCTTTTCTGACATTATTCACCTCAAACAATTTCTCTGAAAACGTGTCGGTTAATGGAAAAAGTTGAGATGACGTCGGATTGACAATTTGCTCTCCCGGTTGACCTTTTCTGTAGGAGTAGCTGGTGTTTTCTCCGGTTTCCAGCACTTTTTCCGAAAAGGTATATAGAAAAATCCCATGTCTCTCGCTGATAACATCTAGAGAAACTTTCTGCTTATTTTGGATAGAAAGTGGTTGATCAACGAGTTCGTTGGCTTGAAAACATTTTGGAAGTCCAGCAAAGCACATGAGAATATTTTCGCTGCGAGAGTTCTGAAAACAATAGATACTACTGTTGCTTTCCAGCAAATTCATCCCACATACCTGTTCCGCAGTGTAAAGGACAAAAGTTTCCAGGTAATCAAAGTTGCTGACAAGAATTTGAGTCTCATCTTCCGCTAACTGAAAATAATTAGGTTCTAGACCGGTTTCAAGAACCTATTTGATTATAAACTTACCGACAAGACTATTTCACAGTTATTGACTTTGCAATCTTCTGATGTCGAATAACACGTTTTGTTTTTACTGCAAAAATGCAGAAGTTCCGCCTTTGGAATAAAAGCGAAATCAGCTGGAACTACGAACAGCAAAGAGAAAATAAAAAGAAACAGTAACATTCTCAATATTTTAAGGGTTAGTGAATAATTTTGAGAATAACACAATTAAAAAGGAATCTTTCTATTATCTTCGGACCATAAACGTTATATTATCTCCACATGCATTGTCATCAATTCTTGAAAATTCAATAAGATAGGATAAAAAAAGAGAATGCGCCTTATTTTTCTCATCTTCCACGGATTTCTGCGTTATCAAACTTACAAAAAACGAGAAACAAATGGAGAACGTCTATCTCCATCTCCTCTATCGAAAATTCGCTTTGATTTGTGGAAATTTATCTGCAATTGGTCTTTTTTCATCCACTTGAGCCGTTCGTAAGACCTCTCCCGTCCGCCATCTCAAAAAACCGGTGACCGTCACCAGTCCATGGCAATTTTTAAAAAATTCCATTTACCTGTGACCGTCTGCTTAAACTTGGGACCCCTGTATGGGACTTAAACCGAATAAACAAACAGCTTCAATTATTTAGAGGTGACTTGTTGCTTCCACACAACTTTGAATGTTTACCATACTTTTGGCGCCCCCTGTACATTGGGTCCAGGTTACAGACCGATCGGACTATCGACTCTGTGTTGAATGCTTGCATTCGAAATCGGAAGTTTTTCAATTCCTTATCACTCTTTTTCCGAATTCTCTTGACACGGTGCCATGACGTTTCGAAATCCTTATCGTTCTGTCCCATCGAAGTCCATTGTAGGCGTCCTTATCACTGATATTTGTCTAAAATTAAGTCTGCTTCTTTGAAACTTGCCGCAAATCCACTTGAAGCTCACATTCCCACACCTGCGGTCTTAATTAAACGCGGAGATTAGTGATAAGAATGCCGGCAAAGGACTGTGATGGGAAAGTATACCAGGCTCACAACAGGAAGAAGGAAAAGCCAGAGAGAGTTGACTTCTTGCATAGCCATAATCCGACGGGAACTATGCAATTATTTGACACGGAGGACTATTGTCTGATGATGCTAGTGGATGTCAGATGCTGAGATCTTCTTGATGAGGACCTATCCCTTTTGATTCTATTTTTTCGTGACGCTGCGAAGAAACACCGCGGTCCGGTAATCCTACTTTTCAGAGTTTACTATCAGAGGTAATTTATCACGGTTGTATATTTCTTTCAGTACGGGGAGAAGAGGACTGCTGATTGACGCCATGAAGATCACTATCGCCAAGAATTGTTTCGACTATTACTGCAAAAGATGTTATTGAGTCCCGGATATGAAGACAACTTTTAGTACGCGGAAGAGAGAGGGCTAAGCTTTTCTTCCGTCTTACCTTAATTAAATTTCAGGTCTCCATGAAGACGCAGCAATGGTTATTCGTTTTCAGAAAACGGAGGAGCATTTTGCGCGGCAAAGAAAATACGACGAGCAGGCAAGCAAATCGTTTTTATACAACGGATCTTATGACGGAAACACGGCTTATTACAGAACTAATGGTTCTAATTGAATACATCAGTGGGACGATTGGACAAACTATTCGAAGACGGCCCACGAGGAAGTCTAGAGAAGTGCCTACAATTTAGTTTTTCAGAACATGACTAAATTTATCTTTCAAATACATACAATGTTATCATATCAGTAAGGAAAATGCAATTCCGTAGTTAACAAAGGAAAGCGGACCAAATTCATCACTGAATTATTCATCTCTTTTGTCGTGTGACCAACAACAGAAAACTGTGAAACGGAACATGCAATGCATTGTTAAAACCAGTATAAAACGAGCGATAGTGGGAGACTGACCAAATACAACAAAATGCAGCCGATTCTGTCAGCTCTTCTCCTCGTCATCGCCCTCGTTGTTACTTCTTCTGGACAAGACACCTTTAGTGTGGATGAATTCACAAAAAATAAAGATACCGAGATTTCCGTTGGAACCGAGATATCCCATCAAACAACAACCGTAAGAGAACACTGTTTTTTGAAATGTTTCTTAACCAAATATCCTATCGAATTCTATCTTTGCACTGTTATAATAGCTTCAAAAAGCCTTCAGCCCAGTCCTGATTTTCAACTTAAATACTATGATTTTTCAGTGGACAGCATCTTGGAAAGTTGGCAACGAGACCCTCTGTACGTATTCCAAGTATCTTAAAGTTTTGGTCGTCGCTACTCCGGCACCAGCTACAGTTTCCCCAACAAATGGAGTTGCCAGTTGTATTCAACAGCCGTACGTTTTACCTGTTTTAAACATGACGTGTCGTTTCCGAAAACCAACCTTTTAGTGTAGGAAAATTTGATGAAACTAATATAATTTCCAACATTTCTAGGTGTGACAAATCAACTGCGTTGGCCCCCATCGACTGCGTCACTGCTTTTGGAGACAAACTCGCTATCATTGAAAATCAGTGAACTTCTTTTATGTTCTAACGAATAACGTTTGTGTGAATAAAGCTGATTTAAAATTGCAAAAAGAACGGTGAAGGAGCGTAGAGGAAACCTTTGCTGACTCCAAAGAAAAAGGTTTTAGACTGCACGGCGTTTTCTCTACAGGACTAGCCCGTATCCAGGCCTGAAACCCGGCGGTGACCAGTTTTTACAGCGATTTTTTCAATCTTCCACCATTTCTTCATGTCGAAAAACGGCAGAGTCACATGATGGCCTAGAAACCTGCTGGCCGCCGCCGGCAGCATGTGGCCTGCGAAAAACCGATATCTTGATTGGCACGTCATCACTCCTGTTTCTTCCTTTTCCTTCCGCTTTTCAGATGTTTTTCCGACAAACAGTGATAGGAAAAATTCATATTTGAGATATACTAGAGAAATATTAGCCTAATCGAAGAAATTTTATCGAGTTTTGTTGTGAATCCGTTAGTTGGCCTAAAATATGACTATTTTGCCGTTGCATCACTGTTTTTCTGCTAGAAATTTCCATTTTTGAATGATTTTAGCCAGTCTGCATTAACATTGGTATAAATATTAACAACTGGTCGTGGCCGGCGAACACGTGGCCAACGAACAATCAATATCTTGATTGGCACGTCATCACTCCAACTCCAACTTTCAACAAACGTTAGGAATTAGGGCAACTTGATAGAAATATACGTAGCTTTGCAATTCTTTTATCATTCAATCCACTTTGTTTCACTAAAATAATATATTTTTAGACGAACATGGCAGCTCTCCTCAACAACGTTCTTCAATTGTTGATGCGAGAAGCGCAGCGACTGGGAATGGACCCCATGATGGATGTTCTGGTACCAATGGAGTTGGAAGAGCGGCTCGCTATGTTGCCCAACAATCCACGGATTGCGGCTCCTCCGCTTCTGGTTCCACCTGCTCAGCAGCCGATGTTCAACGAATTCGATCCGTTCCAGGCAGCGTGGGCCGATTTTCTTGACCATGGAGCTGCTGCGGCGAATGCTCAAGCAGCTGGTCAACAATTCGCACCGGCTCATGCTCCAGAACAGCCTGTGCACCCTGATGATCAACCATTTTTCGATAGAATGAACGAGTTGCTCGGCCCGCATCAGTACCAAGCTATGATGCATTTGATTTTGCAACATCGCGATCAAAAAGCGCAACTTGTGCAGCAGCACACACAGGAAGTGATGTTCCTTGCCGCTCAACAACAATTCGAGAGGAACCAGCTGTTTGGATTCGATCCAGCTATATACGAATATCTTGTTCAAATGGCGCCACCAGCTCGTGGAGCTCCACTCCCACAGGTGGTTCCACCTGCGCCGTTTGCTCCATTTGGTCAATTTGCTCCAATGGCTCCAGTTGTTCCAGCGGCTCAACAGGCTCCAGTTGGTATGGTCCCTCGAGCTGCGCACATCGCTCCAGTTGGTCAATTAGTTCCAATGGCTCCGATTGTCCCGGCGCCCCTGCCGGCTCGAGCAAGACCAGTTGTTCCGGCGTTTCGTGCTCCTCAGGAGAATCAAGCGGCTCTAGTTCTTCCAGAGGCTAGAGCTGCTGGAGCTGCTGCTGGAGTTGCTGGAGTTGCTCCAGCTGATCCAGTACCAGCGGAAGGACAAAGGGACCCAGAAAGACGACGAGCAAGACTGCAAGGAATTCAGAGAAGAAGAAATCTTCTCAACCGCAACAATCGCGTCCTGGGCCGCCATCAGGCTGAGGAGGGTGCTGTGCGACTTGGAGCTCAAGGAGGCGCTCTGAGACTTGGAGCTCAAGTAGGCGCTCTGAGACTTGGAGCTCAAGGAGGCGCTGCGCGACTTCGACCTCAAGAAGGCGCTGCGAGACTTGGAGCTCAGGAAGGCGCTGCGCCTGGAATTGGTAGAGTCTTTCCTCATCTAGACGTGTTTCCGCGCCGTCTGCCAGATCTTCTACGTCCCGAACAGCGAGCTGATCCCGAATTGTTCCGTCAACACCTACGACCTCCCGGACCAAATAATCAATAGGTGAGTGCCATTGAGCTGAGTTATTTTGTTTCATTTTTAATTTTCAGGTACTCTATCAGCATCACGTGCCAACAACCACGCCATTCTTCCCATGCTACAAAGCATTCGTTTGCCACCTTCTTCTTCTTTCCGTTTTCATTATCTGCGCCCCATAATCGACTTCTCCCGGCTAGCCTAAATTCAGTATTTTTTATATTCATTCTGCCCAATAAATTTTCTATAATTATTGATTTCACTCACATTTTATGCTTCAAAAATGAAGAATATTCCTCTGAATATCTTGAACTTCTTCATGATTCACAGGCTTTGTCGTCCGAGCCAAACCGACACGATTCGAGGTAAAACATTTGTTCGAAAACGTGTAAATGATGACGCAAAAAAGTCGTGATTTACATAACAATCACTGGCTTCGTTTGTGAAAATTCCATAAAAATCTATTCCTCGTCTTAAAATTGACGGTTTCACCGTTTTCTTCTAGATACCAAGTGCAACGTTTTGCCAGTTTTTGCTTTGAATCTGCTCGATGACTTTATAACTTCTTTTCCGTTTTCTTGTAATTTGAAAACTGCTCATTTCATCTTGAAAATCGGTCCAACTGATGCAATCCAGTGAAGAATCAATAAATTGCTTATTTTCCTGTTCAAAACACACTTTCCATCCACTCATAAATCTTCCGAGTCGTCAGAAACAAATTTTTCTGTGATTATTCCACCAAAATACATCGAAAAGCGTATGATACGTGGTCATTCCTGCAGCGGCAGTCTTCCGCTGGCCTAGAAACATCCCCTCGGCCACAAAAACCCCCTTCCCCCTCTCGACCGCTCGCTTGCGGAGGGGTGGCGTGACATCGGTTTGCACTCTTTCCTCCGTCGTTTATCTTTGTTTTCCCCCCTTTCCCTTTGCCTCTCCTTCTTCTTCCGACTGTCTCGTTCATCTCACTTAATTACAGGAAATCCATCTGCATTCCAATGTTCTCTTCTAAATGGCGCGATACATCATCCCATCTGTGACTATTTCGTGAGTTTCCTCCTGAAAATCTGTCCAAATAACGTATTTTGTCGATTTCAGAGCCATTTACGGTGTGTACAAATCATATTGGCCGGATAAAAACGACAAGAAGACCATTCTATCTGTGGAGGACGCTGTCAAACTCCTGAATACGAATGCAAACACCTCCGAGGCCCTCAAATACATACAACGCACAGAGAGTGAGTCCCTGCCACTCACCCGAGCGTGCACGGACGGACCATTGACTCGAATTATCGATTTTTGTAGGCAAAGACTTTCTGAAGACGTTGAACCCGGCCGCAGTGGCTCTTCTCGCAAGATCTGGCTCCGAGTTATGCCTGAAAATCCCGGTGAAATCGTGTCTGGAGCACAATTTGGATGTGACCGAGGCGTTGAGCAAGGTAAGTTTTGAAATATTGAAGAATGTTCGCAAAACACAGTGTTCTTGCAGTTCAATCTTGGCGACAAGTGGAACAGCAGCATAGAATGGATAAATCGGGTGGCGTGTCCGGAAGAGGACCTCTCCTGTTCTGATGAATGGCTCGTAAGGCTGCCGAGTCAAGTCGAACGGCTCCGCAGGATGTTGCAACTCCTTTTTCTGACAACGGAAGTGAGCATTTCATCGAACCAGCGTGACATTGAAAATCGAAAATTTGTGAGGCTAGCAGTCTGCCCAGAGTAACCAGAAGAGAAAAAAGCCGAAAGCGTTCCGTATAATGTGAACCAATGTGAAGCAATGAACGGCAAGAAAAGAGAAGATACCAATTTTTGATAAGGAGTGTTCGCGGAGAAGAAAACATCAATTTTCTTATCAGTAGCGTGAAACCGACTCAAATTTTTCGGATACTGTTTGTTCAATTTCTTCTTGGCTGTTTAGAGTTCTAAAAGTGACTCTACAGATCAATGTGCACTCTCAAAATTCCCGAAATTTCACGGGATTTCCTGGGAATTTCGGAATCCGTGTTTTCTTTGGGAAACCCCATGTTAGAAACCTGAACATTATTACATTACAGAAAGACTTTGATGTCTCCGCCATTAACACCGACGTCATTCCGTTCTTGTTCAACGTCTACGCGGAGTTCTTCGACACAAACAAGGACATGGCACTGCTGGCTCTTAAAATCCTCTCTAACATTGTCGGCGCTGATGAAAAGTACGCAAAGTCAATGCTCGACTCGGAATGGCTGCCTCTGATAAGCACGATGGTGACGAGCGGGAAAAGTTTGATGGAGCGCTTATTATCACATAAAGTGAGTGTGTCCTCTTATCATCAATTCGATCAAAAACTGCCTTTAGGTGTGCCAAAATGCGTTGAGTTCACTGAAATCTGTCGACTATCGGTTATCATCCGATATTTATGAAGTGTTTCTCCCTGATGAAGAGCCCGAGGTAACTTTTCGAAAGATGGAACTAGTCAATCAGCCAATCAATCTTCTCGCGGGATGGCCAGCAGAAATTTTGAGCGGCGATTCATCAAAAACAGAATGAAAAAGAGATTACACTCGGGGCGTTATCACGTGTCGGGCGAGCGGTGGTTGCTTGCAAAAGTACACTCACACACGGGGAAATATGTGATCTTAGCAAAGCAAAAGCAGGCTGACTGGAGGCGGCAACTCGCAGCAAAAATGCTTCAAAACGTTGATGCCAATTCAATCTTTAACCTATTAGAATTTTTGTTAGATCCATCAAACACAAGTCTAACACATACCTACTTGCAGATCGATATCGTTCTTATTCATGGATTGCGTGGTAGTGTGGCGTACACGTGGCGACAGAAGGATACAGATGAAAACCTTCTGACGACATGTTGGCCCAAGGATTGGCTCCCACTGGATATCAAGAGACCTTTTCGGATCATTGGCCTCGAGTATCCTTCGTATATCTTCCAATTCGGTGGAGCTGTACATAGTTTACAAGTAAGTTCCTATAAAAAATTAGTTCCGGTATGTGTCCAGCGCTACGAGGGCGATCTGCAAACAGTAATTGTTCTTGTGGAACCAAAGGTTCTCCAGAAACTGTTCACATTTGTCTTTTTATTATTGTTAATCATCAGAAAAGAGAAAAAACGGGCATATCGAAAAGTGGCCCAGACCGCACCCAGACGGCCCCAAAAGCATCGACCCCAACAAGTCTGGAATAGGCCAAATGACGCCGTTATCTGAATCACAAAAAAATCAATCAAACCGAATTACCTCTTTTTCAGACCCGCTCTGATCGTTTCAAAAACCAACTTGAGACCGCCGGCATCGGAAAGCGCCCCACGTTATTCATCTGCCACTCGATGGGTGGTCTTCTCGCCAAAAAGTTGCTCATCGACTGTCCGGAATTGCTCAAATGCACAGTCGGAGTGTTATTCATTGCGACACCACACAAGGGAAGTCCAGTTGCCAACTGGGGATATTCTGTGTTCCAGCCGACCGAAGATGTCGTGATGCTCAACGAGAATAACGCAATGAACAAGAAAGTGAGTTAGGTCACTGGGAACACCGAAATTCTTCGTTTTTGGTTATTTGCCCATTTTTGGTTGAAAACCGTATACTTAATGAATAAGCACAGCAAAGTTGATTGTTCAGCTGAACGACGACTTCTCGGCTGTGAGCAAGAAGATTCCGGTCATCGTGAGCATGGTGGAGACTATGGAATCCAATATTATTGGTGAGTTTTTCACAAAATGTCAGAAACTGTGTACTTGATAGAATCCTTAGAATCCCCTGTAAGCTTTGTTAATCTAGTGATAAATGGATATTTGCAGCAAATGCGAAGAGCATCGTCGTTCCGAACAAGTCAGCAGTGTTTGATCAAGGAGCCGTGTATCATATTGAAGAAGCTCACTTGAATCTATGCAAACCGACCCGTAACAGCCCATCGTACGGCGTCATCCTCAATTTTTTGTTAGATTGCTTCCGGGAGTCGGATAAGCGACAGAAATCCTAATTTCCTGCATAATTTGTATATTGTACATTTCTCGCCATCCCCCGTACGGTTTCAAAGGGTTCATACCAGTCAGATCAAAGATTTTCATGTTTTAGGCACAAATTTCCTGCTTTCTTCTTTTTTTCCACATCATGTATCGCATGAAAGATGTACAAAACAAACAAACAGCGTTGAACCGATGAATCGATGAAAAAATATGAGAAGAATGTGGCCTCCTACCCCCCCCCCTAAACCAATCTGAATTTGAATACCATCAATTTTTATGAAAACCTAGGCGACCATTTTCGAAGAATTCTTCTCATATTTTGTGCCCGCCCACGCATTGTGACAGACATAAAACGGTATACAGATATTGTATGCCTCCTGCGGGAAAATGAAACACGTTTCACGCGCTTGCTTGAACGTAGTCCAATAATGATTTGTCTACAATGCCAGCTGATGTGTTGTACACATTTTTTTTTTCGTCTGCTGCTGCCTGTTTTTAATGTTCTCAGGGCCCCCCCCCCAACGAAACGAAAAAAGACAAGGCATAAACCGACAAAACGACCTCTCGATTTTTTGGCCAATTTACTTCTTCCGCTTTCGTTTCGAGTGCTACCAGAAGAAAGGCAAAACGTTTTTTTTATTTTGGTTGACCACCATCAAGTTCTAGGTTTTCTTTGTCTTTCAATCGATACTACACGCTTTGTATCCGAGACAGTACATTTTTGATCTTTTTTGTATGTCTTATGAACAGATTTCAGTGGAAAAATAGTTAGTTAGTTTACAGGCTGTGAAAACTACAAAACTGTGCGAATACCCTAAACTTTTGAATGCTCTTTCCTTACGGAACTTCTTTTTGAGAAGAGAGTTCCTGCAGTTTTCGCCCTTTCTTACAACAATAGGAAACTATGTATGTAGCATTTACAAATTCATTAAATTAGTTCGACTCACCAACAGTTTGAAACAAAAAGGTTTTCTTCAATTTGCCTGGTTCAAGCTAGACTATTCGATCCTGCTTCATTTCAAAAACTGTGTTTCCATTTGCATAATCAGATATCTTAACCGAAACGTTGCCCTTCTTCCCCCTCACACCAAACAGGCAAGAAAAGGGGGATATATCGGCGCGCTTGATCTTTTTTTCAATGTCAAACACATTTTTTGGAGTAAAGGAGGAAGGGTGGTGACACTGACTGCCCCCTTCTTTTGCGATCCCCCCGGTTTGGCATGGCATCTCTCGGTGCAAGCGGGGACAGATATCTGTTGTCTATACACACCTTTTCCGATAAACAATTCCCTCTCTCTCTCTCTCTGCTTCTCTTTTTCTCGTTCTGCCCATGTTTGGCGTGTTAATTTCAACGGATTAAACCGAGATCTCACCTATTTTCAATGTGTTTGGACATTATGATTGTTATTCGAGTGTTGCGATTCTTCGGTTTTGAAAAAATGTGTTTGTCATGCAAATTGTAGGGAGAATAGCGGAAATATTGTTCCTTTGTTCGAAAAATGTTGGAAAAAACGTTTTATTCCCATTTTTCTTCCTGGCAAGGTAAAAGCATAGGCAACATTTTTGCTGTACAATATTTTCAATCTGTTTTTCCCAAAAGATCTATCCTGAAACTTTTACTAGCCTTTGAAATCAGATAAAATTTTGAGTCGGTGTGTGTGCTGTCAAAATTATAAGTTCATCATAAATAAATCATTTCTACACCAGGAATCCGGTGTTTTTTCTCAAATTCTTACGGAACTCGAATGTTTTGCATCCACCCACTCTTATCATGTCGACGTGGCAATGCAAATGTACATATGCGAAAAAACACAGTTCAAAACGCATTTTCCTTTTGTTTTATTGTTTGTGTTCAGCCATTTTGTGACGAAGACGACGACCGATCATACAATATTCGTCCTGAAATTGGAAAAAAGCCTATTGTCATCGGTTCTTCTCCGTTTCACCTTCCCCATTTTTCTCGGTGAGACGTGTCATGTACCCGACTTGCCATTTCATTTTTCCGTACAAAAAAGTACACAAAACCAGCCGGAAATTTATGGTTCTTCACTGTTTTGTGTCGATTTCCGTTAAAAGTGGATAGATAATATCAGTGGCGTATAAAAGTTATATATATATATATTTTTTTCGAGAATAACCAGTTCATCCGAAACCGAACTCAATTATACTTGTTCCGTTCGATGAAAAACGGAGTAGGTGAAAGGTGAAGTGGCAGAAAAAAGTCAAAGTGTCAAAAAGTGCCATTCACACTTGATTTCGTTCAGAAATCGCTGACAAACCCAACAAAAATGTTATGAATTTGTGACGATATTTGTGCGGTTTTTTCAATTTTCTTGCCTCGCCTGTCAACTTTATTGCTTTTTCATTCAAAAGAAAACTGGTAGAAACATTTGCAATGAACGATTGAGAAAACCAGAAAAATTGCCGGAATTCCTTGAAACTAATTCTAATTTTTCTAAACCTCACATGATCTTGAGTCAAACGGCTTCTTCTCGCTTCTCCAACTTGTTCCTCCTACTGAACAATGTGATGTACTCAACCATTTTTTGGTATAATACAATTTGCTTGTAAAGCGGTAAAATCTCTTCCCTTTCTTCGCCCCTCATCGGATCCTCACCACATTTGACAAGCCTCATTAGTTTTGCCTCCTTCTCATATCTTAACAATCTCCTTCTTCTTCTTCTTCTTCTTCTTTCACCCCCTCCCCCCTTCTCTTCCTATTCAATTTCCTCATCCGAGGAGAGGAAGAAGCTTACTGAAGCCTACAAAAGTATCATCAGAATCAGGATGGGAAGGAGGAAAAGGGGGACACAAAAATGCGTGAAATCGGGTTGATTCGTCACATCATCATAGAATATGTACAAGTACTGTACGGTTTCACCAAAAAAGTTGACAAGTGCTAATGTGGGGGAGGTGCCCCCAGGTGAAGCTGAAGCTTCGCCATTCGGGTCTTCTCACTGATTTGATGATCTAAAATCTCTTCTTCTCGGTGTAAATGGATGGATAGATCAGAACGAAAAGTGTCTTATCTTATCTTTTCTTGTTCTTACTTCTTAACAGATTTCCATTCACTTTCTCGAATTTCGAATTTCTTTTTTTTGTGAACATCTGTGAACCTTTTGAATGACCTGTAAGACTGTAATCGTATTGGCTGGAACATACTTCTACATAGAGAAACTAACGTTTCCTTGCTTACATGGCTAATTTTACTGTAACTCGACTAATCACTGTAGAGCCGTATCGCACATGTCAGACTAGTCATGAGCCGGGACGACACCGCCCTGCTCGGCATGATCGTCTATGTCAACAGTAAAATACTTCGAAATCCCGGTTGTTTGACTCTGTTTGGCTTATATTCCTAATCTTGACCAAAATTTTCTGGTAAAAATAGAAGCATTTCAATGTTTTATCATGAGCCGTGCTGACCTGTGGCAGATCGGCTTCTGGTTTCGAGAAGTTTGACAGATTGAATCGCACAAATTCATAAAATTGTGACTCTTGACTGACCACTGAAAAGTTTGCCCATTGACCAAAGGCCAACCCAAAAAACCATAAAATGGTTAGTCATGGTCTTCTATATCTTATTGTTCTTCCTCCAGTCAGAACAGTACCAATTTTTACAGTTTCGTGCCTTGAGGTAGAAGAGGAAGGAGGACGGTCTTCCACTTAACATTCGGTCTGATGAATCATCCCCCTAACCTTTTGAATTTCTTGGAATGAATCGAATCAAAGGAATTCAAAGACCACATGATGGGTGGGGGGCTAGGACAGTTCGACTGACTCTCTATCACTGTCTCCCTTGACCACGTGTCACCAGATGTTTTCACCTTTCTCCTCGCCTCATTTTTCAAATTTTTCTCTTCCGTCTCGTGGGGTCGACAGTCACAAGTAAAGGGTAATTCAACAGTGGAAGAGCGCCCCCAAAAAACTTGATTTTCACTGTATGCGCCTTCCGTTTTCTCCACACACTCTAGTTGATGTCTCAAATTAACTGGCCCACCGACAGACGGTATTTTTGCCAAGTGATCCGATCCGAAACAAACAAAAAGTGGGTGGGTCCAATTCTGAAGGTGGTATTGTGACTCGGTGTCATTTCTATCTACAATCCCCTACAACTATCCTATCCTACTACTGAATTTCTCCGAAAATGCACTACAACGACCGTCGTCCATACAACGGTGACCGCTACTATCCGGAGCATGATCCGTTTGACTCTCCGCCACGAATTTCGCATATTCACACTAATGTTCACTACGGTGGACCCACTGGAGGTACCTTTTTGTGACCATGTCGTTATGCTTTGACAATCTAGACTAATGTGCTGAAGCAAATGTACAAAAAATGAACATTTCAGATATGGACATCGCGAAGACGTTCGATCACGAGCCGTTCCGGCACACGGACCCAAAGTACAAGTGTTTGTGCAATAAGATGCATGTCAAGGTGAGCAGATACATAATTCACCGTCTAAAAGTTTAGAAACAGATCATCCTGCCCAATTGATTAAAGTTTATGAACAATTTGTTAAGAGTGTAGTGATTTATAAGTTTGTTCAGGAAAACGTTCTTTTTAGCAAAAACAATTGGCTGGAGAAATATGATACCTTCTGAAAACATGGTTTTTTGTGGAAACACTCATAGCCCTAGATTTTGCAGCAGTATCCCGTGTCAGTAGGTAAAAACAGTAAGGATTTTCTAAATTCGAAAGCTAAAATTGATATTCTAACTGCAATCTGGCGCGTCTTACAGCAAGGTTGCAAGTGTATTCTTGCATTCCTCGTGGCTGTGGTCATCATCGGAATCCTACTTCTCTTCCTCAACTGGAAGTGAGTCTAGTCATCATTACACTCTAATTCTCATTCAATCTTTTCAGCATCGGAACCTGGACAACCGTAATTCTTCACTTCATCCTTCTGCTCGGAGTGATCGCCTGTGCCGCTGCACTCTTCCTCGCAATGAAATCCGAAAAGGAAAAGCTTCTTTTGCCAGTGGCTGGAATCGCTGTAAGTGGCAAAAAATGCAAAATTATCAGCTAACATGATAGAACCCGTCCCGCCTGGGACTACCCGCTGTGACAGTGTAAAAGGTGTGGCCGATAGTCGAGACTTTTCTTTCTCTTCTTCCACCGATCTGTGTATCATATGATTGGAATGTTTGGGGACAGAAATGACATGTTGTGATGGGTGAAATTATGAGGCGGACAACAAAAATGTTCTTTTCCAGGCGTTCGGTGCACTCATCTCTCTGATCTTCTTCATTTTCACGATCTGGTCGCTGATCGACCCAAGTGGAGTCACTGGACAACTTGTTAACAATTTCGTCGTTAGCCAGAACTCTTCGTTGACTGAAGATCAAGGATTAGAGGAGAACCGTGAAGGTATATATTTTATTAAAGAGTTGGTTCAATAACTGGTCATGTCTAGGGTACTTTATCGATAAGATTTTTGAATTCTCGTAAAATGCGAACACTCGAAAAACATTATTATCAACAATTTCAGAAATCCAAGCCGTCTCGGCAGTCAGCGTCGTCCTCTCGCTCGTCGGAATCGCCGCTAGTATCTGGGTGGCGTTTGTGGTGTACAAATATTACATGTACTTGAAAGACATGAAGTTCGCCAGAGTGCCAAAGAATCAGGTGATCATTGATGATTTCGACAATGACTTACTTTATGTACTTGTCTATTACAGGTCCACATTGAAATCACCGATTTGAAGAAGGGAATCAACCAGTAATTCTTTCTTTTTTTATATTTTTTTTTCTTGATTGTTGGCCTTGCATTTAACTAATGTTCACAGCATTATTTGTTCAAAAAATAGACTAAATTCTCGTATTCGTTCTATTGGGAAATAACATGTCAAAAAATTCCACAATATTTAATTTCGAACAAAAATTGCCATTTTCATTTTCCTTTTTCTTTTCATTGTCAATTTTCAATTTCCAACTATCTCTGCAAATAAAATGTATATAAGCCCATTTTCATTATTAAATTAACAATATTGTTCTCAATTGAGAAACAAAATAATTTTTGATGAAAAGCGAGGAGAACTTCAATTCAGGAGAAAAAATAAAGTTATGCAGATTAGAAGAAATTACACGGGAAAAAAATGACAATTTTGTGAGTGAAAGAAGAAAAAAGTTCAGTTCGATTGTTCGAATCGACCTTCGAACCGTTCTATAGGTCATCATTAGTGATGTCGACGAATGCTTGATTTCTCTGTGGAATGCCGTCCTGAAAACTGGTCTTTGTCATGTCAATTCCACGTTTTTCACTAACCGAGATGGTAGTAAGCATTCTGTTGTAGTTGTGGTAATGTTCCATCACTCCCAATGGATCCGTGTCCTCAACCGCGTTTTTCAGCACGATGATTGGTTTTTTGGGATCTCTCTGGAACAAAGCATGGCTTAGTATTTGAGAGATAGCGTGTCGGGCAGAAAAGACCGGATTCTATTTCGTTTCTTTGACTACAACCAGGACTGCAGTCGAGGCCAGCCCAGGCTTTTCGAAGACTGTCGAAGCCTGGAGCTTTGGCCCACTTGCAATAATCCGATTAGGCCCAAACTTTGCTGGCTTCTTGAACTTAAATTGGAGTATCTTGGGTAAAAGTTTCAGACCGATCGGATTACTTGGTCCCGAGATATGTTGAGGTAAAAAAATCCGATCGGTCCTAAACGTGGACCCAATTTACTTCAATACGAATCCAAGAAGCCTACAAAGTTTTGGTCCGATCGGACTGGGTCAAAAATTCAGGCCTCGGCAGTCTTTCGGAAAACCTTTTTGCCCAGACCCTCATCTTCCTCCGAGAACGCGACAATGTCAATTTTAGATTTGCACAAAATCTACACAAAAATGAAGACTTGCCGGCAATTTTTCGCTTTTCTCCACAAAGTTTCCTTTCGAATGTTTCTCCTTCATAACTTGCTGCTCGATCGTCAAATTATTGTGTTCATACAAAATTTCCGAACCAATCGATTGGAGAAGAAGAGACATAAGGATGCTCTGAATAAATTGCATTCATTTTAACCTAATTGATTCGCCAGAACAAATATTCCAATAGGAATATTTTCCTTTTTTTACACTGATACGCCTACGCACCTGATTAGTATCTAGTGTGATCCATTCGAAAGTGTCTTTGGCCATGAGGTACTCGAATTGGAACGAGATGTGGTCCAAAACTTGTGTGATTCTCCAGACACGGATTCTGGTCGCACGGAACAAGCTAGGCTTGGGCACGCCCTGAAATATGACTTTGTTCCGTCTTTGTGATGGTTTTTTGCGCTTACTGCATCGTCCTTCGCTGTCAGCACAATCTGCCGTCTTCCGAACTTGATGCCGCATTCTGTTCCGGGTTTTGGGTAGTCACAGACGCAGTTGGACAAGATCTCGTAAGAGTATGTGGGCAGGACATGGCATGTACGGAGAAACTGAAAAAGTTGTTGTTTTTCTTCCAGAAAGTATAAGCAAATTTGTGATTTTTTCTGAATTTCCTACAAAAAAGTCTCACCTGAATTCTGTCGTTTCTCTGCATCGTTGCCTTCAACTTGTACTCGAGCTCCTCTTTCATCGGTTGCAAATGGCCATTTTTGTAGTCTTGTGCTGCCTGTTTGTACAGAAGATCCACAAAAGACGAGTCATCCAGAAGCGGCTCCTCGATTCTCGGATCCCAAATCACTTTTCTGGAAAAATATACAAGTTTAACATGAATCATCTCTCTTTGTTTCACAAAAGGTATCGCTTTTTAAAACTTATCCTTCTTCAAATCCCCCCATTCCATATTTTCATTGACAATTTCAGAGCTTTCGGTAGGAATTTTTATTGTCAATCAACAAAAAAGATGGCGAGCAAGTCCATGCAAACATGAATGACGTGTATTTGCGTGGGAAGAAGCTTAAGCCTTCGCGTGTGCTTTTTCATTTCTAATTCTTCCTTTTCTCGACTTGTTTTTCGGGCCAAATTCTTGTTTTTTTGTTAAGTGAAAAATATTTTCGTTGTCTGATGTCAACATCAGTAATTAGGCTCCGGCTATTTTTGAGGGAAAGCAATCGGGCAAAAATTACAGCAAATCTCACACGAACACTGTTTCTGTACTTGGGAAACATACCTGACACACAGAAACTGATAATGTCCATTTTCCATGTACTTCTGGTTGGCCGTGCTCAGCGAGATGAACGGAGCTTCAAAGTTACGCAGGAATCGGGTCACTGAAAGCGAGTTTTTGAATGAAAAATGTAACGAGCTGTCGGGAACTAAAAGAGCCTTCAGAATTTTGCATCCAATTTTTTATGAGGTCAAAATGACAGCCCGGAACTTTGCAAAGACAATAATTTTGTAAAGTTCCAATATTCTTTGACGGGCTAGATCTCATTGATGGGCTTTAGCAACCTTTGGCAAAATACGGGCCAGGGCTTTCAACCCACAGGAAACAATTCAATTGTATGTGAGTATGCTAGGTTCAAGTTTCCAACCGATCGGATTATCTGGTCCGGAGAGCCCTCAGAAAGCCATCTGAAAGCTAGGGCGGACTTTTTGCCCAGCACTGAGCTTGTCTGTTTTCAGATGTCAAATTGGAAAAATAACTAACATAGAGGGTCAAAATTATCCGGAGTGACCGAGTAGCAGGCCGCCGTCGGGTCTCTTCCCTTGCCCATGAATAGTCCGAAGTGGTAGATGAACTCGTCCTTGTTCTTGAAACCAAGTTTTTCGGCAAGAATCTGAAGAAATAAGACGATTCAGAGCCAGATTATTTAGAGTAACTCTGTTACCTTCATAATCTCCAGAGTGCTATCAGAGACCAGACACTTGATCGTAGTTTTCTCCCCGTTGCCAACGTAAATGTCCAGTGAGACGTATTGACTTGTAGCACGGAATGAATCCTGAAAAAAACCACGCATATTCATCGGCTTTTATCATTTTTTTGAGTATTTTCCACTCACAATTTGGAATCCTAACAGTTTCTTTTCGATCAAGTAATGACGAGCGACTTCCGGGTGTTGAACCACTGAAATACAATTGCAAACTGCACTGAAATTCTCATGTTTCGCACTCACACGCTTGAAAATATTTCGCAATTTTCTGTCGGCGCTCATCCACTGCTTTGGCATCTAATTTGAACAGTTTCTTGGATGGAAATTCGGGTCCTTTGTACTTTTGCGAAAATTTCTGTTTGATAAGCTCAGCGAACTCGTACAAATGACTAAATCGAACGGAACCATGGTACCAGCCGTTGATGTGGATATTGTAGGCCTGAAAAAATAAAATGTTTCAAAATTCAATACTTTCAGGTTCTGGATGAGAAGTTGAAAAATTGTCCTAATCTTAGCGCAATTTTAGATTTCTGTCAAGTTGCTCTCATGTTCCGCTACTGGCCAAATTTTTGAGCATTATTTTGAAGTTTTATGTGACGCATACCGTGTACTTTGTGACTCCATCGGATCTTTCCACGAGCTGTTTCGTATCGGGCACATCGATGTGAATCATATCCGAAAATGAGCTTTTATCCGCCGGATCAAAAGCGTTCAAGATACGACGATCCTTGTTTTGCTCCTGAAAAATGTGGCTTCACATGAGTACAAACAATTTCTCAGATATTATCAATTTGTAGAAACCAGTGTGAAAAGGAAGTACACAAAGAACAATAATGGCCGAGTAGAAATTGGATAAACACAAAAACCAGTTTTCATTGTGGTCTGGATCTGAACAAGAGAAATTACTCAAAAAGTACATTTTCAGGTCTTCCGGGTACGGCTAGCAGTGATAAGATGAAATTGGGTGGTTGGTTACACGGTGTACATTCTCAATGTCTTATCAATTTTACGATTTTCGTATGTTCCACAGAAACACAAAATGACAAAATGTTCAAGAAAGGACTCAACAAGCGGAAAAATGCGTTTTCGTTTTTCTACATAAGTAGTGTAACTAAAAAAGGAGGCCGAGAGTGTCACGAGAAGAGCAAAAAACGGAAACACCTCACGGAAAGAGGAAAGGGGGGGGGAGTGTAAGAATGCTTTTCTTCCGGAAAACACGGCAAGAGTCAATTCTCGTAGGTGCGCGGGGTGCGTCGCGCAACTGACCATTGGCCAACAATACAAATAATCAATCGATAGGTAAAGAAGGTAGTGTAAAGACCTAAGAGACTCAGAATGAACGAGAAGAAACGTCGGAGGCGGAAATGGGATCAGTGCGCGGAGAACGAGATGGTCTTTCAAAGGAGCGGCAAGGCCATCGCTTATCAGACGATACTTCTCGATTAGTTGGGAACTTGGTCTCAATCGAATCAACACTTGATTGATTGGAATAGGTTGGAAATTGCATTGACTGACACCTGATTTGGTCATTAAACTCGCACGATTTTATTGAACAGGAATTGCGTTTTGCGCTTAGTGAGTAAACGTGCCATGCTGAAAATATTCAAAGCTAATCACCTGCATTACCTCAAAAACAGAAATTTTTTGGCGTAAAAGGCAAAAAAAAAACGAAAAAATACATGTTTTTGGCAGTTTACGCTTATTAAATTTGAACTAATAACGTCGGTATTCTTTCTTTTTCCGTATCATAATGAACCTATCGAAATTGAACAGAAAGCGTCTGCCTTCCAATTTAACTCTACAAAATGTCGCATTGCTGGCAGACTTCAAACATTTGCGCCCAAACTTCTCATGAATGAATCATCGGGAACAAGAGCACGACCGGAAAAGACAATGGACTTGACAAGAGACGCCTTGTAATGTGCGTATCGAGACACTTGCCTCCAGCTGCACATCTTCTCTTGAGAACGAAAAAACGAAGAAGAATGGGGATAAAGGGGCGACTAGATAATCTCTTTTCTTTTCAACTTTCTCTCTCAACTCTCAAGAGAATGCTTCAGTTTTGCAGACGTTTTTTCTTTGGTTCTGGGTGCATCTTTTTGAACTTTCTCAACAAACTGGGCAAGAATTTCCAGTGAATTAGGGACAACCCAGGGCTGAGCAAAAAAAGCCGCCCAGGTTTTTTTTGGCCGGGATTTAGGATTCACTTGCAATTTAATTTTTTTTCTCTAGTCCGATCAGTCTGAAACTTGGAACCCATGACAAGAAGCCTCCAAAGTTTGTGTCCAAACGGTTGAACATTTCAGTCATGCAATTAGAGATTCCCGCAAATAGCAATCATTTTTAGTAAACAAGTTGGAGAAAATGTCCGAAAAATGTTCTAATGATGTGGTCGGGTACTTTCAAAGTTGCTTGAAATGATCGGTGGAGTCGTGGGAAGTACAGCTCCTTCATAGCACAATTAGGAAAATTTCGCAGTTTTTCTCGACTTTTTCGTTGTTATCAAATGCATTTCGAACGTAGTAATGCCAATTTTTTAGAATCAAAACTCACTGGCTCATACTGATGATCGATGATAGACGCGTTTCGCATCGATTGCTCAATTTCCAAGTCTTCTTCCATCGAAGAAGTCGACGGTTTCCCGTATCGCTCGCTGACGGGTGACGTGTTTCTGGCCATCGCTGTGCTTGAGACCATACCCTTCGCTAGTCTGAAAAATGGAAAGTTTGTTGTGAAACCGGAGAGAAACGAACGAATAATCGGTTTGTATACAATAGTTGAAGTGAAAAAGAGGGAAAATAGAGGGAAAAAGGTACAAGCTCCAATGCTGAGTGGGCGTTGTTTCAACACTTTTTCAGCTGCCGACAAGATAGAATTTTCTAAGAATTGGATGAAATATAACGCTCCGTTTCAGATTTACTGATCACATTGTTTTTCGGCAAAAAAACTAGTTGTTCATTTTATATTTTCTGGGTAAACTCGAAATGAATGCGCAGCGGACCTCGATCGAACAAGTCGGCAATTGGGAAAATGGGGAAAGGGCGAAAAAGGCAAACGTGGAGGGGACACTCTCGGAGGACACCGCTTGGGCTTTCGTTTAGCGTGGGACGGACGGACGGGGGACTCTCTCCCGCTCTCTCCCCCTCCCCTCTTTGACACGTAATACATGCATCCGTCCTCTCGCTCCCCTTCATGTTTTTTCATCGCTTCTCCTTGAAGAAATTGAAACAAAAACACATTTCGGCCGATGAAACCGCAAAAACTGCAAGAATAGCACAAATAGCCTCGGGAAAATGTGAGGAAATGGACAAATTGTTGGCGAGAAGTGAGAAGGACGAAACGAATGAAAAGGAGAACAGAGAAAAACGCGACAGATGTGCTCTGATTTCTCGTCTTTTCTTGTGTCACGGACCAATGACTTTTGACGGCGGACTTTGTTTTAGGTGGTCAAATAGAACGTTGTTATTATGAATTTAGACTAAATCACAAACATCAATGAACACTTTTTCATTTACCCTTTACATTCGGAAAAAACCAAATGTTGGTGACTAGTGAGTCACTGAGCCGAGCCTCATGACAAAATAAAAATTGAGAAATGGGAAAATGCTTGCCGTTCTCGGATTGCCTAACGATGCGATGAAATCAACACAGATTGTTATGGCGGTGGCATTTTATGTATAGCGAAATGGCGGACCGACGGGGGAATTGTGAATGATGATGAACTGAACACCGATTGGTTTCCGATGATGATGATGAGAGACTCCGTCCATCTGTATTTTTATTTTGCACCCCCTGCGTCACCGGCAGAACAAGAACAGCACAGAACCGGTCGAATTTGAATAATCGGATCGGTTGGACTCTTACTGGTTCTGTTCTGTTCTGTTCCCAGTCATTTGAGACACTTGTTCAACATGATTGCGCAAAAAACGTTTGGACGGGCAAATAGGGGCATAGGATTGGAGGTCTGTCAAATTGATACTATCTTCTCTCGAAAGGCATGGGCAGGCCAAGGTCGGCTGCCGGAACGAATCAAGTAAGGCGAAGGGAGAAGCAAACGTGATGAAGAATGATTGGTATGAATTTGAACAGATCATATGGTGATTCTTAGAAGTCAGAGTACGCATCAAGTCAGAAGAATTTGAAACGTTCCATTTTGAAATTTTTCCTAGAAATGTTGGAAAACGTTTCTCATAATTTTGCAGTTTTTTCAACCTCGAAAAGCAATTCTCATTTTCTGAGCTGTAAAAAACGGTCGAAATTATCAAAAAATCTAACCTAACCAGAAAATCTGTCAAATTCCCCTATTGGCCCATTGAAACGGAGAACCCAGGGATGTTGAAAGTTCAACCGGGTATCTATCTATCCGCTTACTATCTGCGCAATCGGGAAAGTGGAAGAAGGAGAGAAAAAGAAAGAGAAAGAGAGAGATAGAGTAGAAGTTGAAAAACAATGGCTGGCTGGTGTTGAGGTCCCCGAAGTAGAGGGTGTACAATACACACACACGCGCACACATACACATGATGCCCTTTCGCTGTCTGCCTGTCCTTTCTTTTCTTTTCTCTCTCTTTCTCTCTCTCCCTTCTCTAGACAGTTTGTGTATGTGTGTGCATAACATTACTGTTGATTGATTTGAACTGAATGAAATAAGCTGACGGCGCGGTGCGTCCCGCAGACATTGGAAGAACACAAAGGACACAAACTCATGTACTAATGATCTCAGGCGGCCCTGGGGAAGAGTGTTGTTACTGATAAGAGAAACTTAAATTTGAAAGTCATTCTGAGAAAATTTTGAGAAAAGAAAGATTTAGACGATCGGTGTGATGATAGACGGAAAGGAGTACAAAGAAAGTTCAAGTTAAGAATAGAGAATCACGTTTGTGTTCTCTGAATGGTCTCCGGTTCCACAACAGGTTTTGGTTTTGTTCTGACGAACAAAATTCGAGGAGAATTAGTTGTTAACGTGTGTCACTTTGTAACTTCTTTGAAAAACACGTGCCTGAAGTCTGGAGCTGACATTTTGAGAAATCGCATTTCCAGTCAAAGGCAGGTGTTTTTGACATTGTTTTTCTCAACTGCCAGCCGGATTGCTGAACTTTCGACCAATTTTTTTCTTTCGAAGGAGTTTGTGACATTTCTGTTAATGAAAGTCTCCGAAAACTAGGCGAATTCATTTTTCGCACTAAAACATTTTTTTTGTTCAACTTTTGAGAAGCAATAGTTTGAAAAAAAGATTCTGCAAAAACACCTGTGATTGATTAAGACCCTACTGACATGTTCTATTGCTCATGAGAGTCAGGTTGCGTGCGAGCTCAGCAGGAATAAGTGGAGCACATCAACACGGACATAAAACCGACTGGTTTTTCATTTCATTGTTTTCTTTTATATATATATATCCATGAAACAAGCGATGGCGTCCGGATTTGATTTTCTCAGAGCTCATTATTTTATCCATTGGTCGGCAGTCCGAGAATGACGAGAGGAAGAGGAAGTGGTCGCTTCGTTAGCATTTAGATGAACAACCGGATGGGATCGTGGGCAAGACCAATTATTAGCTTCCGGTGAGGAATACAAAATTCATCACTGAAGTTGAACCATGCTATTATGGATGGAAATCTGGAAACTGGTAGACAATTTCTGAGAATTTACCAACAAAAAAATGAGAAAAAGAGACTGTTCACATCAAAATTTTATTGTCGAGTAGTTGCCACGATTACACAATATATACCATAAGCTCATCAAAAACGATAGTACCTTCCGGGGCGAACGAGTCCGTGATTTCTAAGAGTTGGCACCCGACTGCAAATGAATCATTTTATGGTCTTTATTCGGTAGATGTTGCCACAACCACTACTTTGGGGTAGTTCATATTGCCTTCAGTTTGATTTCTCCGCAGGGCGAGACATCAGAAAAAAAACAACTCACAGTCGCCACGGTATCTCCTCCGAAGCATTCAGAAGGACCAGTCCCTGCTGAGCACGCTCTCTGGCCAATTCCGGATCATTTTGATTCTCCTCCTCGTACTTGGCAAGGGTGTATCCAGTGACCACGAACATGCCAATGACACAGAATAGCCAGATGAGTCCGAAAATGACAACTCCGGTGGTTGAGGAGAAGAATGCGTTGATCTGGCCGATCTGATCCCGGTTGAACGATTCGCGGATCTTGGTTCCGTTGCTGGTGTGGAAGAAGGTGAAGGGTGTCATTTTCAGATGCTGGAAGAAAAGCAGGTTAACTGTAGGTGAGTGGGAATAAGGGTAAAAGCACTGAATAACGGATAAACGACCCTATTTTATGTATGTTCCTATGGAAACAAAACAACTGAAGACGGATCACGACTCCACCCACTGAGCCTCTACTCAGGCTTCTGAAGAACCATAAAAAGTGACAGAACGCTCATGCTAAGATTGCTCGAGAAAGGGAAACGAGAAGAATGTTGGCTTTTCTCCGAATAGCTTCTGATGATGGTTCCGCGAGGTAATTGCTAAAAAATTGGCCGGTTTATGCACTGAAAAGAGTGAGATGAAGATGATTTTGATACCTGAGGACAGGTGACATCAAGTATTTTTTTGTGCAAAGACAAGAAACTTTGTTAGCGTTGGAGATTGATGATCGAAGTTCCACTTTTCAGATGAAGACCGTGTTCTCAATATTTCGATTGTTGCATTCTGCAATTGCCTGGATTTTCAATAAATTCCAGTAAGAGCGCATGAACAACAAACATCCAAAGATTACACATCGGTACTGATCCCAAATTCTGATTGATTAGACACTTTATAAACTTTTGCAGCTCTTCAAACATTTCTTCGACGAATTCAAATGGAATTATGCTGAATTTCCTCTAACTTCGGAGCAATCAGGAAACATCGCACTTCCTCTTATCATAAACCAATAGGATCGAGTCGGAGCACCGACAATTTTTTGATGACCCCCGAATTGTGCTGATAGCATTTGTTTATTTTGAAGGTGACTCCGATTCGAAACGATCAAACAAGAAAAAGAGTCAAGAACCATCACGCCATTCCAGGAAATGTCCATTTTTCAGAGGTGCGAAAAGGAAACGTTAATTTTTTTATGGACAGAATGTTGAAAGCTGGCGTTAGACTTGAGAGAAATTGATTCGTCATAATCGATTGAATGTTGGTCAGTGACTGTCCCAACAGAACTGGAACAACTAACAAAAATATTTATTCCACGAGTCCACGAAGTGTATTTCTATTGGTTATTTAAACGGTTTTGAAGAAACAAGTGGAAAGTTTAGTTGCATCAGAAAACTTGCGCGTACAGCAATGAATGCTCTTTAGTCTATCGACGAGGAACTTTTTTTCTTCTTCCTTGTTTCAGATTCCATTAAAACAGACATTAAGCGATTTCTGATAAAATCACAATGACATAAACTCAGAGCACATTCACGTGAACTCAGGTCCATTTGCTGTCTGTCTGTCTGACCGAAGTTCCAGGAGAAAAGTGATAAAAACAGTTAGACACGGTCCATAAAACGGTTTTGGTACACGATGGGACAAGCACAAAGAAACAAGTGAATAAAACGCATTTCGTTTATGTTTGAAGAGAGACGGTTTAGCTTTCTTGAGTTTCCCTTATTTTTGCTATGAACCTCAACATTTTTGAGACATTTGTAGAATTTTAGCAGGAAGTTACAAAAGTGAGATTATTCATTGATAAGATGTGAATTTAACCGTTTCCCCTTCAACATGTTTATGTGTGTTTGGAACGGAAAAGTTGAATAGCTGTAGCACACTTTTTATAGCAACTTTTTCAAATTCAAATCCCAAATTTTCAGATATTTTCTGACATTTGAAACGGTATTCAAGGTCGAAATCACGTCCTCTTGATATAGGGACATCTCACAGAAATGGCGCGCTGTTCGCAATCTGACCGAATTTCTAGGCCGCGAAGTAATTTTCCACTGAAAACGTGGTCTAATTTTTTAAACTCGGTCCCAAGGTCACTCAATTTGCACTGCAAAAAGGGTCATTTCTGTAAGGTGCCCCTATAATTTATTTAAGCAATTCGGATCGGGTTGGCCACTACTTGTTTGTCTATCGAAGTTTCCTTGAGTCAAAGTCCTTGTCGGCGTCAGACTATAAAAACCTTTAGAACGCCCAACTAAACCAAAACTCGCCTCTTATCTCAATTTGAACAGCGATGAAAGAAGCCGAGTACAAATTCCACTTCCTCTCCCCACTATTTTCAACACATCCAGCCCACCGACATTCCATCCCATTTTCACGCCTTCTCTTCTTACCTCTCGGCCTTATCTGGTCGTTTTTTGTCATAACAGGCATGCCAATATCAACATCTTTGATCTCACCGCGCCTCGACCCAAGTGCATCACTCTCCTGTGTGGAAATTTTGAGGAAAAGTGGGAGGGAAGAGTGGAAACTCGTAAAATCCGCTCACTCTGATATTATCAGTTTATCAAGGAAGCGAGACGATTTAAAAGAGGTCGGGTACGACGGGAAAAGAACCTTTCTGACTCTGACAACATTTCTGACAACAAAAAACCAATTAAACTGTTCAGGGTCCAAGATGGTGAATGAAAGACGGGATTATGTGAGTATTGTGGTGCTTTTCGTCGTGAATCTCATCAACAATGTGGACAGGTATACGATAGCAGGTAGGATTACTGTAATCTCCTCAAAATACTATTTCAATTTGTCTAGGTGTGCTGCCTGATGTCCAAGATTACTACAATATCAATGATTCGATGGGTGGAATGATTCAAACCGTTTTTCTGATCTCTTTTATGATTGGATCTCCTATTTGCGGATATCTTGGTGACAGGTTGGTTAATTTGACTATTGTAGTTAAAAATGTTGTCTATTTTGTCAGATTTAATCGAAAGTACGTGATGCTAGGTGGAATGGTCATTTGGCTGATTTGTGTTTGCGCATCAACTTTTATCCCGAGAAATGTGAGTGTCTCTTTTGAAAGTTGGCTTAGAATTACTTTAAAACGTTCATTGATTATAAAAAAGATGTACCTGAACATCTTCGGCAGATTCTACAGTTCATAGAGAACATTTGGATACAACTTATTTCTTTTATTTTTAGCCTGAAACCCATGACTACAGTCCTTTTAACTGTATGTACTCTCCTCTCCTTTTCTTTCGAGTATGGGGTTTCCTTTGAAGTCCCGCTTGTTGCTCCCATCCATACGTGATGCGTAATCAGCACTAGACCCGAAATGTGTGTATGTTTGGCGTGATCTAGTTGGTCACGTCGCCGAAACTTCCTTATCTCTCGCTCTTTGCTCCTTTCGCCCATGCTCTTCCTCCCTTTTTTTCGCTGATAAAGCCAGCCGCTCAGTTTTCACACCTTATAAGTTTATAGTCGGAATGCTCGCTCTCTCTCTCTCTCGGCTGATAAAGATTTCTTTCAAAGAGATGCCGACAGCATGGTAGGGAAGGGTAAAGGGAATAGAAAATATTAAGAAAGCAGAAATCATGCAACAAACAAAAAAAGGTGTGTCTCTTTTTCAGCTTTTCCCCGTGTTCCTTGTATTTCGATCGTTGGTCGGCATTGGAGAAGCGAGTTATGTCAACATTTGTCCCACAATGATCAGTGATATGTTCACGACGGATAAGAGGACAAGGGTCTACATGTTCTTCTATTTAGCAGTGCCAGTAGGAAGGTTCGTGGGTTGAGAATGTTGAAAACATGTGTTTCGGAAAACCTAAGCATTAAAGATTTATCATGGCTGGGCAAAACGCCGGCTCAGGTTTTTCGAAGATGTGTCGAGACCTGGACTCTTCACCCACTCCGATCGGACCTAAACTTTTCTAAATTCTTAGACTAGTTTTTGGGGTGCAAGTTTCAGGTCCGGAGAAAACTGGTTTCAAAAGTCAAGGCTTCGACAGGCTTTTGAAAAGCGCGATTTCAAATGCTCCCTTTCGAATCCCATAATAACCCCACGTTTAGTGGTCTGGGCTACATCATCAGTTCCAATGTTGCAAGTGTGACAAAATCCTGGCAATGGGGAGTCCGGGTAACCGGAATCGGTGGCCTCGCTGCTCTGATTGCTTTACTTTTTCTTGTGTATGAGCCGGAACGCGGAGCAGCTGAACGAGCGGAAGGAAAAGTTTCAGTGAGACAAAGCACGTCGTATCTGAAGGATATGAAGATTCTCTTGAGATGGTAATTGAACAATGAGAATTGAAAACTAAAACACCGCGAATTTCCAGCCCAACATACGTGGTTACCACTCTAGCCTACACTGCGTTGGTCTTTGTGAGTGGAACACTGACCTGGTGGATGCCAACTATTATCGATTATTCGGTCGCCTGGACCCGAGGATACGATAGTATTAATGATCTTCCAAAGTCTTTCAAAAATGAGTAAGTTCCATCTCATCTTTGAAAAAACGCCTACCTCATGTTTTAATTTTCAGAACTGGAATCATATTCGGCTTGCTCACCACCGCCTGTGGTATTGCCGGAGTGTTGCTCGGAAACATTCTCGCTCAATGTTTCCTATACGGGTGGCTGGGCGCTTGGAGCAAAACGAAGAGAGCTCACCTGATTGCAGCCGGTTGCGGAGCGTTGATTGCAGTGCCCAGCTTGTTTGTTGTGTTCATTTTTGGACATTCGAGTGAAGTTCTGACGTGGGTCATGGTTGGTATTTCTATCACCGGTCTTTGCTTTAACTGGAGCTTGAATGTCGAGGTTTTCAATGTAAGAATTCAAAAGAAATGTTTATATGGAAACTGTATTCATTTTAGCAAATTATTGCTCCGGAGAGAAGGAGTACTGCTTTCTCGTACGTCACACTCATTTCGCACATGTTCGGAGATGCCTCAGGACCGTATATTATTGGAGCTGTGAGTAATTTTAAGACGTTTTAGTGAATCATACGTATATTAGCACATCAAAATTATGACAGCGTCAATCTACCGCAATTCCACGTAAAAACTCGATCGCTACTGTGACATTTTCCAATTTAGTACTGAATTTGAAAAACGGTAAAACGCGATTACGAATTTTTGCGTGTCAATAGGGTTTGACTAACAAAAATAAAGTTCAACCAATAGTACACTACACTAGGACGGTAAAGTGATCCTTATGCTCCTTATGTTTTAAAAACAATCCGATAATGAACAATATTTCTTCATCTCCATGTAATGTACAGTAGTATTTTCAGATTTCCGATGCAATCCAATCGAACCACGTGGACTCCCCGGAGTGGGATTACAAGTCGCTCGCCTACGCATCCATGGTAGCCCCTTGCATGATGACTCTTTCAACCGTTCTCTACTTTGTGGCAGCTCTTTTATTCCAACGAGATGCCGATAAACTTTCCAGGGAAATGCGTAAGTTTTCCCTCATAATCCTTTTCGATAGTGTTAAATAGTTCTTGGCTGTTGCAGAAAGCAAAGAGAATGAGAGTGATGACAAAGCTGTGTACTCACTCGATTGGAGCGATGACTACCTCAACAGCCATTCGAAATTCTGATAATCTCAACGAATCTTTGCTTTTATTTCTTTTCCCTCTGGTTATTCTTGTTCTCCTGTCTGTTTTCTACTTGCTTTTGTTTTGCTACTCAACTCAACTCGCCATAGTGTCATTTTAGCAACTTTGATGCCTCCTACCGTATTCTCAAGTCATTACGCCTCAATTATACGATTATGTCCATTCATTCGAGGGACACAATAATACATAAAGTGTTTCGACATCGTTCTCTTTTCCGCCATAAACTCCAGAATTCGGTCACAAAATCGGAAACGTTGCTCTCGATTTCTTAGCACATTTCTCCCCCTATAAGAGCGGTAAATTTCTGTAAACTTTTTTCTTTAATATTCATTTTATGAGAGAAGTCTTCTAATTATTTTTAAGCTGATCAGTTTCCAGACATTTAGAAACGAGAAGTTTCAAAACTTGAACTGACGTCATACATACCAGACATTTCGCAATCAAAATTAAGCAGATTTGTACCGTAGGCCGTAACGCTGACACCCATTTTAAGCAACTTTCCGCGTTCGTTTTTCATTTTTTTGCAAACAAAGTTTTCAGATGTGTAATTTTTCCCGAGGTACGAGCAAATCTGAAATTGAGCTATCCTTTTTAGCAAAACTGAAAAATTTCAGGGAATCCTATTCCGATTGCGAAATATCCGTCTAATGTTTGTATTGCGAAATTTCGTGTTTTTGTTTCTAGCCTTATTATTCCACTTTGTAGCTTAAAACGGTATATTTATCGTCGCGCACATACGGCAACATTTTCAAAACAATGTTTAATCAGTACAACCCAACTTTAGAACTTGTGCACTTACATAATACAGACACAAAAAAATGTTACTCCTCGTTTATTTTCCATCGCCTAAGCACACTGCAGACACCCTTTTTCTGCACTCCCTCCCCTCCTTTTATAAAAGAAGAATCGAAGAGAAAAGGTGAATTTGAGGGTCTCGTCATGCACCATCCGCAAGAAACGCTCCTTATCGATTGTGCTAAGCCGTCTTACTCCCACCTCACCAAGTACCGTTTCGATAACCTGACACATGAACAGTCGCGTTTCGCCAACAAACCGCTGAAAAGTGTGATGAGAATCTTGGCGGGATGTTCGGCCGTCCTTTTTCTTGTCACCATCTTTTTTCTTGGCATTCATGGACAAACGGCGGTGGTAAGTTGTTTCGATTTATTGCGAAATGTTTCATAATTATTCGTTTTCAGCCTAGTTACAAGCCGATCGTGCCTGGTTCTACGGTAGTCATGAAAACTATTGAAACTGCACCGGTTAGTCTTTGAATTTTGCGTAAAAATGTGTGAATAACGTTTTCAGCCTCTACCCACAGAACGTGTGACAACGAGAAGAACTGTAAGTTGTAAAAGTTTCAGTAAATTATGGAAACAATGCAAAAAAGTTATTCACGTATCTATCCAGTTGGTAAATTCAAAAAATCACATTTCAAACAGTTAGTTTGTAAAATGTGAATGGTATGTCAAATTTTAGAGTTTACACTAATTCAGCCAACTCTATCTCACCTCAAAAAACGTTTATTCTCAAATAATTGTGGAGTAGCAGAAAAAAGTATATATGTACGAACAATTTCACGATTCATAATTTTTCTGAACTCAGTTTCAGTCGTATGTAGAGACAACCTTAGTTTTGACTCATTTTTGTAAAACTGGCAAGTTTATGTAGAAGATCACACTATCAGTGGCAAATTTCTCAAGTTATGTGAAAACATGTACAAAATAACATCTTGGAACCCCCTTGTCTTAACAAGTTCTGTTTCAGGTTGGCAAAGAATGTGTCCTGAACGCGAGAGCTACTCCAATCAACCTGAAACAGTTCACCGGCAACATTTCTGACGCTTGCTTACGTAATGTTTTCTTCTCTTTCCTTCCTTCTCCCTCCACTTCTTTTCCCAACTGATAATAGATAATATCATCAATTATTTTTCGCATGACATCATTTCTAGAACTTGCACAATAGAGAGTAGAGTGCCAACTCGCACGCACCTTTCGAAAATGATGATGTTAGTGCTAAAATCTGATGATAATCGGATTGGGTGTGCCCTGAACTGCTCTAACTGCTCTTCCTCCCTTGCTTTGCCCGTCCTTCTACTGATGTTGGGTCTTTTATTTCAGCGGGCACCACCTCGAAGAATTGTATGACGTGGCGAATGACGAACGCGGTCATTCTCAAGTACGCCGATGATGTCGACACCAATTGTCCGTCCGTTGTGGAATTCGTGAATGAAGTGAGGAGGAGAAATGGGAAAAGAGAAAAGGAGATTAGCAAAAGTGGCCGGTGACCGCATTTGTGCACCGAATACTAGAAAAACTAGACCGCTTTAGTCCGGGGCAGCAAATAAGAAAAAAAAAGTGCTTCCCCAAAACTATCAACCGCCTATTGGAGCTGATTTAAAAAATATCACTAAGTTCAGAAAAGTACTTCAAAATTGTCAGTCAATTAAAGAAAAGTAACTAGAGAAACACAAGTATATATAACATTTCAGACAACGAGAGCATGCACAGTAAAAAGTCAAATCCAGTACTTGTTTCCGAGAACCGACAATCCTCTACTGGACTGCAACCACATTTACAATGTGACAAGAACATTTCTCAATTTCGTCGCAACTGAAAAATGTTATTCCAGTTCAACTCTTTCGCCCTCCGTCGCGCCATGAGCGGATTCAACTACAGCAGAACTCTGATTCCAGACAGCATGTACAATCAGCCAGGATTGGCTATGTTTGCATTCATGGAGAATATTGTGAGTTTACCTACCTGATGCTTCACTTTCACAACGATGTTCTAGATGAATTGTGTGAACAAAAACCCGATAACAAGTACCGATGCGGCGGTTTTGAACATTTTCACGGATTTGACTTATATTGATCTCTGTGAAAGTGATGTGTTCATGGCAAATTTTCCGGACATGCTCAACAAATTAATCGATGCTGGTTATATTGTCAAATTCTTTTTTCTCAATCAAAACCTTCAGGATACACAGAGTGAGTTGCCCAAAATCAGTTTATATGTATTAATAAATTTTGTTTCAGAAAACGTGGAAAACGTGTTGAACGGGTGTAAATACCGTAATTCCAAGACTTATTGCGAAATTGTGGACTCTAACAGTCAATTTGAGGATCCTGATGACTTTTCCATTTGTCTGGACTCAACTCCCGCTAAGAAAGAGTCGGATGACTTTAACTGGCGTAAGAACAACTAAAAATGGGAAAAAGTATCGAACCGCTTATTTTAGACATTACAGAACTGTTACTGATCATTGGAATCCCGTGCGTCAGTTTGACAGTATGTTGCATCGGATTCTTCATTTGCTTTTTGAAGTGTGCTCAACTGAAAATGCACATGATGAGAATGAGACTTTTTGGAAATGACAGTCCGAAAACACCAGAGGAAATGGAATTGAAGAAAAAATGGTTTGCCAACAGACGTGGAATAATGAAGGATTTGGAGAAATGCAAGGATTTGTTAGTTTTTGAAAATGTTATTTTCAAATTATAGTATAAATCTGTTTTTCCAGAGATCCACCGACTTGGTCACATTTTGCGTCGGCTAATAACTATATGGATATTCAGGCACTTGCCAGTGCTAACAAGTGGGTTCATATCCAGATTTCAACATTGAAAAGTAAATTTTTCAGAAAAGACGTGTGGGAAATCGACACAAAAAACCTGCTGATCCAGGAAGATCATCTTCTGGGGAATGGTGCCTTTGCAAATGTGTTCAAAGGAATCGTGAAAGGCAAAATCCCATTGCTAATCGTCAATAACAGTCTGAATCTCATTGTCGAGTCCGAGAATAACGGGCACTTTGAAGCGGCCGTCAAAAAACTCCCGGCTCATGCCGATGAGCAGAACCATCTAGACTTCTTCCATGAAATTGATTTTATGAAGCGATTGGGCCACCATCCACATGTTATCAGCATGCTCGGCTGTGTATCAAACCCATTTGAACCGCTTATTGTCGTCGAGTACTGTTCCCGAGGCGATTTGTTGAAATTTTTGAGGAGACACAAGGATTATGTGTTGTTGGTGAGTTGGGAGAGGGGAAAAGGACACGAGATGACCTTTCGGGATTAAGTAGAGATGTAGAGTTCTTATGAAAGGTCAATTTCGGAACAGTCTAGTCATTCGTAAACTATGGAAACTCTGGAAACAGGTAAACAAATGGTATTTAGTCAGTTTTGATCGAATCGGATTTGATCGGTTAGCAAATATATTGTAGATATTGTGAAAACTACTAGAAATCATCAAAATCATCTCGTTCCAGAACAAAACCGACGACTGCCCGGTGGAAGCGGACATGTGCCTTAGAATCAAAGACCTGGTATCGATTGCCTGGCAAGTGGCGGATGGAATGGCTTATTTGACATCCAAAAACTTTATCCACCGAGATTTGGCGGCCAGAAACGTTCTTCTGACTAAAAGTCTGACTGCAAAAGTAAGTCACTTGACCCATTTCTCTTCAAACCCTGCGTGCCTTCATCTGTTTCCAGATCAGTGACTTTGGCCTCTGCCGCTACATGGATTCCGCATTATACACAGCAAAAGGCGGCCGACTTCCGATCAAATGGATGTCTATCGAGGCGTTGAAACTATACGAATTCTCGTCGAAAAGTGATGTTTGGTCGTTCGGCGTCTTGTTGTTCGAGATTTTCTCCATGGGCGACGTACCGTATCCAACTGTTCAGCAAGTAGATATGCTTGAACATCTAATGGCCGGTGGACGACTATCTCAACCTATCAAGTGTCCGAATGAGATGTAAGATAGATGAAAACATGAAAAGTTGATAGAAAGTTGAATTTCAGCTACAACATTATGATGAAATGTTGGGCTGACAAGCCAGAAGATCGTCCAGAGTTCAATGAAATGAGGGGAGAGATTACTGTAATGTTGAATTTGGACGATGAAAGTTATGGATACCTCAGTGTTCAGTCAGATGACGGGCTGCCAAAGTACACGTCACTGACGATGCAAAATTCAAAGGTACAGTACACTAGAGTTCTAAAACCAAAACATTTGTCATTATTCAGGAAACCGCTCCTTGCTCAAGCGCAGGCGGCTCTCAAGAAATCGACGAGGACGGTGACTACGACAGCGGCTCAGAAATACACGAGCAGACAACTTGTGCTCAACTCGACCGTGTGCTCAACGAACGTTTCGGGGAGGAAACCGGTCAGGAGATCAAACAGATTTTCTGTGAAATCAAGGAGAAAGCACGAGACATCAAACGAGTCAAATCCACGAATTCTTCCAGTACCAATAACACCAGTCGATCATAATTTCTGAGTTTTTCTTTGTTCCCTTCTTCGTTTCTCCCAAAAAGCAGTTGTGATTCACGATCTCTTCTCCCAAATTTGTCTACAAAAAATCATTGTTCCCACCAACCATCTTCTCATGATGTTGTCAATCCAATATTGAATAATAAAAGTATTGTTTGAGAACATTTTTGCTCGATGCGTCATTGGAGTGCTTCTTTCTAAAGTTTATGGTACGGTACAAGATGATTCACTGCGAGAGACTGTACAAAAGCATTCTAAAAATGAACAGAATAAAAGGGCACTGGGTGAACAAAAAATTGAGCTTCTGTTTGAAGAGGAAAAACTGTAAGTTATGAAATCTCAAACTCTTCTTGCCGTTTTAATCGGGCTTTTCGCGTCTGTGGCCGCTGAAACTGTTCGAGTCCGGGCATCAATTCACTGTGGAATCGACAAGAGTGAAATGCCGACTATTTCACTGATGGATGAGGATTTTTCGCATAGTGAGTTGTGTTTTTGTCGTTGAATTTTTCTTTTATGAATTTGCTTCCAAACTCAAGAGAATGCCGACTTTTCCCATTCTCAGTCTACTATTTCAGTCCCGATCATCAACTGGTTCGACTCAGACGACCTTCTCGACGAAACAAAAGTGACCTACGGCGAGCACTTCACCTTGGACGGAGCCGAAACGGAAGTCTTCAGCATTGAGCCGTATCTCCGAATCCGCCACCGCTGTTCGGTTAGTCCATACTCATCCTCCCTTAATCTGCTCTCCAAGAGCACTTAAGCTTTATTGATGCGGTCCCTCAAATGATGAGAAGTGTGTAGTGCAAAGCAGAGCTTATTGGATGGCAGTGGAGGGCAGATGGGGTCCCTTCCGAATAGAGTAATTGCAGGGCACCGAGCGCGAGGATTTTCTGGACTTGTCGCAATTTGCCCCGGATCCCACGGGAATCATTCACGTCGGTAGAATTGTGCTCTCGATGCAAGGATACACGGTCATGCCATTTCACCCCTAAATTTGTATGTATGTCATGTCTGCCGCTGCAATTGAAGGCAATAAAGTGCGACAACGACAATATTAGGTCCTTTTATCAGTTTGAAAGGCAAGACAAGACAGGGAGGAAAAGTTGAAAAGGTGTGATGTGTGCTTGCATTGTCTTATCACACAAATGAGTTGGCTAGACATACATACTTATTAGCAGAGAAGGCAGAAAATGTGTTTCTCATACCCTTCAAATGCACCATATGCTCTGAATAAAACTGGGACATAAGAATATAACTCTATCCAATGCGAAATTCAGATGGTATTTGGAAGTCGAAATGGAAAATAAGTGTTCTTTGCAGTGTCCTTGTTGGAAATGAGCTTCAAGAGTTACATCATTCAGACATTTCAACTCGAACAAGCTCTTCCCTATAAAAACATGTGCAGGATTTTGTTTTCCGTATTTTCAGGTGCGCCAATTACATACTCTGGAAGACCTCATTGTGTCCCTGTTTCTCGGTCTGTTCAAACTATGTGAACGCGACGTTCGAATGTGTACAGTTTCATGCTTCACTGCTCATAAGCCTTTTCTTTCCTTTTCTTTCCCATCCCCTTCCTTCTTAACTCAAAGTTCAGTTTTCACCTCCAAAAAGACATGCGCAATACAACAAATGAATCACCTGACGCACGGTGGGGGTACAGAAGAAAAAGAAAGAAAGAGATGCAAGTGACCGATAATTTACACTCTCTTTCCCTCTATATGTTTGATTTGACCGACCGGGGCGCCTGATTTGTATCTCTCTTCCTCTCTTTTCGGGGACCTATCCTATCTGTCTATTGTGTCGCGACGTTTCGGGCCGATCCATCTTCTTCCTGTGTATGTGTATGACGTGGCCTTTGGAATTTTTCGTCTCCTCTACTTTCAAACGAAAGATTTCCGGTTTTTTCCAAGGAAGATTGGATTGCAAAGGACACCGAAAAGAGGGGATGGTTGCAACAAGAAAAAAAGCAGATTGACCTGACCCGTATCTCTTAAAAACCTTTTATCTCCACTTGAACTGTGATCAATCAGCCGTCTGGGGTCTTGAGTGGAGAGCCGGATGCCCTCAAGTGCTTTTCTCCAACTCTTTCTCCTAGCCTTTCAATTCTTGACGGTGTTCCGTTCTGGCAGAGACGAAGACGGATACGCCAGCTATACGACTGGGTCCCTCTCCGCCATCACAAATTTAAGCTCTCTCCCCTTTCCCAAGCCTTTTCCGTTCTCCGCTTTCCGCTCTTTCCAATTGTGAATTGAAAATGCATGCGGGAAAGCGGACGAGGAGTACATGTACATGTATGCAAATGCGTTTTAGTCACTACTCTCGTCAACTAGTACTAGTACGTCTGGCCTTTGCTTTTGCGTACTTGGCATGCGGAATGTGAAAGAATTGATCATCAGAGGATTAGCGCCACTTATGAATAGGGTATTGATATTGATATGCCGACCCTTTTCACCTACCCTTGATTATATTACGTATCAGATGGGAAAACGCGTCATGAAGTTCGATTTAGGTTCGGAATGAGCCGAAAGTGCTCCAGGGCAAAGAGCAAAGTGTGTGAACTCATGAAAAAGTCACAAGTTTGAAGTGTCTGGGAAAGCAGCTTTATGACAGCAAATCCGGCTTTTCGGAACAGTTTTGAAGATCAAAGAATAGGCAGAAAGATTGCCAGAAACAAATTTACAGATTCAGTTTCAATTCCTCCTGAAACAGTCGACTGATAGGACTCATAGGAGCCAGCATTTTCTCAGTTTTCAAAACGCTCTCTGTTCTTTCCATCACCCGTTGAAACAAAGAAACAGCGACACAATCACTCAAACCGCAACACTTTTGAGCGTGATTTAGCTTCTCCCGTGCTCTCCCACACTCGTCGCCGTTCTATTTGTCTTCTTCTTTCGCCCTTTCCCTTCTTTCCCTTTGAGTGTGCTGCCCCCGGCTCCACGGGCTCTTTCCCTTGTCGCGCCGTCGCCCTTTCCTCCAACGTGTCGCTTCTCCGCTGTAAACATTCGGCCCGTCGTCCCCTAGGCCGCTATCTCGTCGCTTCCCTTCTTTCCTCTCTTTCCATCACCCCCCTTATCGTCGTGGCCGTCGAACGTGTGTCGCCCTTCTCTGCCCCGCGTCCTCGTTCTGTTTGTCTCCTTCCTCCTACTCCGCGGCGTTCTCCTTTCCTCTCTTTCGCTCGTCTGCTCCTCTTCGTTTGCCGCTCTATTTTCTGTACTTCCTGTCCACCCTGCTGGCGCTCGGCCAAGTTTTCTGTCAACGAACCCGCAGAGGAGAAATGAAAATGTGGCACACGGACGGTTCTCAGCGGAAGCATTACGGGTACCATCAATAAATATGTGAGGTACACCCAGTAATGAGTCCGCCAGGAACAGGGACCGTCACCGTTCCAACTCACCTTTCAGTTTCAGCTGCACAAGATCGGTGCCTGGCGGGGGGCTCAGCGGAAACTTATACGGGTATATCCATGACACATCCAGTATAACCGATAGGTATCCGCCGAGTCCCCGGGCTCCGAGACGAGTAATAGTACAAACTAGGGAGGTGAGAAGCTGAGTTTAAACACTGACGAGGCCTTGGCTCGGACTATGAAGATTACGGGTACAAGTTTAATATACAATGTACACTCGTCATCTCATATCCTAGTCAAGGCCCGTCCAAGCTTTCAGTTCACCCTAGGAATAAATAGCAAGGGGGAAGGGGTCAGTCGGCTGGTAGAAGGTGATAGTGAGGGGAAAGGGAAGGGAAGGGAGGGGAAGAGGACACGACCGCTCGGTGGTGCGCTTGCGAGACCGAATGAGCAGCCACGCGACCCGAGTGGAGACACACACCACCACAGGCCGTCCTCTAGCCGTCTGCCCGCACTCCGCTACTCACCACACTATTTCCAGTCACATTGATCGCTGCATCACGTGAAGCGGCCCGTCTTATTGTACGTCGGGGGCGGGCCCTCGCCGCGGGTCCCGTTCGTCTCCGACGCTCACCATGTTGGAAGCGTCCGCCCACTCCGCACTCACCAGACAATTGTGAGCGCTCCGAAATAGTACACAAAAGCGGGAGGGCGGCCAGAGCGAAAAGTAGACAGTGTTGAGGGAAGGGAGGCACGGCGTCCGAGGAATGCGGGTCCTCGGTCTATTCAGAGTGACAAGTTTCCGAATTAATGATATGATGGATGGATAAGATAATGTGCGAGGATCTCTGTGTCAAGTTAAATTATGCGAGGGACAAGTTGAACGGAAATCGAACGTCACGAAGATCTGAGGAACGGGTTTCACAAAAAAGCTGAATAATTCCACATTTTATTGCATAGTCAAATCCTGCTCTATTTCCGGACACACTTTCAGACAGTTAGATCATCAAGACGGCTCCCGTCCTTCTGCTTGATGTAGTTCATGTCATCCGGTACAAATCCATTCCCACTTGCTGAGCTGAGCACATCTATTTTTATTAGTGTAAACGGAACTAACGAGGACTATCATTTAAAAGCTCACCCGGCTTCCACTACCCTCACTTTATGAACCTGGCACCGCCATCTGCTCCCCCTCTCGCTCTCTACTCCATTCCATTTTTATTTCATCAAACCTGCAATTATGTGCACGGATTACATATAATAAAGAGGTTTCCTCGTTCGGACGTCCCTTATTTTGTATAAGGATATTACGCGAAAGGGCGCAAGAGAGCAGGTGTTCACATGCTTCCATGCATCCGGCTGTCACTTTGAATAACGACAGCCTATTTAAGGTCGTTCTGAGGTAGGGGTCGTTGATTTGACTTCCCGGGCTTGTCCTGGACCGCAAAGGAAAGGGGGTAACAAGAATGTTCCGAATGATTCGAGGTGACCCGGTGATAGTCGGAAAGAATAGAAAAGAGATAAGAACCTCCCGCAGGTCACTCATTCTCCCCCCACTACAATTGTCTTTTCTCTTTCTCCCGTGGCGATTCGATTGGCCCCCCGACAGAAACTTGACCCCGTTTCGGCAAACATTGTTGTAGACGCAAAACGAAAATGAATGGATGCCGCCAAAAGATTGTGCGAATGACGTAAGTTTTAGCGCCGAGCTCCTCTCCTTCGGTGCCTGGGACCGTTTGGCGCGGTGATGAGGTGGCGTTGCTTGTGATTGGATCTTTTGCATAGTAAAGAACCTTTAGAAATATTTTTGTAAAGGGAACGGAGTGTTGATAGGGACTATGTACACACGATGACTATGCTTTGCAGACTGCTTAAGAGAGATTGAAGACGGTTTCAAAAAAGAGAACGTAAAATAGAATTTCTGTGCACCGGGACTAGGTGTACTCGCAGTCTGGACTTGGAATTTTCAGATGCAATCCCAAAATCGTACAAATATCGGTTTTGATGTGTGGTACCTCCAGTGAAACTTTCAGCACAGTTGGATCACCTGGTCTCAAGATACATATATTGGAGCAATGCTGAACATTTTGGTCTTGGCGAAAGAAATTTTCAGCTCTGCATTCTTCAAACCAGATACTCCGAACGGGCTGATACTTTTACTGATAAACTGATATGTCTAGATCCGTTGTGGACTGTACCAGGAATCCCCTTTAGAATCAACGTGGAACTGTACAGTTTTGAAGGGTAGGAGTTCTATGAATCATTTTTGAACATAGAAGTTTAGTTCTGTTTTTCTGTGACTCACTACATTTCACAATTGTTTCTTTTTCCCCGTTCTTTTCCTCTGACTCACTTTTCTCCATATTTACCAATAGTAGATTCCCCACATTTTTGAACAAAATTTTTAAAAAAGGTTGTTCACAAATCCTGAGACATCAACCACCATCCATAATCCTTTCGAACTAGTACTAATCCTGACATACTGATTCTAAACAAGAGCTGACCACATAATACAAAAATATATCCGAGAGACCTTTTCGATGCCAGACAAAAATAGCCAAGAAAATGTGACACTTGCACATGCACGTGGTGTTGTTTTCAGCTGGCATAGGGGCATCGCGCAGGACATTCGCATTCCCATGAAAAACATGTTTACGCCACCACGATCGGGTCAGAGAACACGGAGAAAACAGAGAGTTAATGTTGTGCTGCTGGAATCGGAATCCAACTACTGCATGCAATCAACAAAAATATATGTACCGGGTGAAGTAGAAAGCAAATTAAAGGGGTGTCGGGGTGCGAGAACTGTACAACAATTGATAGGAAAGTGAAGCTAATTGAAAACAAAAAAGAAGGGGGGGGGGGGACTGTTGGACAATAACAACTGGGAAAACGAATAACAACTGATGTGACAGCAACTGAAAAAAACTGTATGGATGGAAAGACAACTGGAAAAATATAGGAAGAAAAAGGAAAAAAACAATAGTTTTCAGGTTTCCACCGTTTCCAACTACGTTATACACGGTATAATGCATTGCTTTCCCGGAATACCACTATGATTGTCCATTATTTCAGTTCGAAAGGTGTTAGAAAACTGGTTAGGCACGGATAAGTTATAACGTGAAGTTCTCTCAACATTTTAGAAGTTCGCAGGAAGTCTGCTAAACATTACCATGAAAAAGGTGACTTCAGTAATCGGATTTTCGAAGTCATGATCAAACATCTCTAACTATGCAGGACTTATCTACCTACAAGGGAATAGCCAACTTGACCCGAAACGTCATCGTCTTCTATTCTTTACATAAAGCAATATCTGAAACATTTAGTCTTATCTTTCATACAAGATATCCTACTTTTCCCTAGAAAACTGTGAAACATGTGTTTCCTCTGAACTTGTTTCTTCTGGCGTTTGATGTTCCAGGTTAGATCAGATCAAGGAGCCCTACCCTTCGGACTGGTGTTTCACTTTCTCATAAAATATTTATCCCAACAACTCTCTTATCAAATCACCATGTTCTTTCGTTTGTCAGAAACGAGAGCAGAAGCCATTTCAGGGCTGATAATAATGTCAGTGTAATCCGCTCAAATCCCGTCAGATGTGTGTTTCATTGTCAAGAAAAAATCCTGGGCTCGGTTCTGGTTTCTTTTTTTTCTGAAGAAGGCTTAGCTCAAGTTTTTTGTGACGCACTTTGTTCATGAATAATGGCAATCTCATCGAACATGTTCATCTGAAACCATCATGCAACTCTCTCTGCAAAAAAAAAAGGCTCTTCACTCCGTACTTTTTCTCTCATAATCTAGAACAATTTTAGAAGCGCTTTTGCACAGAAAAGTTTCAAACACCTACATAAATCATCCAAGTGCCAAGGGCTTCTGTCTAAGCCCTCATACCCCTCTCTTCAAGAAAATTATCTCTAGAACACTTTGTCTTCTTCTTCTTCGCCAAAAAAAAAAGAGCGCAAAACGGAGGACAAGTGTGCCTTTTTTGAACTAACCGCCGAAAATCTGAGCATTTCTGGGAAACGAATACATTTTTCAGCAGACTTGAAATTTTAACACAAAAGTGAGAAAATCAAAAATCGAAAATGTTTTACAGGCCGTTCTTCTTTTGAGCCGGAAATAAATGTTTTTGTGAGGCGAGACGCAATTTCGATCTATTTTTAGCGGATTTCTCATATTTTTTGTCTATCTATCAATGATTCATCATCCGTTTTCTAAAGCTTCCAGGACCCAATATAAGAAAGCATTTCGCATTGCTGTGTAGAAGACGTGAGGGAATATTTTAGAAACTTTCGGCGACTGTTTATCTCACAATATCAGCCAGTTGTACACGAAAAACTTTCCCTGCTCTAAGATTAGGATGATTCTAGAATTCTTTTTGTGAAATCTTGAAGGAGAAGAAAATACAGTGCGCGTCATAAAGATAGGACACCCCCCTAAAATGACGTCCTAGAGAGAACTAAACATTTTCGAGAAAAACTGTAAATGCCATTCGATTCAGCATCCAAAATAACCTACGAAACTAAATTTTTAGATCCCTACCTCAAAAATTAAAGCTACAGCACTAAAAAGTCTTAAAATCGGGCGCGTCATAAAGATAGGACACCCCCCAAAAATAGAGGGATTTTTCAACTTTTTGTGCTTTGTTCAGATAATTTTCAGGTTTTTCGGTTGTATAATTATAGTTTCATTATTCTTTTGTGTTTTTATTGAGTTTCTAACAAAACTATCCAATTATACACAAATTATAGTGTTCTTCTGATAGATGTTAAGTGCTTCCGGACAAAACTCGAAATCTTCGAACAATTTTTTTGCTTTAAAAACGTTTTATTAACAAAGGAAACTTATTAAAAAGTTCATAAAACATGAAATAATTAATAAGAAGTTGTTCCTCCAAACTTTTGGATCACTTGGCACAGTCGGTTCGGCATGCTTTTCGTCAGAGACTCCAGATTGGTTGGCGAGTGCTGGCCGCATTCGTCCCAAATAACATCCTTGAGCTCGTCAACTGTTTGAAACTGCTTGTCGTGACGATAGACAGCTCTAGTAAGTAATCCCCAAACGTGTTCGACCGGGTTGAGGACCGGAGAGTTGGCTGGCCAATCCAGGACTTCGATCTTCTTGGATGAAAACCACTTCATTGTGGAGACACTCTTGTGGATCGCAGCGTTGTCCTGCGAATTTTGCAGATTATCTGGGCACTCTTCAAGAAGGAATCATTTCATGGACCTTCCAACAGGATAATCTGTAGAATTCGCAGGACAACGCTGCGATCCACAAGAGTGTCTCCACAATGAAGTGGTTTTCATCCAAGAAGATCGAAGTCCTGGATTGGCCAGCCAACTCTCCGGTCCTCAACCCGGTCGAACACGTTTGGGGATTACTTACTAGAGCTGTCTATCGTCACGACAAGCAGTTTCAAACAGTTGACGAGCTCAAGGATGTTATTTGGGACGAATGCGGCCAGCACTCGCCAACCAATCTGGAGTCTCTGACGAAAAGCATGCCGAACCGACTGTGCCAAGTGATCCAAAAGTTTGGAGGAACAACTTCTTATTAATTATTTCATGTTTTATGAACTTTTAATAAGTTTCCTTTGTTAATAAAACGTTTTAAAGCAAAAATTGTTCGAAGATTTCGAGTTTTGTCCGGAAGCACTTAACATCTATCAGAAGAACACTATAATTTGTGTATAATTGGATAGTTTTGTTAGAAACTCAATAAAAACACAAAAGAATAATGAAACTATAATTATACAACCGAAAAACCTGAAAATTATCTGAACAAAGCACAAAAAGTTGAAAAATCCCTCTATTTTTGGGGGGTGTCCTATCTTTATGACGCGCCCGATTTTAAGACTTTTTAGTGCTGTAGCTTTAATTTTTGAGGTAGGAATCTAAAAATTTAGTTTCGTAGGTTATTTTGGATGCTGAATCGAATGGCATTTACAGTTTTTCTCGAAAATGTTTAGTTCTCTCTAGGACGTCATTTTAGGGGGGTGTCCTATCTTTATGACGCGCACTGTAGGTGCTATTTGAAAAAAAGCATTACATAACCGATGCGCCGGGCCGACAAAGTAGTTCAACTCCAAAATCACTAGAAGCCGTGCAGTTTCGTCACACCCTATAAGCGATCTTTAATGAGTCATCTCCTCTAGGCTTTCATTTTTTTGCAAAGATCGTAAAATTAGTCCAATTTTTCTCGAAGCACCAAAAAGTGTACGAAATCTCATTATCTTGCTCATTATGAAGCTAATTTTCACTATCCCTCGAACTTGCTCATTAGCCGAACCGAAAATCACAGCTCTTACCCCCCGGTTTCATCTCATTTCTTTCCTTTTTTTGTGTGTCAGTCGTTCTTCGAGTCGCCCAATTTCCTGTTCGCCACGTCACACATCCCCTGCAACCAAATCTTTTCTCTATATTGCTTTTCTTCTTGTCTTTCTCCAATTTTCTGTCAGAAAAGACGAATTGATAGGTGCCACGCATAAAATTGATGGTGTTTCATTTCACCTCCTTTTTTATATTGCTTTTTGTCGTTTCCCAATGGCCAATTTATTGGTTTTCGACGTGAAAAATGGGCCTGACGTGGCATTTCGTGTTGTGCTGTTGTTGTGAGATGGAAACCCAAAATTTTGTGTCAGCAGAAAAGCTTCCATCTAATTCTCTCTTATTTTTGCCTCAACGTTTAGAATAAACTGTGATTTCTCGATTTTGCTTACTGGTATCTCTGAAAAAACATCCTTTTCTATTTTTTAGCATTCAAACTTGCCTCCTCCATGTCGCTCATTCGTCAAGCCCGCTACGAAAACGAACTTCGTCGGTGTTACTGTGTAAGCCATTTTCCCCTTGTTCTTTTGATAAAACCTTTCCAAATTAGACCCGTACGGACTGCGATAACACCTGTGACGTGGCGAAATTCTGCGAAAAAATTGCCGATAGAATCCTCAAGGATTCGTTCATGAAGGACGTCGAAATTGCCTTCGTCGAGCAGGATACCATCTCCGGAGTTCTGCGAGGAGCACATGGCGACTACTGCGAGATGTTCAGTGACAATGTGAGTGGGGAAAAAGTGTTTGCAGATTATATGCAAACACCCTTTCGTCCGTCTGATTCACAGATTTCACCATCAAAGTTCAGGCGATCGAGATGGACGCCCACATGCGTTTCATCAAGGACAGCGTGTTCCGTGCCACTGTCGTCATGCAGTTCATCTACAATTGCACCATGGGAGTTTTCAAAAGCTGCCAAAGTACAAACCCAATCCTAAAGGGGAGAATCTTGCAATTTGAGTACTTACAGACCGCATGCTGCACCAGTTTCTAGTTGATCCGTGCGGTCGCATCATCCCGGAGAACGGGGACTTTGTCTTCCGCATCATCACCAATCCTCGCTTCAACTTCAAGAACCTTCTTCTCTCCTCGCTAAGAATCTTGAACTATGAGATCCAGCGCATCGAGTTCACTCGGGTGTGCATTCATGAGTTTGTCCAGGTGACTAGTTTCCTGTCTTCTGTCAGCTCATAGAATCGTCCTTATTCAGTTCCTGGAGCTGCAACTCCCGCAAGTAGAGACTGCTAACCAGAATTTGGCCAACAAAGTGGTGGTGGAAAATCGTTATGATCTGCAGAAAGCTTCGAAGCAACACAATTTCTTGTGGAAGACGTACCAGGTGTGGCACAACAAGAACCGTCAGTTCTTGCTCACCACCGAGAGACTGATGGCGTGCAACTTGTGCAAGCTCATCCGCATGGTAGCCTTATTGTTTTAGGCAAAAAAATAATGATTGATTTCAGCGTGACATGCACGTGGCGGTGCTCAGCAACTGGCGCGACTTCTCGGTCATTCCGGACTATCTCCATCCGCGTCACTTCGAGAGTCTCTTTTTCAAGCTTTGAGTTGTGCACTCAACTTTTCTCTGTAAAAATGTTTGCAGAAGTCGATTTACTAGTGCTCGCTTCCTACACGTATTATTATTTATAATGCTTCAGCTTATTCCTTTTGGTAATTTGCAAAATTCTGCTTCCGGCTATTCCCACCGTCGTCTTCATAGTTTTATGCACTCCTCTCATCCCGAAAGTTTGAAACCATCTATAGATAATTGCTATTTTGCCTTGTGGTTCTATAGCTTGATGCCGACAACGTTTCACGAATGCTATTTACCCGCTGTCCAAGTAATTCTGCTTATTTTTCGGAATAAATCTGATAACCACAAAAATACGCAAAAACTAATTCCGCAGTTGAATTATGAACAATCACAGACAGTGTAATAGGATCAATATTTTTCCAGGCACCGCCAGAGCCGTTATCAACTGGCGACGGGTTCGAATGGCACTCCGGCTTTTAATAAATTAAAATTTGATTGAAATTGGTGGAAAGAAACGACTGAAAGTCAATCAAAAGGCGATAATGTCCAGAAGTCACAATCCAATTAATCCGATCGGTCTGAAAATTGTACTCAAGATACTTGCAAATTTCTGGTCCGATCGGATAATTTTAAACCCTGTAACAACTGACAAAAATACTGTCTGTTTGTTAATTAGCTAATTTTATAGCCAACTTCACGATTTTGTTCGATTTCTGCGAAAAGAGAGAAATTCATTCCGTTGTTAATTTGAGAACAAAAAGTCGACCGAAAAACGAAAGAGAGGACACGTAATAGCAAAAAAAGTTAGAAAAAAGTTCTGTGGGGCGTGGGGAGGGTGTTGGGGACGAGAAACCAAGTAGAGTAAATTTTAAATGAAATGGTGGGTGAACAATAGTGATCTGGAAAGACCGCCCCGTTTTGAATCGGTGAGGAAATGAAGGGGACGGCGTCTATTCTACACAAATTATCAACAAAAAAAAGTCACTACAAAATCGGAGAAGAAACTGGGAAGAGAAGGAAATGACAAAAATGTGGCGTTAGAAATAATAGTGTGAAATTGGGACCAGTACTTGTATGCGGTTAAGGAGAGAAAGAGAGAAAAAACGAAACGGGTGAACGACCTGACTGGTTTTGATGTTGAAAACGCCCGCAATCACAGAATCAAGATGAGTGGGTTTCAAATAGGGAAACATTCAAAAGTGTGTACAATTTCACAGGTGTCATTGCGTCAGCAAGTTTGGGCGTAGGCCTTGCACGAGAGCACCGCCGGCGACGGATATCCTCCCCAACTGCCACTTTTCGACGACGGAACTCGGACGGCACGCTCCGAATCCATCGGTTTGTCGCCGTCGTCCATTGAGTTGGCTTGCGAGAACACCGGAAGAACTGGTCGCACCTGAAAAATTGAGAATTGTGGATTTTCAAAGCAATTACAATGAAGTTCAGAACAAAAACTCTTTAGACTCTAGCTAACCACACCATTTTTCTGCTTCTAAAACTGTGTCAAACACATTACCAAAAGTGTCGGAAAGCTAAAAGTCAATCTAAAATCCTTAGGTGTCAATAAAAGAAAAAGCATTGAAGAGAGTGGGATTCGAACCCACGCCCCCGGAGGGACTGGTGCCTAAAACCAGCGCCTTAGACCACTCGGCCATCTCTCCACATTCCTATCACTGCTGCCAACGCAGTTATAAACAAGGAAGCGGCTGGGAATGGGGTGGCCTTCCACAAGTTTGAGCTCGATAATAGTTCTCAGAATATTTGCGGATATGGAAAGAATATCAAAAATATTACCATATTACCAAATCTCTGAATTTTCAATTATCTAATGACTTGTCGGACGACTTTTGTATGAAAAATGGTCGTGTTTTTCTAGAACAAGTTGAAATCCGTAGATAATCGTCTCCAAGTTACATTTCTGTTCATCTGTCACATTTCACACTGGCACTGGTACACGATAATTGTGTATAATTAGTGAGACTGAGAAAAAGGGACTTGGCAGGAGGTGTATGCGATTTTTGAACGCTTCCAGTCAATTTCCCCAGCTACATCCCCCATTCATTTGTTTCTTCTCAATATCACATCAGAGACGAGATGAGGCTATCTCAAATCACCGTTTCCACCCACTGAATTTGGGGTGTGTCACCGGCCTTGATTCGTGCTGCTTACCTCAACAACACACTCGTCAACTTGCTCCTGTTCTTTGGCGTCGAGCAGATTGAATGTCCTTCCGAGTTCGGCAATGTGCGCGAAGACCATGGCGCATTGTGGACGGAGTTGGAGGGCGCCGAGCACGTCCCAGTGCTTTGTGTACATGTGACCCATGCAGTGGAACAGGTGGCGCAGCATCTTCTTCACCGACGGTTCGAAGCTATCGTTGAACTTGTTGCCTGAAATCGCAGATTTATAGGTATGAGCATCGAGTAATGTCTCCAAAAAATTTAGAAGGAAAGTTCTAGAAAGTTTTAAATTGACTTTCTCACGTATTTCATCCATTCGCAAAGAATCACGGGGGTCAAAATTTATCCTAGCAATTTTTAATACTTGCTGCAATGTTCTTCAAAACCATACCATATTTAGTGGGAAAAATCTCCTCCTGTCGGCTCATCGTTTCGCACTGTGTTATGACGCAATCAATGTACTGCATCGCCGGATAAATCTGCCGCTTTCCGCGCTCATCCTGATAGACGGCTTTACTCGTACCCGGATAGCTCATGTGGGGGCACGTGTGCTGCGTACACACTTCCGTCAGAGTTCCGCAAAGTGCGTTCACATGCTCGAACAGTCCGAGCACATTGTGAGCAATCCATTCGCGTCGCTCGATTCCCTCCGGAAGGCTTGTGATCTTGGTGACCGTCTGAAAATGAGAGAAGAGTTTATGGGACTTTGATGGAAAAAAGGCAATGTTAATTTTCAAAAGCCTTGCTTGTCACACGCTACGTCCCATTTTTTAAACTCACCGAATCATCAATCGAATCGCACACACACATCAAATCCGACGACTTTGTCTGCGGCCGAAGTGCCAGCGACGCCGACGCCACTCTCTTCGACATCCGTTCGTTCGCGTTGGCTCCACCGGCTCCTGCAGCTCCTGTCGTCGCGGTTCTCTCTTTGCTGCGACGGGAACGGCTGAAATGAAGAGGAGATTAGGAGAAGGTCTCAAAATGTCTGGTTTAGATATTCAGTACTCTTCAAGTGTGTCTGTCAGCACTTTAACATCGGTATCGGGCTCATCGTCACGCGGCCCGCTGCTTTTTCGACGCATGAAACTACAACTACTGAACAACTGCCGCCAGTTTCCAAACACGGAGCGATCCGAAGTGGTCGGAGGATCCTCGGCCGCCATTATTTGAGGACGAGGAGGATCACCCTTTAGAATGTGCGAGTCATACTGGAAATGCAATACATGTTGTTGGGAACACTTTTGGCAGTGTGTGAAAAAACGAATGAATACATAGAGGGAGGGGAGAAAGAAGAGAGCAAGAGCATGTTAGAAGGGTTAAAAGGAGACGGAAAAATGGTAAATTGAATTTTTTTGGTGGTGGGCGTCGGAAAAAGGAGAGAGAATAGTAGGCGTGTCTTTCCTGAACAAAATCACCTGCGCAAATCGAATTTCCTTATGGTGTCAAAAGTTTGTTGCTAGAACGAAGTGGGAAGAGGTGTAGACGAGCAAAAAACAAGCAAATTTCCGAAGATCTATAGTTCTTTTTTTCTCAGAAATAGCTAGAATTTCGGGCTCAAAGTGATGTGCCGCATGGTGGGGAAATTGCGTGGAATCAAGTGTTCCTTGAGTCTAACTTCTTCAAAGTATGTATGTAAGGTCAAAATGAGAACAGTGTTCCAAAATAATTCAACCAATACCTTGGCTCAGGCCTAAAGTTCTACCGTATCTGCAGCTAGTTTCTAGAAAGGCCCACAATAAAAGGTTCTACCTAAATCGAAACCTGGTCAAGCCATAAAAATAACAGCAAACATAGATGGAAAACTTTGGCGCGTCATCAGCGCCACCCGAGCGAGCGATCGCAAAAAAAGTCATTTGAAACGTATACGCCATCTATTGACACAGTGCCCCCCTCTCAAACACAGATACAACTATTTTTGAAAAACTTTCCGGTCTATCACACCCATCACATAAACATTTCCATTGTCAGCAATTGGTTTTTGTGAATGAGCACTTGAAACTTGAGAACTCGTCTATTTCCGTTCGCTCAAAACGAATATTGTAAACTAAACATTTTGAGCGCTAAATGCTAAACATTCGGAAAAATGAACTTTTGAAGGAGAAAAATGTCGACGGGGTCCAAAAAAGCGAAAAAAAAAAACAATTCGGCAATGGATTTGGTGGGCTTTGTGCGGCGGCGTCGGCGCGAGGCGACCACCAACCGCGCCCCAAAAAATGAGGGGGGGGGGAAGCGAAAAAGAAAAGCGTTCTTGAAGTTTGCTAAAAACACTTTTCAAGCGTACTTACCCCCTTCCTTTGCGGGCGCAACCACCGCAACCCCAAAACCGCTTTGATGACGAGAAAAAAAAAGAATCGAAATGATGGGTGGAAGGCATCAGTCGGCTATTCATTTCGGGAGGAAATTAGAGTTGCTTCTTCTTCTCCCTCGTTTGATCGAAAAGGTTCTCTAATACGCAATGTATGTGTGTCATCGGTGACACAAACTAGTTGGACTGCGCAAGTTTTCCGAGGTTAGCTAACATGATGATGAGTCAGTTAAGGTAAAGGGAACAGTGATTGAACAAAACTTTACAAAAATATGTACAGTTGCGCCGTCAAAACCACAAAATGAACGGCTCGCAAAGTACCTTTTTTCAATTGTTCAAACGAAAATTTGCATTCAGACTAAAGAATCCCAATGAAATGACAGTTTGTGCAATTTTGATAATGTCTAGACTCAGACAATGACAAAGAGGGTCAAGAGCAAAAAAAGGTAGAGTTTGCGAACATTTTCTCAATTTTTCTCACTCTGCTCCTCTCGCCGAAACAAACAAAGTCAAGACTGATCGTCTTTCGGAAGAAAAAAACAAATAAGAAATCAATAATCCGATTTTCTAGGGGAAAGGGAAGGAAAAGCAATGAGTGGAGTGACTATCCATTCTTCTGTCTACCTCCCCCTTCCTTACCAAACGGAGAAAGAGGAGGAGGAGGAGGACAGCCTCTTCCCTTCTTCTTCAAACAGGTGAGAGTGAAACTTGTGAATGGATACACATACACAATAGACAAATATGCACATGGTAGACCTATTTTGTCACTGTGAATTCTATGCCAAATCATAATTCTTCTCCTCTTCAAAACATCAGAAATCAATTGGAGGTGCTGCTCATCGGAAAACAATCAATAAAGAAAACATTGTGGGGGCGGTAGGAGAAAAGAATCTCGGGATATTGGATATCTTTTGGCTCAAGACTTTGTCTGTCTCTCCGTCGACCACGAGCAGAAGCTCCCGGGCGGATAAAAAACACATGGCGAGACGAGTTTTGTGTGATTTTTTGATTGATCAGCCGAGAAATGATGATTTTTCGACACATTTTTTCAAAAGTGCATACAGCGTGAAAGCGTAGTTATCAGTATAATGTTGAGTGAGAGAGAACGAATAATTACTCCGCTAACACTACAAAATCTTGCGAAAATTCGAAAATTACAGCTGAAGTACAATTTTGTACAAGAAAACCAGCCCGAGCACTTTTGCTTCAGAACTCATCATCTAGAACTAATTTCAGCGGTCAACTGAAAAACGCGCATTTTCGACGCAATTTCATACAATTGTCTGTACCGAAACTCGCAGGAATTACTTTGAAAAACGGTCGGTAATCACATTTCCTATTTTTCTTGACAAAAGTTTAGATTTCACGGAAAAGACACCGCCAAACACTCACCAACACGCAAAAAAACGCTGAATAATTTCGAAAAGCGAAGCGAACGGGTCAAAGACCATCGAGACGTAGCGAATGACACGAACAACGCTTCGGATTGATTGGTTAATTTCGCGCGTCTCGATGGAGCGCACTTGCTAACCACCCCTCCTCCGGTCGGCCGTTAGCGTTGCAAAATAGTGGAGATGATGGGTCTACGTGCAGAAAAAGGTGGAATGGCCAAGAATAGAGAAGGTATGATAGGAATATCACGTTTTCCAGAAAAAAAAAACCGTTTTTTTGCTCCCTCCTGTTCTCTCAATATATTGTTCTAGTCAGATGCTTTACGTTGTGAAAAAACTACCAATTTGAGAAACTGCTTGCAATTAAAGCTAAATTTGGTGTACTTTTAGGAAAGGGTAGAAAATTAGAACCATTTCCTGTAGAAATCACAAAACAATGCCTTTTTTGTCGTTTTTTGAGGGGATCGTTTCTCTTTGTGAAATTCCAACGAGAAACAGAAGAATACAAAGGGCCCCTCACTTCAGAAAGCATGAAAGTGTGGGGGTCCGGTTCATAATTACCAAAAGAGAGGAAATGGTCAAGAAGTGGTCTTCTCTTCTCAACTAGGAAGTGTTCGGGGTAAAAAGGCGAGGGGTATAAAGGAGGTAGAAAGGAGAAGAAGAGACCAGTCGTCTTCCTTCCGCCCCGCTCATTTTCTCTTCCCATCATCACAAAACAGTGCCTGTCCAATCCAAATTAGGGTGTGCCGCCAGTCGACGACAGATAATAATGTGCCATGTTTACTATCAGGCAGGCCTGTACTGACTGGACTGGCCTGTCAGAATGGTTGCGAGTGGAGAGGAATGAGACAATATTGATAAGAACAATGGATTATATGTACATGGTCAGTCCCAATATTATCCTAATGTTATGGGATTGGGTGCAAAATGGAATGGAATAGAATGGAGGATGTGTATGTGAGTGTGCTTTTTCTCTTCCCATTATATTAACACACTCAATTTAATAATAGCCAAACGGGCTTGGGAGCGTGGAGCGGAGAGTTTCACGCCTTTTGTGAAACGTTGAAAGGGGGTGAGAGGTGACAGCAAAGATTGGAAAAGTGCTAGTATATAACTCATGGGCAATGTTCCCACGCCTACAAGAATTGATTGAAAATTAGAATAAATTCCAATTTATTTTTTCCTATTTTGTTCTCAAATTAAATCATTTTAACTAAAGAAGTTCGCACGAAAAGAAGAGATTTTGGAGCCAGACAAACTTCAGCAACACAAGATACAAAACAGCTGTTTTCGCTTCTTGAAAAGTTCTCAAGACCTTTTACCTTCATTTCCCAACTATCAATTTTTGGTCATTGACCTCAGACCAGGAGAAAATTCCATTTCTAATTCACTTTTCATTCTTATCTGATGGTCTCCTCTTTATTTTTCATTGTGACCAATTGAGTTTCATCGTAGTTTTGAGTAGTCAAAAGGAATTACGGGAAACAGTTCAAAAAACAAGTCAAAAATGGTAGACAATCTCATGACTCTCTCAAGTGATCAATCGATAACTTCTCCACCCTTCTCATTACCCCTCGCTGCCATTAACCCCTCACTTTTCTCTTTTTCCACCTTTCCAATGATATTACGTACTTTTTTATGCGATATCATTGCAAATTGATTGTGCGTCTGACAAAAGCGAGCGGAAATGGGAATGAAATTGTTATGAAGGGTTGGTTGAAATCAGGTTTTTCAGGTTGGTTGGTTGGTTGGGTAGCAGTCGAACGTTTCAATCGAATCGGAAAGAGAAACACAATTTTTTGATGTACTGGTTGAGAGTGGGGGCGATCGGAAACGTTTTGGTGATGCTCAAGGCAAGTGGACCAGCTACTACAAACCATTCACCGCGCCTGATATCGTTTGAAAAACTGAAGGAAACCTACGTTGCAAAGCTCAAAATATTCGAAATGAGCAATTTGGCCGGACAACATCCGGGAGCATCGTCTAAATCCACAGAGGCTCGTCGTGCAAGGTGCGATGCTGGTTGACGACGATCGGCAACTACCGCAGACATTTCGAGTTTTCAATATCGCTGAAGTCAGGTCCATGGAAGAGTAGAATAACGGAAACGAACGGAAATTCAAGAAGAATCGAGATAGCAAGGAAAATGATGAGAATAAGATCAAAAATCTCTAGATTTGTCCGGGGAAAAAGGAAAAAGAGACCGGTTGATCTGATAAAGTGGTGGTCAGTGGGGAGCCAGTGGAAAGGAAAAGTGCAAAACATATTTATTTGCATTCAGATCACTCCGATGGCGACGCTCCACCTCTATTTGCATGGTTTTTGAGGTGACCAACGGTCGATATGTTTTTCTCCAAAGCCAAACGGACTTCAACTTTAGTGAGAA